ATTTTTTAAAGGATTTGTGACCTGAGTGGTCGTATTCCGAACAATTAATTAAAGAATTTTATTTTTGGCGTTTTTATGGTCTTTAAAAGTATTACGAAATAATGCAGCAACCTATTTTTGACTCAATTTGATAAAATAATTTAACCATATCATAGCAAGAAACCAACCTATTTGGTTGAGCAAAATCTCCTCGGATGACTGCTATGTTGTTGGTGGCAGGAATTTTTTAAAAATTTTCTTACTATAAAAACGAATAATTTGGAAAGTATTTGTTTTAAATATTAATATTATAAAAATATTATAAATATTATGAAAAGGTTTGCGGACCAAGGAGGCAATAACACTGTGAATTGGTTATATAATGATTACAGAACCATCTAGGCAAGTTCTTGTTTGGAAGCCTTAGAAATATCATTCTTATTGCGAACTATGGGCCTGAACTATGGGTCTGCTTTTCTTAAGGTTCAAGGTGGTTTAGGAAGAGAATAGGGAAAAATAAGAGAAAATAGGAGTGGAAAATGGGGAATTTGGTTTGGAGTTTTTATTTATTAGTACCACGGATATTATTTTGGGATTTTTCTGCTGTTAACTGCATCCTTGTGTCGCCCTCGTCGTTTTAATCCGAGCCTCGCCTCCTCTCGGCATGTCGTCTCCGAAGCCAACTTCCCCATTTCTCACTCCCACTTAAAGTTCTTTTTATTTACTAGCAAACCATGTATGAGGCAAAGATGTCGAATGTCGAATATCTTGAGTTTTATAGTCGCACAGAAATAGGTCATCAATGCCCGATTTGTCAATAACTGTTCATCAATGAATGTGAAGCCATTTAGACTAAATGATTCGGCTCGTTTAAAAATGTTTCATGCTGATATAAAAGGCAGACTTGAATTGTGCTCAAGGGTCATTTTTACAGCAACTTAAATGGCTTGCCTTCAGCATTCAAAGAAAAAATTGATAGTTATTTCCTTGCTTATCGCTAAATCAGCGAAATTGCACACAATTGGAGTTGGTAAATTGGTGAATTAAATTTTCTTTCTTTATTGTCGAATATATTATGCAGTCTTAGGCCATGTTTTTTCGGCTTCAATCGCAGAAATTCACGCATATCTTGACAGCTGCTAAGTTCTTCCTACGTTATATGCAAACTGTCGTTTGATGTTATCAAGAAAATTCCTTTGAGCAAAAATTCAGTATAGAGCGGAAATGATGAAATGGCCTCGGATGTTGAAATTTCGTTATATCGTTATAGGTTTTCCTCAGATATCGCTTTCAGTGCTCCATTCCATTTATAAAAGATGAAAAAAATTGTTAATAGCTCTTATTCCTTAAAAAATAACTGACAAAAATACCTAAATAATGATTCTAAAGAAGAACAAATATTTCTTGTAGTTTTTTAGGAAAAAGCGAATTTCCTGTACAATATCGTGCCATTTATGCGCGTGTGTCTCGGCGACGGTAGGTCGCTATTCATTTCATGTTTGAAAAAAATCCGTGCCAAATGTATTTGCTATGCATTAGGTGATTCATCCACAAAATTTGGTTGCAAGAAGGTGATCAGTGAGCTTGCATTGCACTTTACGATATTTGATCACAGCATTTAACGATACCAGAAGCATTTGATCACAGTGGTAGAAAGCGACGAAGACTTCAATCTTTTGGTACTTCACATAGAAACGGATTGGCTGTTAAAAGGCCTAAGCCCAATCTTCCTCATTGTCCACAAGTTCCTTCTGTCGACCACAATTAATTTCTTTGATTTTTGCTTACATGATTTGATCTGGAGCTCTCGCTTCTCTCAGCTTATTGCACTGTCATCTGGAGGAAAGGAAAGGGTCGCAGGCGTGTTGCAGATGGTGCGCCTTATGTTGTAGGTTCTTTCGTATTTGACAACATTATATCAGAATTAATCTAATTTATATAAGCTAAAAAAATTCTATCTGAAGGAAGATGATGAATAAACCAACCTACAAAAAAAGATGAGAAGAGGCCAAAAAAGATTGGGGACCTATAGATTAGTTCAATAATTTCTTTTCTTAATAATTTTCTTAAATTCTGAGCGAAAGTCACTTTTTAAGGAACTTTTGAGCCCGCTGGATTAATAAAATGTTGTAGACAAAACTTTTTATTTTTTAAGTTCTACAGTTCATATTAATACGCTGATGTAATTATATTTTTTTAGTTTGTTTTTCATCTTTTTTGCCAAAAAAGATTTGCTATTGCTGCCCGAAAGCCTAAAGCAATAATCATCGCCGAAATAAACGGCTAGAAATAGATGGCGGCGAAAATTTTTATCTAAGCAACATTAATTTCAGGCAATTTCGAAAAGCGCACTCTATTCACCGATCAGTTAACTGATTTGTAATGTTAAGCGAAAAAATCGAACAGGAAGCTTACATGCGAGCCGTTGTATAATATCGGAATTAGACTAGCCGAGTGATTGCCAGATCATCATTGTTAGGATCAAAACCTCTAACAAGATTTAATATTAAAATATCCCAGGTGGTCGAATAACTCTCTGAGCGTGCCAACTGGCATTCGGGCGAGCGCCAGAATTGGTGGACACAAACCACTTCCATTTTATTTGCTATCCAAATTGAACAAACATTAAAAAATTTATCTCGAAATTTTTTCCAACTTTTTTTTCATTATGAAATCAAACATAAAAAATTGGAAAAAACTTGCAATGAGCCTATGAACCTGACAGCATCATTAAAAAAATCCCAATAGATTTCAGAATTAGACGTAATCTGCTGTTTAAACTATTGGCAACAAGGAAATGCATAAGCAACAAAGAAAAATCATGGATGACCATGCTTTAAATGCTTCATTTTGCTTGATAATGCAAAATCGAAAGAAGGTATATAAAATCAAAAACATAAAAATCATAGAAGAATATTCATGTGAGTCGTTTAAAATAAGCCCTTGGCAAAAATTATTTCACAGTTTGCCAGTGCTCATAATAAGCTGAATGCTCTTGAAATATGGTCAGTTATTGCGCATCACCACCAAATTTTTCATTAAATCGATGCATAGCCATTCAATAAGCAAACAGCGATACATTGTGAAATCTCTTTTCGTATAATAAATAGCAGCATGGCTACTTTTCTTCAATTGTACATGCCTAATGATAGCTATCGGATGAAGCAATCTACCATACTCATTCCTCATATCTAACTTTCTTACATTTTACATGCTCTTCGAGCACATAGAATCTCATACCTATCTTATTTCAAATGCTATTAATAAAGTCGTTATAGAGAGTTACCCACGCTGGTTAGATTCTTCTCCAATTACTAGATTAAAGTATCGCTTGGGAAGCTCTGTAACGGATGGCATTAAAGGCTAGGAAATTAGTGAAGATCTGGAATGATATAATTAGAAGAGATTTTAAAAAATAGCAATATATAGACTTAGACAATGGAAAAGGAGAGAATTCTGTTTCCTTCGGGTCTATTATCCATTTAGGAATGCCTTATGCTTGCAGTGATTTCAGTCTAACCAATAGTGATGCGAACTGTTAGAATTAATGTCATTTATTAGTTATTTTATCTATTTAATATAAAAAAAAAGATAGCCTATCTCCACTGCAGACCTCAAAATAATAGCCAACTGGTTATATAACAGGCAAATTACCCTTTCCTTTCAAAAAAGTAGCGTTCTTCATATCTATTCTAAAAGTTTCAATTTTCCTGATCTTATTATTAATGGCAATATAATCAGTAGAATCCCACACATTTCCGATCTTGGAATAATCATGGATAAAAATCTCGATTTAGACCTTCACTGCAGGACCATTATAAAGAAATCCTCAAAGATACTAAATTTTATTTTTCGTTCGTTTGAGAACAAAACTGAAGATTTCCTTATTAAAATGTACAGAGCGTTCGTTTGGCCACTTCTTGATTATAATATAAAAAATTAGATAATATCATTTATGATATTGTTTCAAAAGTTCGCATCTTGCAGGAAGTGTGAAATCTCGATTTTTACCATCCGATTATAGTTATTTCGAATTGTACTATATTATATTATTTTGTAATTTCCTCTTTATTTTATCTATAAATTGTTAATTTTTATCATTAATTCTTATTATTTGTTATTTTAACATTTGTTATTAATGCAAGCACATCGCGTTTGCGCTCTGCTTGGCTGATTTTCAATAAATAAATAAATTTAAATTAATTTAACAATTTAATTTAAAGTAATATTAAATGTATATTATTTTATTTTGATTTAAAAGTATCAAAAATCATAAGGTATGTGCGAAGTAAAATTAATAAATTTATTAGTTTTGAAGGGGTTTGAAGCGTTAAAGTTCTAACTGTTACCTTAATATTTTTAAAACTATGGCGAAGTATGACGGGAACTCTATTCCTCTAGGTAGTTTGTTGCACTTCCAGTACTTCTTACGCTCTAGTTGATTTTGACCTGTCCATCCATGATAAATGCATGCTTCTACTCGTAGGTCTGTGCATAAATCAACAAATACCTTCTTATTTAGTAGTTTGCTTATTTCCCTTACTTTATTTCACTTATTCATTTATATTCGTATAAAACTTAAAAGAATAGAGGATTATTTTTAGCGATTAGTCTATGGGAATAAATCAGTATTAGTAATGAACTGGAAATTTTCTATGCGCTATTTGTCCAACGTCGTTAAAAATTTTGCCAAAGTTAATCTAATTGCGCAATAAATGATTAAGATTAGATTTATGGAAACATTTATCAAGTAGTAACCACAAATTCAATATTTTTTAGCTAATTATTTCTTCTTTTCCTTCTAAAAATGCATCATTCCTATATTCTTGGTTCGCTACAATGGCCACTAAGTTTCTTTTTCTCCTAAGTTTCGTAACTCAGTGCCAATTATTCCAGATGATCAAACAAAAGCAATGATAATTATTTATATTTTTCCCCACTTTTTTTCGAAAATTTTCAAATTTTCTAAAGTGAATTCTATTCATCAGAAATAACTGATTTTTTGTTGATTTTCGCAAGAATTGGAATTTTTACTTTCGATTCCTTTCTTTAAATGGGTACGATTTGTTAAATTTGGTAATGCACCAGCAAGAGAAATGGCCGAGAAAAATTTGGATAAACGATGGTTAAAGGATGGTGGAGTGATCGACGCCAAAAATCAGAACAATGACTGGAGTTGCGTAACTAAATTTCGCAAAAATGATCGAACTATTGAATTTGTTCTTATCATTTCAATGTGTGACTATTTCCCATGGCATATTATGGCATTTTCCTAATATTCGCATATCGCATCCCCTAACGTTCCTTTATACAGTAATGCTCATTGTTATTGTGCTACTGAATGCTTAGAACTCTGTTTGTCACCTATACTAAAATTCAAATATTGATGTTAAAGAAATCTGTTAGTATTTAAACCTGAAAGTTTCAATCTTTTTTTCGTCAATTATTTAAATTTTCACAAAATAAAATTCGATATTGGAAAATATGATAATTCGGTCTTAAAAATCATACATCGAAGTGGATATGCCTTATTTTATTCGATTGTTCGTAACGAATAATTTGTAGAACGAAAAAGAAAGCCAACTTTTCTGAAACTCAACAAGTTTTAGTTGCAGTTGCTGAAGATCGTGCAAGAAGTTCAAAAAAGGATCCACAAGTACTTTATGTCGCTAACTATTAGGCAACAAGTAAATCAGTAAACAATGAAAATTTGCAATAAAATTGAAAAAAATCGTCATCGGGGAAAAAATAACAAATTTATTGTAGGAAAAACGCTTCTGGCATATCTCTCCAAATTGTTCAGAAATACAAAACGTAGAAGTATTAGATGAGCCATTTTTTCTTTATTTAAATTTCAGGACGAATTAGATGGTATTATCGAGAAACTAGCAAAATTAGAAGCTCCTTCAATAAAAGGCGCTTCAAAAGCCTCAGCTGATGGCGTATATAGTCGGCTAACAGATCATACAAAATACACAGGAGCTCATAAGGAACGTTTTGATGCAGAAGGTAAGGGTAAAGGCAAAGCAGGCCGAGAGGATATAAAAGACGATAGTGGCTATGTGGCTGCCTACAAAAACAAGGATACCTACCATAAGACGCATTCCTGAAACTATCGCTACAATCAATAAAGTATCAATAAAGTAAAGTTGAAGAGGAGGATCTCATTTGCAAGTATATTTTTTCTCCACTCATTTACTTGTTTTCTATGCTTTGTAATTCAACTGTATTGCTGTATTGTCGGGAAATATTTCTGGAAAAAAATTCATATTGAATTGTATTTCGTCGTTTATTTGATGTTTTATTCATTTATGTAATTTTTATTTAATGAAATTTTTTTCAAAAAATTAGGAAATTTTGTCTTTCTTTTTCAATATTTTCAACTGAACATAGCCTTTAAATCATCCCGAATAATCGTCTGCCAGAATCATTTAAATGCGATTTGGTGCAATTTTCCTTTTTTTTACGGTTGAAAATTTAATGATATCGCTTGTAAGCCGATGAAATTCGAGGCATTTCCATTTATTTTTGCATGTATTTCGGGAAAGAGGCACGAAAGCTGCATTTATATTCTCTCAATTTATCACTCATTTCAATTTTCATCATAGAACAATTTAGACTAAGCACGGATATTTATAGGATTTTTCTTTAAGTTGTTATTTATTATTTTTGTTGTTATTGTTTGATTTAGCCGTCCTTGAATTGGTCTATAATGACGTTAATTTGCCAAAAATGATGAGAAATTTCAAAAACGTTTGGCGTGGACTGAATTTTCGTTGCTAACTGCGGATAAGCAATGGAAGCTAGTGGACGAATCTTTGTCCGCACATTACTTTTATCAATATTTCTTTTTTATTTCATTAATTTGCTTTTATCGGCCATACTTTTAAAGTAATTAATGCTTAGTAACACTGAATTCAAAAGCAAATATTTCGCTTTTACGCACAATTTTTGTTCGAGTTAATCGTATTTGTGAATTCTTTTATTGGCATGAATAGATGTTGCGCAAAAAGTGCGTGAAAGAGACGATTATCCCTGAAATTCAATGATAAGATACTTTGATGCTGATAAAAATGACAAATCCTTTGTAAATATCAGTGATAAGATATCTTAATATCAATAAAAAAAGATTGAAGTTATTCGTAAATTCTCGAGTGAAATTTAGTCAAAAAGCAGAAGTGAAGATATCCATTTCTTTTTCGGCTGATTCCAAGCAGAAAAAACTTACAGATTATAAAATAGCAAATTGTCTAGAAAATAATCATCAATTCTTCCGTTTTGTTTCTCTCCAAAACTTCATATTTGAAGCGATAATCGATATGAAAAGAAGAAGTGGCAAGAAGCAAGAATGTTTGTCGAACCACAATTGATGCTTTATGGATTAAACAATGTTCTTATAAATGATAACTTTTATTTTACTCGAATTATTTCTAAAATTTCAATTTCGCAATAATAATTTTTTTCCAAATTTCCATCGAACAAATTTGCAATTTAATTGCAAATTTTACGAATTTTTCACTTTTTCCTCCATCGAAATTATTTCAATATTTATTCAAATTAAATTGTAATTTTAATATTTATTTGAAATAAAACCATTTTTCCCATTTTTTATTCAAAGATTTTACAAAATTTAAAGAAATCTGATTTATTCGAGATTCAATTGATTAAAATTCTTCATATTTTTCAAAGTGTTCATTAGATTTTGCGTTTTAATTTGATATTTTTTTGATATTTCAGTGATTTTGAAATGACTTTATTCTCCTCTATTTATTACCAAATTAACATTTTTATTATTTAACATTTAACATTTAACATTATTTAACATTTAACATTTTGCTTTTGCTACACAATTTGTAATTTTTTTCCAGAAATTCAATTTCTTAACTTCAATAATTTAAATTTCAATATCTTGAATTTCTCGAACTCTGGTTGAAAAATTATTCAACAAAAATGCATTTATTTGCTAAAAACACAGAAATCCTTATACCGGAAAGTTCGAAAGCCTGGAAAATTCTATCGTCCAAGATTAATTTACTTTTCTAACGAGGATTTTACCTAATTATGAACTATTTATAAATGTGAACCTTGGATTCTCAACATATTGTCATAAGTACTTTTAAAATGGATATGCTTCACTGAAGTCTTGGCCATTATTGCTTTGGCTTAATTTAAATAATTTAATATTAATTTACCAATATTTCAAATTGTTTAATTCATATTTAAAATTGGATAGATGCAAGGACTTCTGTAATAAGTTTTCCCTCCTAAGAAAGTCTATTCTTCATTATTCGATTAATTACAAAAATCGCAGTAATTCTGCTAAGAGACAGGAAAATATCATCAAAACTCGAGCAAATTTATTGTTTTTCTGTAAATTCTAAGTTATAAAAGATTAATGGTATCATTCAATGCTTAAATATTAAATTATTTTTTATAAATTCTTTTAAAAGGAAATGGAATAAAACATTGACTGATTAAAATTCTCCTCTTTAGCTAACTAAGAATTTTAGCGAAATTTAATTTTAACGATTCTTCGAAGTATAAGAATTGATTTAATGAATATTTAAAAATGTTCATTTCATAAAATCCAACATCTCCCATTGTCGAGAATTCTTTAAATTCTTTTCAGCATAATCGTATTCAGTTATGAACATTTCAGTTATGACGATGCAGCAGTTCCAATTAGTCCAATTAATCATTTATCATTTTGTGAAATGCACAAAATAAATACGATAAATTCAAATATTTCGCTATTTTTTCAACAATGAATTGAATTGTTAAATGAATTGTTAATTCAGTGTGCTTTAGGGAAAGAATCGTTGCGTGTTGGTGATAATTTTGATAATACTCTGATTATTTTTTGTGCAATCATTATGGCGAAAGGTGCATAGCAAAAAATTTATTTCAATTTTAAATTTTTCATTAGAGAAATTTTTTCGAACTTTCCCAAATTTTTTGACGATTCTGAAATCCACTTTTACGAATTCTTTCTGATTTTAGTGGATGTTTAACAGGAAATAAAGAATTCTTTAACGAAACATTGGAATTTTAAGAAGTTATAATAATATTAATTAATAATATTAAGTTGTAATAATATAATAATATTAAATATATTAATATTATTTTATATATGAAAAAAGAATTTAAAAAGAAAAAGGTAAAGAAAAAACAATTGCCTGATGGCTTTAAGAAATTGGATATCTTCTTGGAATTTGCTGAAGATTTAAATTTGTCAAAATTTGTCTTTATTCTTCAGTTTTATTTACTTTTTTTATACGCTGAATTTTCATTTTTTATGATGAAAATCAGCCTTTAAAATATCTTCGTAATGAACGTTTTGCACCAATTTTTTTCTTGGAAGACTGTGGTACTTCGACAGTACAAACTGAAATTTTGAACGAAATGTTGCATTTCCACAAAACAAACTATAATTCTGAGACATTTTTTTAAAATATGAATCAACGCCTTGCAGCTGATGATAGAATGGAATAACAAATCTGATTTCCTTATTCCTTGATCAATATTCCATTTTTATTTTAGAAAGACATCAATTTTGTATGATTCAATGGAATAAATGATATAGCCAGTTTGTCCTTTCTATATTTTAGGCATATAATGGAAAATATATTTTAATGCTGTAATGGGGAATAACGATTTCTATGGAACTTTCCCAATTCCACTCCTCCTCAAATTTGCACAGCTGAGAAATATCAGTAAGTTTAATTCCTTAAACTTTACCGATTCAAATCAATAAAATAAGTATGATTTTGACAAATTGTGCAAATGCCAACGTTTTATTATTATTTAAATTGTTATTATTTAAAGTTATTATTTAATACGAAAATGTAAAGAAATTACAAAAATGATAGAAGAATTTGATTCTAATAAAACTTAATATTTTCTAAGGAAATGGAAATTTAACAATGCTGCCATGAGGGCATTCCACTGCATCAGCATTCGTATTAGTTTATCAACATATAACAGTTGTCGTTCCGTGTTTAGTGGAGGGAGAGGGAGGCGTATTTGATGAAGAGGCCAAATTCTATTCACAATTTTCTTACCCTCTTATCTGTCAAATATAACTCTGAAATACTTCTTTATTTTTTGAGATCCAAATTTTTACTCAAAACGTTATAAATTCAGTTTTTATTTATTCCATTTTAATTTTTATTGAAATTTTTCACAGAAAAAAATTCATTTAAATTTTAAATTTTTTAAAACATATTTAAAATACAGAAATTTGCGTAAATTTCGCTAATTTTTCGTATATGTAAAAATGTATTCGGTTTGAATTGCTCGTTTGGTTCACGAGTGATTGATAATCCTTGTATAATTCACTACGATTTATATTTTATTGTGTTGATAATTTATAAAAGATTTTCTTCATGTCAGTTGGTATTCGCAGTGTTCTTAACGATTCTTCATAATTATTATTTCACGTTTTACATCATAGTGGATTAGTTTTTTTTTAAAAAAAAACTTTTTTCTAATTTTTTTAGTAAAATTTTTTTATTCAGATATTTCAATGGATTTTAAGCCACATAATTAATTAACTATTAATGATTCAACCAATTATTATGAATTATTATGAACCAATTATGAATTTTGAATCTGAAATTTAATAAAATTATATAAAAATTGTTTAATTTATTGAAACGAAAATATTTAAATTCACTTTTTTTAAACTATTTCTTGGTAATTTTTACAAATATTTTCCATAAATTTTGCAAAGATTTTTCTCTATATTATTCACCCTAGCACAATACTCAAAAAAAAATCCTAAATAGAATTTCTTAGAAAAAAAGCGTTTTTAAAAACTTCTTTTGTTTTCAAGGAACTATCCTTAACTAGATTTAAGAATAGCCGAGTGATTCTTCAGATCATTTCCTTTCTCCGAGCTTTCTCTGATAGGAGTATTATTTCCGGAAATCAACTAATAAGTCCAGATGGTTCTATTTCCTCGAATAACCAAAAAAATTCTTGCATAAATTTTTTATATACTAATAGGTAGTCTGGCCAGAAATGTTGGGCACTAACTGCTCGTTTCTATTCCTGAAATACCATTTTTTATAGTTCCGTCAACAAATCTGATTTTCAAAAACTGATATGCACAAATGCAATTAGCCAAGGAAAAATATTTTTGACAAAAAGCCAAAAAAGCTCAAATTTGCTGAAGGAAAAAAATTGATCATATATATTCAATGAAAAAAAAATATGGAAGGATGGAAAAGATTTTAAGAGAATTTTAATAGATTGGATTTATTTGAAGAAATAAATTTTTCTTTTTGCTCGATGTACAAATGATAAAAGGAAATTACTCGATAATAATAGCAAAAATTTTCTAAATATAATATAATATACTATATTATATAAATTTAATATAAATTGTATAAATTAATATATAATATAGATTATATAAATTAAAATAATATAAATTTAATATAAATATAATATAAATTTTTCATGTTCTAAAGATATGTCATCCGGTCGAAATAATATTTATTATTTTCATCCTGTTCGTTGGATTTTTTTTCGGCAAATTTACGATATAAAAATCTTTTGAATTTCCAATATTATTAGTTGAGACGAAACTTAAGGTTTTCACATATATTCAAACATAAGGTGCTGAGATGGTCGAATGTCGAGTGGAGTGACATGTTACTTCCACTGAGACCGACCATCATTGGTTCAGTACATATTTCTTGATGAAGTAAACTTGTCATTAAAAATGAAATCTGACTGGTGATTGGAACTCAGCTCTATCTTTCTTCCCAAAGAACTGCCTGGCAAAAGAATATCAATTTAACAATTAGCGTAATCAGTCAAACCAGGTTAGAGTCGTTTGAAGAAGAAAACGAACACGAAGTACTGAATATTGAATATAATTGCAAGTGATGGTGATATTGAATATAATTTTTACACAAAATTTCATTCGTAAAATCCTCTCGCCCAGAATTTTCTCAAAATTTGGCATTAATCTATGATCATTTATGAAGTTTATCGAGGAACTTATAAATACTTGTCAATCCTGAAAGCTTTCGAAAAAATAATAGGAATAAAATCGTTATCCACTCTAAACAATTTATTTATTTTCTTTTTAAATAATTTATTACTAAATTCTATTTCGATTTTATATTTTATCACTTTAATTTTATCATTACCATTACCACTGTTATTATTTTAACCCACCAGCTTCACTGATTGCTAAGGTGATAGTTTCAAGCAAAATCCATTTAAAAATAGCGACACTTTCGCATTTCGTGGTAGTTTCATTCCCCTTTATACAGAAACTACCTACCCTAATATACCAGTGCAATAGTGCAATCAGTGGCTGATCAAAATTATCACTATTATAAATAACCATTTGCCATTCGCCATTTCTCGTTAGATTCGTTCCACGAACTAATAAATCAAACAATTCATGCCTGGGAATTGGTTAGAAATGCAGGCGCACCATCCGGACTTCACCAATAACATTTGTCCTCATTTCGTGTGCAAGCTTTAGTGCTTGAAGGATAATTTGAACAATAAATATTCTCTTATATTGCTTCAATTTAATCATATAAATTAATTCAGCGTTAATCGTGTGAAATATGTTTATAATATACATATAAAGACTTTATATATATAAACTTAATTTTAGCCTTTTATTTTTATATTTTACGAGGATTTGCGTTTAAACGAGCGTTCCAATCATTTGTTGGCAATAAAATTATAATTAATAGAGCATTAAAGGTATTTGCGAGATTAAATGGAGATTATATTTATTCATATTTTGTGCTAATTTTTAACGTTAGAATCAGGTTATAAGCGAACAATTCACTGAAAAAACAATTCTTTATTAATTTCGAAGTGAATTACTGCATTCCAACTATTCGTAATTTTTTAGACGAAATAATTTAAAGCTTGTAGATTTATCCAATAAACACATTTAGATCAATGGATTTTCTCTGTTCATCTTCCAATAAAGACAAATTCTACTAAAAATATGAATAATTTAATTTACATCAAATTAATTTTGTCCCAATAAAATTTCTCCTATAATCTTTAGTCAAAATTTTGCTCACAGCCAGCAAACTTTTATGTTTTTTATTACAAATATAATATAAATATAAAATAAACCGAGGTGGGTGGAGAAGGGGAGAGGAGCGCCAGAGGGAATGCTGTGGTTCTACCGGCCGAAGTAAACTTTCAAAATTCCAGATAGTGCTAAAGACCTATTAGATATTTAGACTTTCCTCGCCATCAAGAATTACTCTCTGGCAAAGTTTGTCTGGCCTAAACCAACTGAACGAGCCTAGAAAATTTGTATGTAATATAAGATATATCCAAAACTATAAATGTTGCAATTAGCATTCGATTTGATTTTCAAAAACGAACGAATCATTTCACTGAATATTTAAGCCTTTTTATCCTATTGATATTTTATCTCTTTGGTAGATTGGCTAAGTGTAAGTCTATGAAATTGAAATCTATGGACTTATACATCGAATGCTGAAAGGCAAATAAAAATAAAACGTTGTAAAAATACATATATGAAATATTTATTAGTGGCAAAATTGAAATCAAATATGCTTAATGCTTTGGTTTTTTATACTACTTAGACTAGAAATTGAAGTATATTTTAGTTGGGAATTGCTAAAAATGATAAATCGGATCTTTCGCTAAAATCATGATGTTCTCAAAAGGTGAATCTCAAACTAAGAATCCCTCAATTATTCAAAATCCAGCCAAAATTCAACTTGAACTCACATGAGCCATATTTAGCTATTTCTAAGCGATTGAAAACATCACAAAATTAAAGAATTAATGCTCATGGATATTGTTCATGGATAAAGATGATTAATAGGGTAAAATGAAATCAAGTAGAATCAACCAGGATGGTTCGACAGATTATAAAGATGTTTAAAGAAAATCAGAATTCGAAAGGTGTTCAGGAAACAATCCATTTGAATAAGAGTAACGAGAATACTTTGGTGTATTCTTCGATTGATTATCATAGGCTCCGTAACTTTGGTAATAAGCTCGTCAATAGGCCTTGTAGCGCTGGGGAGTCGGCTGTCGATATGTGGATTTCTGGCACAAATTTTTGACCGTACCTATTAGCCAGCTTGGCCAACGCTAACCACTTTTTCACTTAATTTACATAGGAATATCGAACAAACTTTTTTTGATTTTAATTTTTCTATTGTTTTCCTATATTTTTTGCAATTGTATCGCTATATTTTTTCAAGTAAAATAAACTTTAAAAAAAATTTTAATAGCTAATGAGGGATACATTTTCACGGGTAATTTTTAGAAAAATTTTTGGCGAACAATGAAGCATTGCGATAAATGAGCGTCCCTCTTTGCATTGAAAGGATTTTTTTCGAATGGTATATGAAGACACCTAAAACGAAAAGCAAACATCGCTAAAACCAAACAAAACATTTAAATCAGAGGTGAGAAGTGAATAGAATGATCAGAAATACAGTAAAAAGTGGAAAATTTTCTGGATAATTAGTTTAGCGGAGCGGAGAATGATAGCAAACGTTCAACCCACAGTTCGTAGGCTCGAACACTTGAAAGCTCTCATCCACTCGATTCCTTCTGCTTATAAGTCCAAGTATTATCCACTAATATTCCAATTTAAGGACATAAATTGCTTGTCGTAATTAAAGAATATCTCTAATCGTAAGTCTAAGTTTCGCAAGTTTCGGCCTCTAACTAACTTTCCGACACCGAGTTATATTTCTCACTTATATCGTCTGAAATTTCTTTTTTGCCGAAAAGATTTGCTCATATCAAGAAGCAGCGTTCGAACTATGTTAATTGCATGTTTACATGTTTATTACACGTTTTGCATAAATTTGATCAAAGTGTCAATTTCAGGGTGAAAAACAAAAATTTATCGAAATTTACCGATGGAATATGGAAAAGAAAAATGTCACAAAAATTATGAAATTTAGAATATTTTCATGCATTTAGCATGATAGCTATAAAAAATCGTAATGCAATTATCATCAACCATCTTCACTGCTCTATGCCTTTTTTTGACCCATTTCCTCAATCAAGGTTTTTCATTTTAAATATTTATTAATTATAAAAAAAATTCATGAATGAAATTTTTTTATTGAAGCGAAAGAAAGAAAATAATTATTATTTGAGAGCATTTGTTTAGATTGTTCTTAGATAAGAATTTTCTTTAATGCCATTTTAAAATTAAAAAATAAAATTTTAAAATTCACTCATCTTTGATATTAAACCAGAATAAATTTAAACATAAAATTATATCAATTCGCTTTTTCGCTTTTTTTCCGTTTCTTATTAGAAAACAAAGAATTAGGAACAAAAATTTACGCGTGGATCCTCAACAACCACTCGGATTTTCGTTTTTATTACGGAAAAATGGAATCGAAAACATACTGCTTGAGATTAAAATGTACGGATGGTTTTTCACTAGAATTATAAATTTGCTTTAAAATTTTAAGGCTATTGTTCTGATGATGAAGGACGTTTGATGGTTGATGTATTTCGTGGCTATAATTCGTTAATACAACCCGTTAGAAATCTTAACGAAACACCACTTATCGTTAAAATTGCTCTGCAATTAGTTTTGCTAATTAATGTTGTTAGTTTATTTTTTTTCCTTACTGTGGTTACAAAATACATTTTTTTAAAAAAATTCCTAGCTATTCACTATCAATCATTTTTCCAAAATTCGCGAGTATTTATAATTGGAAAAAAATCAGTTTGAAAGGAGATTTAGGCTGTAGGCTGTCTCTACAGTTTCTTTTCATTTTTTGCATGAATTAATGCATGAATTTTTCTTTGTCGTAAATGAATATTAAGAAATAGAAAATGAAATAAAATTATAATTGTATGATACGAAATTATTTAATTTTAGGATGAAAAAGACCAAGTGATGCATACAAATGTTTGGCTTACATTGGTATAATTTTTTATAATTTCATTTTTATAATTTTATTTATTGTCAATAGTCTAAAACTATAACAAGAAAAACAATGACGAGTAGAAAAAAGGTTTTGCAATGGCTTTTTTAAACAATGCCTTAAATAAAATGGATTTACTTATTGTTTTGCAAGAAATCTCTGGAAGAGTTCTCATCCTAGAAATGGCATGATTTTCAAATGAAGTGGAATCCTGTCGATTACGGTGAAATACAAAATATTAGAGTGGCTCCTGATAAAGTTTGGCTACCTGATATAGTACTTTTTAATAAGTTAGTCATTTTTTTTTCAAAATGTCGTCTCAACGAAAGGATTCAGTATAGTGTCAAGTTGAGAATGCATTTTTTTTAGTTGTGTTTTATTGAGAGAAATTCCTGACAGACTAATTTTACAAGTTTAAAGCCTTCGCATATTACATTATATTCCATATGAAAATAGAGCTAAAAGTTTTGAATTGTAACCAAATTTTCACTTTTCAGTGCCGACGGTAATTATGAAGTATCATTCATGTGCAATGTAGTCATAAATTATAAAGGAGATATGTTGTGGGTACCACCAGCAATATATAAAAGTTCATGCATAATAGATGTTGAATTTTTTCCATTCGATGAACAAACCTGCCATCTGATATTTGGCTCATGGACGGTAAATTTAACTTTAAATAAATCATTTTAACTAAAAAATCTTTTAAAAATTTTTAAAAATTTAAAAATTTTATAACTTGGTAGAAATCTATGAAAATCTCGAAATTCAACAAAAATTTCTCAAATGATTGAATTACTTTTAATAAATGAATAAATCAATTTTTAGTAATAAATAATTAAAACCTAAAAAACTTTAAAGCGATTAGCAGTGTGATATATAATGTTTCATACTTATTTTCTCTCTTCATTGAATCTTTTTCCATAATTATTGAATCCATTAAGTACTATTATTCTCTTGCATTATCGACGATATTGGAAAGAGTGTGACAAAAATCCCAGTGACAAAATTTGGGAATAAATTTATTTCTGCTTTTACTGGAAGAATTTTTTTTCTAGTATAATGAAAATGAGATCAAACTGGAATTCGAACAAGCAGAATGGATCGATTTATCCGAATATGCGCCAAGTTCAATTTGGGACGTTATGGATGCACCTGCTTCTTTAGTCAATAAGCGCTCACGAATTGAATTTCAATTGCGAATCAGGTCAATAAAATCTTGCCATTTAAACAAATCTTGTCACTCTACAAAAAAAGTCAAATCAAAAATTGTCAAAAAGCTCTCCCTTAAATCATGAATGGTAAATTTCGAGTGATGAGCGATTTCTCTGTTCTTGAAGGTCTCTGCTTACTCTTCTAATTTATTTTTTCATGAAGAGTTCCTTTTGCGCGGAAATTTGTTATGAAATTTACCTGCGTTATTTTCGTTATCGTCAAGTGATTTCGATAAGTCAAAAAAATGGTTGTTTGCGTTTCTCATTCCTGTGATGAAAAACTTTTGCTAAGGAGTCACTTGGCGATAGAGATAGTGGGTCATTCAGCAACCTTCCTTTCGATGATGAGTTAATTCATGCCGGAGAAATTCTGGCTGTTATTCGAACAATCATTCGACAATCTTGTATATCAGTAGATAATAAATAGTATTTTTAGCAGATAATATTTATTTAGGGGCGATAAATATATGAAAATTTATTTTTTCAATATTTTTTACGGGTATATTCAATGATTCAATAATTCTGCAATGAACCAGACTAATGGTTTACTTTTGAAATGTAATGAATATAATAAAACTAAGATAAATTTAGAAGAAAAACTCTATTTTACACCGTTGTATTGATCATTCCAACTGTATTAATGGCTTTTTTAAGTATGGCTGTCTTTTTCCTTCCAACCGATTCAGGTAAGTTTCATTCATCCCCCTATTTTTATATTTTCAATAGCAATAACTTTTTTTTGGCGCATTGACCATTGTAAGTATAAATATTTTTATGCGCTGAGCTGTATTTCGCTTTCAAGACAAGTCCAAAGGGCTTTCTTTTGCGTTTTTATAGAATGAAAATAACATATATATATATGTATAAATATTTAAATATAGTGTACCAAAGATAGCCTCCGAATTTTCAAATAGATAAAATTCTTTAGTATCAATTTTGAAGTTCGTTTCGTATTTGATTTACTCTACCTATCCACGGAGACTTTATTTCCTTTATCTATTCAAGTAATGCAGTCAGGCGCTTTTTTTTTAAGCTGCTCGAGTTGCTCGAGACAAAACATTAGGTTAGAAGATTTCAAACTTGAATAATAGAAAGTTTATTTACAAATAAAATACAGACAACACTATACACAACACTACATTAACTATCAACAGGTTGATAAATTTAAGATGAGGCTGCAAGTGCATCCGAATAGTGATATTGTAAGAAAGGGAACTGGCGTGTGGTACGTATGTAAACGACGATGCACGTAAACGAAATAACAACTCACCAAAATATTACCAAAATGCCTTGCCTCCTTCCTTTTACTCTCTTCTCCCTTCCCTTTCAAACAAACCCCCCTTACATTGATCTGGTCCCCAAATGACCAACAATGATAGCACGGGAGTATATGAGGCTTGCGATGGATGGAGAAAATAGATTTCTTTATTCTATTCTTTACCTTTCGCTTTATCAAGAGATATTGATATGTTTTATGCACCTATCTTTAATTAGTTGCTTCTCTTTTCTTCAGTGATAATTTCGGTAATGATCTGTAATCCTCGCTCTTCTCAATTTCTTAATGTGAAGCTCTCAGGGGGAGAAAAAGATAGATATGTCGTGCATGGCGCTAACTGTGGTTTCTTTCGCCAATCGGCAATATATGTATTCAAACATTTGTTAATTATTAAATATCTAGGATATGATATCTGGCATGTTTCCCCTTTTCTAATAAAGAAGCCCACTATTTCTGGTTTGATGAGGGGTGGATTTATCAGTTGGCGGTACAAGTAAGGATAAGTCTGCAGCATTCAGGATTTCTTTTCACTGATAAGGCTTGCTTTCGCTATGAAACAATGATGTTTCTTCTTATCCTAACACTTCTTACCATTGCTCGTTAGGTTTGCTTAGGCTTGCTACAAGACAATGCAATACGATCTGATACCATTGTCGATAGTAATAAAAGCCATTCCTTTTTCCATCGTCTAAGTTCAAATATTGCTGATTGTTCTATATGTTCAAAATCTTTCCTGACCGTATCAGTCCAAGATGCTTAAGCTTAGCATAGGCAACATACCATTCGATCATGAAGTCTCTAGCTAGATTTTTTAAATACCCCTCAATGTTTTTGGGGATAGAATGGCTTGGTGGGTTGTTGCTTGATTTGGAGCGCCGGTGCTGAGGTTCAATTCCCTGCAGGAATAAGCCTTTACAATTCAGGTGATGCTGGCGATTCACCTGTATTTCTATCGCCAAGGGACTCACTGGCATATTGCTCCAAGCAAGTGGACCGAGTTTAACCAATAATGGTGAGGACTCTTTAAAAAAAAATTTTTTTTGCATGGATTGGCTTCACTGCCGAAATAGGCAAATTTGCCAGAGAGTCGCTGGGTGATTGAAGCATATGCCTAGCATAATGCGTATTTCTAGATGGGCTAAATATTTATTTCTGAGAGCACTCCAAAATTACAGTTATAATATTGAGCCATTCTATTTTCCATTTTACAACCCAGTTTAAATCAAATTAAGCCAAATTTATCGCTTAAAAATGATTATTACAAGAAAAATTGTAAAAATTTAAGGTGAAAAGATGACGTTGACCATATCAGTTTTGCTATCAATCGTTGTATTTCTTTTATTAGTGTCAAAAATTCTTCCACCAACCTCATCAACAATTCCCCTTATGGCAAAATATTTATTGCTCACATTTGTGCTCAATGTTATCACAATTCTTGTTACTGTGATTATAATCAATGTATATTTTCGTGGTCCAACGACTCATCGAATGCCGAGATGGGTGCGTACCATTTTTCTTCAGGTAAACTTTTCTGATGAACTTAAATTTTTTTGATCAGTGCTATCAAATCATAAATATTCGGCTTTACATCTGTTAGAATTAGATTTTTAAACAGTTCTTTAGATTTTCTGGTAAAATGATTTGAATTATTCGTTGGAATAAAATTACGATTTTAAAATGCACCACTAAATATCAGTTCCCATCAAAAATATTATGATTTTATCAGACAAACACAAAAATAAAAGGAAAGAAAGCGAAGAAAAAACCCATTTAAATTTTCTTTCCAAGTGGTTCCCGAGCAAATTTACCTGGTCTGATAAGCCAGTGTAGTCAGAAATAGGAACCCCTCTAGAAGCGAGAAAAAAACGATACGCGTAAAGAATTAGGAAGCTGGCTGAAATTGATGTGAAATTTTTCAAAGGCTCAATAAAAATTGCACAAGTTCATTTTAAATATTTTTAGATAATGCCGAAATTATTGTGTATGCAGAGGCCAAAACAAATTAAACGAAAAAAATCGAAAGTGAATGGTTCGATGATGGCAACATCATTACCTGGTATCGGTGAATTCACAATAAATCCTGCTGCCCACCACCCATTCTGCCCATCTGCCGATGATACAAGGTTTCACCTTTTCTAATAAATAATCAACTGCACTCGCATGTCGCAATTACAAATCAACACTTGGATTAGGTAAAGTGACAAGTTACCTACGTAACACTCGACTCTTAAAAATTTTACCTCAGTTCTTCAACATAATTTTTGGATTACCACTCAATTCAACAATTGATATTAAAGAGGCGCTATCTTCAACAAGTATCATAAGCATAATCAAATTTTTTCTCGTCGTTTCCATTTCTCAGCAAAAATTGAAATTTCTTTCTGATACAGTCTAAGCGAAAATATTGCAGAGAATGCTATGCTTAAATTTTTTTCCAAAATATTTTGTCGACTATCTCGAAATTTTTTTTTCGTAAATTTCAAAGGCGTCAACCACCTGCAATCGAATTAACACATGTTGATAGCGTTCAACAGATGGAGAAAGATCCAACGACAAGTGCTTATTATCCACTCAGTGCTGACGCTTTGCGAGCAATTGATGCTATCGAATATATCACAAATCATCTAAAACAAGACGAAGAATATAAAATGGTTTTTTGCTTTTCATTTTTTCCGCGATTCATTAGTGCAGAATGGCAGAATAATTTGACTATTACTATTATTTATTATTTTAAAAAAAAGTAAAAGAAAGGCAATGAGCGTTCGTTGCTGTCCTATAGTTATGATCACTAATCTGCAATTATTTTAGTGGGGAATTTTTCATCAAATAGCCATAAAATATAAAATTTGAAAGGAATGTGTTATATATTGCTTTCAAAGCCCAACAGTAGGGATTCCTACCAAGCTCATTAGCGAAACTGTCTTTAAAAGAAGAATCTACATGATATTGAAGATCTATTTCCAGCGCTACTCTCTATTCAGCGCTATTCAACTCTCGAAATGCTCGCTACCTAAAAAGTAATAATGGAAAATAATAAGTCTTAATAATAAATAATAAGAAATTTGCAAAAGGAAAAGTGGAAGAAAAATACTAAATTTTATCTGTTACCATGGTTCTATTATCATCATTATTATCATTCTACGAAAAATTATTGGATAATTTCAGTACCGAGATGACTGGAAATACGTTGCAATGATTATCGATAGGCTATTGTTATACATATTTTTTGGTATCACCTTAGGAGGTACATGCGGTATCCTTTTCTCAGCCCCTTATGTCTTTCAAGGAGTCGATCAACGAGCTGTATTACAGCGCCTTATTCATTTATATAAAAATGGCGGCGAAATATGAAAAATATATCAGTGGTTTTCGATTTTAAAATATCAAATATTATTTTCCATCGTTGATTTGGCGTTTTTTAAATCAATTCTTGACTCCTCGAAGAAATAATCAGTTTGCTTTAGAACAATTATCAATGATTTTATTTGCCAAAAAGGTGATAAAATAAAGTCTTGAACCACTGATCAATCAATTATCAATTATTTATTAATTTTTATTCTAAGTGAATTGGTATTGTCATGCAAAATGTATAGTATTTTCACTTTTCAATGATTCAGTGATTAATAAAATAAGTTTTACTCACCAATTTTACTATTAAATTTACTTCTAAGGGTTCAGAAAAAGGAAATTTTTCAAGTTCAAAATTCATTTGAGAAATAAAAAACATAGATTTTGTTATTTGGATGGCAGACATTTTTAAAAAGCAGATTTTTTTTCTAGTATTTTTTATTCTCATAAAAGATAAATAATATTCTCAAATTCTTTCCTATTTTTTCTTCTTATTCTATCAAAAAAATAATTTTTAGAAGCTTTTATTTCTTGTCGTTCAAGCTGCTTGGTCCAGTACCATGCTTGAGAATAATAGAAGTTAGTGCTTTTTACACCATCCAAAGCCACATTCAGTGGGCCATTTAAAATTTCTCCTAATTACAGCATAGAATTCGATTGGTTCTCCTCGTTTCTTGGCGTTTAAAAAAGCTTAAAATATAAATAATTTATCAAATAATGACAAAGTTTTTTCATCAGGATTTTTGCAATATTATAAAATCTAAAATCTGAAAAGAAAAATCTATAAAAATTTGCGTTTCATTAGGATTCTGTAAATATAATCGCATTTAATCAATTATTAATACGTTTATTATACTCATAAAATTATAGCAAACTTCATCAGACCATAATTGTAATAACCATTATTTTTCAATTGAAACCGGAAAATTATTAATTTTTAAATAATTGATAAATATATTTTATGGTTATAAATAGTTTGCGATCATTTATTACTGGCGAGAATAGGACCTATTATTAAGAAATTCAATCTCAATGGTGCTGTGGACCTACCTGTTTCAGGCTTATCTTCAAATAATTCTCCGGTAAGTTTCATCCTAGTTGCCAATACAGCAAGTTTTACCAGAGATGATGAATGCTACCAACTATTAGAGCCAAGTTCGTGAAATTTTGCGACTTTCTTTATTTTACTGTCGAAATGCTTGATGTTTCAATTTTCATCAAAATTTTTTCATTATTCGTTGTAATAATTCCGAAAAAAAATTTTTTTGCATAAGTTTTAAAATATAATTTTTTCCGAAAGAAGATAGATTTTTAAAGGAAATTTATTTACAAATAAGTATTAAAAATAATTTATGGATAAGTACGAAGAATATATTCATAAAATTTCAAAAATAAGCAAATACATTCAAAAAATTAAGTCATAGTAAGCGGATTAAGCGGATTAAAACAATCAACCATATCATATAGTCTAATAATAATAAAAATCTATTTAATTTACGATAACCAATAATGTTGGAACGTCATAATGAAATAGCAGGCAGGCTTCATCGCCACATGTTCATGAAATTTTAGTAGAAAACAGAGAGAGCAAAAAAATAATAATTGTTTCCGCCTTCTTATCTTATATTATGGCCCATACGGATAAATATCACCTGAATCAGGTGAACCATATCCATTTGGTGCTCGTTTTGTTGGTACTTGCCAATTCGCTGTATACACTGGATTGTTCATAAATGGATCATTCATTTGAACTCGAGTATAGTCTTTCAAATATCTAAAAGAACTTTCTTCTTTTTATAACTACTTTTTTTGTAAAAAAAACTGCTTGTATGTAAAAATAAAAATAAATTATACGATTATTTTAAATAATATAGAATATTGTGCTTCTTTTCAAATGATGAGAAAATTATAGCGATAATGATAAAAATTACTTACAGATAGAGCTTATAGATAAGGTAAAGAAATACGACTTCAATAGCTGCGACAATAAGATAAATAAGTATTATAAGGAGACCAAGGTATTCGGTGTCTAAAATTTCAAAAAAACTGGTTTCTACAACGACTTGAAGATTTGAATTCCACAAATTTTCAGCAAACAGTAATTTTATCGTAGTTTTAAACCTAAACTATATGATTTTTCCTTTTTATTTTGTGCACTTCGATACGGAATTCGACCTATCTTTTCAGTCAATCGGCGTATAATTTAAAATATTTTTCACATTAATTCTCAGTCTCCATTAATCTTATTTTTAATGAAAAATCCATGAAAAAAAAACGACCTTCATCACTCATATGGTACGAATCATGTCCCAATAAACGTCGAATTCCACGATGTGCTCCAAATACAATTAGAAGAAATACGACAAGTGCTACGATTATCAGGAATAGAATTAGAAATATCTAAAACAGCCGAATTTTTTGTTATTCTTTATTTTTATTCTTTGTTTTATACAATAGAAGCACGATGACTGAGCTCAACTTATCGTCTTAGAATTTTTGTAAAGGGGCCAATCCTGTCTTCTCTAGGTACGGATGTCATTAAAAAATCCGGAAAATCCTGGAGATTTGATGTCGCTAGCGAAAATTTCTTATTGCATTAATAAACAGTGGAGTGAGTCCTAAACACAATGGTGGATTTACTTACTCTGAGAAGTAATTGTTTTCCTCTTTTCAATTTAGTTTTTAAGGACTTTCTAATTATTTTCTCTTTAATTAAATTCTCTCTTAATAGAACATACAAAATCTTTTCAAAAATCTCTTTAAAATTTTTATTGATTTCAGATCAATTAATTTCATTTGTTTAAGCAATTAATTAATCGTATTTTAAAAAATAAATTCTCAACGGTTCGATTTCTTTCAACTCCATATGCACCAATTGGAACCAATCTTCACCATAGTTTAAAATAATCTCACCAAAAATCCACAATCTTTCAAATCCAGAAAGAAATAAAAAAACCTGAACAAAGAGATGTGGTATCAGTAGTCGTGCGTTATCTGTTTTGATTGCATAACATAATAGTATTATAACCGATAGAATTATTAAAATGCTTATTATTCCTAAAAAAAATTATGGGTTCATAGATTACTGGTTTTCCATTTAGCTTCCTTCTCTTTTCATATGAAATTTTTATATAATAAAATAAAATTTGGTGAACGAAAGAGACATTATAGTTTAAGAAAAAGTAAGATTAGAATCAAATCGGTAAAAAAAAGCTTTTTAATTTAAACCAATAATTCAAAAGCAATCCATAATGCAAAACGGAATATTTATCTTTAAGGAATTTTTTTAGAAAAACCAGACAATAAAAGGTTTTTAAATGAATATTTTTCCTTAAATGAGCCAAGGAAAGCATGAAACGAAGATAATAACAGCGATAGCAATAGCAAAAAAAATAGCAATATAGCAATAGCAAAACGCAAAACTTACCAATCAGGAACCATAGGAAATATGATTGTCCAAATAGATCGAAATTCCTTATAAGACCGTATACGGAAAGAATGCATAGAATAAATTCGATGACTGCAACAATAACACCTGCTGTCTAAAAAATTTGCAAAATTTTTATCGAAATGCTTTTGCAATTAATTATTTAAACAAAAAATCTTCTGGGTGGTACCTATAAAATAACTGCATAGCACAAATTTCTAACTAGACCAACATCCGGCGGAGCTAGCCAAACCAGAAATGGTGAAATCGAACCTTCACTTAGATAAAAAATATTGAACGGAAATTTAGAGCAGAAAATAATACTTCGAAATATTCCTTAGAAATAACACAAAAAGACGGAAGATGAAAACTTTTCCTCGTGGAATTTAGCAAAATCAAACTAAAGTCAACCGATTTCGTGAAAAACGAATAATTTTAGGAAAATTATAGAAATCTTATAGAAATTATAGAAATAGAAATCTTTATCTCTTATTATTTAGCGATTTCAAGAAATTTGTCTTTGATGGCTTTTTTCATTGATGATCATTGCTAATATTGAACATAGAAGATCATGGAAAAGATTTCGGATCCATTGATTCTAATCGATTAGCGCAATCAAATATTCAATATTTAATTCAATATTCAATATTTAATATATATTTAATATTAATATAAACGATATTTTAGCCACAGAGGCACTTTAGGATGGAACTAAAGGTGTATATCTCCAGCACCACGCAGATTTATACCCAAGCGCACTCCCATCAAGGATGAACTTTTAGAACAATTTTTGCACGAGTAATTTATCCTGTAACTGCTGAACTAGGTTAGTGGAAGTCACTGCAACAGCTATGGAATATTTGAAATATTCCGAAATTTACAGAGATTTCAAACATTATCCAAGAATTAATCAGTGAATATTATTTTTGACCAATTTAAATAATAATCTCGCTGATGGTTGTTTTCAATTTCTTAAATTTCGTATAATATTCCCAGTAAATAACTAAAAAATTTTGAAAGATTGTGCTGATGGCATTTAAAAAGGCTAACAAGAACTTTCACCAATAAGAACTTGCTACTTTCAACTGAAATTAATTACTGTTGAATGATTAATGATGATATAAAGATAAGACCGTATTGCTTGAAATGTTAACGAAATATTGAATGACAAAATTAGTGATAAAAGTGAAATCTTATCATGAATTATTAACTACCAAATACTAAATTTACTAGTAATAAATAAATTTATAACATTTATAACATTTAGCATTGATTAGGAAAATTGTGGAGAAAAAATTTTTTATGTTTGAAATCGATTCAAAAAAATAAAGTTGAAAACTTTCGAAAAAAAAGGAGTAAAAGTTACCGTTGGTGAACAGCAGGCAATTTTATTATTACGACGATCGCCTAGCATGTTGTGCTCGTTAAGTGGCAAACAGATTTCAACAAAATCAACAGCTTTCTTCGTTAAATATATCTAAGTCTCTTCGTATGTTTTTATTCCTCGAAATTCACATGTTTTTATTATCAAATATTTGTATCTCATCACTGATTTTAACAAACTCTGTCAATAATAACTTTAAAACTAATTTTTTGAATTTAATTTAGTACTTGTTTTATGAATCTGTTTTAAATTATACATAAAATTAGAGGAAAATTCCAAAAAAAGAACAATTATAGGAAGAGATAGGTGAGTGGTTGTTACGTAGGTTATCGTTTATCGTTCCAAGTGTCAGCGTTCACCGAAATAACTAAACCCTATCATTAAAAATGCTGGCAATAGGCGTATTTCAACCACCAAACGATAATTCCGTTTGGCAAATTATTAATAACCAATCGAACAAATCTAATTTCAGAAATGTTTAGCTCTATTAACCAACTATAAGTGAGGAAAATTTTTAATAACTGTGGAAAAATCTATGAACGTCTATTAACATTTCGACAGATAATCATCTTTGTTATCTTTAATACATGAAATATTTAGTAAGGCGAGAAAAGCTGCACTCAAACTTATAATTTATGGCACATAGGGCTAATGGTCCAAGGAAACTGTTGCAAGAATCATCATCATTATCTTAAACTCGTCGTTATTTAAGCTTTCAAGCTTTCAGATAGAAAAAATTTCAAAAAATGTCATACATAATTCATTTTCACAAAATTCAACAATTTTTAAAGATTTAAGAGTTTTTTTAAAAATCGCCATTTCGAATTCAGTGGATTTCGTTGGATGATAATGTGCCTTGCCGATTCTATTGGTATTCATTTCTCGCAATATTGTTTTTTCCTTTTTCGATGTAAAAAGGTTTTAATAAAATGGTTTTAAAAAATTATCGGATACAGCAAAAATATAAATCATATAATAAAAATTACCTTCATTAAATCGCAACGAACGCAAAATTAAATGAGAAATAGGAAATTATTTATAGGTTTTTAAATATTTATTCTAATTTTAGCACCAAAATTTTTTACATCGAAGAAAACAACGAAAAAACATACCACAATAGATGTTCGGTAGTTGTGGAGTTGCAATAATATTAATACAATATAATAATTATAATTTAAAAATCTAAGTAATAAATGAAAAAAAGCAATGAGAAATCTTTGAAAAATGCAATATTTCGCGGCGAATACATTGGATTTATTTTCATAGAATTGAAATTATTTGTTATTCAACTTTTATTTGTGAAAATTTGTGGATTATTGCAACATTTTTTGCAGAAATTTATGGACCTTCGATTTAGTGCTTGATTTTTCATTCATTCTGCCAGTTATCTATTTGGTTTATCATTTTTTATGATGATATTTTGTGATTTGCTAATAATTTCTCAGATCTATAATGTTAAAGTGACATAGAAATCATAATTGCGCTGATTTTGCGATAAGTTCTTGATATAAATGAGTGTAACGCTGAGAAATTTTCGGTTTGGTACTGTTAGAAATTTTTGTCGCCTGGCAATAGCACAAGTTCATCACCAGCACTGTCCGCGATAGGTGTATGTGTAAAACGATGGGTGTTTCACTTTCCCATAAAAATTGAGAGCTTTTTCTTAAAGGCATTTAAATTTGCAATTCAATTATCAATTAGTTAGATGTGAAGATGTGAACTCAGGTAATTTATCCTATTTCGTTCGCGGCTTTTCGCCTTTTTTCAACAAATTCTTTATCGTTTTTCATTGAATAATTAAAAATTTATACAATCTCATGAAACCTTCGAAATTCGTTGTTACTAAATATTTAAAAAATTTTTACGTTGTAAATTTATTTACGAAAAGAATTTTCATTTCAGAAAGAAGGATTCGTATGGAAAGAATTATCGAGGATTCCGAATTTCCGTTACTCCAGGTTTCCTCTTAAAGGGTAAATAAATAAATAAGTAAGGGCTCTTTCTTCTTTATTGTCGTCACATGGATTTTTCTCTCGCGACATGAAAGAAATTTTATTCAGAAAAATTCCCTGCCAATTGATTCAAGCGCAGAAGATAACGGTGATTTATTGATTTGTATTTAATTCACTTTTAAAAATATATTTTAGTAAGTTATAATTCAGGTTATAATTAGCAAATAAATCCGCAGAGATCGCTCATTAATTTATTTTGTTTATAACTGAGATAATCACATTGTTTGAAATAAAACACATCGCTATTATATATTTCTAATTAATTAAATAAAATAATAAAAATTAAAATTGCTTGACCTTCTACGATCACCTCTGATGTTAACAAACTTCCCAATAAAGTTCAACAATGCATGAACTTAATGATCACTTTTAAAATTCTCTTTTTCTTCTCGTTCTTTTAACAATGAGCGACATTTTTGATTAAGCTGCGGTTCCCACTGGCTTACTGTGGTAAAACATTACGTTTTTCAGGACGTCGATCGGATAAAATTAGTGAAATCAACTGAAGTTTTTTTAGGCCTACAAATCTTTGTAATTTGTGCTTTAGAGATCTAGCTTTCTTAACCTACGCCTCCTTCCTGCATGGCTTTTCTTGATTGGAGCCTCGCCTTTGGTGCCATATCTGCTGGCATATAACAAAATATATAAATATTTTTTTTGTTGATTTATATTACTTTAAAATAATCTATAAAAAAAGTCTGTGAAATTTATAGATTAATTGAAGATTTTTCTCTTTTTAAATCCATTTGATAGATAAAAAATTTTTTCAATTCATAAAATAAAAATGTGCAAATTTTCTAAATTTTTCGTGAATTTCTGTGAAATTTTTTTTCCATTTTTCCTTCAAATATTAATGAAAAAGCGATGAATTCAGCATTTAGCTTGCAAGGAAGTTCGTTAATTACACTCAAATTTTAACAAAAAAAAAGAATTTTAATAAGGTAAATTTTTTTCGCAAAATATTTTCAACAAAAAATTTAAAGTGAGTTTTAATTTTTCTTTTCATCCATAAAATAAGAAAATAATGACAAAATAATAAAAATACAAAAACAAAAAAGCAATAAAATTTAATGAATTTTACTTATTATTATTTATTTTGCTAGCTTTATATTTTTTTATTTGTGCATTATTTATCTATTTTTGTAATTTTTATTATATATATATATATATTTATTTATTTAACGACTATAAAATGATAACGACTATAAAATACAACGACTGAAAAAAAAATCAGAATTTTTCCTGAAATTTCTATTCCTGTATAACCGCCGATTTTATTTTTCTCATAGAATTCATTATCATGAGAATTTACATTAAATCCAAAAGAATTTATTAATTTATTTTCGAAACAAAAAGCTTAACAGTGTGCCTATCAACCTATTATCAAAACTGAAATTCGAGTGGACTCATTTTTATTTCCGATGCCTTTCTTATGAAACAGACTCGCTATAGTATTCAAACAAGCCAAATTAGCGAGAACTAAAAATGTATTTAGAAGAAGGAAGACTCTTCAAGAATTATTCACTACCTTAAATAAAAATTTACTGTTGCTTATCAGAAAATTATCTCAAATTATCTTTTCCAAGTGGAATTAATTTTTTATGAAAATATTTGGCTGAAAAAAAAGAAAATTTGTAAATTTATAAAAGGTAAAATAAGAAATATAATCTAAGAGGTGAAATCAGATTTCAGATTCGGGAAGAGCTCCGCCTTATCTGTTTAAAGGCGTTTTCGTGTATAATTAGTTACTTTCAGCTCGTCGCTACTTGATCAGAAATATTATTTCGGAATTTTATAGTTCGCCATTCTCACAAATATGATAAATTTACCCTAAAATTCGCCTCGTACTTGTTTTCCATCAGCGATCTGCAATTGAATTTTTCTTTTGATTTATAGGAATTTGAACGTTAAACATCGAGGTTTTAGTTCGCATAAATTTTTTACCGTATATTTTCATTCATTTTAAATGAATATAAAACCTAAATTTCATATCAAAAAGCTTTCCTTATTGCAAAATCTTTCGAAAATAATTTTTATTTCAAATTTAAAAAAATGCAACAATTAAAAGCAGCAATAAAGCAAATTTTATTAGAATGTCGTTTAAATTTTTTTCAGATTTTTCAGATTGTCATAAAAATTGGTTTTTTTTGCTTTTGAATATCGTTTTTGGTCAAATAATCGAGTCTATTCTTATCTGTTAACGAGAGTAAACTTATAAAGATTGATGTCAGATGGATTTATCACTAAACGATTTATCTGAAAAGAAGAAAAATTAAATAGTTTCAATCTTAGAGGGCTGAAGATAATTAAAGAAAATCAAAAGAATATCTTAAGAACAGCAACGTCATTAGATGAATTATCCATGATGAAAGGATATTTTTAAGAATTCATGGTGGCACAATTTCTTTTTTATTTTTTGCTGGTATCTTTTTTTTATTGGAAATTCCTTCTTCTTCTAATAACTTTCATCATTACAGATTAGGCTAATTCGGCTGGCAATTCGGCAGAGTAAAGCATTTCCATGTCTCGTAATCCGACTGAAAATTTTTTGCTATTTTTATAAATATTTCGTAACTTAAAGCTTAATTTCGCTGTCTTTGTAAATTATTTCAGTTTATCAAATCATCACTAATGATAGTCTTGATAAGATCAAATCGAGATTTTGAAATGAAAATAAGAAATTTAATGAGGATGAAAATAAAAACTAAGGTATTATGTTGCATGGATAACTGCGCTTGAAGAGAAGTGCAAGTGGATGGTTTTCTATATAATTTCCGTTTAGCTTCATCCAAAAGATAAATTCTCGCGATTGATAGATTACATTCCTTCAATAATTTCTTCATCTTTGCGATTTTAGAAAAGCTCATTTAACGAATTTTTGATGAATTTTTTCTTATCATTTTTCATTAATTCTATGAAATTTCGAGTAATTAACAATTCTCTATTCCAGAAAATCCATGAAATTCATCAAATTGAACTAAAATATATCTCAAAAATTTAAGTTATAAGAACAACAAAAATCTAAAAGCTTAAGCTTAAATTATGCAAAATGCTAGCAAATATTTAATTTTAAAAATTTAAATTTTTTTCTATGTTTTTAAAACGTTGTTGAATATTATTTTTGCATATATTTTTTGCCACAAAAATTTTTTCCTTTCGAAAAAATCAACAATTCTGTTCATTCTTTTTTTTGGCTATTTAAACGAGTTATGTTTGGTAATTGTCATTGAAAAGGAACATTTCACACGCTAATGCTCTTTTAAAGAAAATTTTTATATGGAAAAATATTGAAAAATTGTAATCGTTGAAAACATATAATAAAGCGTAGGAAAGTGTTTCTGACAAATTTTTTTCCTTTTTTAAAATCTTTCTTATAAAAATTATTTTATTCAATATTTTATTATAAGTGTTCGACATATCCAAGAATTTCTCTATAAAAAAAACGAATTTGCAAGCGAATCCTGAAGGATTTAGGTGATCATAAAATAAGCTCCGTGCATTGGTGCTCTAATGTCGGAATGCCGCTGCTGGGGTTCTTTCTCGAGTAAGGGCAAACTCGCCCTAAAAAAATCCGGATCCGAAATGATGCTAGCGATCACTTGCTTCACTTCTATCGGCAAGTGATTCTTCCTGGTCCGATGAACTAGTGGACTTAACCGTCAATTATGAGCGCTGTTAGAAAAAAAATTATCAAATGGAAGACTTTTATCATGGATTTTCACGGACATCAACGGACGATCTTTGCAATTTTTCATGCAAATCTTTTTTAATCAATTGGTTACCAGTTCTTCATTATTGTTACTTTCCAATTTTGCCAACAATTTACTACAGTTTATCTCTTTCTGCATTAGAAAATGTTTGGCACTGACTGCACCAGCTACGCTGGCTGCTATAAATTTTGATTTCTGCCAAAGAGTCGCTTGACAGAGATAGGAGGGGTTTCTTTGCATCGCTACAACAGCCAAGGATTTTTTGATGAGTTAATCTTGTTAGGACGAGGGAATCGAACCTATAATGCCTGGCGCGAATCGAAACAACCACAACATTCTCGTTCTCCTTTCGTGACTTTAAACCGAGAAATATTTCTTGATGCAGTACAATACTATGATATTCTCGCTATTATGATATTCTTGCTATTTAACGTATTAATGCAAATATTTACCAATATATAATGAAATGGTTTTAGGGGGTCGACGACTGGTTAATCAATGCTCAACTGGTCATTAACTGCATAATCACAACAAATAAGAGTTACGCCGATAACAGAACACGATATGTCGCTATTTATTGGTCACATCAATTCACTTGTCATATTCACACTCTCGTTAATCATTTTAACCAGAGGTATATTAAATAATTATACCACGTACCACATGTTTTAACTGGCTAACTATTCCAATTATGGGCCTCGCCTTCAGCCATTATTGCCCTCTAAAACAAAGGGTTCGCGATTTTTTCAAAAAATAGTCGAATTTAGAATGGGCCGACCAACTTCACATTCAGCACCGCGAAATGCCCCAAGGTCAAGAAGATCGTTAATCAAAATGCACTATCACTTTACTTTTAAAAACTAAAAGGCATTATGGAAGAACCCTTAAAAAACCCCTGACTCGTTATTCTTTGAAAGAACTTAACCACGTTGACTAAAATTGCTAGGCCATTTACAAATATAAATTTAGCCATACTATGCAGCCAACAGTAAAGAGCGCTTCTCTTTAGAAAATATTAGATTTTCTTCAGTATTCATTGTAATTCTTCAATTTTTATCAAAAAAACATTTTTATACAAAATTTAAGCAAAGAACGATAGAATTTAAACGGGAAACTATCGTATATAGCACTCTCTTGAAAAAATTCCCCCGCTTTTCATTGAATCAATATTTTATGCCTTTGACTGATATTGGAAAATAAACCAAAATAATATTTTTTCTAATAAAATAAATGCAAAATAGGAAGTCTGCTGCGAAATTCATGAGTTCCACTCTATGTAAAATACTTTACATAGCAAACTATGCAAAATATGGAAACCATATACAATTCAATAGAATTCTAACATACGTAAATTATTAAAAAAGGATAAAATCATGTAAATAAATAATAGATGAAAAATAACCAACCATATTTATACTTCACTATATTATGTAAATTATTTTAATAATTCACATAATTTTACTAAGAACTGAACTAATTTTAATAATTTTTATCGTTAATTTTAATTTTAATTTTTAATTTTTAATTTTACTAAGTACTGTACCAATTTTAATTTTGATAATAATTTTATTAAATTATTTTTATTAGTACAATACTTCTACTATCGAAGAAAATATCCTAATCCTCCGTAAGTTTATTTTTTGCAAAAGCTAATGTATTATCCTTTCACTATCCTTCCGAACTCGAGCACAATAGTTTGACCAAATCCACAAACACTTGCCAAATCCTTACAATTCGCCTTTATTATAATTTCTCAAATTCTACTCTTTAGTCCCTCAATCACCAGTCGTGATTTCGTATTTTTTTTACAAACTCTAATCATGACTGTGATAAATGTATGACAGGACACTAAGAGAGACTAACAGCAAATTAGTGATATTAATCGCGATGAAGAGAATTAAAGTGCAGTGGTTTAAAAGCGGTCCACTAATGGTACACCAAAAGGAGCATAGCGTGGAAGATTTTTAACGAAATGTAGCGAGATAAAGTCCCAGCACTGAAGCCGAGAATTTGCAGGCTTTACTATGGCCTTATATTGGTGTGTTATAAAGAAAAGCAGTTCCACCATCAAAACCATGCACGGTTACCACAGTGGTAAAAGGACTCGAAAACACAAGTTAATACATATAAAAAATATACAAAAAGGATTCAAGAAAATGTTATTATCTGGTTTTTAGAACATGATTTAATATGGTTATAAAAAGATTAAGAATATTTTGAAAAATAAAATTTAAATATATTTTAAGTAAAGGTATTCAAGAGATTAAGGTGATAGTAGTGTTGGAAATAATGGACAGTAAAACAGCTTAGTTGCTGCTTAACTCTGAGTGATGATGGTAAGATTCTACCCATCCCCCCTTCTCCAAGAGGAGTATATTTAATATAGTATTAGCAACCAGGTCTCAAAGAGTTTTAGCCTACCTTACGAAAGTTGTTAAGGAAGTAAAACGAAGTTTGAAACGAAGCGAAATCTAAGAAGATATTAATAATAGGCTAAAATAATAATTTAAATAATCTAGAAGCAAAGAGGCTCAAAAGAAGAAAAACCAGATTTTAGGAAATTTGGGAAAACAGAAATTGGAGAGAATTTTGGAAAAATTTAACAGATAAATCATTAATTGGAGAGAATTTTGGAAAAATTTAACAGATAAATCATTCCCGGACACAAAAATACATATATACAATATAAATAACAATAAATACTACATAATGTTACCCACAAATATAAAATCACGTTTGAGCAGATCACAAAAAAATTAACAATGAAACTGATGTGAAAAAATTTGAATGAAAATTTCATTATTGTTTGCTACTTTTAAAAAATATCAATAGAATCTTTTAGATTTGATTTTCCTTAAAGAATAATATACCCTTAATAAACGAGGTTTCTACAACAAAGGATCTAAAAAAAATTTCAAGTGCCAATTTACAGGTGAACACTTCGGTTCCCTGATTCTTTGTCCACCCGGAGGACAAGCCTTCGCAACAGCATATATGATGGCATGTGACATGCGTCGCCGACGAAAAAGGAACGCTTTTTCAGGTAAGTCAAATGCAATTTGAAAATTTGAGACTAAAGTTAAAATAAAAAAAAGATATTATAATAATTCATATTTACAGGTTTGGGTCTTCGTCCACCAACGTTAAAAGAAATGCAAAATATATGCTGTAAAACAGGATGTGAACTGCAAGATCTCTTTAATTATTGTGATCCTTTTGGAAGTTTAAATAGCTGATTATTCTATGACAATTCTGTTCCACTTTCCCACTGAAATTTAATAATGATAAAATATTAAAATCTTTACAATCATATCATCTTATTCATTATTCATTAATTAATCCAGTAATTAATAAAGCACAGCGACTCTGATATTGCAAGAATCAACGTTTTAGTTAATATTCAAAATTTTACAAAGCTGATCCAAAATTTAAAAATTCTGCGAAATTATCAGAAAAAACTGGATCAAAACCTATAGTTAGAGAACATTATGTAAATTCATAGAAATCTGTTACTAAGTTGTTAGCGGTGATTATTTCGCTAATAACTTTTGCCAAGAGACAGCTGAGGAAATAAGTAAAGGTAGATCCTAATAGTCATAAAGATTTTTTTATAATAAGTTCATTCTCATCGTTGACAGGAGTCGAACCATTCTAAACAAAGTAACTATAGGTTTTGGCACAATTTTCCTTATTATATATTTTGTACTACTGCTAATATTGTCCATTTTTTGATAAAGCAATAGACAAAACACCTAAAACTTTTCTGTTAGAAAAATATAAAAGTTCTGAAACTTTCGAATAAAAATTTAAAAACCTGAATAAGAGAATGAGCTGGCGCAAGGAGAGCCTGTTGAATATTTGCATTTAATCGTTGCTGTACTTGATCAACTTTCTGTTTCACAAATTGCGCTTGCTCTGTGTGGCCGAATTGCAATTGCAATTCTAAAAAATGGTAGTGTTTAAGAAAAAATTTAATACGTTTCTGAATTCCTGAATAAAAGAAGCGAATGAAGGATAAAAATATGATGATAAAAAAGAAACAATCAAAGAACATAAGAAAAACCGTAGATCAAGTGATTTGACCACAAAATTAATGAATTATCAGCACTTTTGACCGCCCAATTATTTGCCGCAAGCAGCATGTCAGGTGCTTCTAGAGACACAAGCTTGGCAGATAACAATGTGGCTAAAGCTTGAATTCTTGGAGCACCTTCATCTCGAACTATTGTTACACTATCAGTCAAATGACTTCTGGAAAATTTCAAAAAATTATATTTTCGTTCTTGAAATGTGAGAAAAACGATTGGCATTTAGAAAACAAAGAATTAAATCAAAGTGGAAGTAAATAATATATGACTATGACTAAAAATAAAGATTAAAATTTTTTATAAAAATTTAAATATTTAATTATTCAAAAATAAATAAATTGTTATAAATTAATTGTTTAATATCAAAAATCAATTTAATATTCACTTAGCCTCTTGCAGTCTTGACTGAAGATATGAATGGAGAGCATGAACAAAATGAGCCGAAGCTTTCAGAAGAGGCGAACTTGATTGTAGTTTACCGGGTGTAATACGTTCAAAAAGGCCATAAAAATCGCTTCCCTTACAAGTTAAAAGATAAACGATTGCTAAACTTAAATTTATTACTATCCATGTATCGGTATCCTTGGCTGTCTGGAAAATTAAAAAAATAAATAGAAAATAAGAAACTTCTTATTTAAATTTATTTTTAGCAAATATTTTTTTTCCAAAACCTTTTACCAAAAATCGAATGAAAAATAAAATTAAAATATAAACTCTCAGAGCAGCTTGAAATTGACGTTCAGCATTTTCTGGTAATCGTACCGACCAACAGTATATTCCCTTAAGAATTTAAATATTAGACAAAATCAATTAGTTAATCAAATATAACTAAACGAAATGTTGAAGCATTTTGACTATTCCAATAAAATTCAACTTTTCTTAGAAATATAATATTGATTGAAGCAAACTATAAATAGTGCACTAACTAGTAAAGTATGCAGCTGAGGCTCGAAACAATTAAATAAGTCAGCATTTAACCGCATTTTCTCAACCATCACATTTATCTGCAAAAGTCATTGAATTTTTATTTCAGAATCCAAAATTCAGAAATTTCATGAACTTGCACAAAGGAAAAATTAGAAATAATAGCATAAAACAATAGTAAAAATAACTACAAAAAAGGAAATTACCACGGAAATGGCTTCATATGGTTTTGCAACCATTAACTGAGCAGTTGCAATATTTTCAAAAAGGATAATTTCAAATGCAGCCAAGGCTTCAAGCGCTCTTCTTCTTATCACAGGCCAATCACTTCTAACCATAAGACGTCTCATATCATTGATATGACGAAGAGCAATTGTATGGTATTTATATGCTCTGAAACAGTTATATTTTAAAGTTGAAAAAAGTGTTAAAAAACAGCAATTAAGGGTTTAAAGAACAAATGTTGAAAAAAAAATGTTGAAAAATAAAAAATAAAATCTACCTAGGCATTTGGCAATTATGAATGCTTTGAATAACTGTAAGTAAATAAGTTAAAGCAGTTAAGGTTTCCTTTCCCATCCAGTCAAACAATGGCCACTGAGAAGTATTTTCGTCATAGGTTGATTTCATTGTCTGTACGAGTGACTGAAGCTGACGAAGACAAGTTTTTGTGTTTTTCAGCTAAAAAAAAAATTTTTAGCTAAAAGAATTTATAATCGAAATCGAAAAAATACCACTGAATCATATTTAAAACAAAAAATATATTTTCATAAGACTTTTTAAAATCGAAGTATATTATACTTAAGATTTCCATAAAACAAACCATTCCAACAGATATGAAGAAACAGATCTGTATTGAAAAACAGAATGCCTTGATATAATCAGCACTTGGATCATTTAAACAAATCAGCATATCGCTCACTTTGATTATACTCTTCATAAGATCTTCTCCACGACTTAAATTCATCGAAATAATCTAAATTATAGGCAACTGATTAGCAATCACCATTTCTGGTTCATTCCACTGGATAAGACAATCTTACCAGAGAACTATTTAAGGACAAACCAGAAATTAATACACATCGTTTTCCCTTAAGTACGACAATTGCAACAAAAAAATGCGTTATTGCAACCTAGAAATTTTTTTAATATTTCAAATTTTCAACAAGAGTTTTTACCAATGCTTGAGATAGCCGAAAGAAGCACTCAAGTGGTGCATTTTCAAGTTGCTCAAAAATAGTTATCCCGGTTGAAATAATTTCATTTGCATTATACCAATCGCCCGTAGTGCCATAAGCTTCCTAAAAGAAATAATCGCCAGTTTCTAATTTTTGCTTGAAAATAACTGGAAAAAAAATTGTTTAATTTATTTATTTAATGTTTTCTTAAAATCAAAAAAATCTTTCTTATCATTGTCTTTCAAAGAGTGTCTGTCTGCAAGACCTTAGATATTAACTTAGTTTAAATCACTTATACTCGAATATTCATAAATTCCTCTCCTTTCTACTCCATTATATCTCCTCCTAAATTTGCAATCAACTATTAATAATTTCGAGAGGTGAAAATTTTATATATCGCTAAAAAAGAAGTAAAATCAAATAAACTTACAGCCAACAGAAACAAAAGCCATGCATAGAATTGATGAAATTCACGAGAATAAGGGACTTCTTCTTTCAAGATTTGTTTAACTGGTTCATACATTTTCAACTGCATATAAACTTCCGATAATAAACATGCAGTTTCAATACGATTTTTTGTCAGTACTGTGCCCAGTTCTTTCATACAGCGATACTAAAACCGCTAACTATTATTAGTGATTATTTCTTCGTTAATATTTGTAAAATTTCTCAAACTATAAAAAAATAAATGAGTTCATGAAAACTTTAAAAGCTAAACTAAACTAAACTTAAAACTAAACTTTAAAAATTGACTGAACAAAATGAATAAAAAAATGAATAAAACGAGTAAAAAAATAGTACCGCTTGCTCTAAATAGAATTTCGCGAGATCGATGTTCCGCGTGTAATAAAAATACAGTTTGCCAAGCTCAAATGACGCACAAGCGTTCATTTCTTGAGAAATTGGAGTTTTAAAACAAGCCTGAAATTTATAATTTTAAAAATTTTAGGAAAATTAAAGGAAATACTCGTCGATTACCTATTTAACCTTTCGGATCTCCAATATTGACGGCAGACTGACGGTGAGAATAATTTTAACGAATTTAACCAACCAAAAGGAAAATAATGAAACGCTTGTAATGACGATTTACGAAGAAAAAAATAACCTTAACACATTTAATTGCCATTTTATATTTGGGTGGATTCGAAGTTCGAAAATATTCAGCAATATCGAGTAATGAAATTGCATACTGATCAATTATCTGATTTTCCTGGATTTTTTCATATGGAACATTCATCTAAAATAAAAAATTGAAAACAAAAATATTCATAAAAAATATTTTAGCAACATAATACAAAAAATTATATGACATTATGGCAATATGAAATATAAAATATAATGTAAACCAGTTAAGCCATATTTGAGAGTTCAGTAATGTTTATTTTCCACGTTTTCTTCATTTTATTGAAGATCCATAAGTGGGCAAATGAGTTGAATTGGAGGTTAGGTACCATGTTTGAAGCAAAAACAAAAAACTCGGCAAAACCTAGTACCACAATAGTCACACTAAGAAAAAGCAAAAACGCACCTCGGCTCCAAAAACTAGTGCCAATCTCACATTAATGCACTAAATACAAAACTCAACGGCTGCCGCTCAATAGCATCTATTTTGCGGATAAAAGTATGGAAGGGGAATGTGGCCAAAGGCGCTCGGAACTTGCTAATTGCAATGGTTGTACAAGACTGCGTCACCAGTACCACTCAGGTTTTTTAATGGCAGGCTTGCCACTCCTAGGACAGTTCCCGGGCAGTAGTGTTCGAGTGGTTTTCTTGGACTTTTTAGAACTCTGCGATTTCTTTCACAGGCTTTAAGATCTCTCAACTCTGCGGTTTCGCTTATTCGTATTTTTGCGCATCATTGATTAAAATTGATAAATTTCTAAATATTCGCGTATTAAATCATTTAAAATCATTTTTTTTCGTAGTTCATTTTAAAAATCTGTATGATTTTCTTAAGGTTTACGTCAGTCGAGGAGTAAATGGAAAAGGCTGTTTCACATTCGTTTTGTTATTTTGAAAATAGTTTTAACCTCAACAGATCACTGGTCTCATCGTCGGAGCACATTTTTGGAAGCATTCATTTAAGCACATATCGGTCGACAGAGATAAAGGGAGAATGAAATCTCATGTTTTAGCAGTACTTCACGTAACATCACTTCATGGCCTGTAAGTGCCCCACGTAGCATTACTACATGGCCTGGGAGTGGTTCACGTAAGGTCTGGAAATGTTTCACGTTACGTCCTTCATTATTTCTTTAAAGGAGAATGAATGTGAATTTGTATCCAAAAAAAGAGTAGTAGTATCGTAGTCACAAATTAAAATTCACCTTGTTTACTGTATTAAATAATTAATTTTTGTTCGTATATTTTTAAACAATAAAACTCCCAGAAAAATAGTACAACGAAAAATTTAGAAGAAATATTAAATGAAAATTATTAATCCGACTTTAATCATTATCACCGAAGAATATCATTTCCGACATGATAAAGTTAATGCGTTGTCACTGATAAAGATCGATATTCTTAATAGAAAATCTTAAATCAATTTAGATCAACGCATCGATTTAAATATCTGCTCTACAAAAAAAAATTATATTGATAAAGCAAGTTCTCAAAGAATTTTCTATGAATTCTCTCGGCGAACGTCGATGGTTGGAGCAAACAAATTGATAAAAAAAAAATTTGACAAAAAATTGGCATTTGCCTCTTAATAGCTGACAACTGTTGATAGATCTCTCTTTCCCCCTTTTCTCTCACTCCCCTTACCCCTCCCCTTTATCCCTTCTGTGATTAGCTCTGCTGGTTACATGCAAAATGAGAAATTTGCTGGGAAATTAACTAGAAGCGCAAGTGGGTCGCTCGTATAGCTCGGACCCTTTGATGAAAGCCTTCTTCTGTCGGACAAGGCGACATAAATCTGCTCTGTTATTATTGTTGCTATTGATATTGTAATTATTGCTACTATCACTATTATTCTTAGTGTTATTTTTTTACTTTTTGTTATTTTTTGTTGTTTCATTTATTATTATTATTACCGTTATTATTGTTATTAGTAAAATTTTCTTTTCTATTCATTATTCCTATTTATTATTACTATCATTATTATTGTTGTTATCATTATTATTATTATCACTGTCATTATTATTATCACTGTCGCTATTATAATTATTGCCAATCGCTATTATAATTATTTTTATTATTATTAATATCGTTATTTATTATTATTAGATAATTATTAATAATATATTTAATGTTTCATTCCTTATTTTGAAAAAATTTTCTTTTAAAGCTTTTTTTCGCAGCATTTTGACAGCATAAAATTAATTAATTTTAAGTCAGATCTTCCGATAATTTTTATTTCACAGCAAAGGAATGCGCATTACGCTGTCCAATTTCGAAATCAGTTTGTTATTTATCAATCTCGCTGATCTCTAAAAATCAGCTTCGGAGGTCAACATCCTATCATTCAAGTTATTTGGTTTGGTATGTTTTACATGGAATTTTTTATTTTATTTACTTTATTTATAACAATTTCTATGAATGAAAACCATTGCCATTTAGGCTGACATTCTTGGCTTGTCAGGCGATTTGTCAAAATTTGTCAGAAATTTTGGCAGACGATTTGACGCCTTCGTGATAGCAATGCAGGTGAATTGTTATCATCGCACGGGCTTCTGAAAAATAGTTGATTCGTGTTGATTTGAGTCGTCCTAGGCCGAGCGTCAGCGTCGCCTTCGGTCTGAGCAGCAGTCCACTGATCCATTCGGTCCCTCTGGTTTTTCTATTTCGGAGATACTTCCGCCAGATGAAGCATATGCCGAATTTCGATCCTCGAGTTGATTCTCTGTGTTTATCATTTGCTACTGAATCCCCGCCGTATCGAATTTGATATATAAAGTTTTTTCATATTTCTAAGAAGTTTTAAAAAATTTTGTTTTTGGTGTGTTTTTATTGAAATTGAAATGATTAAAATAATTTATCGTTTGAAAAAAAAGATTTTCAGAAATAACGAAATAATTATGGCTTATTCGGATGTTGAAGAAGGTTATTCCTATTCTTCTTCCACTCAGAAGCGCCCTTTATTAAGGTTTTTTAATTATTATTTTTATATATTTTACTTGTCGGCCGATCGCCCGATGAAAGCATTCGAATCCGAGCTATTCTCGTTTCCTTTGTTGATTCTTGCCACTGAGGTGCCTCCTCGCGGATTGGAGAGGGATCGGACCCCCGTCGAGACCCCATTGCTTGCAAGCCACTATTATATCGATAACTCAAATCAAAAGAAATTTCAAACAACAGAACAACGACACCAATAAAGAAATGACTGGACCATACTGGAGAACAGTGAAGAAGAAGAGACTTAAGATATCCGCGAGGCAGAAGTTCAGCAATGGGATAAGTCACGTTAAACGTTCATATGGTTGGTTTTCTCTCTGAAATATCTGAGAGAGACCATTTTTTATTTAAGGCAGCTGTGCTAACTGTTCTGCTGCAACAAACATTTTTAGCAAGCTTCTTTCGTGAACAGCGAAGTAAGTCTCGGCAAGACACTTCGCCCGGAGCAAATTGAGTTTGCTCTAGGCTGCCAAGTATTGCCAGAAATGATAAAAAAAATAAAAATATATAATTATTATTTATAAATAAAAAGCATATTTGGGATAAATATTATTTTAAAATTTTGATTTTCATCTGTTTTAAATTTCGAAAATTTTGATTTTATCTGCTTTAAATTTCGCTTATTTGTTATGATCGTAATATAGATTTTATTTTTCGCCATTCTTTCATACAATATTTGCTGGATTGCGATAAATAATTGGGTAAAGAAATTCCAATAAATTCGATACGCCATTTATTTTTTTTTTTTGAAATTTCTGAATTATTGCCGTTTTTTGAACAAAAACGGAAAAAATTGAAAATGAGACTTTTATCTTTCAAGGAAAACAAAAGAAAATCTAGCAAATAAATAGAGGAAAAAGATGATGACAACTGATCGAAATAATTAATTCAAGCTATAAAACTTATAGAAATAATTGCAGAACACGTTCGCATAATGGGCCGTCGTTTCGCACTCTACCTTTATTCGGATTTTTACTCGGCCTTATCGTCGCATTTTATATTTTTTATTTATATTTTGTGTCTAGCGATGAATTATCAGAAATGAAACGGCAATTCAATGTTTTGGAAGGACATTCAGTGAAATTAAAAGACGAAAATCTCGGTTTGCTTAATTTTTGTTTGTTCTTAATTAATTTGTTTAACTTTTAAAATGAAAAATTGATTAATTAAATTAATTAATTAAATTTTTCAGTTTTGTATTGCTTTCGTACGCTTCTAATGTCGTAATTCTTTCTCCAACTGATTATTTGACTTGTTTCGCTTATTTCGTTACTATCGTTTAGATGTTCCTTAAATAGAATGGGATGGGATTTAAATGATTATTTAGCCATAGCTTCAGCTGGGACAAAGATAAATTGATATTTCTCGATAGTTTCTTCGGGAGCTTAACTAATGAAATAGTCGTTTGTGTGAAATCTTTTTGTTACAACATCAATTTTTTTGAGATAATGTGAATCAAAATAATATATTTACAGAGATGAAAATACTTCTGGATAATTATAAGGAGAAAGAAGTGACCTTGCAGAATGCCAAAGAACTAGTTGAAACTAAATTGAATGGTATATTGTCTTTTTCTTTTGGCATCATTTTATGGCTTTATAAATGTTTCTATCATTTTTTTTGCCATAATTATATGAAATCAAATTTTTCAGTTGTTTATTTTATTATAATAGTTTTTTTATTTCGTTAACATTTAATTTTTCGTATGATTTAATTCTTTTTAGTCTGTTTTTCTTCCACTTTTATTTATTCTTCTTCTATCAGCGATCATCTTTTTTAATTTGTCTGGCTTAGCGGTTTAGGATGGGATGAGGTATTTCTAAACTTTCAAAATCTATTTGTTGTTCTATTATTGATCACTTTATTTTATTTGTTATTATATTCATTTTGTATTATGGTTTTATTTTATAAATGCAGAATGATTTTCAGAATGCAGTAGAAATTTGGAATCCATAAAGCAGGATTATGAAAAATCGAAAGTGGAAACAAATAATATCGATAAACAAAGAAGGTTGAATCAGATATTTTAACTGGCTTTTATTTTGGCCTCTATTGTTAATTTAGATTGATTTTAATTTCCTTATTGTTTATTGGTGTTTTCTCCATTGTTTATTGGTTTCAAGATATTTACTTTTTTAGTGAATGTTCAAAAGATTTACTTGAATTGCAAAATGGTAAGGTAAATATATTTCTTTTTTTATACTATTGTTTCCTAATGAATAATCCAGACAGCGCTTATTTATTTTATTTATTTATATTTATTTTATCTATTTGTTTTATAAAGTTTTCACATCATTTACGAGTTTTAATAAATTTTTTGTTTTTTCTTTCATCAGTGAATTTAGAATGCAATGGAAGAAATTATTGCTACATTACGAGTAAAAGTGGACAATTATGAAAGATTAATTATTTATCTTAATCAAACGATCGCAAGGTTTTATTATTATTTTTTTGATGATTAGAATTATAAATAAGTGAATTTATAAGTGATTTTTGAATTCCTGTGTTTCAGGCTTGAAGCTGAAGGAGCAAAGACATCAGAAAAAGTGGTAGAACCATTCTTGCAAAAGCCTGACCAAGTTGTGCAGCAAGTAGACCAAGTAGATGTAATTTTTATATAAAAATTGGTGGCATTGTTTTTTATATTTTGTAGATTCTGTGAAATTTTCATATTTGTAATACATTTAGGTGGTTCATCAAATGCACCATGAAGCAAGAAATGCTACAACAGTTAATATCGACCAAGGTAATAATTATCGCAGAAATAAGAAAATTTTGTTTATATTTATTTTTAGTTATTTCCAATGTGGATCAAGCGAAAGAAGGAGGAATCAATTTTGGAAAAGTTGTTCCTTTGATAAAATCAAAGACTGAAGGTAGTGAAGAAACTGATTTCAAAGAAAATATTCCTGCTCCTCAGGGTAATTAGGTTAATAATTAATTATAAAATAGTGTACTATTTCATCAGTATTTATTTAAAAGTATGAAGTGCACCTTTTGCACTGCGCTTTTCACAATCAAATCTCAACTTGACCTTAGAAATGCCAAGAGTGAATGAACAGTTTGGTGTCGTTCGACCAGGTCCTGGGGATCGTGTGAAAATGGAAATGAATGGAGGTCAAGTAGAAGATGGTGGTGACTCAAAACTCGTTGCTGGTTTCGCCGACTTCCAAGGTAATTGTTTCCAAATTTATAAAGTTTAAGTCTTCTACGTTTCTTTTCTTGTTATTATTTATTAATTATTTATATTTGGCGTTATCGGTATGGATTTATTTTTTTTTCTATTTTATCATTATTAAATATTTAAAGATAAAAATTATTTTATCTTGACGATTTTTCCAGTTTATAACTATAATTATCCTTTCAATCTATTAATTTTAGATGAAAATATGCTGGGAGATTTAAAGGAAAATGTTGCTAGAATTGAAAATAATGACGTGAAAGCTGCAAAAATCTAATATTTTTTCCTAATAACACCATTTTCATGCATATTAATGCAAAAATAATGCGATATTATTTTTTTTTTAAAGCTTATATTTATAATTTTCATAATTTATCAGAGTATTTGACAAACAAATCAGTATTTCGTAGTGTTGTTTCGATTGTATTTTTTTATTTTTTATTCCTATTTTCGTTTGATTGTTGTAACAATAACAAAAAAAGTGAAAATTTGCAGTTGGCGCAGGAATTATGGTTAGAATCTTATTAATAATTTGTACAATTTATATGATCTTTTCTTTTATAAATATTCTAAATTATAAATTTGCAATTCATAGCAATATCTCTTATTATTTTATCTTTTTACCTTTGTCGATGTTGATATGGCATTTTAAGTGGAATAAATTTTCGGTTATTGTAGCAAATGTTACAGATTGGTTTTATTAAAAGTATTTTACCAAGGTGGTAGCTTTACTGACAAATTGGTCTTGGAATTGGCAACATAATTAATAGAAACCTAACATTTTATTCTTTACCTTTTTTGAAATTATTGTCTTGTTTTCAGCCTTTTACCAATTTTTTAAGTATCGTTCGTTTCTGTATTTTTTATTTGAAGAGCTTGTTTGCTTGTTTTTTATCAGTTGTTGTTTATCATATTTTAAAAGAACCTTTTGCAATAGTTTTATTTTGTAACCATCCATTGTTAAAATATTGAGCGAAGAAGGATTGTAAAAGGGTAAAGGGTAAGGGTAAAGGGTCTAACCGATAGGTAAGGCAAAGCCATATTCGCCGAGCTTTTTGCAAAATTTGTAGTCCAAAGAATCGATTCAGTCAGCAGAGACCACGCATGACTTGCAATTCCCTCGCAGGAAGAAGATATCTGCCTATGTACAGACGACTATTTCGGTTAGATCAAGCAACTCCAAAAAGCGCCAATTTCTGCTTCTGCATATGATAAAATCAGGTCATAATTAACATAAAGATGAATGCGATCAAGAAGAATGCAAAATTTTGTGGAATCGGATCGAAAAATTTATTGGTAAGATTTTTTCTAACCATTAACCCAATTATAATATTTCGAAGTATTATAAAAATTTCGAAAAAATGATATTTACTTAGAGAAATTTTCGTAAAACACAATGTTGATATCCAGAAGTGCTTAACGTTTTACAAATTAGACGAAATAAACAGCAATGTTTCCATGAATTTCATTTTAGAAACCAACAATTTTATCATATAATAAATCAAAATAAGATGAAATTATGAAATTAATAATAATGATATACGATGGAGAGAAAAAAGAAAAATTTAGCAGCAATTCGACAGTGGCAAAGCAAGAATTATAAACAAAATAGTGGCCAACAAAAATAAGGCCATTTTCGCAAAAATATCATGCTAAAGCAAACATAAATCCAGCGAATTCCAGAGAAAATAATTAAGTCAAAATACTTCCATCAAAAACTCACAAGAAATCAGAACTACAAGAATCAATTATTTTTTAAGATTCAACGTCTAAGCCAGATTGTGCCATTAGTTCAGTAATATTTTTCTCTAATTCATCGATTCGCTTTGACATTGTATCTATTCGTCCAATAATCTCATCAGACATATGTTTAAAACGCTCCTGAGTTTGTTTTAATACTCCTTGGATCTAAAAAATTATCAGTGTTAATTATCAGTATTGAAATATTTAAAAAGAAACAACGGTTGCTCCATATTACTTAGCCACATAATTTCTTCCCCCTTCCTTCCCATGTAGCATTGAAATTCAAGAAGAATCAACATCATTAGGCTCACAACAGGTTTCACAATAAAATAATTCGAATAATAAGACGACGAACCAATCCTGTCAAATCTTGCACATTCTTCGGATTTTGATCTTCAGGAACTGAAAGAAGATTATCTTCTAACTTTCCACTTTGTATATCATTTTGTTCCATTGGTCAAGACTATCTGCAAAAATAGTGAAAATAAACTAAAATGAAACAGCATCAGTTGTACAAAACCACTGATAATTCTGATTTTAGAGCGAAGTACACAGATGATATTAAAACATCCAAAAAAGTAAAAAAGAAAAACATTGATTAATTTTATATTTGTACTGGAAAACAACAAGTCAGACATAGACATGAAAATCTAAACAAATAAGATATCAATTCAAAGAAAAATAAAGGAAATAAATTGAATATATACTCCCATTTTAAAATATGAAATTCTCGATTCATTGATTCTGAATCGCAAAGCTGAATAAAATGACAGTATGACGGTAGACACATATATATATATATATATAAATTTCTCAAGGATCAATATTCATGGGTGTAACAACAGTATCCTCAACAGGGAAACCCTGAAGTAGTCGCATTTTCCTTTCAATAAAACGTGGAATATCTGGCTCAGCAACTGATTCCGATTCTTGAATCATATGATAAATAGCGATAATTTCCTTCGTATTTTGTCCATTGATCCATATACGCCCATTCAATCCACAAGTAATTTCAAATTTAAGATCTCTGCCAATTAAAGATAATAATTTAGAAGTGGGAGACAACAAGCGCCGAACAAGATTAAGACTTGTATTAAAAGTAAAACCAGAAGTGGGTAATACACCTAAACCACGAGCTCGACCATCATCATCGACGCAAGTCAGCTGAAAAATGTTTTATATTTTTATATGTTTTATAATTTTTTTTTTATCAAAATCGAATAAACAGCATAAATGAGGCAAAAAAACCAACAGTTTCCTTACTGAAGAGATTTCTTGTTGAATTTTATGAACGGATTTCAAAAAGAAAAAATTTCTAATCTTAATAAGCACAACAAACCTCAGGTTCGAGATGTTTTGAAGCAAACTTAATCGACGCAAATAATAAATCGCCTACTTTCAAATTCGGCCGATTACTTTTTGTTGCACCTAAAATCAGACATTTTCGATACATCTATTTAAATTTAAATAAATGAAAATCTAAATTAGAACAAATGTATTTTTCAGTACTTCCATTTTTAAAAAATTACACTTATATATTTAATGCGGTGAGGCGCAACACATTAACATTATAAAATTATAGAAAATATAGGAATAAATAACCTTCAAAAGAGAGGAAATTGAGAAAAGCTTGATCAGCTGAACCAATATCAACCTTTATCGCATCTCCATGTGTAGACGTGACCACACCTAGCACTCGATCACCATTACATGGTATGTACCTAATCAAGAAGACCAATATCATACATTGTCAACCAAATCTCAAAAAAAAACATCAACTTAACGTTTCACTAATTCGTAAGCCAAGGAGAGATGAATAAAAGGGAATGAACCTTCGAGAGTGAGTAAGTATCCATTGCTTTCCATTAGCACATATTTTAAGACCTGGTTGTACCACTAACAATTGATCGCCTTCTTCATTAAAACAATGATCAAACCCACAGCCAACAATTACCTAAATAATCTAACATAAAGAAAAGACGTTTTTGAATTCAAACCTCCAAAAATCAATTCAATAAAACCTTTCATGTGAAAATCGTCTTAAAAAAATTTTTCCTACAAATCTAGAAATCAAAAAACTGAGTACTTGAGTGGCAGATGCGTCGTTCTTATCGAGATTAACGACGTCACCCGGCAAAACAACTTCACTCCTCATTTTTTCAGCCTTCCAGTGTACATATAACTTTTTTTTGCTGACGGAAAAAATTTTTAGCAAAAACTGCTATTGTCATGGCAGAATGTGAATGTTAGCACCGATGAAATATATCGAATAAGGCTATCGAATAATTTTTTTGAAAATCATGAAGACGACTATTTATTTATTTTAAAAAAATCAAACAACACTTCTTTTAAGTGCCACAATAATAACCATAAAACAGAAGATAAAAAGATAAAAAGTCGATAAAAACATGCAAATCGTGGGAAAAGAATAAAAAAATATCGACAATAAGTAAAAATAACCGACAATATTAAAATTTTGATAATATGGAAAATGCCCACTTCCTTAACAATTCTATTTTTGATATTTATGGTTTATATTTTTACATCAATTGAAATGGTTAAATAATGCCTTACCTGGAAAATTAAAAGAACAACTGTTAAAAGAATTAGCTCTTAAGAAAATAGAGTGGCTTTTGTTAATCTCATGTATGGCATCGAATAAAGCAACTTGCAAACATCGTGGGAACTTCATAGCCAGCCGATGCATCCAAACCAGTAATGATGAACAATTATTAGAGGAAGATTAAATAATACAGCATACATTTGTTTTTTTTCCAAGAATACCGCTTTATATCGACAAGCCTTTTCCAATTAACTGCAATCATCTAAATCCACTTAAGCACTACTGCTTTCTTCCAATATTTCTCAAACTTTTCAAAACTTTTCATTTTATTCTCAAGAAATGAAATATAAAACTCATTCCTGCTCCAGCTCCTTTTACATTTTACTAACAAATTCTGCCAAACCACATTCAAAATATTCGCATACATGATAGCAATGATAAAAAGGAGGATAAACTACTTGGGGCAGCTTATTATAGACAGAATAAAATAAATACATTTCCTACTCTATAAAGAGATTTGTCCTGCAATACTGGATTATTAAATTCTCTTCTACCTATTTTGCTATCTTTGCAGTATTACCATTATTAAGTGAAATTTCTAAAAAAGAACATGCACATACTCTTAATTCAGTGGCAGTTACAGATCATATTTGTGCTTTCTTTTATAAGGAATAATAATTTGTTGCTGATAAAAATTTAATAATATTAAGTCATAATTAAATAACTGTAGATTTAGAAAGTACAGAGAAATTAGGTATTATATTGGTTCATTCACCAAATTGCTCCGCAACCGCTTTGTAAAAAAAAATTTATTTCTTCACTATAGCAATTCATTAATTATTTTCATAGCCTTATTATACCAGTGGTAAAAATGATTCTATTAACCTTCTTCCGTAACTTTAGCTTCATCTAACATACTGGTTTCACCTAATATGAGTCTAATATATTTAAAATTCTGGAATGAAAATAAGTTCCTAAATGAACGACTAGTGTCCAAAAATTAATGCAAAACGGTGAAAAAAGACTACTGAAAATAGATTTAAAACTAAGCTCAATGAAAAAACCATAATCCCACTCCCCACCACTTCCAAGTTAAAATACATCCGACCTCGACATAGAGATACTAGATGAAACAATGGTAAATACCGTCGTGCAAAATTTCGTTTTAAGACCGAACTTTAAAAGGAGGGAAATTTGGATAAAACCCAATCTACACAGGCGATGCAGAAAATGAACCGAACAATTTTACCAATATATTTCATTCTACCAAACTGCCGTAAACAAGTCGACAAGCCAAAAAAATGTCAAATCTCCAAGCTGATGACACCTTTATTTAGATAATAGCTGGTGACGACCTCTTCATATGTACGCAAGAAAACTCTCGATGAATTCACATTGCCTAACGGCCTTAATCAATACCAATCGAATGTAAATATCAATCTTTATCAATCGAATGTGATGAAAACAAATATCCTATTATTTTTATTGAAAAGATGCGGACAAATCTTTAGGAGGAAATAATCGACAAATGAATATTTTTAAAATTTAATTTAAAATATTTTAAAGAATACCAAATAAATTTACGAATAAATTTCATTTTTTCCAGCCCAAATATCAATTTCGAAAAAAATACAAGTATTTAGAATTTTTTACCAATATTTCTGATATGTCATTTCAATAATAAAAAAGCTGAAAATGTTAGAAAAAAAATCAAAATTTCACGCAACTTCGAGCGATACTTCAGCGATTATCCAAGAACCGAAGAAATCGAAAAATTCGCGCACTATTCATTAGTGTAAGACGAATGCGATGGACCATATATAATAGATAAGAGATATACAACGGCCGCAGGAGAAGGCGATTGGACCTTCGATTTTATTCCCTGCTAACTGATTGAATTCGTGCGCTTTGATTGAATAAAAAGAATGCTTTAAGACTTATATCCCATTATGGTATTTACGATCGCAAAAAGTCTTTAAAGCAATTAGTCTATGCGAAGAACAGCCCAATACTTCGACGCATACTTGAAAATAATCTGAAATTTTATATTTTTTAAAATTAATGAAAATGAAATCAAAACTCTCAAAGAGATTCAACTCAATTACCTAGTAAATTCAAAACAAAAGTGATGTGGAAAATGCAGAAGTTTCACTTATATTGAAATATAAAGTTATTATTTATTATTTTAATTCACAGTATGGTAGTTAAATCACAAAATGCTTCAGTTAAAAATAAGCAAAATAGGTTCAATTTCTACCGCTTAACAAGATTAAGCAGGATCTATAGATAAAAATGGAATTTAGGTATTTCGTGAACAGCCATATTTGCTTCCACCTCCAAGGGAGTCCTGTGGCGAAAGGATTCCTTGAAATGCCTCAAGAAAATGGCTAAACATAGTCAGAAAAAAATAAAAATGAAAAAATAAAATTCGAAAATGAAAATGTTTTCAAAATCTTTATTTTATTACCATTTTAAGTCAAACAGATTGCATAGCCATCAAACCCATGCGGTCCATCCTTCATACATTAAGGCCAAATTGTTCAAATCTGTTGCCTCATTTATAAGCAAATCAACCTGAAACACTACTTCGTTTTCAAATAAACCAAGGAAACCATTATGTAGAAGAATTAGAAAAGAAGATGAGTGGATAAGATATTGCAATAATCAATAAAGTTTAACTAACTTGTTCAGCAACGGACATAGCTTTATTTATTTTCGTTTCCTTAACATTCGATTCTGGACATTCCTTATCGTAATTAGCATCAATTCCTTCCAGCTTCAATCGCATTCGATGTGAAATATTTTTTGCGTGAATGTTTTGTGGTTGTTGCGGTTTAAAACAATTGTTGTTATCTTCAACAAAATTAAAAAAGTTTCAGTTTTACTCCCTCATTTGCTATGCACATTTCTCTAAACATTAAATAAACATTCTTTATTCAGGCCACCACTTCCCAGGTGATACCCATCCATGAATGAATCTTTTGAAAACTTGATCACGATTTATATGAGTTTTACAATCAACTGATTTTATTTTTTATTACATATGACATCATTATTACAAATGTTGAAAACGTAATGTTTTACTTCTTAAATAAAATTTTCACTTGCAAAATTCACATATTTACTAACGCTTAGATTACGTCTAAATTTACAAATAAAAGTGGTGATAACATTATTTTGAAAATGGTTTTAGCATCGAGGATTCCTTGAAAAGGCCTTGGCACTGCCAAGAGCTTGTTGAAATGAAAATGCGATGTTTCCCTAATTTATTATTTAAAGCATTATTTATTACTGACCTCAAGCCGCCAGAGATACTTTAATTATTTTTTATTAATTATTATACATTTTTTAATGGAAGTTAATTTCTTAATTAATTGTAATTAGGAAAAGGAATTGACCTCAACTTTCTAGGAATTGACAATTAATCTGAGTCCAAATCTAAGCGCAAACCTAAACCTCCCGTTAAACTACCAACGAAAAATGGTCGGCTGAAAATAAATTGTTCGGTAAGTGTGGCGCCCTTACCAAATTAATTAATTAATTGCTTCGTTTTCAAATTTTTATTAAATTTGACTTGAATATATTTCCAAAAATTTTTCTTATTTTCTTTTTAATATATTTTTTTAAGTTATTGCATTTTATCTTTTTTTGTTATTATTTTTGGTTTAAAGTTTAAATACCCAAGTTTGACGCTATCAGTAAAAGTTCTATTCAAAATTGCTACGAAACAATCTGTCCTTCCTGCCACTTACCATGCGAACTTTTCAATAATCTAAACTGTAATCGCGTGGCATCTATTATTATTATTAACCCGGTCAACTCATTGTTTACAGCTGCATTATACCACAAAAAATATTTTATAAAGAAATAGAAACTGACCTGCAATATTATTTGGTGAAAAATTTTTTGAAATAATATTGTTTGATTTGGCTCTCGATTTAGCCAAAAGAAGTAAATTGTCATAAACACTAAAAATATAGCATATAAAGATAAATGCCATAAAAAAATAAAATTGTGAAGCAAATTTATGATGAAACTATCGCATCGAAAAAATAAATAAATTCATAAGTATATGAAGCACAATTTTTTTCAAGAACATTCGCTATTATCAGGCGGACTCATTTCACTGGCTTATCGGATTAGATAAATATGCCAGAGTCCCTTAAGAATAGAAATACTGGTGAATCGCCAGCATCGCCCTTTTAGAAAATGCACTTGTACAAGTGCACTTCTTGATTAAAATTTCAAATTTAAAAACACTTAATGGAGCCTAAATATTTTTCCTTGAATGAAATTTACCCATTAATGTTATCGACAACTTGACGAAAAAGTTGAACACAAACGGAAAAATCTTGACTAGGATCATCAAGCATTCTGTGTCCTTTAATTAACGGACCACTAAATGACTCTTTATAAAACCTTAAATATAATCGGAAATTTGAATCGATCTGAAATTAAACAATTTGGTCAACAGGAATTGTTTTTACGAAAAAAGAAATTAGCAAGTTTGATTATTATAAAGTTAAACAGTGATTAAAATTAAGATTTTCATAATCTACAAATTATAATAAAAAAGGAGAGGAGATAAACAGCTTAATAATAAAAATTTCGAAAATTTTTTAGAAAATTTTAATTAAAATTTAGAAATTAAATTTTGTAAGGACTAACCCGAGCCAGTGATCGTAATAATGGCCGCAAATCAGTCATCATTTCATGATGCTGAGTTATTGCTTCTTTCAATTCTTTTCCAGCTTCAACACGTTTACAATCAATATTTTCGACTGAACTTCTTTGTTCATTTGGTGTTTTATGGTTTGTGCTTAATGTTTCAAGAATATTTGCGACACGAGTTAAAGCGCGATGTAAACGTTCACTTAAAGAAATTATTCATGATCTACATTACGATAAATTATTATAAAAAAATTCACAAAAATTAGAAAGAAATTCAATATTTTATATATTAAATTCAAAAATTCTAACCCATTCAAATGCCATGACGCAGAGATTTCTTTGAGACGAACAGCAAATAACGACCGATTAATTTCACGAGATTTTTCAGAACGACTTTCAGTTCCTTTAAAATAAATTCCAAATTGGTAAAATAATGATATAAAAATTGAATAAATAACAGATGTGAGGATAATAAAATTTGAAAGAACTGATTCAAAATGGAAAAATAAAAGGCTAACCGTAAACAGCTAATGTTACTGCAGTACCAACAGCTGTATTTGAAAAAGTGCTATCGTGCGTGCATGACCAATCGATTAAAGGTTGATAAATAAAAGCGTCCATTGCTCTCAATAAAACTTCCTTATTCACCCGAAGCTTTGTAAGCACATGCTCACATGACAACCGAAAAGTACCCTGCAATAAATTTCTTTTACAGTACAATGTTGAACTTTAACTGTGGTCTTATAACCTAGTGAAATAAGCATATATAACTGAAAAACCCTTCAACAAATTAAGAGATCTAAATCTTTGGAAGTAGCAATATTGTATTCTAAATGTGAGCTAATGAAAATTTTCTTTTTTCGTTGTTTTTCTACTTCTATATAAAGTACCCACAACCACCCACAATAAAATCTGAAAAATTAAACAAAATTCAAAAAAATGCGTTGAAAACCATTCAAATTTCATTATGCATTAAATAAGAAAAGGTTGTGAGCAAAAAATTAAAACAATTTAGCAATAGATTGCGAAAAACTAGTTTAAAACAAAGAATGAAGAAATTTTTAATTATTAATTTGCCAATATTTGGTAAACTAATACTTCAATTTGAGTAGGTCCAAGTGCATGTACGATATTACCAGTAAGGCGAAACGGCACTGTTTCTGGCACTCTAAGAATACGACCCTAGAAAACGGTTTTTATTCAAATATAAATATAAATTTCCTGTTAATTAACTAGCTGTTAATACTCGAGCAAAAATTCTTGTTCAGAAATTATTTGGCGACAGAAGTACATGTGACTTACTATCACCACTCAGATATTTTAAGGTTAATTCCTGTCGACGATTGGAAACGAATCTGAGCATTTCAAAATTCCAAAATGATAATTTTTATATATAATTTACATATTTTTATATATTTTTGTAATTTTTATTTTTATTATGTTTCAAAATGATAATTTGAACCAGAATTCAAAACAGCCATATTTTTAGCAAAACCGCATGAGTGTGAAAAGTCAGAATAATCAGACGGTGAATACCTTATCAAAACAAATATTATAATCGATATGCATCAATTGACCAGAATCAAGGTTTACAAGAATGTTGTCCAAATGCCGATCACCAAGACCTAAAATACTGCCAATTATAGACATCACCGCAGCTGATCGAGCGAAACGTTCTGTTACATGATACCACGTGTCGGCGCTTCCAGCACGTAACCAAAACTCTCTGAAATCCGCATAATTTGATAATAAATTTCAAAAAATACAAAACAAATCTGAAGCAAAAACTGGAAACCTACTTCATAATCGATGCCAAAATTCCTGGACAACAAATTATGGAAAAAGTGGTTAATCTACGATCCTCACGACATTCTATTTCTTTTTAGATTATTTTCCGCTTATCTTTAATTTACATTTCTGCTATTTTTGATCTGTAGCTTATAATTTAAGCATACAGCTAAGATTCTTTCTGAACGATAAATTTAAATGAATTTATAAATAAAAATAGTGTTAAGACCTTGATAGAAGATCTTGTGGAGTTTCCTTAATTAGTTTTTCAACAACACCTTTAACAACCAGCAGCGGCCATTTTTGACGATCATTTATCACTTCTGGTGAGATTTTCTAAAAATGAATAATACATAATACATGATGGTATTTCATAATATTCTAAAATATTGACAAGGATTTCACAAAGAATAAAGCAAAGCGCAAATGAAGAAGTAAAATATGTTAATAAAAATCCTTTTCTCTATATAAAATTATTTATAAAATGGACAACCTCAGTAATAAAAAAATATGCAACTAAAAATAAGATAAAATGAGTGCGAACATCGGAATATTTTACAATCGGACTAATCATTCTGGTTTCTTACAATGATTTAAACTGTAATCAGCTGCACATTATTATCATCTGAACTTATTACAATAAAACTTCAAATTATAAAAAAAAAAAACAAGAAAAATCTTACGTTTGATTTGAATGCAATTTTCAAGCGGTTGAAAAACAATTCGCTAGGTCGTTCCACTCCAACTTGGTTCTTTTCAAAATCTTTTGCCTAGAATTTAAGTTATAGTAGATTATATAATATAATCTCCACACTTCATAATTACAGCATAATAATGAAGCATATAAAGCATAATAAGTATACCAGTTGTCTCTGTTGCCATTTTCTATACAAATGAAACAAAGGAGTGGCACCATCGACCCACTGTATCAAACCAGAACGTGAACCAAGTGGTGTTACAGAATAAGTGATTGCTGAATAAGGTGGCGATTCTATTCGCTTTTCAGTCATAATCAAATTGCAAATGCATAAAAATTGCATGATACGTTCATCCAAATGCAAATCTTCTTGGCCTTTGAAAAGAAAAGAATATCTGGAAAGAATGCAATCAAAATCGAACAAAAACCAGAAAGAATAAATAATTCGACAGAATTCAAATAAAGTAGGAAATAAAAATAGTATGACATTTATAATTGAAAGATTGGATGGAAATTTATGGCTCAAGATGAATGAAAATCACTCTTTTCCATCTGATCCAATAAACGAAAGCTTCTTAGGCCTTGTTTTTGTGGGGAGAACAAAGACTTGTTTATTGATGCTTTCGATGAAAATCAAATCGCAGAAATCGACTGACTCTTGGCCAGGCAACGGTATCTGAATTTTGAATTAATGGATTATTAATTCCAATTAGTCCAATTAAAACTGTTACAATGTAATTTCAAATACAGGTAAAACTGATTTCGATACTCTAAATTACGCATATTGAGATGGAAAAATACAAAAAATAATCTCATATGCCTATTTTAAATTAATTCAAAAATAAAATTCCACTGAAAAATGTACTTTTGTATGAAAAAGTGACGAAAGACAAGGTGAAAGATCACCAATTTGTAAAATTGATGAAGGTCGTTTGCTTGATCCTTGCGTAAAGTTATATAATAACTGAAAATGATATAAAAAGACGGCTATAATTTAAAATAAAAGGTACCTAATTATTATTTTTAAAATACCTGTTTAAAAGGTAACCAGGCTTTAGATAGTTCACTTTTATTTATTTCATAAGATTCCAATGCCGCAGCAATTTGGTCTCCATATGTATCACGAAACTGTTGTTCATCTGCTGTTAAATAATTTTTACCACAACTTCTTTCGTACAAATCTTCAATAACATAGAATATCTGCAAAATCTGATTTAATACGTATACTATATATATATATATATATATATATATAGCACTCACCAATTCTAATCAGGCTCGCACTTGTATACATATAAATATTTCAAATCATGAGCAACAGCTAACCATGGAAGTAAATATAGTATTTTTTTCCTTAATTATTTGCAACTTTTCAACATTAGTCAGATGTGGATTGGCAAAAGTTCGTGTACTCTCTAATTCTATTTGCGCAACACGTTTGTTGATTTCATGATCAAGATTGGATAAAACAAATATCCAACGTTCTTCACTTAGCATATTAATGCGTTGAAATTCCTGAATGAGATCATTTAAAAAATTTGCATTGCTTAATTTCGCATTGCAAAATCAAATTTTTTCTTTAAAATCAAATTTAATGGAAGATAAGTTACTTTTATAAACACAGATATATTGGCAACTAAAGTTGGATAATTTTTCTCCAATTGATGAACAATTCGCTTACAACAATCGAACATAAATGAATGAACCTAAAAAGATTCAAATGCAAAAATCGTGACATATAACCAATTCTTTTTTATTATATTTGAAGAAAAAAAATTAAAAATATTGAATTACAGAATTTTATTGACTAACCTGACTGCTTCTATCTTTATCGTCAGAAGAAACATCTACTTGGAATGAATTTTGTTCATCATTGAAATCCTCATCATTATCATCATTAATCTCCACTGGCTCAGTCACTCCAACAACAGCAGGATAACAAAGGGAATGAGGAGAAATAATAGCTATACGTTCAAGAAGAGTGCAGATTGTATTGCGAACAGTTATCAGAGGATGATTCAGGCGCGCAAAAAGTTGCGGCAAAATTTCTATAAAAAACATTAGTTGAAATAGCTGGCGAATGATGGCAACTTATAGAATAACCTAATTAGGTAGAATTTCAGAAAAGAGCCAACCTTTCCAAACCAGTTCATTTGTGCGCTGCATCTCTGAGTTAATGAGAGGACTAAGTGGCTCGGAATAACGAACTAACAAATCCAAAATACGTAACATAGAAATAACATTTCCAACATTTTTCTGGAAAGTATTATAAGTTCTAATGATGGTAGTTATAAATAACTAAAAATTTTCAGACAATTCCCCTGGAATAAAATAAAGAAAAAAGCAGCAAAACAAAATAAAAAAATTACCAAACCATCGCTATTTCCATTGTTACCGCTCAAATTGATATAAATAAAATATGAACGTATGCAATAAGCCGAATAATATGTTATACGAGATTTTGAAGTCATAATCAAAGTATAGATCCTAAAATATAAAAAATAAAATTAAATAAGTACAATTAAATCTATTAATCTTTAATTAATATTAATTTCAATTGCTATTTTGGAAACATAGTTATCAGCTCAAATGCTTAAATAAATAAATAGATAAAATTAATTGAAATTGAAATAAGGAAAGCATAAAAAAAGCAAACAGAGAATATTTGTACATACAAAACCACTCAATTTCATCATCATTTTGAATACACAAAAGTATAAAAATTACAAACTGCGAAAAATTTAAAAAAAACCAATTCTGTCTATTAGAAATAAACAGAAATAAATTAGGTAAGTACCTTCTAAATAAATTATCATCATGAACGACACCCAAGATTCTCGAAACAACATTTTCAAGAGAATCTTCATTATTTGTTACTGATTTTATAAGATTTTCCAATGTAGACAAAGACAACTTTACTTTATTCTCCTGAAATGTTCGAAATAGAAAAGAAAATATTAATAAAAATTTTAAATCTAAATCCTAAATCAAATCCTAAGAAATTTCAGCACCAATAGAAATCTTGGATAAAATTTGAAAAAAAAGATCAAAGGAAGGATTTATTTTTATATTCTAATATACCATGCATATCCATGAAAAATTAACGAAAAAAAATTTCATATACTTTTAATATCATTTGTATTTCGTCTATTTCATCTTTTACCACTTGGATACCATATGCATTCTCGTACTCGTTTGCAGCAGTTAATTTATATACCCAATCAGCCAGAAGGAAACGAGATTTTCTAAGATTTGGCAAAATACTGCACGATATACTTAATAACGAAGCAACAAATTTGTCTGCCATACCTAAAATACTATAAATTCAATTTCCAAAACTAAAAAATAATTAAGTTTAGAAATCGGATAACGAATTCAAAAAATAAAATAAATATTCAAAAAAATAAAGAAAATTAATTACCTTAATTAATTTAAAAATTGATTACCTCTTTTATTCACATTTAGAAAATATGGAAAATTAGAAGCTTCACTATAAATGAAATGCATCAATCGTCGTGAAGAACGACTATACATTGAATTTAACAATGATGGGTTGCAACTGAGCATTAAAGCCAACTTCATTAGTGATTTTACAAGCGCATTTAAATTCTCGTTTTTTACTAAATTATCTTTCGACAAAACCATGGCTGTGTCCTTCAATTTCCATGAATATAACAAGAAAAACAAGGAAAAAAGAGTTCTACGAAGCTGATCATAATGAAAATTTAAAATTAAAATTTTAAACTAATCGTAATAAAGAAAGGTATACAAGAATTTTTAATAACCTCCGATCCAATTCGATTAAATTGTTGTATAAGCGAGCCAAAAAGATTAGCATGTGGCACAGCTGGCAAACCATTAAATATTAGATTATTTTTGAAAAGAAGTTGGTCAATTTCATCAGCTGAAGAATCCAATAATAGCTCAAAAGTCATAGCTTCGTCAATCTCATTTAAGTCATGGCAATCAAGCTAAAAAAATAATAAAAATTCTGCAACTTCAATTGTATTTCCAAAACTTCGTAATAACTTTGAAAAATAATTTTATCAATGAATTCCAAGAATAACCTTAATCCACTTTAAATTTAATAAGATTAATTCGATTAATTTACATAAAATTGCAATCTCATGAATCTTACGATAAGCTCATTATTTTAGATGTTATTAGATGACATTAAATTTAGACAGTAATTGAATGATTTTAAACAGTAAAAGATCAAAAGGTTGTAAATGATAGAGACTGGCAACAAATAATAGTAAGAATTAAAATATCAACAAATTACATAAAAATTGACCATATCAACGAATTTTTTAATTTATAAAGGTTAAAAGAAATATCATCTATCTGGATAACAGAAGGATGAAGTAAAATAAAGGGAATAAGAAGAAAAATAATCTCGATGTTTAAATGCTTAGATATGCATTAGGATACCTCTTTTTACTTTTTTTCAGTTAATTTAATGTTTAAATTAAGCTTCCGGTTAAGAAATGGAAGAATGTAATTAAGAGATTAATTAAGAAATATATTTACTGAAGACAGGATATCAAAATCATGATTTCGTAAATAAAACAACGTACCAATTTCACAACTTGCAAACTTTCAATAATTTTACTTTCATGAGGCAATTTTTTGGACAAAAGAGTGCACCATATCTTCAAATCACTCTTTTTTTTGATGGCAGAGCAGCATTCCTGAACAAAATATTTATTTCAGTTCAGTTTAAAAAAAACTTGTTTCTCACTCACTAATTTCTAGTGAGACTCCTTTTTCAAAAATTATTTGCCGGCCAATTCTGATTTTTTAATTAAGAAAAAAAATTTGATTGAAAAATTAAGCATCTTAGAAATTACCAAAAAAACGGCATCATTATGATATGCTTTACGATTCTTAGCGAAAAAAAGAGATAACTGATGATGAGCAAGGCGCAAATTGGAAGTTTTGCGGGCAATTCGGGCAAATCCAAGATGGAAAGCTGGATCATCGGAAAATAATTTCAGTGGAAGTATACCGTTTCTATGATGGTCGTCGATCCATGAACTCAGTTGTTGGCATATAGTTATCCTATTAAGCATATGAGCATAACTTGATTTCCATAGCAAAGATGGATTGATGAAATTCGAAGCAATCTATTAAAAAATAAAAAAATAATAATGAAAATAAACCAAAAGCCAAATAAATAAAATAATGGCGAAGAAATCAGCAAAAGACCTTATGACTGTCCTTAACTGCACTAGCGATCAAATGAAGAACGCTTGCTGTCGTATGATCACCCAAGTTCGTATCCATGATCATAAGCATCTGAGCATCTTCACCCAGACGGCGGGTTAAATCAATTATATCATTCCTATAAAAAATAAAGTTCGAATCGAACAAATGAATAAATACATCAATGCTATTGTGCCAAATCAGCCTTAATTGACGATAACCAAAAATGAATATATAAACGTTTTAAAAAGCAAAACGGAATGCAAAAATTTCATAAAAACAAAGATTTAAAAACTATAAACCTAAAATCACGAGGTGATGAGCAGGCAATTTCCCACAATTTTAGTTCATAATTTATGAAATGATCATCCATATCCCATGTTGTTTTAGGCGCAATATTGTGTTTTAACATGGGATCAAACATCGATAATTCTTTTAATCTGCAAAAAAATTCGGGATAACTAATTTTCTTGATTTCTTCTGGTTTTCTTAAACAATTTTACCTCATCCATGATTCTTCCTCGAAACCTTCAGGCACTTCATCACAGGTTTCATCATTTTCTTTAAGACTGAATGCTTGAAATACTTTATTAGTTTCACTACGACTCCGAAGACAACATAAACAAATAAATATCTAAAATAAAGTTACTATTAATACTACCAATGCTAAATAATACTAATGCTTAATGTTAAAATATAATCGGATATTTATTTAGTTCTTACTTCCTTCATCATCATGATTTGTTTTTTAATCAAATTAAGAATTAAGAAACTTACGAATTGCTTTATCATTTTACGAACACCTTCTGATAATTTCCGCTCAGAATCTGTAGCGTACTTTAATAAACCATCTAGAGCTGTTTCAATCCTGAAAAAATATAAAAACTCATTATTTTAAAATATTTCAGTCCTCAACATATTTTAAACATCAAAGAAATCCAAAAATTTGTAGAATTTCTAAAATTTCTATATAGATTTATTTGTAAAGAAATTGAAGTAAAAATTAGTTTTGATGTTTGACGTTAATTAGTTAGAAATCAAATGGCCGAAATTTAACCAAAAATCTTGAGTTAACAACTAGCTCCATAAAAAGTAAAAGTAAAATTTTTTCAAATGGAATAAAAAGGACAAAAAATAGATTAATGAAGCAAATGACTTGAAAAAAGATAAAATATAAAATATAAATACCTTCCATCTGCCAACAAAGAAACAAATTCCAACCACTCACTCGACTCACAACAATATTTTTCACACCATGCAGCAAGGCCGACAATAGCTTGAGGTTTGCCTAGTTTTATTAAAGCGCGAGACATAAATGCTATACAAGCCAGTGCATTTATTTGAAGTGGATCAGTGCGAGTTGCTGAAAACTTCAAAACTTGAAAAAAAAGTGAAAAAATTCCTATGATTTTATAAGATTTTCTCAAACAAAAAGTGCAGTCAAGAAATATTAGTTAAGAAATCAGAAATAGTCAAGGTATAATGATAATAATAAGGTATAAAACATCTAGGGCAAAAACCCTTTGCAATTATATATTATTTGCCTAATGGTCAAGAATGAAATAGAACTATAAGCGCATACCTCCTTTAGAATTATCATTATTGCTCTGATCTCGTTTAACGATGGAACAGCGTTCAGCAATTCTTAAAGTGAAAGTACCAAGCCTAATAACTTGAGCATAATTTCCATTCATGCAAGCGACAGCCATCATTGGTAAATATATTCTCGATAGCCAACTCGAGCAACTTGTTTGATTCGTTATAAAAAATTGCTGTGATACCTAAATAATCAAAAAACTGACAAATTAACTGATAAAACTGATGTGATACGAAAATATGAGAAGAAAAAGGCAGAGTTTATGCTGATAAAGCTGGAAATATGGAGAAAGTGATAAACCGAGTGATGATTGTGACTAATGTGACCATGAAACAACTTTAAAAAAAAAAAACAACTGCATAAACTCCAAAATTGAAACCTGACTAATGGTAGAAATAGCAAATGTTGATCCATCTCTTGCATAAGACATTAATTTTTCTAGTATTTCCAAGGTTTCAAGTAACACACGAACACGAAACCATTGTTCCGCCGTAGTCAATATATCATCTTCTGGCTTAATATCCCCAGCTTCATGATCATGAAATCCTGCCTTCCTCTTTGAGTGGATAACAGTGGCTATAGTTTTGGTACAAGTTTGTACTATGGCTTCATTGTTATTTGATTTTCGTGAAGTTAGTAAATTACGGATTTCTTCTGCAAAAGTTAAGGCAAAGATTTCAGAGCAATTACTTTAACGAATATTTGAAAATAATGCAAATTGGAAAGAATTACTAATGTTCATTAAGGCAAAAAAAAATTATATTCATAATTAAAGAAAAATCACGAACTTTCGAATGCAATATAAGTTTGTAAAGCTTTTCCAAGAGGAGTTTTCATTCGGTTGTCTATACAAAATTGCGCTGTTTGTGCCAAAGCCCATCGCCACATTGTTGCATAATCTAATTTACTATTCTCATTACCTACTGCATTTATATACAATTTTTCAATAGCATTCACAAACCAAAATTCACTATCCCTCCTGAAAAAGATTTCCATAAAATTCTACATAACTATCATGTTGTTTCACAAATCGCGATAGATAAATTAATGTATTTATATATATATTTACTAATTCTATATCTTTTTTGTTTGCCATATATAATTTCCTGTAATTTCCGACTCAAAACTTCTATTGGTTAAACATTACGATAGCGAAATCTATTACAATTTTTGTTTTCTTCTTTTTAAGAGAAGGAAACTGAGGGTTGAACGCCGTGTATGAAACTATATTTTATTCATTTTTTTCGCTTTTTTTGTTAAATAAATTTGAATCTTGTAGACTGCTTTATATAAAGTAAGAATTTTCCGTAAAATTGAGTAGTGTCTCATATAAATGGTGAAAAATAAGATAAATTATGCCGAATAAAGAATAACTGTAAAAAAAAGAACGATTTGAGCCAAATGAAGAAATAAAAATTTATAGATTTAAGATGCCTTTTTACGAAAAAAACTATAGTAAACTTACTTATCTTTGTAAAACGAGGGTGCAATGCCTTTAAGAAGAAAATCGGTGATTATTTTAAAATGTTCGCCAGTAAAATGAGCATTTAAAATCTTTAACTGGGGAAATTCAATCATATTATACGTAATATCACTCAAACCATTGCTAAAATTTTTGATGCATTTTTAAATAAGAGATCTAAAGAAATAATAACACCAAAAAGAAATTAAATATTACTGCAAATACATCAATATACATCAATAATAATAATGATAAAAATAATACCATTTAGTACCATTTTCTTGAAGAACTGAAATGAAAACAAAGAAAAATTTAAAGAAAAGAAAAAGACCTCAAAAACACTGCAGGTGGAATAGCTTGCCACAAACCAAGAGCCATATCTCGATCACATTTTCTAATGCGATCAAAAATTCTATAAACATTTCGTGCCAAACTAGGCATATCATTCATTAGTACATACTCAAATACTTCAAGACGACGTAAGACCATAAAATAACGTATTCGTATACTTTGGTTTGCTGCAATAATACATAGATGTATATATTTATTTGAAAACATTTTTATTGGGGTTATTTGGGTACAAATATAATGATTAAAATTACTAATACAATATTATAGGCAAAACAATAAAATCTGACAATAAATTTTAAAAAATTTACATCGAGGATCAGTGTTAGCCACTCCAGACGTAGATTTTGCAGATACATCTAAAATTTTCTTTGGCAAGGAATGCCTTAGAAATGATTCGAATAACGCATTTCGAACTTCAATCATTTCTTTATGGTTCAAAACTTTTTGTAATATCTCAGATGACATGCCAAAGCTGATCCCATAAATCCAGTCAATGACCAAACATCTAAATAAATCCAAATTAATCAAGATAACTTTTACCTTCAATTTTGATAACAAACTTCCGTGGAAACAGCGTGGAACGTTAGAACGCTAATTGACACTGCAAGCCAAGAGATCATTGTCCACACCCTTTCTAAGCATCGTGTGGATATCGCTTGCTTGTCAGAGGTCCGCCTTCCTCACTTTGGGTCTCGAGAAATTATATTAATCCTGGTTCAGAGCAAAGATACTGGCTACATCACTGTGGTGCTTTGAATAACTCAGGACGAAATGGCGTAGCGATTGTCATGTCTGACAAGACCCATTCCGCTTTGATTGAGTGGAAACCGGTAAACGACCGTATGGCCTATGTCCGTTTTAAGGGTAAATTCTGCAATATCTCGGTCATCAGTGTCTATGCTTCAACGCTGTCGGCAGATGACCGTGATAAAGACAAGTTCTATGCGGAACTTCAACTGCTAACGAAGCATGATATGATCATAATCCGGGAAGACTGGAATGCTCGCGTAGATCATAATGTAGCTGCGATGACCTCAACAATTGGCAAATATGGCATCGGAGACCGGTGTGCCAATGGGGAACGTCTTCTTCGTTGTGCCGAAGAGCATGAACTTTTTGTTAGTAATACTAATTACTAATACTAATTGCTTGCGGCATCATAGAAAACATCTAGTCACATGGAACTCCCCGGACAACCAACACTTCAACCAGATTGATTATATCTTAATCAGTCGCCGTCGGAAGAGTTCCGTACTAGATAGTCGTTCCTATCGCGGAGCTGAAACGAGCAATCTTCATGGATTTGACCATGTTATGGGTTCGAGCCAAGATCCGCATAAAATTGACAACTCGCAGAAAAAAGCATCCCCCAAGTTCCTTCAACTATCTCAAACTAAAAAATTCGGGGATAATGAGTGCATTTCAAACCGAATTATTGAAGCATCTCAATGATACAAATATCAATGATTTCTCTGGAACGGCAAATGAATACTGGTGCAAACTAAAGGAATGTCTCCGAAAATCAGAAACTTCCACGCTAGGGCATACTAGTAGGAAGTGCGCTAGTTGGGTATCGGAAGCAACTGTCTGTCTGAAAAAGCTGCCAAAGCACGAATGTCAGGTAATCCTAACTACCGGGTGCTTCGAAGATTTGCAACGAAAGAAGCAAGGCGGGGCAGAAATCTCTATTGGAGTGACATGGTCTCAAGAATGGAGGTGGCGGCTCGATTAGGCAACAAAAGGAAACTATTCTGCCTTCTTCATAAAGCAACTATGACTCGGGGAACGATCAATGAAATTAAGATAATGAACTCTTTGAGGCCAAACTTAACCATAAAGCGCCCTCTGTTGCCCCTGATACGTTTGCCGAAGCATACGTTTGCAACTGCGAGCCTCCAACACAAGAAGAAATAATTTCAATTATCCATAAGCTTAAGGCCAACAAAACTCCAGGAGAAGATGGTCTTAGAGCTGAGCTTTTGAAATGCTATCCATTGTCCTTCATAAGGCACCTTCAACAAATGTACTCTTTAGTATGGAAAAAAGAAATATTACCAGATGACTGGAGTAAAGCAATTCTGCTCCCAATTCTCAAGAAATTCTTCCGGTTGACGAAACCTTTATGGAATTGTCGTGAAATCACTATAAAAACGAAAGCCCGCATCTATATTGCCGTGATCCGTTCGATCTTATTGTATGGTTCTGAGACATGGGCAATGAGAGTGGAAGATATTGAGAAGTTATCTGCCTTTGACCATCCTTGTCTAAGGTATATTTTGCGGATTCGCCTAGTGGATAAAATCTCACAAGATCCTTTATTCAAATACCACTTGCATAAATAATGTTATCACAGAGCGCCGCCTTCGCTGGTTAGGGCACGTTCTCTGTCGCCCACCACAGGACTCGACACATATTCCGTTATTTGTTATTTGTTAAACTTTGGGATGGGTGGCGTCAAAAGCGAGGTGGGCCCAATCAAGACCTGGACTGATACGGTGAGAAAAGATTTTGAACGTATAGGTGGACAAGCAATATATGGACTTAGAAGATGGAAAAAGGAATGACTTCCATTACTGTCGACGATGGCATCAGACTGCGCCGCTTGGAAGCGTCTTACCTTTGCAGCCGTTGGAGGCAGCCTAACCAGTAATGGTGAGAGCTGTTAGAAGAAGAAAAAAAAATAACAAATTTCCAGCCATGAAACAACTGAATGTTTAAAAAATAGAAAAAAACATGAGAATTTTGAAGGTATATGCAGAAAAAGAATGAATTTAAGGCATATAAAAAAGTTTTAGTAAAAAAAAATTTTATCAATAATCAATAATATATTTTAGACCTGACCTCGTTTCCAACCACATATTTTCATCGAACAATAAAAGTTGCGCAAGTGTACGAAGAATTACTGGCAAATGTTTCGCCGTAAAGCCCTCCTTAACCAATCTACTATTTTCAGCGAACCAAACACTATTAGCGACGAAATTTTCATGTCTATAAAAAAAAATATATAAAAATTTTCTCAAGAAATAATAACACGTTTCTATAGTCTATTCCACAACTGAAGAAAAAAAATAGTTAATGATTTAACTTGCTTTTCTGAATGAAGTTTGGCCAAATAAAGTAGGCCGAAATGACAAACTGGATGTCGATTTATGAACCACTTTTCTGCAATGGGCAGATCGACCATTAAAAATGTGAATAAACTCGGTGAAAGTCCCATCATCTTAAAAATTGTGAAAGTGAAATATGAGAAACAAATAATCACTCAATAATTCTGTCGTCACTAAATTAAATAGTATTTCTTAACTCTCATCGATCTAATTCGGTGGAATTCCAGATATAATGCACTAAAAAATAAAACTAACTGCTATGAAGGAATTTTTTATAACTGCCAAATCGGTAAAAGCCTTCAACAGAAGTAGAAAGCACTTCTCTTCATGACGCAAAGCACGGTAGTTTATTTCTTTACAGTCATAGTTTTTTAAAATGGATATTGATCCTGAAATTACAATGTAAAATAAAAAAATTGAAAAAGGCCAAAAGTTTTAACATATGGAAAAAAATATTGGAAGAAATGAAAAAGTAGAATTACCTAATAATAGGTTTGTAACGCATTTGTATGCCATTTGTAAAGTATTCAATGATTTAGGCAAAAGTAATCTACTATAAAAATCGCTCATCGCTCGCGCATTCTTTACTGAAACAAGCTCCATATTCGTATGAATATTTTGATCATCTAATATAAAATGAAATATTTGGGTAAGATATTCTGCAGGAAGTTTTTCAAGCACCTGAAACTAGCAAACAATATAATGTAAAGTGAAACGAATATTAACTTTTCTTATTTATTTATTTCATTCTTCTTTCATAAAAAATTCCACTTAAATTTTGACCAGTTACCCATCAATTAACCTTTTCAAAAAATGAAATCAGGGAAATATTGATTAATCTGTCAGCAGCTGGATGAGCAGCCATTCGAATAATCATAGTTGCAGAAATTGTTAAAGTATCCAATGATGAAGATATTTGTAGAGCAAACCATAGAACTTCTTTCATAAAAAGAAATATGTAATTTATATCAGCAATTTCAATAGTATAAATCAGTTCTAACTGTTTGCAAACTCGAACAAAAATCTAAAAGAGTAATACGATAAACTATTTATAATTTTTTTCGTTCACCGCGATAATTTTAAAATTTAGCTTTTCAAATCGAAACAAGATGAATAGTGAATGATTATTAGAAAATTTAACAATTAAATTTTTGGAACTTTTCCACAGTAAAAAATCTCATTCGAATTATTAAAATTATTAAAATATTAAAAAAATATTAATATTAATATTAAAAAAATTTAAAAAATGACCCTAAGCGCAACCTCGCAAAATCATCTCCAAACCTTACTCCTAGATATCTCATAGAGTTTGTTATATACGTTTAACACTTCTGCCTCTGATATCCCACAAAAGCCAAATCCCATAAATCTTCCTTAACTCTCTTTTCCAATACCCTATTCCTAGTTATCTTCATGCCACTTATTGCACACCAATAATTTTAAAATGCAGCCTCAATAAAAGTGGATTGCAAAATTTGATGAGATATTAAGACAAGAAATGGGTGCTCTCAAGGGGTTGGCTATAAGAGCTACAAATGAGTTTAAGAAGGTTAAAACAGCCAAAAACAGCTTAGAACAAAATCAATAATGGATTAAAAATTTCACTTTTGAAAACCACTGTCAGATTTTGTATGCAGCATAACAAGCTTTTTCGGAATATTATAAAAGAGTATGGCAATATATTAAAGAGCCTAAAGGGGTTCAAAAAAAGTCTGTAAGTGTCCAAAAAATTACGACAGAGTAAGATCTAATATATTATTAATGAGGAAAAGTGTGTAGCGGGTGAATGGTATGGGAGCCTAGGGGGCTTCGCGGAGTTTTAAAATGGTAAAATAATTCTGAGTGGCAAAGATGTAAATGATGATATGCGAGGACTAAGAGCAACTGAACAATGTGAATCATGAAAATGTTAAAATAGAATTTAATAAGGACGGAAGAGAATTTTCATCTGATGGCAACATATCGGTAGTTAGAAGAGAAGAAAAATTTTTTCGCGAATATACGCCCAGTAATAAAATAAATATATGGATTGTACTAAAGCAATGAAAATTACCAAATAGTTTTATAAAGTGCAAAAAATTGCAAAAAATTAAGTTATCAAAAGATAAAAATAACAAAAGAAACCTGCTTAGTGAATGAAACAACAGAAGGATTTAATGGTTCACTATTAACAATATTTAAAATAGTAGCCAACGCTTGCAGCAAAAGACATATTTTTTCCACAGCAATTTCAGAATCTTGATTTTCATTATATAGGTCCTGAAATTATGCTTTATCTAAAAATGAACAATGCAATAACATAAAACTGAATATAGCAAATTTTCTAAAATAAACTATGAGAAATAAAGCAAAAAAACCAAAAAAAATAAGAAAATCCATAAATATTCATTAAACTAAAATATGGAATAAACAAAATAACCTTAATATGTGAATCGGTGTCATCTAGAAACTGATTCATGAAATTAATAGCGTTAGGAATAACTTCCAGCCAAAATGGTTTTAAATCAATAAGCAATTTACGACATTTCTTTATAACTCCTTTTGGTTGGTTAGGTTCAACATACCAACCAATCGTAAAATCAACAACGTCCTAGAAATATATCAAACATATTAAGTGGGTGAAACCAACTTATGAAGAAACAAATCAAGGATATATAAATAATCTTAACAAAGAAATTAAAAATATAAACATTGACAAAAAAAATTTGACCACTTTTAATTGCTAATAATTACTGACGTCAAAGTTTTTTTTGAACAGAGATGAAAAAAAATTTGCGACCATCTGACAAATGTCTAACAACGGCAAAAGTACTGATGGTGAACTATTAGTATTCAAATAATCATTTATATGCGTCATTAAATCCTGAAATTTCATTTGAAAATTTTGAAAAATTAATTTTATTTAGCGAAGAACAAAAAACCACTAGAAAAATTTTCGACATAAAAAAATTTCGACATAAAATTTAAGAATAAAAAGATGAATGAGCCAAGAATCTTAACTAAAAGTTATACTTCGATGACTCGAGGATGAATTCGAGATTCGTAAGAATTGGAACCAATAAGTCTAAGCGAATTTGATAAAGAACGTAATATCAATATTCTTTCTTTCTCACTATGACTTTCACCATCCAGTTCAATCGCTTTTTTATTTGCTTTCAGTAGAATTTCGATATATCTTGAAAAAAGAATCATATTTAAAATCATAGAATTTCTCTAACATTTAGCATTCAAAAAAATTTATGGATGAAAGGAAAGGCGAGAATTTTAGATTTTAATAATAAAAAACATTTTCTGACATTCACTACAAAACTTTTCGTTTATATTTCCATATATTTTTGCTTTTAAAAGAAAATATAAGCTAACTAACTGATCGTATTGTGAATGCATAGCAAATCCAACCGAAGCGACACACTTTACTACAGCCTTTTTGAAATTTCTTTCAGCACGTGTTGAAAAAATCGTAAAAAGATCTTCAAGGACAAGATTCCATTTAAAATTTGCTTCCTAAATTAATATCGATAAAATAAGCGAGTGAAAAAAAAATAAAAATTTACCTAATCATTAAAATACAACCAAATAAATAGAAAATTATTTAGGCAAATAAATCTAAAATTTGACGCAAAACATATAAATAAATCTAAATAAATCAAATCTAAAAGAATAATTGGTTTTCAACTTTCAATTACTTGCAATTCTCAGATTATTCCGAAATCATTAAAATAAAGTTTATTCGACATAAGCAATAAAAAATAAGATCAAAATCAAATGATTCACCCAAGTGATATCACGAGACATTAATAAGGTGCATAACCGATCGCATGCAACAATTCGCTTCTCACGACTGCCGCCTTCCTTTTCGCCAGTAATCTGCATAATATTTAAAAATGAAAAAACTGAAAGACTTAATCAAGTTATACTTTTCAAATTTGCAAAGTCCCTAAGGTACGAAAAGTAAACTTTGTAATGTTTTTGTTTTAATAAATTGTTCACAAAAATTTCAATAAACAAAAAAACACCTGACGAATAAGATTTTTCACCGTGGATAACGGTGGAGTAACGCTCATTTCTCACGCTTTATTCCAAGTTCCAACCCCTTCGATATTACGCGCTCACACAATCGGAAAAACTTTTTGTAAAATTTGAATTAAAATTCGAAAATGCCATAAATTTATTCGATAACCTCCACTTTCAGCAATTTCTTACAAAAAAAATGCTTTTTCGATAAAGAAACTATACAGTAAAAGAAAGCGAATTTTCCTCGTCTATTAGCTGAAGAACCGATTGCATAAAATAGATAAATAAAATAAAATTAGGATGATTCACTGCTTCAGTCCACAAATTTATTTAAAATTCATGTAGAATATATAGTTACGGATTTAAATTCTTTAACGCACAAGGAACATGAAAACAATCAAGAAAAAACAGATTTGATGGTTCATGATTGTTAAGTCTATCAGTAGAACTATGCTGCCATTAATCTAGCATAATTCAACCGTTGTGCTGTTGACTAATGGAATAAATTACTAGAAGACTGCTTATAAAGAAACTAGTGTTACTGATCTGCATGCGCTCAAATTCACATTGAGGTTACACCACTTACCACAATCCAATTTAACGTGGCCTTATGAAATTGCATGTTAAGAACAAATTTTTAATCTTTTTGTTAATTTTTTATTAATTTTTTATTAAATTTTTTGAAATTTGTCGAAACAAAGCGATTTAATTTTACAAGATTTCTGGCAAAATAAATCATACAAATTTCATGATATATTGCGCCAGCATAGAACGACTGCCAATGACCTTTCCGGTGACCGAAAGACCCAATGGGCACAATCCTACCATCTCACCTATTGCTATTGCGGCAAAAAAGTAGTTCGACAGCACATGGACTAAAACGCAGTCACCGCCAGCTCTATTTTTTTAAAAGAGAAAAAGCCTTCCTTCTAATAGGAAATGGAAAAGTTATAACTGAAATAGACCAGGTGAGATGAATTTATTATTTCAGCAAAAAATTTCTGTGATTTCTTCTTCTTCATTTATGTAAATATTGAAAAAATTTTTTTTAACGAAGTTAATGATGAGCGAATTTATTTAAAAAAAATTGAGTTTTTTTAAATCAAAAAAATGATAATTCATCAAAATTAAATTCAAATTTTTCAGATTTTCCTCAAGAAAAGTTCCTTATTATTAAATTGTAAAGTGGAAAATTTCTGGAACACGGAAAGAGAAATAAAAACCAAGCCAAACGCCACCGCACATCAGCTTCTTTCACAACTATACAAACTCCTTTATCAATGATGGAACCAAAAATCCGCGAATTTTTCACGCACAATCGTTTTCAAATATTTTTTGATTTTTACAGCTCAATATTATTGAAGAATCCATGGTTCACTTGTAAAGCATGCATCTCAGTCGACTTTGCTCCGAAACAGGCAGGGTTTCGGCAATCAGCTATCGTGTCAATTGTGCCTATGCCATTGGCTGTTACCTGGCAGTTATGGATGGATTTTTAAATTTGCACTGGAAAATTTAAAGTGGTTACAAATGGTAGCAAATTCTACATTCTTAAGTTCTTAAGCGAAGCCTTCATTTAAGGAGAGCGAAATAAACTTCGAAGGAAGAGGCATTAACAAATAGTGTTGATGATTTCGCATATTAAAGATATATCGGACACGGTATCCTCTTTTTATATCCATTCTAATGGTTCTTAACGCTTTTCTTTTAATGGTCACCTTGCCAGCCAGCATAAATTCCTGGAACCCTTTCGTCACCTAAAAATACAAATGCAGCACTGACTCTCCAATACCATTGGGATTTCGCCTAAGAATTATTACCACGACTGGATAACTGGATTTAAAAAGATAATTTTACTTCGTCAATTTTATATATTTTTATAAAATAAAGTAAAAATATATACAACAATTGCTTGAAATACAATAAAAACCTCGAAGATATTTGCGAATACAAATACCTCAGTACAAAAAGGTTGCAAATACCTCGTCGATAATCCACCCTTCCGACTTTAAATAGGTCGCTTGAAAAGAAGGTGAAATTTGAAAAACCATTTGGTAAACGTAAAATTCTGGTCATAAAATTCGAAAACAGAAATGCAAATTAATTTCAATATTTCTAGTTTATATTAGCAATAATATAGGAACCGAATATTTAGGATATTATCTGCTAATAATATTGGAACCAGATTTAGGAGATATCTAGGCCCTCGCCTTTGGTCGAAGCAATATAGTATTCGACCCATAATCCAGTACCGAGTAGAGACTCTTAGCCAATCATAGATCCTTCTTAATCTCTTCGCTAATCAATTTTTCAACAGTCTGTTTGATAAATTTCATCGATAAGCAAAAATAACAGAATTAGCGTAATAATTAAAAAATAATTAACAGTTTTTTTGAAGAGCCCTCACTACTGCTGGTTAAAATCGCTCCACTGATTCCTCGCATTGGGCAATATCCCAAGGAGTCGATAGAAATGCAGGTGAATCACCCAGATTTTTTGGCAGGTTTACTCCTGCTGTGAATCGAACCTCAGTATCGACCCTGAGAACTGGGCAACAACCCATTGAACCATCCTCTCCCTGATGCATCATTATTATTGATAATTAAATTTACTGAATGGAAGATAGTTTGTAATCACATAGTATACGCGTTACCTGCACCTGAAGTCCTAAAATTTGTTCCATTAAAACAGAAGGATGGGCGGACTTCCAGAACCAGCCAGATTTTTTATCGAGTTTATTTACTGGATCTCGATAGTGCTTAAAATGGTGCACCTAACCTTTGCGTTAATACGCATGCCCTAACAAGAAAAATTAATAAATACGAATTCGAATCTTTTCTACTTAAAAAGAAAAAAGGAAGGTGAATATTTTTATTATGAAAGCACTAAACCTGAGTAAAGGATTAGGTACCACTGGTAATGATACTGATTAGGTACCACTGGTACTGTTTTGGTAGTATGAAATTTCTTTTTAATGCAAAATTAGCGACAAATTGAATTTTTTGCACGACAATTGCTCTTTAAGCGCTTTAAAAAAAAAATGAATTCTTGCAATTCGCAAGTATGCAAATAAATTAAAGAAATAAAAACATTTTAAACTGCAGAAAAATAAAAATAGCAAATAAAAATGTTGAAGGACAATTGTGAACTTTGCGTTTAAATGGCTATAAAAGCGGTGGAAATGAGAACTGCAAAAATGATTTCAAATAATTTTATAAAAATATCACTCGGAAAGACTGAAATTTGTCTGAAAAAAAGCGAACCTATCGAATATAAAATATTTTATTAAAAAATTAACTTCGAGAAAATCCTTGAAAAATTTCACTTTGTAAAGGTTTTAATAGAAAAAAAGCCTATAAATTGAGAATAATTTTAAGAAACTTCTACGAGCGATTTGTGGATTTTTGTGGATTTTAATCGGAATTTCGCAATTTCAACCGATAATTTCCCATTCGATAGAATTTTTGCCTTCAAATAAATTATTTATAATTTACCAGAACTATCGAATCATTCAAGCTGAGAGCTGAGCAGATTTAATTGCGATAAACGTTCTAAGCCAGCAATTTCCTCTCGAAATCTCAAATTAATTTCGTTTCGCATTTCATTTTCATAGCTTTAAGCGTGCTAATTGACCTTTCACTTCAAAGTCGGCCTTTGCTTGACCTTTTGCTTTTTCAAATAATTCAATCGCTTGACGCTGATTCTTTAAATTCCCTCTCATTTCGATAAGAATTTTGAATTAATAAAAAAATTTGAAGCTGTTTACCTAATCAAAAATAAATCGTTCAAGTGGCTGATTTCTTTTTTTTATTTCTTATTTATTTAAAAATTGAAGAAAGAATTTTCCGAATAAACAATGGATATATGCATTTCGTCTATTTGCTTTTTTGTGGATTGTAAGGCAATTATTGAAGAAAAATTTTACGAAATAACAAACGCTTTTTCTGATTAAATTCATAAAATTTTTGAGCGAGAAATTACAATTTTCATAAATGAAAAAGCGTTTGGCAAATATGCATGGATTTTAATTTTCTTTTTTGAAAATATTTTTCCTTTTTTTCAGCAATTTCAATCGAAATCGTTTAATTGTCGCGTTTTGTTTTAGAATAATTTACATGGTCGAATAAACTAAAATATTTTTGAGGAAAAACAAATATTTGACTTCTAGAAAGCAATTTTTTATAAATATAATTCCAGCATAATTGTCGTACATTAAAACTCCATGATTCCATAAGAATTAAAAACACCCATAAAAAACAACTGCGAGTGGTTCTTGTCTTCGCTAGCAATTTTAATAAGTCTTAAAACGCTACTGTAAATGATGCTTTAAATCGTTCTATTTCAATAATTTTGGTAAATTTTTATGGACAAAGTTATCATCATCGTTATCTTCAAAAAAACTGAAACCAATTGCAAATTAAAGGTGAAATATTTTATGGAATATGGAATCTACTTAAATATGTACAGAACCAAAGAAGACTCCTCTCGATCTTCTTTCCAAAGAAATTATTCAAAATTTTGTATGAACCTTTAACCTTTATGCGATATGTAAATAAACGAGCAAAGAACGTTGTAAAAACGTTGCAATTCTCCTCCGAAGACATTGCAGCCAGATTTCTATCGGGAAGCGGCAAAAATTTCTGACCACACTGGCCAGCCAGCAGAACAAATTTAATGTGCCAATTTTCTAGTTGTAAATTATTTTTGTTGAAGCCATAGTGAATTTTTTATATGTTTTTTGCAATCGAAAAAATTTTTATGAACATAGGATGGCAAATTCTCGACAATACCAGAATAATACTCAGGGAAAGAAGTAAAAACGAAAAAATTTACCTTCTTCCTTAGTTATTATTTTAAGCCAAGTCCAGTTGAGCGATGAGTACTCGGCAGTGTACAGTAAAAGGCTGAAATGAGGCAGCCGAAGCTTTTACATTAAGCTTTTACAAGCGTTTCGTTAAGCACGATTTCACGCTGGTTTTGAACGAGTACAAATTCGAATCTAAAGAAGCTCGCAACGTATATTCGGTCTTTGCAGAGGACAAGGATGCAACACATGAATGCCACTTTTGCTTTCGGTCAACGTGGCAACTCATATGTCTCATTTTAAAAGCTGATCGCCTATCGCCGAACAAACAAAAGTTGTCATCGCTATATTCAAAGAAATCTGTCATAATCCCACGGAAGTATGAAATAGCATAAACTGCAAGCATAAACTTAAATTTTCTATTATTATTGATAAATTTAATGAAAATCAATGGTCTGAAGGTATTAACTAAAAAATAGTCAATGAAGACCATTTTAAAAAACCTGTTTCCTTCTTTGTCTGCAATTTTCATTTTCGTCTTTTTTTCCTCTATTTATTCCTCAATATATTTTATAAATAACTTAATATTTTTTGAAGTAATCACATGACTATTTCCTTCCTTTCTTTTGGTCTTACTGAATGCAACTTTCGCTTTAGCACTCATTCATTATTTCTGGTTCGGCTTACTCCACTGGCTCTTTCGATGAGATCTCTCTATTCGAGTGCCATGTGGGAATAATGTGGGTATAGACGAATTTCCTGCGCCACTCAGTATGGCAATTATTTCGTTAATTGAAATCGCAGTAAAACAACAAAATTTCATTGACTAATGCTACTTCATTCTTACGAATTTTGCTTATAAGCTTTTTATCAGAATCATCAGAATTTATCAGAATTTATGAATCTTTCTTCAAGAATATCTAATCAGTCGAGCAATTGTCAGCCAATATGTTAATGTCTTTAGAAAATTATGAGGTACGTCATTTCTCACTGCTGGAATATGTGCAATCGTAATCCGCTTAAGCTATGGCAAGCAATATGGATCCTTCTTCATCTATAAAAGAGTAAACATGTCGGTGAAAGTGGAATCCAAATGGCTATCCCTTTAATGCATCCATGCACAAGTGATTCGTTGACGAAATATTTCGAACTAAACTGCTTAATGATAATGAATCCAATCAAAAATGGCGAAAAGGGCTCGAAACCATGACGGTGACTGGTATGCGCCAATTAGAGTTGTCGAGATAGAATCTTAGAAAGTTAGACCACTCATGGTGCACTAGTTGTGGCGCTTAAATCATAGGTTACTCTTGATGGGGACAAATCTGCTATTTGCAAAAGCAAAATTCGGATGATTCTAAGGATATATCTCTTCGGTTCTCCACTGAAGCGATCTCTATTTTATCAGAAATGCTGAGTGATAATAGATGAAGGTGAAGGTGAAATAGTTAATAGTTAATTCAATGATAAATTTGCCAATATATGAAAAAAAATTAATGAAATAATTATGTTAACGATAGATAAAACAATAATTATTGCCTGCCCTTTATTGCTTTGTTATTTACTGTTAATGGATGGGAGATTATTGTTAAATCGCTGCGGTTATAATGATGATAAAACTCGCTTAATTGTCAGCCGAAACATCAATTTGAAACATATTTGTAGATTTTGGCCCTTTTTTCCCCAATTGAGTAATACATGAGGTGAATTTTATGCAATTTAATAATTTTTTCATTAATTTTGAATAAAATGAACGATTAAATTGGACGAAATTGGCAAAAAAAAAGGCTTTCGCGACATATTTTAATTGCTTTTATTTAATTTTATACGAATTTATTTTTATACGACAAAAAAGCGAATATATTAGCGAATAATGCAATAAACTAAAACAAAAAAATGTGAGACTTTTGTTTTGATGAAAAATAATTCTTTTTAAATTTCGACATGAATTCGAGCTATTTTAGGCATTAATTAGCGAAGAATAACGCCATCAAATAAGTTTTTTTATTTTTTAATCTAAAAATAAATTGCGTGAGTTCAATTGCATATGAAAAAGCGAACCTGAACGGCTGCTCGAAACTCGCCTCAATCTCTACTTCCAGCCGATTCTCGCGAAGATCAATCGAGAAGTCAGTCGAGCGACTCTAATTAAAATTAAAAGTGATGATTGCTGTTAAAAGAGGGAAACCATCTACATACCATTTTTTCGATGCCATTATGCCCACGAGAAAATTTCATCTCATCGAAGTGCTTCAGGGCTCATCGCGTCTTGCGAAGACGCTCTCCGACCCCTGTTAAATACCCTCCCCCTAGCACTCTCTAAAATTTCTTTCTTCATTACACATCACTATATTTTAAACTCCGTCCACATACACTTTTTTTCTTTTCTCTTAGCCCATTAGCCCTCGCTGTATTCTTCAACCATATCCCATTACATTTTAATCCCTAAAAACCATATAATCTCCTTCATAATCTCATGTTACATTCCTCCATATCAAAGCTCCTTCGCCCTCTCATAATTTTTTATCAATTCCTCCTAGTTTCTTTGGCAGAAATCGTAGTCATAATCGTAGTCGAACTCTCTTGTACCTCTCTCGTAATCACTGTATCAGACAATGCTCTCCTAGCATAATCTTTGGCTGCCGAAATCATTTGTGCCATTTTCGATAATATTTTGTGCAACCAGTACAACATTTTCTGAAAACCCGAGATTATATTATCCGCTGAACCTTTAACCCCCGAGTCTTCTTTGATTTCCCTGAAACTGCCATAACTTATGAAGTCTTCCCAACTCCTTAAGATCTTTTTTAATACTCTCAAAAACCTGCCTTGTCTACTCTTTTGCCACTAATTCACGAGCAACACAAGTCGACTGATTGATTTTGCTAGTTTAATAACAATCACATCAATTAATATAAATGGTTTGTTTTGGCTATTTTTCTTACCAAAAATCGAGGCCATATGTTTTATTATTCGATGGTTTATTCTACACATTTATAAACATTAAAGCGCTTCTCAATTTCTAATTTATATAATTTTTATATTAAAATTTTTATTTTAAATTTTTTTACAAATATATTTTTACAATATAAAAAAAGTTTTTTATGCTTTTTGCCAAAATTTTTTACCTATTCGCGAATCACTCAATTTCATTTAATATAATTTAAACTTTTTAGTGTCTGCTTGTGTGTGATAAATTTTTTATTTTGGAAATGTGGCTTTTAAGTGAAAACCGATTTTCGTATTCATCCACGTTATCAATCGTCCTCAGTGTCCCCATAATCATTGTTTTTCCTTATCATTCTTCTCACTGTGGATATTTTGATGTCCAACAAGTTCGAACTGAATTTTTTCTTTTAATGAGCGGCGAACTTTTCTTCTCAATTCTATTCATTCAGTACTTATGGATTCCTCGTCGTCGTCGTAATTTTAAAAATTATTAATTAATAAAACAAGTGCAATTATCGGAAGTTTTATTCGAAATGGTTAAAGGACGACAATTAAATTATATGTGTACGAATCGATTTCGATGGTTTATTAAACTCGACGGTGCACCAAATTCGATGAGATTAAGATGAGTTGGCTACGACCTTCATTTGTCTCTTCGAGTGGCGAACTGAGAGACGAGAAATTTCTCATTTGCCACCATTATTACGAGTCTAAAATTTCGACTTGACGGAGGCAGAAGACGAGCGTTGCTGGTTCATAAGAGGAAAGCGTTTGCACGCTTCTCGATTCGGTGCCAGAAGAATTTCTGCTTTTCACGTCAAAATTTAATAACAATGAGACACTTCGGCAAGTCTGCTATTTGGCCGACTTTCCAATATTTGTTGCCCAAGTTTATTTGTTGCTCATAAGGCCACTGTGCCATCTGCGAATACGGCGTTGCTTGAGCCTTGCGAGTTTTCTTTTACGCGCAAAATGTGTTCCGGAAACACTTCGTCATCTATCCGATTTTTAAATCACATAGCATTTCATTAAGCTTTTAATTGTACATTATCCGCTCATATAACTTACAACTTTCAAATACAACTGTATTGTTGGAATGAATGGGAAACCGGAGTTTTTTGATAATAGAACGCCTACCGTTTTTGTTTAGACTCGCCCCGCTCAGATTTATGGAGCGAGAAATTTTTCCCAGTGAGTTGTCCGAAGATAGGGTGGATAGGCCGTCCATCCGGAGCCTTTAACGAATTGCATTCGAAATGTAGAAATATCCTGCGGAATCAAATTTTTCATCGAAGAATTTGTAATTAGCGTTTCGTTAGAGCAGTTGGCTTTGGCATAAAGTCAGCCAGGCTGAATGGTGTACTGCTTTGGCTTCGAGTTCGATCCTTGCCACTTAGTTGGAGTGAACCTTGTTATTCAAAGAGAAGCTAAGAAGACATATTTATTTGTTGTATATCTTTTAAATACAATCATATAATTTGCTAAATGATTCATATAAGTATAAAGGTGCCTGTGGAACGGGGGTTCGAAAAGTGACCCAAACTGGAACAAACCGGTCGTTGAAAACTCGGACGGCGCCGTCTCTAAGTCGTTACCCTCAGGCAACGACTTCTCAGCTCACGAACAACCAGAACCCTAGCGCAAGTAGTGAGCGCCAACCATTTATTAGTCTCTCACTTTTTCTTATTATTGGTTCTTTCAAAATGGAAATTATGTGCCTCGGAAATCATCCATCAGCCAACATATTTATTAAATATTTACAAGTGAATGAATGCATTTCATTTTAATGATGAGAATAGCAGCTGACATAATCGATCTATCTTCTTAAGTTTAATTTCTTCGGCAAAAATTTCCCTTTAAATTCTTTTACAATTCAGTATTGCTTAAAAGAATTGTCAATAAATTTCAGCAAAAAGCAAATTTTTTGCAAAAACTCGGTTTTACAATTAATTAGAAACCAGATAATTTTTTCTCGAACCCTATGTTTCGCACCATTAAAGGCTTCGTTAGCTCCACAGGTGACTTCCTATTAAAATTATTCGAACAGCAAAAGTGCTAATTCATATTATATCATCCAAATTCATGAAACAAAACGAATTCAAATGATTACGTGGAATCGATTTGCACAATGAAAAGAAAAAAAATGCAAAAAAAAAATTTTTTAATGCGTTTTAAGCGAATGAATTGACGTGGAATTGACGTGGGAGATTTAAAAAAAATATTTTATTAATTTTTTATAATCGCATTAAAAATTTGAGATTTTTTATAATTAAAAGTTCTCGTAATTTCTTTTTAAAGAATATTTTATAGCAGAAAGTGCGAACGCCTTTATTATCGCACTTTTCATTTATTTTCCGTTTTTTTTTCATCGTATATAATTCTTATTAAATTATTTTATCAATGAAAAAAAAGATAAGTGATTATTATTTTTGGCCGGGCTCACTGAAATGAGGATTCTCCACTGAGAATCACCTGGAGATAGCTGGGAAACAGGTGGACCCGCTTGCACCATATGGATTTCTTAATCCGGACAGGCTTGTTACATCGTAACGTGGTTTCGGGGAGTAGAGCTTAAACTCTGACGCCAGAGGTGACAATTTAAGAAACGTAAGGCTTAAGCTCTGACGCCAGAGGTGACAATTTAAGAAACGGTTTAACTGCTTTTTTAAAGATAAATAAATCATTAAAATATGGAAAATTTGAAATTTTTTCAAAATTTTTAATTTCCAATTCGAATTTTTTCTCATTTTTTTCTATAAAAGTTATTAATTCGTTCCATTGAATATAAAAAATCATTTTATTTACTGTTTGTTTATGAAAAATGTTTCTAACTCGCAGTTAGCCAAATGCCTTATTTTAGAAGCGTTTTTGCGTTTTTCGAAAAATTTCCCTCATGTGAATGCTTCGCTATTTTTATTGCCCATTGTTGTTGACCGTGCTTTGATCGGTTAAAGCCGTTCATTTGTTAATTTCATGCGTGAAACCATTCTGAGCGAACAGTTTGCTTCTGAACCTTTTTGAATTCGTTTTGCCTATTCCTTCGTTTTTCGTGCAATTCCTTTCTTTTCCTGGAAGCGCATCCTGAGTTTTTTTAAAGCCGGGTCGGTCGAGTGCAATGCTTCACTCGATACGCGTTGAGCACCAATTTTGGCAAAGAGTGGAGGATACCACCTTGTAACTTCCGGCGATTGCTTTGGTGAAAGTGAGTAGAGTGAGCTCAGCTAGTAATGTTGTGTACGGATAAAGGAGGTAGGGGGGAGGAGGGGGAGATTTTTCAGTAAATTCCTATAAAGCTTAAGAGAAGGAAGGAACATCAATTCATTTCATCTTTATCCTCGTCTTCTTTTTCATCTATCGATTTCGTGTCAACTCAAATAACACTAATTTATTATTTTAGCGTGTTTTTAGATTTTTTAAAGTAATTCTCGTTTTTTTCCTTCATTTATTAAATTGGCACGTTTTGAATATTTCTTTAATAAATAAAAGTTCTTTAATAAATAATAAAAGTACAACAAATTTCTTCAACAAATTTTCTTGTTCATTTAAAAGTCAAATTTTTATCGAAAAAAATTCGTTATTTATGATAATAATAAATATTATTTTATTTATAATTTAAAACTATTCGAAGCTGTTTAATTATTATTTTTATTTAAATTATTTAATAATTTTATTGCTAATTTTTGTTAAATTTGCAAATTTTATGATAAATTGCAATAAATTTTTAAATAACTAATCGGATTTAATCGCTAAATTAGAATTAATTTCGTTCGAGGATCGCTCTATTTAGGGATTATTTTTTTATGAGTAAGTTCCAATATTTTTTTCGTTCAAATTTGTTTCATATAAATTTCGCACCAAGGGAAGAAAATTTTTAATGGAAAACACGCAAATCTTGCTTTTTTATTAGTTTATAGATAAGGAGGACAATAGTTCTGCGGATAATCGTTGGGCAGCAAGAACTTCGCTTTTTCTCCCAACGAGAGGAATCTGTCATAATAAAGTGTTGACGAGCCTACTTGTTCACTTGAGGCAGTTGAATCCTTCGCTAAAATTTCCAGTCGTTACCCATAGTTTTCCATGTTATCGAATCTTTCCACTTATTTAGACCATGGAAAATCTAAAATATTGTAAAGCATTAAAAAATAATTATTTCATTCCTATTGGAAAATTTTTTTAAAAAGTTTTTTTATGAAAATTAATCTCCGAAAACGATTGTGAAAATATTTTTTCGAAATTATTTTTTCGCTAAAAAATTGCGTTTTACTTTCGAAAAAAAAGGAAGTAAATTTTAAAAAATTTGAAAAATTATTTCTATTAAAAGTTTTCTTTTCTCGTTTATGCTATTTAATTTTGAAATTTATATTTTATCAAAATGAGTGACAACTTGTTTTGCGCTTAAGAACTCGAATTTTATATGAACCAATCGCCTCCGGCAAATATTATTTTATTAATCGATTTTGGAGAATCGCATTTACATATTTATAATAAATTGGTGACGGCCCCCATTCGTTGTTTTATGGCTAAATTCTTGAATTCCCAATTTTTTTCTTTTAAAATTTCGCGACTTTTTGCTTATACAAATCGCATAACCTTCATATCTTCTTTTTCTGAAACTGCCATTTTTAATTTGGCTGCCTCCTCCTTTTTATAACGCTCACCATTAGTGGTTAGGCTGTTCCGTTGGCTATAGCGGTGATGCGTTTCCAAGTTGCTCGATCTGATATCATCGATGATAGTGGGTCATAGGGAGCCTGGGTCTTGTCTGCCTCCACCGACTCAAAGATCTGATAATCAATTCAAGCATTCATTCAGTCTCGTTTTTATTCTTACAATGTAATTACATGTTTATGTATTCCGAAAATTTCTATTTTTCGCAAAATTCCGCATTATATGATGTTCTTTTTTCTAAGTTAAATTACGCCAATAAAATGGAAATTTCCAAGAAAATTCCAAATTTCTCATCTTTTGGCTGTAATTCATCGAATAGATTCATTCTTCTTCGAATATTTTTGCAATATTTTTTTTTTCAAATTTCTTCTTTTCAGAATTATCATTTAATTTCGTTTTTAAAAAATTTAAAAATCTAAAATGCTTCACTTATCGCGTTTTTTTATTCGAAATAAAATCTATTTTAAATTTATTTTTTATTTGCTTATTTCGATTATTATTTTAATAAAAATGAAACAATTCAATAGTCGAAATAATTTTCAAAATCACGAAAACGAATCTGTTATATTGAAAAAGGTTTCTTTTTTTTTAAATTTTAACTTGAAAACAATATAAATAATTTATTGTTTCAAAAAATGTTTTATTTTCTTATAATAAATAAATTGCGATTGTTTTTAAAATAAGTTTTCAAATGATTTATGAAGAAATTGATAAATTATATTTTATTTTAAACAATAAAAAAATAAAAATGAAAGAAAATTTCTTATAGGAATCGTTGAATGTTATTATCTTGGGCCAAGATAACGAAAATAATCGAAATCGAAAGGCGAACATTGATTGGGCAGATAATTTGGTTTCTCTTTGGCTCTTTTATATTTTAAATATATATTTTTTCTCTTAAGTGATAATATCAGTCATCTTTGCCACTTAGGAAGTAGGATAGCATCGCCAAGTGGTCAGATTTATCTTTTAAGGAATTGGGATTAGGCATCTGCTTAAGCAGCAAATTTTCATTACTTATCTCCATCAATCAATGATAAATATAAGAAAGTTTCGGGGGTTGTTTCGACCTGCAGTCTGGCGCTATGATTCGGCTACAGAACATGTGATGTGGCTTTATGCCATTGCTTTGCTTGTTCTTTGAATATTTTTGCTAATTTAATCATTTGCCAGTAATCTCCATCAAAAAATATATAAAAATAATAAAAGTTTATGTAAATTATGGAAAACTGGAAATTTTTAGTTTCTGAAATAGTTTTTAAAAAATCATAAAATTTCACTTTAACCAAAAATAATTTTTTACGTTTTTAATTTTATTTTATACCTAAACGATATGTAAAATTATCATAAAAATCGTTAATTTTTTTCGCGATTTTCTTTAAAAAATCAAAAAATTTCGGACTAATTTTCATATTCGATTTGAAAAAAAAAACACTAGATTTAAAATCAAATTTGGCTTCTTAATCGCATTTTATTCATATATTGAGTTTCATTATTCCAGTATTACTCTTCTTATTTCCTCTTTTTTTATACGTAAAAGTTTGCGAGATAGTAATAAGTAAGATAATTCCGGGCTTAGGCTTAGGGAACTTTTATTTTTTCAAGAAGCCTAAAAGTTTGCATTTAGATTGAATTTATTATTGCTATAAATGAAAACTTTTTTTTCGTTGCATTCCTATTAGAAGAGAGATTTCGCATTTCCGTCTTTTTTTGCTAAAATTTTCTGCAATTTTTTCTATATTTGCTTATTTGAATTTAATAGGCCAAATTCATATTTGCTTTTGAATAAATTTTTTTGAAAAAAAAGAATGGATATGAACAAATATTGAAGAGAAAAATGGGCGATATTCAACTTTTGATATGAATAATCATGGAATTTTTTCATGAAAAATTCGTAAAAAATATTGAGGAATTGTGGAAATTTACAAAGAAAAAGAATATTTAATAATAATATTTAGCCACGAATTTTTAATTTTTACTCAAATTTTTTATTTTAAAATAGAATAATCATTGTGGAATGAACGCATTTAAAAAGATATTGCTTCAAGAAAATAAGTAATTCTAACTTTTTATTATTGCAGCTAAAAGATTGCAACGATTAATAAAGGCAAATACATTCGGAATAAATAAAGTAAAATAGAGAAGAACGAAATTTACTGAATATTTTAGCAATCATTTATGAAATTATTGAAAATTATTTCAATTTAGAATTGTAAAATACCGAAATTGGACATAAATGGTAGCGAAGTTATGAAATTTTTTTCGAAGGCAAAACCACTGCCGTGCGGTTCAAAGCCTAAAGAATGGGCTTACATCGATTCGAATCGGGTTATCCGAGTCACTGATGAAACATTTAGGTTTATGCTTTAAAATTTTTCCTTGAAATAAGAAAATATCGAGAGGCCACAGGTTACGGCACATTTAGTATAAAAACTCTCCTCCCTTTCACAAGAAAAAAGTCACCAATAATAAATGATGTACTGGGTCATTCGAAAAATCCCTGCGATTTCATATATCCGGCATATTGTCTGGAGCCAGATATTTTTTCTCATGCCAAGTTGTCTCTGCTTTTGCTTTTTCTTGCAATAGCGGAAAAAATAAAATTTAGTCCATTTTGAGTGATTTTGTTTTGTTACAAAATGGAACGAAGATTTTCGATTCGACTTCTGGCAATTCAAATTCTTTTAAACGACTCATAATAATATGCTAGCAGTTTGTCGTGATGGTGCCTCCGAAGAAAAAACAAAAGCAATGTAAGAATGTCCTCAAAATGTCCGAAAAAGGGCTTCTGAAATGCCCTGTTGCTGAAGATCCTTAAGTTCTATTGAAGAAGGAAGGGTCCCAGAATGATATACTGCAAGAGCTTATTGTTTCGCATGGTACTATGTACAATCATCCACATGCATTGGACAAGTAGTTCTTCTATGATTTGGTATATTTGAAGGTTATCATTTGTTGATGCGATGCAAAAAGATTTTTTTATCGGACACATTTTTACTTATGATTCTACACGGCAGGAAAAGGCCAAAGCAATGGATAATTTGATGCTCTATTGGCCCACTATAGCTTCTTTAAAAATATGTAGCGATTACAAATGAGTTTTGCGATAACGAATTGGAAATAATAGCATCTACTAGAAAGCAGCCAAGCATTCAGCGGAAAAAGTCTCATCCTGCACGATAATGCTTAACATGTTCAGCAGTTCGTTGGCTGCAGAAGCTCAAACTTTTGTTCAGTAAATGTTATTGTATTGGCAAAAGGTGTGTTTAGTATAATGGTGCTTATTTTGAATGAAAATAGTTTTCAACGGAGCGGTTTCAAATTTAAATATAAAACTTGAACGAGAGCATTTTTTGGCATGGCCCAGTAGTTATCCAAATAATAATTTCTTCTTTATACCAGTTTCGCTTAAATTTTTTTGATTCTTTTTTCCAAATTTTTGCAAAAGTAACTGTAATCTTTCAGTTAATGACGTATTTTTCAGGAAATATGGTGAACCAAAATGTATAATGAAAGCATTTAGCTCCAAGGACGATGTTGAACTCATTTTTGATGAACCAATTCACTTTCGAAAAAAAATTCAATTGAATACGAGCGATTTTGCAAAAGTAGTTTGCATTTCTGCAGCTGGTGATTTTTGGTTAGTTCATAGAATAAGTTCGTCATTCTGATTTTTTTCTGCGAAGTGAATTGATATAATTCGATGAAATATAAAAAATTTCAAGGGGCACTGACATAATGACAATAGTACCAAAGCAGAATCGAATAAAGGAGCTACTGGAAATAAAAAAACCAGACGATTGGTCGGGACTTGACGTTTATTTTTTAGGTTAATTTTTCTAATTTTCTAAAATTTTTTAAAATAATTCGTAATTAAATTAAGTAATTTTTAATTATTATATTATATTATAATTATTTTATTTAATTCTTAATTAATAATTTTGAAATAATTAAGTAATTCTTTTATTTTATCAATAATTATCATCTCCAGTGTATATAGTATTTTATAAGATTTATTTACTTATATATAATAATTTTTTATACAATAAAATTTTATAGAAGATTTCAATCAAAAGGTAAAAATTGCAGGGTTCGATTCGGTTTCTCATATGACTTTTCGTAGAAAATTACCTCTTACAGTTAAATTTCTTGAGAAGGAATTAGAAGCTGTTGTCCTTAATGGTATATTTAATATTTTTTATTGTTTTTAAAAAATTTTGAAAATTCTTGAAAGAATTTCTGTTGGCTATTTTCGAATTATCGGCTATTTTTTTGTCCTAAATTTGATTTTACAAAATAGTTCATCAAATAACTAAAAATTTACACGATAAATAATATTTTTCCAAATAATATTAGGTTATAATATCGTTGGTGACGGTACACCGCAGGCATTTATACCTATTTTAACTGCGAAAACTGAAGAAGAATTACCGATGACCAGGTTATATCACATATCCTAGAAACAATAATATTCTTATTATCATAATTTGATGTGAAATGGGCATGAAAGGCTTGGAAATCGTTTATTCTAGTCGCAGAAGAATAGCCAAATTAGAAGTGGTCCGAGCTTTTGGATGAAGATTTTTTAATTTTTTGAAATATTTTTTATGCATTTTCATCCCCGTATTAGTAGTTTAGAATTGAACTTGTGATTATTTAACTTTTTTATGTCATTACTTATAAGCATTTAATAAAATTTAGAAATTTTCTAGAATTTCAGGAAGCGATACAAAAATGCTCATTTTGTTGATGAAGTTTATCCATTTGTGTGGAATAATTTTAGCGATGCTGGCTATATAACAATGTTTGCAGAAGATTCTGCTGCAATTGGAACTTATACATATCGCTTAAAGGTTTCTCATGGAACTGGTTTAAAGATCGATTAGAGATTCCATATATTCACTTTCGATAAAAGTCGTTTGAAGACTTTCTATTTTCTCTTAAGATTTTTATAACAGTGCATTCAACCGAGATTTATTGCCGATAATCCGGTGAAATCAGGAAAATGTGACTTTAACCACATTCTAGAGTTTTTTTTTTAGCGAACAAGGAGCGGTATTGAAAAAGACAATATTGAAAATATTTTAAGGAAAATTGATAATTTCATGAGATCAACCAAAATTGTTCCTAAGGGATATATGAAAAAAGTCAGAAATCCACTGAAATGCTTATACAAAAAAATTCGATTAACTCTTTAAGGGATTCAAAAAGCAACCAACGGATCATTATTTGCGCACATATTTTATGGAATTTGAAAAGTATTGTGAAGACTGTGAATGTGTCGGCTCAAGGCCTCTTTATGAGGTTCGTTAAAGTTTCTTTTTCTATTGGCACTCATCATTTGTAATTTCATTAATTGACAGGATGAGATCGCTTCTTCACTAGAGAATAGCTAAGTGGTGGAGGTGGGTTCCACGCGGATTTTATTCTTAACGGAAGGCTTACCTCCATTAGAAGTCTCACCTATGATAACTCGACCACTTTCTTTAAGTTGAAACTCATGATTTGTTTTGTGACACTATCGCAAATATTAATGTGATAAATAGTAATTAACATATAAGATATTAAATAAAATAAATTTTTAGGACTGGTTTCGCTATACGAGTGAATTCATGCTAAGGTACAAGGAAGTACCGAAATTTCTTTTGGCCCATCAATCACGATACAGTCATGATTCATTGGATTTAGTTGAAGTAGAGGATGAACATATTGTACAACATTTTAGGGAACTTTTAAAAACGAATGTTTTAAACAATAGTGTTATTATCACAATGGCAGATCATGGGCATAGATTTGCCAATATCCGTCAAACACATCAAGGTATTTCCTCCTTCCTCCTTCAATTTCAAATAATTGTGAAAAAATTTGCCAAGATCGAGATTATTTTTGCGGATTCCTTGAAGAAACAAACATATTGTTGGAAATCCAGTTAATATTGGTCACTTCACGGCCTCTCGTAGTAGTCAATGGAACTAGTAAAACCGAGAAAGAGTTGTCAGAAGACTGAATTGATACGAATTAATTATCGATGTTTTTCAAGTTAACTATTATCTAATTTTTTTACTCGAAAGGAAATAAGGATTTCTTCTTATTTCTTGAAATTTTCTGTAATTCCATATCATTTTCAGGCCAACTTGAAGAACGATTACCTTTCTTTTCAATTGCAATGCCACGTTGGTTTCGAGAAAGTGATAAAGGTCGCACAGCTTGGAAAAACTTGCAAGAGAATAAAGACAGGTGCATTAATCTTTTTGAGAGGAATATTAGAATTATTGAAATGATAAACTAATTAATACAGTATTTGGCCATAATACTGTGACAACATATTTCTGTATATTTCTTATGTTTACTCTTCTCCTTAACAGCTCATCATCATTATGTTAGGCTGGTTCCGCTGGCTAGAAAGATAAGAGAACTCCTAGCTGTTCGGTCCGACTCCATCGCTAAGCCATTATTTTTTTCCCCGTCCATATACCTCTGGCCCACCTATACTTTTAAAATCCTTCCTGTCTGCATTATCCCAGGTCTCAATTGGCCCTCCTCGATTTTGACGCCATCCATCACAGGATTTAACAAATAGCGAAGTATATATCATCTCCTGGTGGATGACGTAGAATATGCCTTAACCAATGAAAGCAACGTTCTACGGTGGCAGTAACATGCGATCATGGAAGATCGAGCGAATTGACGCGTTTTTTCACCACTATTGTATTATATATAAACCAGTATTATTAATATAATATTATTCTTTCAATATTCTTAGTATAGTATAATATTATTTTTAGCACGATTAACAAACTTTTTTAAGGTTGACGACTCCATTTGACATACATGCAACATTAATGGATATATTACACTGGCCAAGTGAAAATGAACTCAAACGATCGGGAGATCTGAAGAAACGGTCTTTATCATTATTTCGACCCATTCCATCTTCAAGAACATGCGCTCAGGTTTGTGATCAATATTGCATATCATATTGCATATCAATATCGCACAAAGGTTATCCTAAAGAACTAAAATAAGGGCATATTAAAATTTCAGATGGGAACCAGTCGTTTTTTTCGAACAACTGGAAAAATACTGAAATATAGAGTTCTAAATTGTAATTTCCAGGCAGGAATAGATCCACATTGGTGTACTTGCTTGACTTGGGAATCCGCCATGGGAAGTGAACAATTGGACACTTCAAAAATGCTAGTTAATGTTGCTTTGGAGGCTATTAATTCATATACTGAACCAGAAAGGAAACTTTGCGCTAAACTTAATTTGGTAATTTTGTTTTGTTAATATTGTTTATATTTATCATTTGTTTAATTTATAATTAATTAAATTTAAGATTAAAATTTAATTAAAATACTTTTCATTTGCATTTTAGAATTCGCAATTAGAATTTATCTAAAGTTTTCTTTTTCTCATAGTAATTAACTGGGCTTTTTTTTTGCTTTACGAATGAAGAATGAAATTTTGATATGGCTTCTTCATTTTTATGCTCATTGTTTAATTTTAATGATAAAGAGAATGATAATCCTTATGATAATTTTTAGGAAAAATTTGAAAACGCCAAACGGTTGGTACCAAATGCAGCGCTACTTTCATATAGAAATGCATTAGATAGAGATGGGTTTGTGCCAGACTTAACTGGAACCACTTCAGCTAAATTTGCTCATTATCAACTCAGTTTTCGAACAACTCCAGGGAATGCCCTTTATGAGGTAATTTTACTTTTTTATTTCTTTAGTTTTTGCTTAGAAATTGATTTCTTTCCTTAAATATTTGTGGAATGAATCGCTAGAAAAGTTAAATTTTAAAGGTTTTCATTAAATTTCTATACGAGATCTCTGTTCAGGTCACATTATTATACGATTGGAATGTGAACTCAGTAACTATTGATATGAAATCGATAAGTCATGTAAACAAATATGGTGATTTACCACATTGTATTATTGATAAAAATTATTTTATGGCCATGTACTGTGTTTGTTATGATAAGATCTCTTAGAAATTGATTGATTAATTTATCTTCTTCTAGTAACTCGCATCGTCGCTGCTTTGGTCATTTCCACTGGCTAACACTTTGTTTCTGAAAATGCCATGCCTGAAATTAATTTAAAGCCAACATTTTCCCTTATATTTATGTTTATAAAACCTTTATATTAGTTAATTTTTAAAATGATTTTTAAATACACTGCTTGCAGTGAAGTTTATTAATTTATTAATTTGTTCTCAGTAATTTAAATATATTTGTATTTATTTGCAAATTTACATTTCTATTTAAATATATTTTTATATATATGCATATAAGTATTCATAAATAGCTTATTTTTTATATTTATATTTTATATTTATATATTTTATGTATCTATGTTCGGGTGTTTTTTGTTTTCAAATTGTTTGTAATAATAAGGCTTTGCATATTTATTAGGAAATTTTCTGTTTTGTTTTATTATCAGTTGTTCACTTATCATTTTTCATATTTTTCTTGGTGTTGTGTACATATAAATACGTGAGAATGTTTTGCCACCAAAATAGTTAAATAGTTATCATTAAAAAATAGTTTGTTGCGATTATTTATTTATTGTTTATTTATTTATTTATTGAAAACCAGCCAAGTAGGGCGCAAACGCCATGTGCTTGTATTAATAACAACAGTTCAAATAGCAAATAATAAGAATTAATTACAAAAAACAAAAAAATAATAATAATGAAATAAATAAACAATTTAAAGATGAAATAAAGAGGATATTGCAAAATAATATAATATAGTACAATTCGAAATAACTATAATCGGATGGTAGAAATCGAGATTTCATACTTCCTGTATGATGTGGACTTTTGAAATAATATTATAATAATATCATAAATGATATTATCTAATCTTTTTTTAAAGATAGTTAGGGTTGGTGCGCAAGCTATCTTTTGGTAGTTTATTCCAGTAATTAATATTACGAATAAAGAAATCGTGAGTCCTTAGTTTAGTTTTATTTAACAATCTATGATGTTTTTTCTGATTCCTCTAACAGCTCGTGCATTGGTCAGGTTGGCCATAATATATGCAAGCATATCGGTCTATCTTCATTATCGTTAGCAATAGGAATCACTCATTTTCTTATCGTCCAAGTGAATATATCGCTTACCACTGATCTAAGCATTCAAAATCTATCTTCAACCCATCATTCCAGACCCTTTAGGTCTTTCTCGCTTTTGAAGATATCCATCAGACAGTGGCAGATTATGCATAGGTAGCGAAGAAAACGGGCCTAACCAGCATACACTGTGGTGTTATTAATTAATACTTGTGGCATTCGACCGTACATAATTATGTGAGAATCACCGCATCGTAGCGTGAACCTTAGATAACGTCGATCATATCTGTCATATAAGAACCGCTCATTCTCATTGGTTATATTTCGCAGTGCTATAGTTGGATTGTTGGAGTGTTAAATGAAGTCTTCCATTTATTATTAGCTTCGATTGTTTTCGCAAGAAACTGTTTTTAATTGCTGCTATCCGTTTAGAGTTTTTTTCCGCTTGGCTTTTTAATATAAGAATATAAGAATATAGTATAAGAACTGATTTTTACAATGTACAGCGATTTCCATAGCGCATAGAATTTTCTCAGAAGGTGAAGGTGTAATTTTCTCAGACTTTGGCAGAAGCAGCAGAACGGATTTAAAAATTGGATTTAGACGGAAGCGCGGTTGTATTGACCAAATATTCACATCGAGAAGGATGCTGGAACATCGTTTTAAATATCTGCAATCCACCGTTATGTTTCATAGATTTTGCAGATGATGTCGATTGAACTGATAGAACAGGTACTTTTAAGGGTGATGTGCGACGGTGTTCCAGAGAAAATCGTTGGAATCATAAAGGCGTTTTATCTGTGCATGTCGGCGCAGGTCTATGTGAGGGACTCCTTCGAAATAAGAACTGGTGGGTGTCAGATAAATCGAAGGCTGTGGCATTGCAAATGCTATGAAACAAGTTACGGTGATTTGCCAATATTTGAAGCGATATCTCAGCCTGAATATTTGCTATAAATCCATGCCTTGTTCTGAATTAGTTTTGTTTAGGGCCCTGTATTGCACAATAAATCTATACAACAGAATAGAAGCGAAAATTTTCCTAGTGGTTTCTAACTCTTCGATAGCTATCGCATCAAGTCCTATCGCTCTTCTCGAAGATTGCAGCAAGAAAAAAAGAGAGTTTTCCTCCTGTCATAATTATTATTCATTAGATCTTAATACAATATTCTTATAATATTAGTGTTCTTTTTTTCATATCAGTAAGCACATTCACTGAAAGTGAATTGTGAGGGACAATGGACAATATTTGAAAAGATGGAGTTTTTTTTTACGTTCACTTGGAGTTTTTGAATTTGAATTTTTGAATGCAGATTATTTCTTGCACCGGTGGGTCATATGGCTTTCGCTTAAATCCGGCGTTATATTTAATTCATCATGGTCAAGTTTCGTTCCAAAAAACCTCAGGCCAAGCGACCTTTGGGAGTCTTTAGAGGTAGGTCATCGCTGACAAAGATCATTTCACTGATTTCATGAGTTCCGGCTGTTTTATGAAGAAAATAGAACACTTTCCTATTATCACCTAATCGAGCAATCCTCACGTTCTCACTTACGATGCTTTTGGTTGAAAAGGAAATGTCAAGAAAATCTTAAATAATCAAAAATGGAGAATAAAATAAAATCTCACGTTTAGCATTGAGGTGGTTTGTAGCCAAATTATAATACATAAAGGAGTATTTATCCAGTAAAATTTATCCAGCTGTTACAAAAAATTCTTTCTCTAGTCCCATGTATTTTAATTTATAATAAGTCTTTTACGCTTAACTTTGTTTATTTAATTTATTATTAATTCTCAATCAATTTTAATTAAGTTTTTGAGTTCCGTTCCATTTTAAATTTACTTTATAAAAATTAATAAAAATCAAATTATTAAAATCCTTTAAAAATGAATCATTTAAACCACTTCTTATAGTAGAAAATAGAATATCTTTGAATTAAATTTTTATAAATTTAATTTTTTCTACTTCTCTAATCGTCAATCTAAAATTATTAATGCAGAGGTATCCAAATAGTAAAAAACTGGGACCATTCGAGGACTAAACGAGAAAATTTAGGGTAAAAATAATTTCTCATGTTTATTCTTATTCTTATGCTTTTCACATTTACTGCTATTTGCTGCTGAATTATCGTTGATCTTGCTTGCAGCTGTTAACATAAAATGTAAAGAAATATGAAAAATGATAAATTTAGTTTAGGCAAATTTTATACGTCGCTGATATTAAATGAATGAGAAATTATTTTCCTAAATCATGGAATTCCAAACGATAGCTCATGAAACTGCTTCGATATATTGTAAAATTATTATTATTTTTAAAATTATTATTATTTTATTATTTTTTCGTGCATTTTTTGCTATAATTTATCGCCCCTGTAGAGTTATTTGTACAACTCTATTTGTATTTTTATTTATTACATTTTTCTACTCCCCACAACTCTTTTCTTCACCTTGCAGCAGGAAACCCTTACATCAACAAATCACCTGGGCATAGTAAATAGACCCATTCACACTTAACGAAAGATTTGATTCCACCAATAGGCTCGAATCGAATTATCTAAATCGAAATTTGCATTACCAAAAAGCTAAAAATATGAATTGATTTCAAGCGATTTTTTTTAAATAATGGGACATTCTCAGAGAATTACTTTGATATTTAAGTAATTTTAATGTGAAGCGAATAAAACGATTGTTATTTGTTATTTAATTTATCTTATCAGTTTTTAACAATTATTTCTCTTATTAACGCGTTTTCTATTGCCAGAATTTTGGGAAATATCAAATGTCATTTTTTCGTAAAAAGGCTGTCAAAAAATTATTTATTTTGATTATATTTGTTTCCATTCCAATTTTAATTATTATTCGTGGAAAATTCACCATTTATGGAGTCACTGAGGGTGCAAAGGATGGAAGAAATGCGACAAATGACCGGCAGAAAATTCATTTTAAAAAGGTACTTTACTTCATTTTATAAATTTCTTTTTTTTTCATCAAAATGCCACGTGGTTTTCCCTATCAGATTTTTCAAACATTTCTTTATTATTTTGGTACGAAACTTTTTTCTGCTAAGAATTTCTGGTTTCATTGACTTCGTTAAATCGATTTTCCAAAAAAAAGAAGAATTGCAAAAAAAGAAGAAGAACATTAATTATGGCAAAATTATTTTATAATTGGAGTTGATTAATAATTGTTAATTTAACAAAATAATTTAAGAATCGTTTTTCAAGAAAAATGTTATTTGCACAATTGCGCTCATAAATATCTTATTTTACGCTTAATTTTAAAAAAACGTCCAAAAATTTGCTTTTTTATGGAAAATCCTGATTTCTTTCTCATTTTAGGGACCATTGAAGGTGACTGTTTTGGGTTGGGATGGTGAGAATAATCGGAACCAAAAAGCGAACGTTCATTGGGCCGATAATTCAGTTCGTTCCTTCTATAACTTTCGAATTATTTTAAACATTTATCCATTTTTTTAAAACCATGTTGAGGATTTGTTTATGGAATGATTGTTGGTCTTAAGAAACATTTCTCGGGAAATCCTAGAAAAACCTATAATAACTAATTCTCTATGCTGTGAGTGTGTGGAAAAAATCCAGCTATTTCCTCTGGATGCTCAGCTTATGATCATTCACTAAAATCATCTTAAACTTCATTCTGCTACAATTCGCTGCAACCCATCTCCATATTCCACTATTATTTCACTATAAGTAAAAAGGATTATAAAAGCTTGCCAAGTAACAAAGTAATGCAGTCTTTAAAAGATTACAGTATACCTGACAAAAAATATCGAATGTATGCAAAATTTTGAAGGCATCTTTGTTAGTCCACAGAGCGTGGCTTATCAGTTTATCATAAATTTTAAATAAGAAATCGCCAAAGCCAAAAAACGATAAATATTCGAAAAGTTTATTTTCCTCCAGAAACATTTCTTTCGCTCACATTATTTATAAATTTATAATTTAATAATATTTATTTATTTCTCCAAGAAAAAAAAATGTGAAAAAGAATGAGCTGAATTTTTTTATAAAATTTTTTTATTTTTTTAGAAATGCAAAATTCCAAAATTGGAAATAAATGGTAGCGAAGTTATCCACTTTTTTGACAAGGCGGAACCACTGAACTGCGATTTAGAATCGAAAGATTGGATTTACATGGATTCTAATCGAATCATAAAAATTACTAATGATGCAATTAGGTTTCATATCATTTTTATTTTTGCAGGCATTAAATTAAAATAAAAAATCCTACAAAACTTTTCTATCGCAAAAAATCAAATATTGCAAAATTTCGCTGAATTTTTAAATAAATTAGGATTAGAACGTCATTTTTTTGATAGCTGGTAGCATGTCTGATTTGTTGACTTCACTAATTTAGCTCTCCATTATTTCATTTACTATTGTGGTGAGATGTTTTCAATCAGCATAGCAATCTTACCGATGACATGTTTTCCCCCTACTGAGGAAAAAAAGTATAAGGAGCAGCAGTATTTTTCCATATTAAATAAGTAATTTGCAGTATTTTTACAATTCTTTAAAAATAAATTTCTCATCTTTATTTTTTTAAATTAGCAAATATGGCGAAATAATTTGTACAATGAAAGCTTATCGCTCGCCAGATGTAATTAAGGTGAAATTTGATAAAGGAATTGAATTTCGAAAAGAAGTTCAGCTGAATTCGAGTGATTTTGCTAAATTCATTTGCAAAACTTCATCCGGTGAAACGCAGTAGGTTTCTTTTCCGTAAATGAAGTACCATTTTGGTGGATTTTTATATTATTACTATTTAAGAATATATTATTTTATATTATTATTTAAGAAAATGGAAGAGTATTGCCGATATGCTATTCCTTCGCCTTGATCATAAATATAAATAAAAAAGCTGATAAAATTTTGAGGATACTTTCTCTCATGACAATCGCTCCGCAGAAAGAGCGAATAGGGCAATTGACGAAAATCAAAAAACCAAACGATTGGTCAGGACTCGACGTATATTTTTTAGGTAAATTTTTCGTGAAAATTTTCTTATTAATATTTTTCTAAATGATTTATAATTAAATAAATAATCGCAATGAAATATTTCGAGGATTCGACTCGGTTTCGCATATGACTTTTCGTCGAAAATTGCCTCTCACGGTGAAATTTCTTGAAGAGAATTTGAATGCGGTTGTGCTAAACGGTTCCATTCCACTATTTGCTTTTTTTAATTTTATTAAATGCTTTATTAAATAAAATCATTTTAATTTCGAATATTTTGGTTACAATTTAATTCGTTTGAGTCGTTTTATGCTAAATGATTTATAAATTGTAATATTTGTATTAACAATAATTATTATTATAATTATGATTGTTAATTCATTAAAAATAATAATTTATATAAATATATACTTTACATATATATATATATATATATATGTGTATATGCTTTTCATCATTAAATCAATCATTAAATCAATCATTACAATTTATAATTATTACAATAGTTCATTAATAATAATTTAAAATAATTTATACTAACTATAACGATACAAGAAATATCAAACAGAAAAGCACATATTTATTTATAATTTATTTGGTATTTTCATCTACCAAAAATTATTATTACAAGGAAATTAAAATAAAAAATAATAAAGAAATAAAAAATAAAAAAATTATTTAAAAAAAAATTATTTTTGATAAAAATTTTATTTATAAAAATAAAAATTTGAGCATAAAAATTATGTTGAAGTGAATGTCGAATTCAACCAAAATTACCAATATTTTAATGAAAAACAACCCAAAAGTGTTGAGAACGATAATTTGGATAAAACGATAATTCCAATGGTTTCCATTAGGCCTATTGAAAAGAATTATAATTTAGTGCTTTTGAATTACAAACAGGCCTATGTGGTTTTACAATACTCTAGTAACCTTATGGCTCGATTACTGTGGTATAATATTCGGAGCATCTTATATTAGTAAAAGCAAATAAAATATTTTTGGTCAGGCTATAATATAGTTGGAGATGGGACACTTCACGCTTTCATTCCAATTTTAACTGGAAAGACTGAAGAAGAATTACCGCTCGCGAGGTTAATCTTTATAATTTAAAAATCTAATCTTTATGAACATCATTTATTACTATATTTTCATCATACAAATGCATTTCTTTATACTTTAAACATTTTATTTTTCATTTCCTTGATGCAATTATATATTATTTAGAAAGCGTTTTAAACGAGCGCGTTTCGTCGATGAAGTCTATCCATTTGTATGGAAAAATTTTAGTGATGCTGGCTATATAACAATGTTTGCTGAAGACGATGCGAAAGGAACTTATACAAATAGCTTAAAGGTAGTTAATTGGTGGTGAGCATTCACCATTTCTGGTTAAGTTTGCTGCACTGGCTATTAAAATGAGAAGCTTCCACCAGAGTATTTGAAAATCTCCGCCGCATCAATCGGATTTCTTGATGATTTCCTTTTAGTGAGCCATTTACTTATACTGCAAATGCACAAGGATAGAGAGATTCACAGATTTTTCAGGGATTTAAAAAGCAACCAACAGATCATTATTTGCGAACATATTTCATTGAAGCTGGAGAACGTTGTATGAAAAATTCAAAGGAATGTAAATGTCTCGACTCGAGAAATCTTTACGAAGTAAACTTAGGCATTCCAAAGTTTTAAAATTTAGTTTTATCCTATGAAAAAAATTTAAAATATTTCCTAAAAATGCAAAGATGACTAATTTGCGCCTTCTTCAACCAAAAAAGAAGCTTTTGATTGAAGGAACTGAGTGGCAGTCAAAATATAAGCCTAACAGGTGACTTCGGCATTCATTCCAATTATTCTTCGAACTTTTCGCTATGTCTATTGCACCAGCGTCATGTAGTAGATAAAAATCGCAATATGTTTGTGAAACGAAACGCACGAACTAATAAATTAGTCGACGATACGAAAAACGCAGGAAAACTATGTTCATACAGTAATACCGAGCAGTTTTATTGAAAAAGGAAATTTCTGTCTCTCTGCCATATATATAAAAGCATTCACGAAAATTGGGTGCTATGCCATTTACTGTTGTAAAATTCGAATAATTTACGAAATTTGGTGGATTAGAAATTCATTTTTAGTACGACAGACGTAGGCTAATGTGAATACTTCGAATTACTCGTAAGTAAGTATTAATAATCCGAATTCAAATCAATTTGCGAATATTTAACGACAACTGCTGCCGATTTCAACCTCGTATGGTACCTGTCGATCATTTGAACTATTTCCGCTGGTTCTCATATTTCTCGCTCATTTTTTTTGTATAGTTAAGTTGGCCAGGTGCAAAGGGGTGATTAATAGTGATGGCGGTTGTATACTTTTTCCATTCGCTTATTTGAGGGTCCACTTTCTGATGGTGGATGCAAAAGATCAAGAGAATTTCCTATTTTCATCCCATTAATACTTCTTCAGATATGATTTGAGAAGACTGGGACTGCATTTGGTATATTTCGATAATGCAAGGGAACTTTTCTAGATTTTTTGATATTGATCCTATCCCATCCATTTTGATAATAGTTCTCTTCAACGTGTCGATGAACCGTTCTGTTTGGCCATTAGTTTGTAGATGATAAACTGGAATATTGATATGGTTAATCCTCATATTCTCTCATGCACTCGGCATTCTCGGAAATCAAAAAAGACAGTATTCTGGGTGTAGTGCTTCATCTTATGAATCTCTAACCATCGAGAAAAAGATTTACGATCGCAAAAAAATGAGATCTGTTTGCTGCACCAGCGTAATCTACATTAATTCTGGTTTCGCAAGAATAATTAGAAACTTTCCTAGGAAACTTTGCTAGCTGATATTTTTTTCAAATTCCCGCACAAAATCACTTAAACATTTGTCGATGAAAGGCCAATAAACAAGGATATTCATTTTTATTACTCCTGATCTCATGATTTTTTGCCCAAGAGCTGATCATTTGACGATCCTATCTCCGAACATCGGTCTATTACTGAAAAAATTTCCCTTTCATCAAAAAAGTAGCATCTCTAACTGAAAGAATTAATGAATCGCGACCATGAATTTGGTAGAAGATTTCGTCTCGCCACCTATTTCAACTATTTTTAAACCCCTCTACAAAATCAAAAAAAAAAAATTTATTCTCGTTTTTCGTGCCGTGGGCAACATCCGAAACTGCTAATAAGAATCGCTTTAAAAATGATTTTATTGTAATTCTAAGAAAAAATTGAAACATATTTCTTCATTGTACGGTAATTATTTATTGGTGGAAAATTTGTGCAATTAATAATATAGGATTGGTTTCGCTATACAAGTGAATTTATGTTACGCTATAAAGCTTTGCCGAGATTTCTTCTGGCACATCAATCACGATACAGCCATAATTATTTGAATTTGGTTGAATTGCAAGATGAGCATATTGTTGAACATTTTATAAAACTACTGCAAACGAATGTGCTAAATAACAGCATTATTGTCACGATGGCTGATCATGGACATAGATTTGAAAAAATCCGACAAACACATCAAGGTTTTTTTATTTCATACGATTTATTGGCTTTTCTAGTTCCAATAGTAACCTTAATAATATACCGTTTTATCAAGCCTTACAATGTACTCTTTGCCACGGGGGCAGCAAACTTGATAGTTTTCTATAAAATTGCAGGAGGTAGCTAGTATAGGGTGATTAGAAATAACGAATGAATATGGAGGGAAGAGGCTGAATCAAAGTCTGTCTCAGACCAGCCTGAGCCTTTTAATTGAATATTCAATAGGTTTCGACTAGTTTCAGTCCATTCAATAAATTTCATACGTTGAATTTTCGTGTGGCCATTTTTCTTTTTTCACCGGCCTCAAATACGACAATTTATTTATTTATTTTATACGACAGTTTATTTTTAGATTTATTGTTATACTTTATTCTACAGTTAAATCTAGTTTACAGGCCAACTTGAAGAACGATTACCTTTCTTTTCAATTGCAATGCCACGTTGGTTTCGAGAAAGTGATAAAGGTCGCACAGCTTGGAAAAATTTGCAAGAGAATAAAAACAGGTGCATTTATCTTCTTGATAGAAATTTTTGAACGATATCAAATACCAGAATTATCATTCAATTATTGATTAGCATTCTCAGTTAGGCTCGTTCCACTGGCTATTAGAATGCGACAGTCTCATAGTTTCATTAGACTTGAATTGAGTCCACAGGACCAGTCAGATTTTTCAATATAAAACCCTGCGAAAAACGAGTGCCATTCCATAAGCTTGAAATGACAATCTAATTGATGGTGCACTCGGCCATGATACCCCACAACTCAAACAGATAAAAATATATTTTTATATTATTACTCGGTATTATTAGTAAATTTTCTGAAGATTGACGACTCCCTTTGATATACATGCAACATTAATGGATATATTACACTGGCCAAGTGAAGATGAACTCAAACGACCGGGAGATTTGAAGAAACGGTCTTTATCATTATTCCGACCCATTCCATCTTCAAGAACATGCGCTCAGGTTCTTTTTTTTAGGTCCTTTATAATCCATTTTAACTTGAGAAGTGCTTTAAAATTATTGATTTTCATAGACTACGTTGAATATGGGTTCAATTTCTACCAATCTGATGGAAGATCGGAAGTCGTAACGGAAGATAGGAAGGTAGAACTCTACAAGAAACAAACTTAGCACTAAAAATTAGAATCCTTGTGTGTGCTATATTTCTATCTCAGAAAACAAAGAATATTCTAAATGCCTCATCCCTGTGGTTGGTGAAATGAGCCAAGTTAGATATGTAAGATTTTAAAAAAGCGTCATATTTGGCAAATGCATTACCAATTTTATTTTAATCAAAAAATAATTTACTGGTTCAATTTTTATGAAAATAATTTGTGGTGTTTAGGCAGGAATAGATCCGCATTGGTGTACTTGCTTAAAATGGAAAAGTGCCATGAGTCCCGATCAGATCAACATTTCAAAAATGCTCGCTGATGTTGCTTTAGATACCATAAATTTGCATACTGAGCCAGAGAGAAAAATCTGTGCTGAACTCCATTTGGTACCCAACGTTTCAACGATCTTTTTAACAACCAATCTTACTGAATTAGCCACTATAATAATCGACAATTTTTCCGGAATGAATCCAGCTCTTATTGTTTCTATTGGTCCTTTCCTTTATATCTCGTTTATTTTACACAGATTTACAGACTCCCATATCGATTTATCAATATAAATTTATAAATGATTTTAAATTTTCAGCAGAAACTTGAGAGAGCTAAGCGATTATTACCAAACAAAGCTTTACTTGCTTATAGAAAATCTTTTGATACGGACGGACGCCGACCTGATTTAACCGGAAATACTGAAGCGAAATTTGCACATTACCAACTCAAATTTCGGACAGCACCAGGAAATGCTTTTTATGAAGTAAATTTGAGCCTTTAATTTTTGGAACCATTAAATAAGCTGCAATTATTTTGTTCGATCTTTTAACTCAAAATTATTCCATGGCAACTGCAGCCTTAAATCAAGATTACCATAAAACCATAAAAATCCGAAATTTAGGTGACATTATTATACGATTGGAATGAAAATTCAGTAACTGTCGACATGAAATCGATAAGTCATATAAATAAATACGGTGATTTACCACATTGTATTATTAAAAAAAATTATTTTATGGCCATGTATTGTGTTTGTTATGATAAGATTAATCAAACTTCGTAGTAAAAAATTATGAAATTTTAAAATTTAATACCTCGAATGATTTCCAAAATTGATACACATTAAAACTTGAAAATTGAACAAATTGAAAATTGTTGTATATTCGAAAAAAATAAATTTCATTTCTTCGATAATAATTCATTATTTATCTTTCTTTTCAATGAAAATACCTGCATTTACTTCACTGATACTTTTGATAATTATTTTTAATGTTATCGGTTGTAAAATGCTTTCTGATTTACCAAAAATTTTTAAATTTCTAAAAATTTTTAATTTTTTCAAATGCAAATTTTCGGCAAAACAGAGTTAACATTTAATTTATATTTGTCGATGTACATCTGAAACATAATTTAATGATTATTCGCTTTTTTATTCTTCTATTTTTACATTATTTTTTTTACAGCAATCACTGAAAAAATAGACACATTTAAAGCAACGTAAATCACTAAACAAAGATCTCGTTTGAAATAAAAATTGATCCAGGCTTATAATTTCTTTAACTAGCATTTTCTGCTAGTATTCATCATTTTTAGTTGGGCTCGGTCCGCTAGGCTGTTGAGCCACAGAAATCTTTCTAGAAATTCTCTCGGAGATAGAAGTACAGGTAAGTCGTGAGCCAACTCTATTTGGTTTCTATTTCTGCTAGGAGTAGAACTCTACGAAGCCATTTGACCTACATCTACATGGATACTATGTTATTTTTATTTTTTTCTCATATCATTTTTGCGCAACATATTTTGTAGGTAAATTCTTTGATCGATTGCCGTAAGCTTTGTCAATTATCCATAATCAGATATGATTGAAATAATATTTAATAGTAAATAAGTGGAATGTTTTTTATGCTAATAAAGGATTGTGAAATTGAACAAAAGTGGAAAATTAACTTATCTTCTGCTGCTGCTTTGGTTGTTTCCATTGGCTAATGTGTTAACACTTAACGCTTCCGAAACTAATTTGAAGCCACTGCTTTTTCGGTATATTTACAAAACTTTAACGTTGGGATCTATTTTAAACGCATCATTCCAGATTATTTTTGATTTTTCTCACTTTTGCCATCCTTTATAAGACTTAGAGGGTGGCAAATTACGTCAATTCTTGTGATAGGTGATGAAGAAAATGGCATAACCAGCATACACGATATTATATGATATTATGATATTATTTTTAATTCATGCGGTATTCGAATGTAGGTGGATAATTATAAGACTCTTCGCTTCAGGGCACGTAAAATCTTAGACTAGAATGATCGAGCTATCTTTCACTCCCCTTGGCCATGTTGCGTGGCCATGTCATATAATTGAATTATTTCCCAGGTGAATGCGGATTTTCATTTTGCTGTTGATTTCGGCAGCGTCCGTGACATACCTCTTTCATCCTGGTAACGACTAAGAATAAGAAGTTAAGAGCGATGTTGCATATCTATCGCCGAAATTATGTAAATCTAAAGCACTTAATTAAAAATAAGTACATTAGAGCGCAATCAACTTCAGAAAGTAAAAGGAAAAAATGGAAGAGAACCATTTCCTCGTCCATTCTAGGCACAAAATAAACTGTCGAGCTGCCATTGTTGGGTAATTTGGGAATCTTAGTGGGCAATGGGGACAGAAAAAGGGAATAGAAAAATAAAAAAAAGGAGTGGCCAAGGCGAATTGGAGATGTTAGTTGATTCTATCAGGTATACGCGACATGGATCAGGTATGCGCCGATTTTTTTCTTCACCTTACCATTATCACCATTTACATCTGCCGCACCATCTTAAATGTCTTGAACTTAAATTGCGTTGTACATAATGCATGTTGTCTGCATATTATTTAATTACTCAAAAATTTGAGGCCCTCTGAGCTAAGTAAATAGCTGAGTAAATCGCAATATTCGAAAGGATGTAGTATTTGAATAGAATCCGCATAATAGGCATAATAAAACTTAAAAGGGAACGAATCTCCTGGACTAACATTGAAGAATTTTAATCATTGGAAATTCATGATATCTTGATCTCCTTTCCGTAGAATCTCTCGGTCTGTATTAGTTTTTTCTAAAAGTACAAATTTGTGGTAGTCTCTGGAATGTCGGCAGATGGGCTACAATCGCATATTGAATACTGACCAGAATAGGAGAACGACAGTTCTTCTTTCAGTTCTTAGATGAATTAACTCCTCACAACTAGAGATTTTTGGTGATACACGCTGGTAAAATATTTTTATGGATCGGATTATCTTCTCTGAAAACATCACCATCTTACCATCTGCACGAAAGAAAGATAAGCAAAATTTCCAATGAATAAATTCTGGAGATTCGTTCCCTCCGTATCGAAATTGCATTTGGCAATGCGGAATTTGATTTTCTCTATCTAAATATTGCTGCTAGGCCTTCCATTTTAAGTAGTTCGGTACGAGTTGCAGGACAGAAATTAATGGAATTTAAAAGAACCTCAAGCTTAGGCAATTAACATTTCTTTATGAAAAAAGGAAAGAGCGTAAATATTAAACTCCTCAACGTCTCATTTCCCTTGCCCACTCCCTTGTCTCGCATTTCGCTTCACTCCCCTCCATCTAACTATTCCCCACCATGAATCTCAAATGACCAAAACTGACAACTTTGAGGTTCATGTAGAGTTTGGGACATGCGAAAAAAAGATTTTTTCCTTTCTCTGCCTCCCACATTCTGAAAATGGAAAACTCTAATGTACTTATCTCTAATTAGGTATTTGCAATTTTGCTCGCATATTTTGGGTGATAATTTGCAATTCTTGCTCCTTATAAATTTTTAACGCTCTTACAGGGAAGAAAGTTGTGGATAATCCACCCCAATTTATAAGTTATTCTGCCATTCGGCGACACTTACCCTTCCAATGGGTCAGATAAATCGAAGGCTGTGGCATTGCAAATGCTATGAAACAAGTTACGGTGATTTGCCAATATTTGAAGCGATATCTCAGCCTGAATATTTGCTATAAATAAATGCCTTGTTCTGAATTAGTTTTGTTTAGGGCCCTGTATTGCACAATAAATCTATACAACAGAATAGAAGCGAAAATTTTCCTAGTGGTTTCTAACTCTTCGATAGCTATCGCATCAAGTCCTATCGCTCTTCTCGAAGATTGCAGCAAGAAAAAAAGAGAGTTTTCCTCCTGTCATAATTATTATTCATTAGATCTTAATACAATATTCTTATAATATTAGTGTTCTTTTTTTCATATCAGTAAGCACATTCACTGAAAGTGAATTGTGAGGGACAATGGACAATATTTGAAAAGATGGAGTTTTTTTTTACGTTCACTTGGAGTTTTTGAATTTGAATTTTTGAATGCAGATTATTTCTTGCACCGGTGGGTCATATGGCTTTCGCTTAAATCCGGCGTTATATTTAATTCATCATGGTCAAGTTTCGTTCCAAAAAACCTCAGGCCAAGCGACCTTTGGGAGTCTTTAGAGGTAGGTCATCGCTGACAAAGATCATTTCACTGATTTCATGAGTTCCGGCTGTTTTATGAAGAAAATAGAACACTTTCCTATTATCACCTAATCGAGCAATCCTCACGTTCTCACTTACGATGCTTTTGGTTGAAAAGGAAATGTCAAGAAAATCTTAAATAATCAAAAATGGAGAATAAAATAAAATCTCACGTTTAGCATTGAGGTGGTTTGTAGCCAAATTATAATACATAAAGGAGTATTTATCCAGTAAAATTTATCCAGCTGTTACAAAAAATTCTTTCTCTAGTCCCATGTATTTTAATTTATAATAAGTCTTTTACGCTTAACTTTGTTTATTTAATTTATTATTAATTCTCAATCAATTTTAATTAAGTTTTTGAGTTCCGTTCCATTTTAAATTTACTTTATAAAAATTAATAAAAATCAAATTATTAAAATCCTTTAAAAATGAATCATTTAAACCACTTCTTATAGTAGAAAATAGAATATCTTTGAATTAAATTTTTATAAATTTAATTTTTTCTACTTCTCTAATCGTCAATCTAAAATTATTAATGCAGAGGTATCCAAATAGTAAAAAACTGGGACCATTCGAGGACTAAACGAGAAAATTTAGGGTAAAAATAATTTCTCATGTTTATTCTTATTCTTATGCTTTTCACATTTACTGCTATTTGCTGCTGAATTATCGTTGATCTTGCTTGCAGCTGTTAACATAAAATGTAAAGAAATATGAAAAATGATAAATTTAGTTTAGGCAAATTTTATACGTCGCTGATATTAAATGAATGAGAAATTATTTTCCTAAATCATGGAATTCCAAACGATAGCTCATGAAACTGCTTCGATATATTGTAAAATTATTATTATTTTTAAAATTATTATTATTTTATTATTTTTTCGTGCATTTTTTGCTATAATTTATCGCCCCTGTAGAGTTATTTGTACAACTCTATTTGTATTTTTATTTATTACATTTTTCTACTCCCCACAACTCTTTTCTTCACCTTGCAGCAGGAAACCCTTACATCAACAAATCACCTGGGCATAGTAAATAGACCCATTCACACTTAACGAAAGATTTGATTCCACCAATAGGCTCGAATCGAATTATCTAAATCGAAATTTGCATTACCAAAAAGCTAAAAATCTGAATTGATTTCAAGCGATTTTTTTTAAATAATGGGACATTCTCAGAGAATTACTTTGATATTTAAGTAATTTTAATGTGAAGCGAATAAAACGATTGTTATTTGTTATTTAATTTATCTTATCAGTTTTTAACAATTATTTCTCTTATTTCTCTTATTAAACTTCTCGTTTTCTATTGCCAGAATTTTGGTAATTTTGGGATCGAATGATATTGCGACGCTTTTTTCGGAAAAGGTCTATCAAAAGATTATTTATTTTAATTATATTTGTTTTTATTCCAATTTTAATATTGATTCATAAAAAATTCACTATCAATGAAGTCACAGACGATAGAAGCAGTGACACAAATGACCGCCAAATATTTCATTTTCAAAAGGTATTTCATTTAATAAATTTCTTTTTTTTTCTGTTGGTAAATCATTCGCGTTAGCTTTCCCCCTTTCCCATTTTTCGTGTCAGATATTCTTCAAAAATTTCACATTTCTCTATTATTTTAGTACAAATCATTTTTTGCTAACAGTGCGCTCGATTTTTGGTTTCGTTGACTTCATTAACCACAATATTGAATTCAATTTTTAATATATATCAATTATAGTAAAAATATTTTAAAGTTAAAGTTCACTAACTTAAAGATTGCTTGTTTTTCAAGAAAAATGCACAATTGCGCTCATAAATATCTTATTTTACGCTTAATTTTAAAAAAAACGTCCAAAAATTTGCTTTTTTATGGAAAATCCTGATTTCTTTCTCATTTTAGGGACCATTGAAGGTGACTGTTTTGGGTTGGGATGGTGAGAATAATCGGAACCAAAAAGCGAACGTTCATTGGGCCGATAATTCAGTTCGTTCCTTCTATAACTTTCGAATTATTTTAAACATTTATCCATTTTTTTAAAACCATGTTGAGGATTTGTTTATGGAATGATTGTTGGTCTTAAGAAACATTTCTCGGGAAATCCTAGAAAAACCTATAATAACTAATTCTCTATGCTGTGAGTGTGTGGAAAAAATCCAGCTATTTCCTCTGGATGCTCAGCTTATGATCATTTACTAACATCATCTTAAACCTCATTCTGCTACAATTCGCTGCAACCCATCTCCATATTCCACTATTATTTCACTATAAGTAAAAAGGATTATAAAAGCTTGCCAAGTAACAAAGTAATGCAGTCTTTAAAAGATTACAGTATACCTGACAAAAAATATCGAATGTATGCAAAATTTTGAAGGCATCTTTGTTAGTCCACAGAGCGTGGCTTATCAGTTTATCATAAATTTTAAATAAGAAATCGCCAAAGCCAAAAAACGATAAATATTCGAAAAGTTTATTTTCCTCCAGAAACATTTCTTTCGCTCACATTATTTATAAATTTTTAATTTAGTAATATTTATTTATTTCTCCAAGAAAAAAAAAATGTGAAAAAAAATGAGCTGAATTTTTTTATAAAATTTTTTTATTTTTTTAGAAATGCAAAATTCCAAAATTGGAAATAAATGGTAGCGAAGTTATCCACTTTTTTGACAAGGCGGAACCACTGAACTGCGATTTAGAATCGAAAGATTGGATTTACATGGATTCTAATCGAATCATAAAAATTACTAATGATGCGATTAGGTTTCATATCATTTTTATTTTTACTAAATTAAAAATCCTGTAATTAAACTTTTTCCTAAATTTATATAGGAATAAAGTCTTCTTTTTCTGACAGTTGATTAGCATTTCTAGTTTGGCTGATCCCACTAATTAATTTGTTTATATTTATTATCGCTGGAATGATACAAAAGAAGTGGAATTCTTGTATAAAATATTTCCTTGGTACTAAAGAAAAAAATAAGGGAGCTTTCTCCTTTTTCCACATTAAATTATCAAACTCAATAATTTTTCACTCTTTTTAAGTAAATTTATTGTTAATTTAAATTAGTAAATATGGTGAAATAATCTGTACAATGAAAGCTTATCGCTCGCCAGATGATATTAAGGTGAAATTTGATGAAGGAATTGAATTTCGAAAAGAGGTTCAGCTGAATTCGAGTGATTTTGCTAAATTCATTTGCAAAACTTCATCCGGTGAAACGCAGTAGGTTTCTTTTCCGTAAATGAAGTACCATTTTGGTGGATTTTTATATTATTACTATTTAAGAATATATTATTTTATATTATTATTTAAGAAAATGGAAGAGTATTGCCGATATGCTATTCCTTCGCCTTGATCATAAATATAAATAAAAAAGCTGATAAAATTTTGAGGATACTTTCTCTCATGACAATCGCTCCGCAGAAAGAGCGAATAGGGCAATTGACGAAAATCAAAAAACCAAACGATTGGTCAGGACTCGACGTATATTTTTTAGGTAAATTTTTCGTGAAAATTTTCTTATTAATATTTTTCTAAATGATTTATAATTAAATAAATAATCGCAATGAAATATTTCGAGGATTCGACTCGGTTTCGCATATGACTTTTCGTCGAAAATTGCCTCTCACGGTGAAATTTCTTGAAGAGAATTTGAATGCGGTTGTGCTAAACGGTTCCATTCCACTATTTGCTTTTTTTAATTTTATTAAATGCTTTATTAAATAAAATCATTTTAATTTCGAATATTTTGGTTACAATTTAATTCGTTTGAGTCGTTTTATGCTAAATGATTTATTAATTGTAATATTTGTATTAACAATAATAATTATTATAATTATTAATAATTATTATAATTATAACTATGATTGTTAATTCATTAAAAATATAATTTATATAATAATTTATGTAAATATATACTTTACATATATATATGTATATGCCTTTCATCGTTAATTCATTACAATTTATAATTATTACAATAGTTCATTAATAATAATTTATAATAATTTATACTAACTATAACGACACAAGAAATATTAAACAGAAAAGCACACATTTATTTATAATTTATTTGGTAATTTCATAAATAGATAATGAAATTTATTAAAATATTATCGAAAAATTATTATGAAAATATCAAAAATTTTTTAAAATGTATTGAAAAAATAAACTAGTCGAGTTGTTTCCAACAGACCTGTTAAAATTCCAATTACGATTTAATGCTTTCGGATTGCAAATAGGCCTGTGGAGGCCTATATAAACCAATATCTCTAACACCATTATGGTTCGATCATATTGTGATCATAATATTTGGAATATCCAACATCAGTAAAGCCAATTAAACAAATTTTGATCAGGTTATAATATCGTCGGAGACGGAACACCTCAGGCTTTCATTCCAATTTTAACGGGAAAGACTGAAGAAGAACTACCGCTAACGAGGTTACTCTTTATAATTTAAAAATCTAATCTTTATGAACATCATTTATTACTATATTTTCATCATACAAATGCATTTCTTTATACTTTAAACATTTTATTTTTCATTTTCTTAATGCAATATTATTTAGAAAGCGTTTTAAACGAGCGCGTTTCGTCGATGAAGTCTATCCATTTGTATGGAAAAATTTTAGTGATGCTGGCTATATAACAATGTTTGCTGAAGACGATGCAGGTGTTGGAACTTTTACAAGCCGATTAAAGGTAGTTAATTAGTGGCGAGCAATCGCCATTTCTGGTTAGGCTTGCTGCAGTGGCTATTAAGATAAGTTCACCAGAAATTCTTTTTGAAATCTTTTTAGCATCAACTCGATTTTCCGATATCTTTTTTATGAGGGCTTGTCAGTATTATAGTCAATGATTCTAGGATACTTGATATGCCCAAGCACCCAACAAAAAAATTAATTCAATGATTGAGATATCCACAGATTTTCCAGGGATTTAAAAAGCAACCGACAGATCATTATTTGCGAACATATTTCATTGAAGCTGAAAAGCGTTGCATGGAAAATTCGAAATGTAAATGTCTCGACTCGAGAAATCTTTACGAAGTAAACTTAGGCATTCCAAAGTTTTAAAATTTAGTTTTATCCTATGAAAAAAATTTAAAATATTTCCTAAAAATGCAAAGATGACTTATTTGCGCCTTCTTCAACCAAAAAAGAAGCTTTTGATTGAAGGAACTGAGTGGCAGTCAAAATATAAGCCTAACAGGTGACTTCGGCATTCATTCCAATTATTCTTCGAACTTTTCGCTATGTCTATTGCACCAGCGTCATGTAGTAGATAAAATAATTGTGAAACGAAACGCACGAACTAATAAATTAGTCGACGATACGAAAAACGCAGGAAAACTATGTTCATACAGTAATACCGAGCAGTTTTATTGAAAAAGGAAATTTCTGTCTCTCTGCCATATATATAAAAGCATTCACGAAAATTGGGTGCTATGCCATTTACTGTTGTAAAATTCGAATAATTTACGAAATTTGGTGGATTAGAAATTCATTTTTAGTACGACAGACGTAGGCTAATGTGAATACTTCGAATTACTCGTAAGTAAGTATTAATAATCCGAATTCAAATCAATTTGCGAATATTTAACGACAACTGCTGCCGATTTCAACCTCGTATGGTACCTGTCGATCATTTGAACTATTTCCGCTGGTTCTCATATTTCTCGCTCATTTTTTTTGTATAGTTAAGTTGGCCAGGTGCAAAGGGGTGATTAATAGTGATGGCGGTTGTATACTTTTTCCATTCGCTTATTTGAGGGTCCACTTTCTGATGGTGGATGCAAAAGATCAAGAGAATTTCCTATTTTCATCCCATTAATACTTCTTCAGATATGATTTGAGAAGACTGGGACTGCATTTGGTATATTTCGATAATGCAAGGGAACTTTTCTAGATTTTTTGATATTGATCCTATCCCATCCATTTTGATAATAGTTCTCTTCAACGTGTCGATGAACCGTTCTGTTTGGCCATTAGTTTGTAGATGATAAACTGGAATATTGATATGGTTAATCCTCATATTCTCTCATGCACTCGGCATTCTCGGAAATCAAAAAAGACAGTATTCTGGGTGTAGTGCTTCATCTTATGAATCTCTAACCATCGAGAAAAAGATTTACGATCGCAAAAAAATGAGATCTGTTTGCTGCACCAGCGTAATCTACATTAATTCTGGTTTCGCAAGAATAATTAGAAACTTTCCTAGGAAACTTTGCTAGCTGATATTTTTTTCAAATTCCCGCACAAAATCACTTAAACATTTGTCGATGAAAGGCCAATAAACAAGGATATTCATTTTTATTACTCCTGATCTCATGATTTTTTGCCCAAGAGCTGATCATTTGACGATCCTATCTCCGAACATCGGTCTATTACTGAAAAAATTTCCCTTTCATCAAAAAAGTAGCATCTCTAACTGAAAGAATTAATGAATCGCGACCATGAATTTGGTAGAAGATTTCGTCTCGCCACCTATTTCAACTATTTTTAAACCCCTCTACAAAATCAAAAAAAAAAAATTTATTCTCGTTTTTCGTGCCGTGGGCAACATCCGAAACTGCTAATAAGAATCGCTTTAAAAATGATTTTATTGTAATTCTAAGAAAAAATTGAAACATATTTCTTCATTGTACGGTAATTATTTATTGGTGGAAAATTTGTGCAATTAATAATATAGGATTGGTTTCGCTATACAAGTGAATTTATGTTACGCTATAAAGCTTTGCCGAGATTTCTTCTGGCACATCAATCACGATACAGCCATAATTATTTGAATTTGGTTGAATTGCAAGATGAGCATATTGTTGAACATTTTATAAAACTACTGCAAACGAATGTGCTAAATAACAGCATTATTGTCACGATGGCTGATCATGGACATAGATTTGAAAAAATCCGACAAACACATCAAGGTTTTTTTATTTCATACGATTTATTGGCTTTTCTAGTTCCAATAGTAACCTTAATAATATACCGTTTTATCAAGCCTTACAATGTACTCTTTGCCACGGGGGCAGCAAACTTGATAGTTTTCTATAAAATTGCAGGAGGTAGCTAGTATAGGGTGATTAGAAATAACGAATGAATATGGAGGGAAGAGGCTGAATCAAAGTCTGTCTCAGACCAGCCTGAGCCTTTTAATTGAATATTCAATAGGTTTCGACTAGTTTCAGTCCATTCAATAAATTTCATACGTTGAATTTTCGTGTGGCCATTTTTCTTTTTTCACCGGCCTCAAATACGACAATTTATTTATTTATTTTATACGACAGTTTATTTTTAGATTTATTGTTATACTTTATTCTACAGTTAAATCTAGTTTACAGGCCAACTTGAAGAACGATTACCTTTCTTTTCAATTGCAATGCCACGTTGGTTTCGAGAAAGTGATAAAGGTCGCACAGCTTGGAAAAATTTGCAAGAGAATAAAAACAGGTGCATTTATCTTCTTGATAGAAATTTTTGAACGATATCAAATACCAGAATTATCATTCAATTATTGATTAGCATTCTCAGTTAGGCTCGTTCCACTGGCTATTAGAATGCGACAGTCTCATAGTTTCATTAGACTTGAATTGAGTCCACAGGACCAGTCAGATTTTTCAATATAAAACCCTGCGAAAAACGAGTGCCATTCCATAAGCTTGAAATGACAATCTAATTGATGGTGCACTCGGCCATGATACCCTACAACTCAAACAGATAAAAATATATTTTTATATTATTACTCGGTATTATTAGTAAATTTTCTGAAGATTGACGACTCCCTTTGATATACATGCAACATTAATGGATATATTACACTGGCCAAGTGAAGATGAACTCAAACGACCGGGAGATTTGAAGAAACGGTCTTTATCATTATTCCGACCCATTCCATCTTCAAGAACATGCGCTCAGGTTCTTTTTTTTAGGTCCTTTATAATCCATTTTAACTTGAGAAGTGCTTTAAAATTATTGATTTTCATAGACTACGTTGAATATGGGTTCAATTTCTACCAATCTGATGGAAGATCGGAAGTCGTAACGGAAGATAGGAAGGTAGAACTCTACAAGAAACAAACTTAGCACTAAAAATTAGAATCCTTGTGTGTGCTATATTTCTATCTCAGAAAACAAAGAATATTCTAAATGCCTCATCCCTGTGGTTGGTGAAATGAGCCAAGTTAGATATGTAAGATTTTAAAAAAGCGTCATATTTGGCAAATGCATTACCAATTTTATTTTAATCAAAAAATAATTTACTGGTTCAATTTTTATGAAAATAATTTGTGGTGTTTAGGCAGGAATAGATCCGCATTGGTGTACTTGCTTAAAATGGAAAAGTGCCATGAGTCCCGATCAGATCAACATTTCAAAAATGCTCGCTGATGTTGCTTTAGATACCATAAATTTGCATACTGAGCCAGAGAGAAAAATCTGTGCTGAACTCCATTTGGTACCCAACGTTTCAACGATCTTTTTAACAACCAATCTTACTGAATTAGCCACTATAATAATCGACAATTTTTCCGGAATGAATCCAGCTCTTATTGTTTCTATTGGTCCTTTCCTTTATATCTCGTTTATTTTACACAGATTTACAGACTCCCATATCGATTTATCAATATAAATTTATAAATGATTTTAAATTTTCAGCAGAAACTTGAGAGAGCTAAGCGATTATTACCAAACAATGCTTTGCTTGCGTATAAAAAATCTTATGACGCAGACGGCCATCGACCTGATTTAACTGGAAATACTGAAGCGAAATTTGCTCATTACCAACTCAAGTTTTGGACAACACCAGGAAATGCTTTTTATGAAGTTGAACCTTTAATTTTTGGAATGACTACCTAGTATAGAACTTCCAATGGCAACTGACCAGAATATACCAATCTGGTTGCACTGTTAGTTGGATAACCATCATCCAGATGCCAACTAGATTCTTCGGTGTCGGCAGCATATTAGAAACAGTCTATGCTCTTTGGCATAGAGAGCATTATCCACTGACCACTGGACTTCCATGCCACATTTGCCAATAACCCAATTCACCGTGGCCACAACTTAAGTGCGCGTCTCAGCCACTCCTGATTAAATGACCATGTACAAAATGTCTATCTTTCGGGTAGACATTGTGTTAATAATTGAGGTTCTGCATAGAATTTATCCTTGCCAAGCTTCTGCACACATAGTTGGAGCATATTGATGACAAAAATATTGCAGAATTTCCCTCTGAATTGAATACCATATGGTTTACCAACTTCTACTCAACTAAGTTGATCCGAAATACCACAGTCAGCCAGTATTAGTCGTACCTCTGATAAGAGGCACGTAATATTTACTCGAGACCAGAAATCAGGAAAACTAACCTCCGACAAGCAGAAGACATCTATAGATATTTACAATGATTGCAACGTTACCATGGTTAACATAAACAGAACTATTTTCCTTGAGATTTCGAGTAATTATCCTAGCTCCAGAATCTTATTTTCAAGCGTTGTTGCGATCAAATTGCCCATTTTTCGCACTATCGGGCTGGCATGCGCGCTATCAGGCTGGCATCAAGACCAGACTCTTTCACCATAAAGTCACTTGAGGATGTAAAAGAAAATTAAATTAAATTAATACTAAATCAAGATTATAAAACCATAAAAATCCGAAATTTAGGTGACATTATTATACGATTGGAATGAAAATTCAGTAACTGTCGACATGAAATCGATAAGTCATATAAATAAATACGGTGATTTACCACATTGTATTATTAAAAAAAATTATTTTATGGCCATGTATTGTGTTTGTTATGATAAGATTAATCAAACTTCGTAGTAAAAAATTATGAAATTTTAAAATTTAATACCTCGAATGATTTCCAAAATTCATACACATTAAAACTTGAAAATTGAACAAATTGAAAATTGTTGTATATTCGAAAAAAATAAATTTCATTTCTTCGATAATAATTCATTATTTATCTTTCTTTTCAATGAAAATACCTGCATTTACTTCACCGATTTCTTTCACTGATACTTTTGATAATTATTTTTAATGTTATCAGTTGTAAAATGCTTTCTGATTTACCAAAAATTTTTAACCTCACAAGGCTTTACATGAGCCACAAAATAAATGCAAATGCAAATTTTCAGCAAAACAGATTTAACATTTAATTTACATTTATCGAATCTGAAACATAATTTAATGATTATTCGCTTTTTCAGTCTATTTTTACATTTTTATTTTTCATCATTATTTTGAAAAAATAATATATTTAAAGCAGCATAACTCACTAATCTGATTTAAAATAAAACTGATCCAGGTTCAAAATTTTTTAACTAGACTCTTTTGCGGCATTTTCTCCAATTTTTTTGACTTCTTCGTTCACTGGATTTTCCAAATTAATTTGTTCATAGCCTGCAGTAATCGACTCATTTCTGAACGCAGGGAAAACTTCCCAAGGAGTTTTTAGATCAAATTTGCGAAATTCTTGAGCAAGTTCTGTAGGTTCGTAAACAACCCGTTTTAACTCCGCATCGTATCGCAACTACAATATAATTACAAAAAATAAAAATAGCGGAAAAAATAAATACTGGAACAAATCTTTCAAACCCAAGTTCACTTTTTCAACAGTCCGCTTAAACTTTGTAAAATGATAAATGATATATTAGTAATTTTGTAAAATAATATAAATGATATATTAATATTAGCGAAATTCAAATTGCTAACCTCTTTGTAACCAGAAAGCGGAAAATCTTTTCGGAATGGATGGCCTTCAAAACCATAATCAGTAAGAATTCTTCGCAAATCGGGGTGATTGTTGAACCAAACCCCAAACATATCATACACCTCTCTTTCATACCTGATTTTTTTTCTTTTCATTAATTTCATTCTCTTATGCTGTTCGAGAAAATCTTTTATGAAAATATGAAGATAAAATTAAATATCCTTTTGAACTATGCATATTTTTTTTCTAAGTCGTTCACCAATCCTAATTAAGTTCAGTCCGCTGGCTCGTCGAACCAAGCAAACCAGACCGTTTGGCGCTAAACATGGTGGGTCATAAGCCACCTGGATTCCTACTCCTGCCAGTAGTAAAGCCTCAACATTAATCTGAAATTGATTAACCCACTGAGTTTTCTCATATATCATTTTTGACTATGCAACATATATGGACAAATCCTATGAACTTTAAGCAGCCATAAACTTTATCTATTACCTAAAGTTAGACCAAGGCTTCGATTTTATCCTTTATCGAATGATGATCTAAAAGATAAACATATTTCTCGAAATACGACAAAATATTAATATACATAGGCATATGTATAAACGTATAAATATAGCATATAACAGAAGATGACCTTGCAATTTTTTTATATCTACAAATCTAGAAATAAAAAACTTTTTGGCTTAATGCTTCAAGTTTCGTTGTTTCGTTGAAGACAATGGCTTTCACACCCATCAAGCGCTACCCACCTTCTTTCTAGCTGGTGTGCAGTTTTTGGGTGCTGGACTTGGGGATGGAAACTTCCATGTGAGAAGTTTCCTGGTCTTTACACCAGCAATATATCTTCCTTTACCCATCTTACTGATGACTAGCAGGACATACAGATTTATGGCATAAATTTTATTCGTCCAATTGAGTTGGCTTTTCAAGGTTTATCTTTGGTGAGACGTAAATGTTGCAGTCTTCCTTGCCTCATCATCGTGTTTGCCATATAACAGTGGAATACCAAGGAACTTGTAGCTAGCTTCTGTATCTGCTATATATATATATATATATATATATATATATCTACTATATATCTTGATGGCTGGTCTACTCCATTAGTTATTACTTTTCTTTCTTTACTACCATCCGGCCACTTTTATCCGAATGATATCCCAATGTTCTGGCTCTAGTCCGAAATAGATGAGGGAATCAACATCTCGTTCACTTTTTGCATATAACTTGATGTCATCTATAGAAGGTGGCTGATGGTAATCCCGCTTTTAATTTGTACCCATATTCGCTTCTGGTGATTAACTGATCGAGAGGGTTTATGCAGAACAATAGAGGAAACATGCATCACCTTGGTATAAGCCGAACTTGATGGCTACTTGCGTAAGCTTTTTCGAGTTAATTTCAAGTGTCGTTTTCCACAGTCCCACTGAGTTCTCAATAAACGTCTTTAGGGTCCCAATGATTTTGTATACAGTCAGACATTCACAGATCCCATGTATGGGCCATTGAATCATAGGTTCTTCTGTAGCCAATCCAAGCTTTATACAGATTGGTCTGCTGGGATTTTGAGTCGACTATCTCACCTATATTCAACTGGAGCCTCTGGTGTTCCCAATGCTTCTTTGAATTACACTCAAATACTGGCTGATATAGTCATGAAGCTTGATGGCTATAATGCCTGACAGGACTTTTCACGACTTTTCATATTTTTGAGTCGTTCCTTATAAGCAACTGTGAAAGTAGATGGTTCCTCCTCTGAGAAGTTGCTACAACTTGTTCTCAGATCTTGCAGCCATTTTGCACTGGTGTTATGAACCTTCTATTTCTTCCAGCCATATATTTTTCCAGTACTGTTTAATCTCTGCTATTTGTGGCTCTGTTGCTACTATATTACCATACTATTACACTGAAGTTGAAAGTACACCTTCTTCCTTGGAGAACAGGACATCTGTCTTCTTATCTAAATGTATTTTCTTAACATAGTGGTCATAGTAGTGCTATAAACTTGTTTAGCAATTTCAAAGGCTTCTGATGCGATGCAGCCCTTGTATTATCCCAGCATTTTTTTTTCAAGAGTCCTCATGTCCTCACCATTACTGGTTAAACTCGCTCCGCTCGCTTGACGCATTGGATAAATAAGAGATGGAAGTACAGGCCAGGCATCAATCGGATTTTTAGACAGGTTTACTCCTGCTCATTTTCCCAGCATCTAGATATTATTCTTGTTCTTCACATCTTTCCATAATTCCCTAAGTAAAATGGTGTACACCACAGCTTTAATTTTTGAAATGCTGAAGTATAAAATCAAGAAAAATAACAATGTAAGGATAATATGCCCATGGAAAATAAGATTATAGCACAACAATGCAACAAAGAAATTAGCCAGCTAACAGAATTACAGAAATAATCCATAAAATATTTGCTTGGCATATAGTTTAGACCTATATGTAAATGGGAGAAAATAGGGTATAATAAGGCAAGGGTATAGATAGATAACTGGCCAATCAACAACAACAACAAAATATGGTGGTAGTAGACAAGAATCAAAAATCAGTAATAGATATAGCAAGTGACAGGAACGTGAGGAAGAGAAGAATATGAAAAGTTAGAGAAATACCAAGGGATGAAAGAAGAATTAGAGAGGGTGTGGAAAGTAAAAGCCAAAGTGAGAATCGGAACACTTGGAATTGCGATTCCTAAACTAAAAAAGTGGTTTTAGCAGATTCCAAGAACAAAATCAGAGATCTCTAGAATTCAGAAGAGTGCACTGTAAGAAATAGCATAGACAGGTAGAGAACCCAAGGATTGCCATCATCACCCAGAGGGTGGTGAGAAAAAAGTTCTTCGAGGTTACTTTTTATATTGTGCTTGAAATTAAAAACTGACCAGTTCGCGCCACGAAAAATAGATGTGATTGAATCTATAGGGGCTACCTCATCTGTATAGGTACGTACCCGGACGCGTGCATTAAATCTCGTGGAAAGCAATGAATATATTACCTAAAAAAAGATTTTTCATTTCATGTTCACTAAACAAATTGACTTTTTAGAAAAATGCATTAATTTATCTACATTAGATAAACGAGTGAAAAAATAATATACAAATTCGGCCAAATAAGCAGAGCAAAAAAAATAACCTCAAAGCGATTCTTTCTGGTGGGTACATCAACACCGCAAATAAATATCAAATTGGTAAATTGAGCAGAATGATTGCCTTTCAAAAATGAGATAACTGGGATAACACCGGTTGGATGAATTAGCAATTCAAGTTCGTCACCAGCAGCAAACTAAATTATAAACCGAATTTGATCGAAGCAAAATTGGATGAATTTGTTTGATGAAAACAAATTTTTTAAAAGTGCTTAAAAATATTAATATTTAAATAATATTATAACAATATTATTTAAAAGGACTGTTACCTGAACTTTCTGAATAAATTTTGGAAGACATTCAGCGGTATAACGTCCAAAATTAGCTAATCGTTCTCGTTTCTCTTTATTAATCTTCCATACATGATCTGAGAATGAGAAGTGAATTAGAGAAATCACTATATTTGCTATAAACTTGCTATCAAATTTTTTTCCTTTTTGCTGTAATAATGCGACAGTATGGCAATTAATCTTCGTTCATTGCATCGCAATATTAATTCTTCTTCTTCTTCTAACAGCTTTCACCATTACTGATTAGTCTGGCTCCAACGGCTACAAGAGTAAGACGCTTCAAGGCGTGGTCTGATGCCATCGTCGACAGCAATGGAAGCCAATCCTTCTTCTATCGTCTAAGTCCATATATTGCTGGTCCACCTATACGTTCAAAATCTTTTCTCACCGTATCAGTCCAGGTCTTGATTGGCCCACCTCGCTTTTGATACCAACCGTCACACGGTTTAGCATATAACGAAATATACCTCAACTACTGTGGTGGACGACGGAGAATGTGCCCTAATCAGCGAAGGAGGCGCTCTGTGATAACATTATTTATGCAAGTGGTATTTGAACGAAGGTGGATGCAATCTTGTGAGATTTTATCCACTCGAACCCGTAAAATATAACTTAGACAAGGGTGGTCAAAGGCAGATAACTTCTTAATAGGGCTGATTCCTCGATAATTTCGCAGTATGTCCTATCATCTTTCTTGAGAATTGGGAGCAGAATTGCTTTGCTCCAATCATCTGGTAATATTTCTTTTTTCCATACTAAAGAGTACATTTGTTGAAGGTGCCTTATGAAGGACAATGGATAGCATTTGAAAAGCTCAGCCCGAAGACCATCTTCTCCTGGAGTTTTGTTGGCCTTAAGTTTATGAATAATTGAAATTATTTCTTCTTGTGTTTGAGGCTCGCAATTTACAAACGTATGCTTCGGCAAACGTATCAGCTATATCAGGGGCAACAGATGGCGCTTCATGGTTAAGTTTGGCCTTCAAAAAGTTCATCATCTTATGAGACGATCCTTAATACTTTTAATTAGTACGCCATTGCTATCTTTTACCATTTCACTGATCGTTCTCCGAGTCATATATGCTTTATGAAGAAGGCAGAATAGTTTCCTATTGTCGCCTAATCGAGTCGCCACCCCCATTCTTGAGGCCATGTCACTCCAATAGAGATTTCTGCCCCGCCTTACTGCTTTCGTTGCAAATCTTCGAAGCACCCGGTAATCAGGATTACCTGACATTCGTGCTTTGGCAGCTTTTTCAGACAGTTGCTTCCGATACCCAACTAGCGCACTTCCTACTAGTATGCCTTAGCGTGGAAGTTTCTGATTTTCGGAGACATTCCTTTAGTTTGCACCAATATTCATTTGCCGCTCCAGAGAAATCATTGATATTTTTATCACTGAGATGCTTAATAATTCGGTTTGAAATGCGCTCATTGCCCCCGAATTTTTTAGTTTGAGATAGTTGAAGGAACTTGGGGGATGCTCTTTTCTGCGTGTTATCAATTTTATGCAGATCTTGGCTCGAACCCATAACATGGTCAGATCCATGAAGATTGCTTGTTTCAACTCCGCGATAGGAACGACTATTTAGTACGGAATTCTTCCAACGGCGACTGACTAAGATATAATCAGTCTGGATGAAGTGTTGGTTGTCCGGGGAGTTTCACGTGATGTTTCTAGATGTTTTTACGATACCGAAAGCAAGTATTAGTAACAAAAAGCTCTTCGGCATAACGAAGAAGATGTTCCCCATTGGCACACCGGTCTCCGATGCCATATTTGCCAATTGTTGTTCGCAGCTGCATTATGATCTACGCGAGCATTCCAGTCTCCCCCGATTATGATCATATCATGTTTCGGTAGAGACTTTGTTAGCAGTTGAAGTTCCGCATAGAACTTGCCTTTATCACGGTCATCTGCCGATAGCGTTGGAGCATAGACACTGATGACCGAGATATTGCAGAACTACGGGCATAGGCCATACGGTCGTTTACCGGTTTCCACTCAATCAAAACGGAATGGGCCTTGTCATGGCCAATGGACATGACAATCGCTACGCCATTTCGTCCTGAGTTATTCGAAGCACCACAGTGATATATAGCCAGTATCTCTGCTCTGAACCTAGATTAATAATTTCTCGAGATCCAAAGTGAGGAAGACGGACCTCTGACAAGCAAGCGATATCCACACGATACTTAGACAGGGTGTGGACACTGATCGCTTGGCTTGGAACGTCAATAATCGTTCTAACGTTCCACGCTGATACCTCGCCGCACGTGCAGAGGGCTGTTTCCCTTCTTGATAGGTTTCGAGCAATTACTCTGGCTTGAGAGCACATTTTATTTACCATCCTTGGGATCGCTTTAAGCCCGGATTGTATACTTATCACCGGGTTCAAAGTATCATGCGCGCCAGGAACGCGGACGCCGTATGAAGTGTATCTGATCCTTTCACCATAGAGTCACTTGGGGATAGAGTTACAGGTGGGTCCCCGATTTTTGACATAATAGCAGGTTTACTCCTGCCAAAGACAAAAAAAATTAATTTGAAGAAAATAATAAAACAATGAAATTTTAAAAATATATATATATATAAATAAATATAAATATAAATATATATATATATATGATTATATGTATATATATGAAACATATACATATATATTATTTAATTATAATTTAATTTATTTGATTTAATTTAATTGATTTAATTTTATTTTATTTTTAATTTTAATCGTTGTTTGGTAAAAAAAAATTAAAAGTTCAAGAGAATTTAGCTGAATTGTTATCAGAAATAATTCCCAAGTAAAACAAAATAAATCGAGAATAAATTCTTAAAAAAAAAAAAAACGACCGCTCGCCAAACCGCAAAATTTTATTAATTAATAAAATATAAATTTTAGAGGAATTCAAAGCAAAAGCAACCACTTGCGAACTGAATTTTTGGAAAAAAACTGAAAAAAGTAGAGAAAAATAGTAAAAGAAAACATTAATTAGGAAATAAAAATCGCAAAACCAACAGTCTGGATAGAAGTTTTCACTTCGAAGAATTTTAAAGTTTTTGAAAAAAAACCTTTTCGAGTATCATCTGCAGTCGCTGTCGTTGACGAATAACGTAAAATTATTCCTCGTAATTGGTCCGATTCTTTTTTTACTAATTGTCTGAGCATTTCTTAGCTTTTACTGAAATAACATTTCACAAAAAACGGAAAAAAAATGTTCGTTTATCATCGTTTGATAATCGCCGAATTAATCATGATGCGCCATCTGTAGCAGCTGATTTAATCGCATTTCGATTTATTTCCGTGAGAATTCGTGAAAAAATAATCATATTCTAATTCTAATACTCTGTATATTTTTAAAATATTTTTAGGTGTACTACATGACTTACAATCATAACTTCATTCCATAACTTGGAAAAGCTATAATACTTTCGTTTCTGAATACCTGCAAAGTCTCAAAACAATTATATCCAACTTTACGCGTAGAAATAGAGCAATTACTAAGATATCTTCATAAACGCCAAAGGGAAAACCTATCTTTCGAACAATTTATTTTAATGACAAAAAGAATAAAGACAATAAATAAAGTGAATCAAAGCAAATCTAACAATCAGTAGCCTCGCATCAGTAGCAAGGCAGGCATAAATTTCCTTGCACGACATTCATTAAAAAGTAGGAAAAAAATTGCAAGGCTTCTTATTGTCATTTCACATATCACACATCTTTACTTTGGATGAAATACATACTATTCACATTCATTTCCCAGAAGTTCTTTGAAAAGATGATTAGACTTTTCAAATTCGGCAGATGCTTCAGTCAACTGTTGATTAAATGTCGCTAATTTCTTACTAATTTCATTTAATTCATCAACCTGCAAAATATTCACATGGTTTTGTATAAGCATTGTTGAATACAGCCCTCTTTTGGGACATAAAATGCCTCAATGGGTTGTTGCTCAATTCGAAGCGTTTAAGTTCTAACCCCCACAGGATAAAACCTGTCCAAAAATCCGAGTGATGCTAGCGACTCACCTGTACTTCTATCGCAAAGACTTTATATTCCCCGTCACATATCATATTTGTCCAGTGCGACAAGCCAGCGAGGCGAGTTTAATCAGAAATGGTGAGGGCTCTTTAAAAAAAAAAACAGTTCTCTTTTAGAATTAAATATAGAATAAAAATTTGTAAGAATCAGTAGAAGAACTAACATATGAAGTTTTTTGGGTTGTTTGTGGTACCATATTAGCCAGATCAATACAAGATTTTGATCTCATATGAAAAATGCTCTCTAATCCGCATGCATAGGAGCGATTATTCATCAACCCATACCGCAACATATTGGCTGTAGCTATTTCCTTGCCTGCAATAATTCAGTTTTTATTATAAAAATTTTCTACAAACTATGAATAAATTCAATGTCAAAATCATTGTGAAATATCTAATACTGTGTTATAGAATATATTATATAAATAACTTTCAAAAACAAACCCAATTTTAAAGCGGAATCATCAATATCATAATGAAATGTATTGCTTATTTCAGGAGAAATTGACGCTTCTTTCGCATCATAATGATCTAAAAATAATGGAAATAATAAATAAAGACATATTATCATATTTTTCGATAGTTTAATCTAATTGGACAATTATCACATCAGAAATAAGCATGAAAGAATGAAGGGAAAAAAAATAAGCAGGAAAACAGAAGCATCTCCATATAAAAATATGTCATGTCATTTAAAAAAGAAAAACATGGATATAAATTCAGAAAAACATTTCTGAATTTAGACAGCGGAGATTTTTACTGTAAATCTCCTTAAATTTATCGAATAGTTATATTATTGACAAAAACCAAAAAAATACCAACTTTTTTCCATTTTTTCTATTTTCAGTTTATCTACATATTCATTTGAATAGATTGGTTTGTATTCATTCAGAACAATCCTTAAATCGGACAAATGATCATTTGCTAAGGCGGTTTTAGATCGACATTTTTTTGGCCTATTCAGCAGATTCGTAGCTGAACGATGATAAAATTTCTGAAAGAAAAAAAAACGTAGAAAAGAGGATAAAAGAAAAATAAATAATTATAAAATAATTGTAAAATAATAAAATAAAATAATTACTAAAATAAATACTAAATAAATCAATACTAAATACTAAAAATTCTATCTATATTCGAATTATAAATTATAAATTCAACTGCCGCTAAAAAAATGACATATATCTACTCTAATGAAATTTTTTCATATTTTTATTGTTATCTTTTGTTTTTTTTTCATTTTTTATTTCTCATACTTAATGCCAAATTTTTCATAATAAAAAATTTTTACGCTGAAGAAATCGCGTTTAATCCGTTGAATATTTGCCCAAGATCGCCAATATATTAAAGCTTTTCTAGCAATTCTGTTAGATCGTTTTATTTTGACCAAAAAAAATTTTCGTTCTAAATCAAGGGATGTACAATCACGATATTCAGATGAACGGCGTCGATGAATAGTCAGCTGAGATCGAGGAAGTGGAATAACAGGAAAGTTTCTCAAGAACGATTGCTTCGCGTCGCGTTGCTCCTTTCGTTTGACCATATATTTTTTCCACTGATTTACAAACTGTTTAAGCCATAATCTAAATATTCTAAGTATGTTAAATATTCTAAGTAAAAATATTCTTAAACATGGAAAAAAATATTTTGAAAATATTTTTCAATATTAGTATTTGATCATCAATTTCGCAATTATAGTTGGATATAGAATTGTTTTGTAAAAAATTAATCATACTTATCCAAGCGGGCAGCAATCTTTTTTAAATGTTCTTGAACATTTTCAACTTCCTGTTTCATAACTGAATCCACAATTTCTTTGATTAATTCATTTGCAACACTTTCCATTAATTTTTCACCAAGATTGTCAGAGACAGAACTGATCAAGAACACCTTTCTATCATTTTTCAACCTATTCTCACTGAAAACAAAAAAATATAAAATGAATGGAATAAACATTCAAAAATATTTTTTTAAAGAATAAATTTTAAGAAAATCTTTGAAAATTATTTAAAAGAACGATTTCAGAAAGAAAAATTTTAAGGCACTTGACGACAGCTGTGCATATATCCCCAACTATTTGCGCCACAGCAACATCCAACAAATATTCCGACATGTCTTTTTCAAAATAAGATAATTCTTGTGCAACTTTTTCCTTTTCGCTTTGCTTCCAGCGATTATACGAAAGCTTTGCAGATAGTAAAACTTCTTCAGCGTGATTTCTGAAAAATTAAAAAAGTATTATTACATAAATGATTAAATGAATGAATATATGTTTAAAAGTACTGGATGCAACTATCAAGCAATTCATCGCATAATTGAAAAGATATTTGAAGAATTGTAATATAATAGTTTAGCGAGTCCGCAAAAATGTTATCAATTTCTTTATTGATGACAATAGTTGCAATTTCATTAGCAGCTGAATCAACCTGAAAAATAATTAGATTTCTCAAAAAAAATGACTGAAAAAGGATCAAAATCATGAATAATAATTAATGAATAGATGAAAAAATTTCAATGCTAAATCAAAATTCAAAAATAAATACCATGTTTACTATGTTTACATCAAATATCCCACTTTGTAAATCAGAAACAGTAGCGTCACAACCGACACTGCGATATCTGTTCTTATTACTGAAATAAAAATTTACTTTAAAGGCTTTAAAATTATTCATTTATATCTCCAAAAATAAGTGATCAAATGCAAAAGAACTGATTTTCCACTTATGAATAAATTATATTTTAAAGCAAGATGATAAATTTTTAAAGAAATTTTAAGGAAGATTTAAAAATCGAAAATTAAATAAAGGAAATTCTCTAAACGGTAAGCAAAACATACTCTTCCATATCGAAATCTTCAATATATTCTGAGATGATGGGATCAGAAGTATAAATTCCTTGTTCATTGAATGAATTCGCTGGCTTTTTTAAAATAACTTCCGAGCATAAGCCGCCACTCAAAACCTATCAAAGAATCCAGTTCAAATAATGACTATATTGAAAAAGTTTTGCAAAGTATGAAAAAGAAATAAAATTATAAAATAAATATAATTTTAAGAAAAATTACTTGAGCTATAGGAGTGTCTAAGCGTTTCTCTTCAATCCAAAGTGACATTTTTGGTACAGGTGGAGTTGATAAATAAAATTTAGACTTAGATAACAATATGCATATATCATCTGGTTCGGTAATAGTATCGACACGCATATTGTAATTCATAATAAATTCAGTGGCATCATTGATGCTATCAAAACCGAGAATATCAACAAGTTTAGTAATTGGGTACTGAAAAATACGATTTGGCAAAAACGGCTACGTTGAACGGTTACATAAAAGAGCACAAATAACACTGAAAAATTCCCTCAATTTCCCTCAGTTCAATTCCCTCCGAAAAAATATTGAGAAAAAATTTTCAATGAAACAATGAAACATACTCTAGCCTTTTCATGCGAAGAGTAAGCCATCACATAAAGCGCATGATTCCGAACATCATTGAAATATCGATGACATAAACAGCACTAAACTTTTTGTATTTGAAATGATTATCAATAAGATAAATATATCATTAAGAAAAATGAAAAATCGATAAAAAATGCAGCAAAAATATTTCAAACATTTTCAATACTTTTATAAAAATTCTTTACAAATGTAAAAAATAAAAAATTATAAACCTGTAGATAAGTCGCATTTCTCTTAAGCAATTTAAAAAATCTTATATAATTTCCATTTTTGAAACATGAAAAAAGGCGTAATGCGAGCCTCATTTGCAAGGATTCGCGTATTTCTCGGCGATATGTTAGTATTTGCCTGAATTAAGATTTAAATGAGAACAACAATAATTTCACTAAATAACACTAAACACTAAATAACACTAAAAAAAAGATATATTCAATCACCGCAAAATGTTGGAATCTTCTAGGTTCAACATGACATCATATGCACGGATTTCAGCTTCATTTTCACAAAGCAGTCCTCTCTTTGCCAGATCGTCATACAAATATCTCAAGCTTTGCAAGCTTTTGCTAAGATTTTCTGCAAAAAAATTAATCTTTTGTCAATAATTTTATAGTCTTTTCAAGGATGAGCCATTATTTATTGAAATTTAGTTAATTAAAATGAAACATTGGCGCATAAGGATTTGAAGAAATAAATCAGTAATATCAAAATAAATAAATAAATAAAAGTTTCTTTTGCTAAATATAAATTATTACTCACCAGTATTCATTTTTTGGTCAAATTCATTTGGCCCCAAATGGCAAAGTCTGTGGGAGGCAAAAATGTGAAATCGAACACACTGTTCAATTAAAATCACTGCCACCTCATTGACAATCATTTGTTGGGTGATATCCTGAATTTAAAAAATTAAAAAAAATTTTCAAAGAAAGCAAAAATAGAAGGTACAAGAAACCTTTCGAATAGCTCTGGTTCGATTCCACAAAAAATCATACCATTCCGCTAAATTTTCATCACGCGAAGGAACACTGCTAGCTATCTAAACATATCACTTAAGAAATGGCAGAAAGTTTATAGAAAAATTTAAAATACTTCTCAAATTATACAACAACAACAACACAAGCTTAAGGGCTAATCACCTTATGAACTGAGAAAATATCGAAAATTACCGTTCACGGTCATCATCAAACATGGATTAAATAACAATATCAAAGCAAAAATTCACAAAAAATTCACTGAATTCAACACCAACTTAAAGTGGGCTAAATCCTTATATATTTAGGCAGCATTCCATTTAACACATTTCTACCGCTTAGTGTTGGTATATGCTTATATTAGTAAATCAAAGTCTTCTGAATCACCTTAATTTCATAGAAATATTATATGTACAGTGCTTGGAGAAAATCAAGATGCATATGCATATTCTTACGACTTAAATTTCATAAATAAAACCTTTTCGATAAGGTAATTCATCGTGAACTGAAGAACATGAGTAGGACGAAGCTCGTGTGGAAGAGGCTCTTCCTTAAAAAAATATCCAATAGCCTAATTTCAGATTTTTTTTTATTTCTTATATAGAGAAAAAATCGAAATATTCAAAGAAAGAAATGAAAATTTTGCTAGAACCTAAGTTTCAAATCTTCCTTATATTTACCTGAAAACCCATCAAGTCAGCACGTAAAAAATTTTAAATAATTCTCATTTAAACACCAATATATTATTAACGATAATATCTATAATTATGTGCTTAAAAAATGTGAATAGCAATAGTAATTTTATCATTAAAACATAAATATAAAAATATAAATATTGAATAAATAAACATGTAAGCATAAACATTTTTATAAAGAAATATTTTTTCCATTACCTGATCTGCGGCACTTCTGCTATATTCTTTTATGGCTATTTCGGGAATCATTTCACCCAAATCATTGCATTCATAAGGACTAACTCGTTTTTGAATAATTCTAACATATCGTTCTTTCTCACTACACATGTCTTCACAAGTGCCCTAAAATTAATGATATAATATTAAAAAAAAACAAAATATGATTGAAAGACATACAAAAAATTGTTGCATGCCTGAACCGTAACTGCTGTCTCGACATCACTAGATTTAATTCGAGCTTTGCAAAGAATTTTATCGCGCTCCTCCAACAAGAGATATTTATCGTAGGTTTGCTCACATACTCGTCCAATAAGAACTTTCAGCTGCTTCGCTAAAATTGTGAAAGCTGAATTCAGATATCAAACGGTAAAAATTCCTGTGAAAAAATATAGATAAAAAATTTATATGCATAGTGTTGCTAACCGAAATGCAAGTGAGCCACGCTTTAGCAATCTGTTCTTGCATTTAAAAAAATCGACTTTAATAATTTAAATATCAAATTTATAAATAAAATTTTAAAAATTAATAAATAAAACTTATTAATTTAATAAAATATTAATCAAATTTTCAAATATCAAATTTTATTTAATAAATTTATCAAGTTCCGACAAGAATTTTTTCAAAAATTTTATATAAGAATTTTACATCTTCAGTAAGACCGATTTACGGATAAGAACATTGTTTCTACTTTCCAATAATGACTGCTAAATTTATTAAAACCTGATTTATACTAACAATTCTTGGACTCACCAACATCTTCTTTTGATAGGGATGTATATGACTTTGGTTTTACATTCTGCATCAACTTCTTCTTTGGTTGAGCCAGTTCATCGTCATTTTTATCGCCTTTCTACAAAAAAATTAGCTTAGAAAAGGCAACAATTATTATTTGAAAAATTCTGACGAAGGATGAACAATTTAAAGTAAAGAAAAATAATGGCAATAAAATATTTACACGTTTGGCACTTAGAAAACGATTATCGACACCACTAAGAATTGTTCCAAGGCGTGATACTTTAATACGCAAATCAGTGTCTGATCGTTCAAGGTTCTTTTGCGTTCGTAAAGAACTTTGAGCAGAAATTTTATGATCTTTTTGGCTAAGACGACGACGAATTAAACGAGCTGTCCCTGTAATAGAAGATCGACTTCCTCTTAACGGTCTCAGTTGATTTTTGTGGCCGCGTGATCCTTTAAAACACAAAATAATAGAATAAAGTGAAAATATAAAAAAATATTTGACAGTGAATAATGAAACTGAAAAAACTACAATATCAAATGAATATCAATATAAATAAAATTATATGTAAGAATCAAAACCAATATCCAAAATTATATCCAAAATATTATATCCAAAATGAAAAAATTTTTTCTAAAAGTATGGAAAATATTATATTTTTAAAATCGAAAGATACAGAGTATAATAAAGCAAGCTCATTTATATAATTCTTATATTGATAATAAAATTCTTAAGAGAAAAATAACAAACCAATAGATCGACCGGGACTATCGAAATCAGTATAAACAGCACTTGGATGAGTGGGGAATTTTGAATTGAATCCAACTGTTTCTCTACTCTGTTCGGGCGTTTTCATTAACAATTGTTTTTTTGCTCTTAAACTGAAATGGTTTCTTGAATTACTTCTAAATATTTAAATCAACCAATTTTCAAAAAAAAATGGAAAATTACAATATCAAATCCAGATTTAAAAATTTATAACTAATTAAATTTATTATAATACGATATGACCCTTTTTTCTTGATTGCTTTTTTGGCCAAAAAAGCAATCGATTATTCAAATAAATTAGCATAACCAAGATGCAGAAGCCACATAAGGCCAAAATCTAGTTAGCAAAATCAGAAATGGCATATATTTTAGAACAAGAAGAAGTGATAAGGGTGATAGAAAATGATAAAAATGCTTTGGAAAAAATATAAGAATGAAAAACAAATAAAAAGGAATAAATTAAATAAACCTTTGAGGTATACTGAAATTGAAGGACGAAGCCATCACAATATGCACAACCAACAACTAAAAGATAAAAAAATATGAAACATAAAATATTTATCGGGATAATTTATCGAGAATATTATTAAAATGAACGAAAAAATCAAAAAAGTACGAAAGAAGAAATCGAATTTCACCACCAAATTCTACAATTGTTTTCTATAATATTTTCCGCAACGTTTCACGGATGCGGAACCAGGCCTCCAACCGTAAAGAAAAGAAAAGAAGTCTACAAGGAGCGATGGAAACGTAAGAACACGAAAAGTAGCAGAATTTAAAAAGATAAAAACAGAAAAAACACTAAAACCCGGATAAAAAGAACCTCACGATTAGACTGTCACCAAGCACGTTAGGCCGCTACTCAAGGAAAGAAAACGAGGCCAACGGCTCAGATTTTATGGATAAACGCATAGCTAAAAGAAGAATGGGTTAAACTTAATTCTGGAAAATATTGGTCGGCGCAAAAAATATACCGACAAAACCGACAAAAAACCGACTAAAGTAACCGTAATCGTAGTTTCGTTGTGAAACATAAAGCGATTTTAAATGCCATTTTACCATTTTATATCTAATGAAAATTTATAAAAAATTATTGGTAATTAGATAAGGCATAAAAGTGAAGTGAAGACTAACTGATAATTTTGAAAGGGCCTGAAAGATTTTAGCGAAAGAAGTCGCTGATTAAGCAACGAAAGTAATCGTAGTATGGAGAAAATGAACGAATTTCATCGTCATATTTTCTGCGATTTTTTTGTAAGAAATTCACGAACAAATTTAAATTTCAACTTTTAAATATCGTTTAATTTAATGTTTTGTAGGCTCATAACTAATAATTTTTCTGGTTTAGCAGTATTTATTTAAACGAAGGCCGAGTAAAGCAGCGATGAATTTGTAACAACTATGCAAAAGCGACAACTATGCAACAACTATGCACTAGCGAAAACAAAACGCTGATTGCAGTTTTGCGACTTTTGCCGGCCACATCGCAAGCTGATTGATAAGAAAAATATGGTGTGCAGAATCATAAATCAGCAAATCAGCTGAAATTATGAATATTAATACGCAAATCGCACTTTATCTCATAAAGTAAATAAAATAAAAGATTTTGAAATTCGTATCAAAAATAGAAATTAATTTTTGAGAAAATTCAAATTTTATGGCAAATAATTATTAAAAATATGAATGTTTTTTTCGCTGTGCTTTGCATAAAATATATATTTATTAGAAATCTTTGCAAATATTTATTTTTATTATTGAAATATCATTATTTATTGGTTTTAACGACAATCAAATCTCTCAAGAATTTAGCAAAAAATTATTTTGTTGTATAAAGAATTATATAAGAATGGTTGAGCTTAAAGTTAAGGTCAAATGTTGTTTGCAAAATAAAATCGCCAGATCGACTTCCTCATTATGCAATAAATTAATATTAATCCATTAATGCGAAGTACTCGAGATCGCCTTACTCATTTCTTTTTTTAGTATATTTGCAATAAAAATAATTGATTTTTCCTTATCCTAAAAACGCTCATCGTTTTTGCTTAGGTTTGCCTTATTGGACCATACAGATTCTGCCAGAGAGCCATTTGATAAACAGAAACACAGGCGAATAAAAGATTTTTCGGCAAATTTATGCCTATTTGGAGCAGAATTCGAGTTTCAGTATCAAAATGTCATCGGTAACTCACTGACCCCTTCATTTCGCAAATATTAAAAATCTTCAAATGATAGTCATTATTATTATTACTATTATTCTTCTTACAGATATTTTTAAATGAAATACAGATTATTATTATTATTATTATTATTATTATTATTATTATTATTATTATTATTATTATTATTAATCGTTATAATAGTTTTATGGTTATGAATTGCAGAATTTTTATTTTATTTAAACCTACTATTATTATTATAAAAAATTGAATAATAATTTCCATTGAATTGAATTTTTCGAATCGAAAAATGATTAGAAATATGCAAAAATCATATCAAATAACATAACAGAATCATTATAAACATTAATATTAATCGTATATACAATGAAAAAAGAAAGATATAATGGTAATAGTTAAGCTTAATGATGCTCATCCATCTTTTTCTTCCCCTTCTCATCAATAATTTTCCATTTTCTATTACTTTATTATTAAATAATGTTAATATTAATAATAATAACGGTACGAATTTTACTTAATTAATTGATTTTAATTTTTATTAATATTTTAACTTTTTTTATTAAAATTTTATTTTCTCCAAAATTTTTTCCCACTTTTGTAAACAAAGTTTGATAGTTTATTGCGTTTTTTTTCCTACAGTTAATCGCTTCACTATATTACATTTTAGGCTGATAAAGTATGAAGGTGTATAAAATGGGTATTAGAGGTATTCTTAGTATAGAGGTATTCTTTGAGATCTTTCATCCTTATAGCCAATGCAGTTAGTTGAATGCTGAATATTGTTAGAAGACATAAACCAAAACTATAAGATCTTCAAAAAAGAAGGAATGGTGGAAATTGCATTCCACATTTTGCACCACTATCATCACCATTTATTTTACTACTTTTCCTTTCGTTTAGATAACAATTTTGGTTTGAAATCGATTCAGAAGACCAATTTTCAAGTGCAGAAAAAAATAATTAATCATAATTGAAAAGTTTCTTATTTCTTTTTCATAAATTTATAAAAATTTTTAGTTTGTCCGAACAATTGGACTCGTTATGATCGAACAAAATCATGTTTTTCTGTAATCGAACAACGATTACGGTGGTCGGAAGCAGAACAAATTTGTGAGGATTTTGGTGGTCATTTAGCATCGATTACGGATGAATATGAAAACATCTTTGCATTTGGTATACTTTTCCAGAAAAAAAATGCTAAATATGTTTCAATAGAAATATTTGAAGGAAATTTTTTGCAGAAGTAGCAAAGAAGGCAAATCTCAGCGTACAAACAATTTGGTTGGGCCGAATTGTCAAATTGGCAAAAACAGGAGCATATGAATGGAATGATGGCTCAGTTGGACGTCATGCTGATGGATTTAGAGGTGGTGAGCTCATTTTTTGTCTTACCAATTGCCTACCTAATTCGTAAATTCTTTTTTCTTAGTGTAGGCATATCAAAGCTTTTTCATGATATCACTCACAATCATAAATAAATCCTTTTTTCAGTTTTTTCTCTAAATCTGGTTAAACTTATAATTTTTCATTCATTTTCCCCTTCTATCTGTAATATTAAGCCAAATTATTGTAGAGCCGCCATCTGGAACTGATATTTGTCTAACAATGTGGCTTGATTTCGATAGACCTGAAGGATCATGGAACGAATGGGATTGTAATTATGCTACCGGTTATTCTGCGCTTTGCAAAAAGTCTTATAAAAAAGCATCCCTCGTATCAGGTTCATTTGTGATTTGATAAAATACTGAGATTAAATCCATTATTCACTTAATATATTTGAATTTTGATATTAAAAAATTCAGAAAATTGTGCCAGAAAGATATTTATATTTCCCGATGTATTTCATTTAGTTTTACCAAAATTTTTAAGCCACTGTAGTAAAAACGACAGATACTCCCAATATTTACTCAAGCAAACGCTGCTGTGTATCGACTATGTGCTCTAGCCGATGTTCACCAAATGAACGGTGTATACCAGATGATTTGGATTGCTTAACGAAAACTTGCGAAAATCATGGGCCCGGATGGTGTTTGCCCGCTGTTTGATCTAATTTTGCAATCTTCTTTTCAAGTTTTTATTTTTATATAGATGAGATATATGAAATTGTGAAAATTTTTCAATTATCTTTTTCTTAAATTTTTTTGATAAATTGTCAAATTTTCTGATAAAATCGATTAGAATCATGGAGAATGATTCTAACATTAGTAATCGGATCTAACAGGTTTACTCGTGCCAAGGGATAGAAAATCGAACCTATCCATGAAAATTCGACATGGATGCACCACAGTAGCTCGCAGTAGCTTAATAAATTTTCCATTCATCGACTTTTTTGAGAGCTTTTTTTTGTTATATTGTAATGTTTATAAATTTATATACATTTCTTTGTTGATTAAAACAAATATGCATTTGTTTATTTTTAAATTTTCATTGATTTTTTTTTAAAATTCATTATCTTATTCCATTAAACATTGATATTCTTATCATTATAAATGAACATTGATAAGAATTTTCATAATTTTATTTGCGAGAATATTTTTTAACAAATCAGAAAACTTCCATTCTTCAAAAGCTTATATAAACTATTGGTATATACGAAAATAATATTTCTTACTAGGCTCGATGCACCGATTATTAAAATGAGGCAGTTCCACTGGAAAGGAATAGATTTGCAGATAAATAGCCAACACCACTTGCTACTTCTTTTGAGTCGATGCTTAATGCTGAAAGTAACCAAGGAAATACGTACTACTCCAATTACTCGCTTAAGATCGAGATGCTCCCAATCATCAGCAAACGATTGTCGAATGAGGAAAAAAACGATTTTCTTGTCGTAGAGTTAAAATCTAAAAAAGCGACTTTTCATACTGAAATAATGGGAAAAATATGAAATAAAATGTAAGCAGCAGGCTTGTATTTGAATTAAAGCCAACGAAAATGGACTGAAAACTGATATGTTTGCATTCAATATGAAATGAAATGAACGCAAAGAGAAGAGAGAGTAGCGGAAAAAGCGTTGTTATTGGTGAGTGAGTGCCCTAAGGGACTAAATGCCTTGTTCATTCTCTCTCTTTAAAATCATATTCAATTTCAAAATATAATGAGGCTGATGGATGGTGTGATGATGATAATATTTGCTTGCTATCGTGAAAATATTTGAAATACTTCTTGTTTGGCATACGGTAGAATCGAGATCGAGACTAATAAATTAAGAGAAAAGTAGAGAAGACGATAGTCGTCATCGGTCGTCGTTTATCGAGAACTATGAAGGAATAAAAATAAAAAGGTCTGATTGATTGAAGAAGTTAAAGAATTTGAAAGTAGGCTGGTTGTTTAACTCAAAAATTCCTTCTCACTACAAAACTCCCTGTCATGATGCTTCATATCGACTCAAACACTGCTGAAACGGTACCAATTTTCTTTTATGCTTTTATTTTAATCTTTTTAAACTTGTTGTTAGTAGTAGTTTTTGAGAAAGAATGATAATTGGGATTTTTGATTCTCCAATTCGGATCAATTTTCTGGATCATCATTATATTTAGCGAATATTATTTGTTTAAGGATCGTATTCGATCGCTATTAGAGTATTCTTATACTTCGTAAGAATTATCTAATCCTTTCATTTTCAAAACAAAATATCCATTAAGTTGTATTCACAATCATAAAATTACGTAAGAAAACGACCACTAAATTTATACATTTGGATCAATTTCAACAAGTATTCATATTGCATAATATTATCGAATTTAACAGGCAATGAAAACCGATACTGTCCAGCAAGATTCATTTCCTTATTATTTTTATCTAATTTTTCAGATGATTTCGAGCACTAAGGGAATATTCTTATAAAACACTTTGAAAGCTATAAATTTCTTAGGTTCCTTACGCTTTTTTTGTTGATACTTTAACTATTTATATTTAATAATATTAGGATAGATTATAAACTAGTTCTTGTTGAAGTTAAGTTTTTCATAGATTTTTTAAAAGTCGAATCCAGTTCAACGAATAATTATAACAATAGAAAAGTTCTGGAGTGGTCCTTATTTTAAATCGAATATAATTCGTAGAACCAAAATTTATCACTGAAATAAAACAATCTAAATCTAGAAAAGTTTTTTTAGTCTATTTCAATTTGCTGATAAAAGACTCTAACTGGCAGATAAATTTTTGGTGAGTTTTTCGGCATCAGGCCAAGAAGTGGTTTATGGTATCAATCATGTTTTACACCACCATATATCTTTTTTTCTAATAACGCCTGCCATTTTAGTTTAAATTCGTTCCCACTGGCTAATTTTGCCAGAGAACCACTTGTCGACAGAGATACAGGTGAATAACAACCCAGCAACAACCTCACTTTTCAATTAAAAATCTCTAAATAAGCAGATTTGTGATGAATAGATTTGTCCATCAATATTGCTTAATTAATTAATAATAATTTAATTTATTTATCATTATAATTTAATTATTAATTTGATCGAATTCCTCATCTATTATCTCTAATATTTAATCGTATTATGCATTTGTTATAAAAAGAATACGTTCATCATTCATATAAAATATTTTGGCTCAATAATCACATAAACTATCCCTTATTACAATCGCTATAATCGTTGTATCATTAAATTTCAAGGAATAACCACCTAATTAGCGTATTGATGAAGGCTAACTAACTGTCATAAAGTGAACATATCTTACTTCATTCAAGCGTGTAGTTCTAATGATAGCTATCTAATGATAGTTATATTAGCTATTAGTTGTATTGTATTATATTGTATTGTAAAATAAAGAACTCTTAATAGCTTCCGGCAATAACTATTAGCACTAATAAATTTTCAAAGAGCTTTACAGAAGCCAATTAACATTCCATCTGTCATTTGCCTACAAAATCCTGCAAATTTTCATGATGGCTTAGTCGATTGGCCAAGTTTCTCAGCATAAAACCTATAAATTTATTTTTTATATTCTTTAATTTTAATTGAATCTAATGGCACATTGAACTTTAACATTCTTTTCGAAATGATACAAATCATCTAATTGGAACACTGTTAGATAGAAATACTAAAATAATTCGTTATGATAGATATTTAGCAAATTTTTGTTTGCTAAAGTGGCAAAGACTAACAACAATTGTTAGATAAATTGTCTATTGAAGGTGTTAACTTACTTTTTACTAGCTTTATTACTCTTCGTTACTGTCACATATTAGTTCTAAAGGATATCTTTTCGTATTTTCAAGTTTTCCCACAAATCGCTGAAAACAAAACTTATTAAGTTTGCTACAGTAGTACTGCATATGAAGCAGATTACTGTAGTTTTAATTGCGTCTAGTAGTCAGCTTAAGCCATCCTTATCCGTATCGCTAAAAATTTAAGTTCGACTAGCATCACCAGCAAATAATTCATAATTGATATCTTCGATAACACTTTCTAATCATTTCTAATTAAAACTTTTTTGTCAAAATCACTTCAAAATTGAATTAACTTTATAATAATTCAATCATGTACTTACAAATATTCAGCGAATACTCAGTGAATAGGCAGTATGGGTGAGGGGTGAGTGGTATTTTGTTTAGACTATTATGAAGTGCCATAGTGCTTACCTTTCAATTTAAGGAGCAACTGATCAAAGTTCCAGTGGTGTGGAAAAGCCATCTGCATTTCCATCTCAGTGTGATTGATTACCTAGCGAAAGTGCTTCATCCTCCCGATAGCCAATGAAACAATAACCAGAAATGGTGTTACTAACCACTAATTAATTAATTTAGGCAAATAGAATTTTTTGAAAAATATATATGAATGCATCCGGTTTAGTGGGAAGTAATAGTATCGGTATCCAAAACTTTAAAAAAAGCAGTTGCTACAATGATTAGTTATAATCTGCAAATATCAAGTTTCTCGAGAAGAAAACCGACTTTAAAACCTTAACCGCTCTTTTAATTCATTTATTACTGTCTCTGAACTTAATATAGCTGATCGCATTCGGCTAAATACACAGCTATCACTTTTAATTTCTGTTACATTTCTAAATTTATAAGTTTTGGAACTAATCGTTTAAAAAAAACTTTTGATAAAGTTGTCAAAAGTTAGCAAAGTTGCCATATTTTTTTTTGTACCCATCAGTTCTTCGAAAAGCAAACAAGTGCAATTAAAATGAATCAAAATCCAGAAATTCAAAAAATTTTAGTGATAGGGATGGCTTCAAGAATCTCTTCTTCGGCAAAGTTCCGCAATTTTGTTTAACCAATAATCACAAGAAAAGAAAATTAACTTAATCCAATCCAACTCTGATAATAAGGCTATAAAATTGACTATAATCCATTCCCCATCGAATACACCTCTTCTTCTTTCGACAACAAGTGCCATTTCTAGCTTGTCTGGCTGTTGATTACTGCTATAGAGCAGGGTCAATGCGGCTGAGAGCCATTTTAAAATAAAAATACAGGTGGTGTACTAGCTGCAACTAATATAAATAGTATCAATGTTCGTTCATATGCGCAGTTTGGTTAAATAAATTGAACAATTAGCATTTAGCATCGGATTATTAAATTCATCATTTTTTACACATTAATTCATTATTAAAAAAAGGGATTCTCGATTAAAAATAAAAATAATCTCAACTTTTGACCGAGTTTGTCGACAAAACATGACGATTATATATGGTTTACATTAGATGAAGAACAAATAATGAAGTGTATCTGAATGAATAGTTAACAATGGTACTTAAAGATGCTTCACAGCTCCATATTTGCTGCTATTTTGTTATCTTAGCCAGCAAAAAAAAGATCTTCACTAGAGTCAGTCGTCATTCACTGCCATCTGTCATGCTCTTCTTTCTTTGCTTCGGTAAACAATTCTACATTTGTGACCGACGAGCCTTTCTATAATGCCGATCATATTTCATTTTATTCCACTTTCTTAGTAAGGTAAATTAATTGATTTGCCTTTACCAAACTTAGATGAACATCATTGTAGTAGTAAAATATTTCGCGAATCCAAAAATTCTCCCTAAAAAAGAGTGATACTTTTCTATGAAATGGAAGGGAAAAGTTGGAAATTTTCATAATAATTTCAAAATGTTGATGATAATGGAATGATAAGTGAAAAATGGTTAGCGCTCATCGAATTAAGCTGGCTCCATTGGCCGTTATTAGGATTACAAAATTTCCTTTGGGAATCATTCGCTTGGAGATTGAAATACAGATGGTCGGAATTGGGATCGTATTTATTCAATGATTCATAAGCGACTAATTCGTTGCAGACTTATTTAGAACATTTATTGTCGTAATAGCCAAGCATTTTCTTGAAGTGAGTGAAGACAACTGAAATTTACTTAAATGGCTTCTGCCGCGGAAGTAATTTAAAAATAATAATTGGTCAGAAAGGCCTAATTATTAATTAATTCCTATTTGGTAAATTGGGAAAATCCGGAAAAAAGTGAGAACTATTCAGTAAAATAAATTTATTATAAAGCTATTCGTTAAAAGTCGACAAAATTATTTAATGGTGAGTATTATGAGATGTGGTGAGTATGGTGAGAGAGTGTTTGCTTGCAATTTTTTTAAGATAATTTTTTATTATTTACGTACCACTTGAATTGAGATGAAATGCGTTGAAGATGACAACATGAAGATAAAAGAAATTTATTAAGGTGCCGTACATTTTTCTTAGAGGCATAGATAATTAGGGATTAAAAATAGAATAGGTCGGGGTTGGAGGTTAATTGGTTCGGTGTAGGGCGGACCCCCACAGTGTCACCTGCCTTACTGTATTCTATTTGCATCGTTCTACTCACTCCTCATTGACCGCTTTCTTCGTGTGCAATTCATTGTTTTGTGCGCTTCTCTCCATTTTTTTTTCTTTTGATAGCATTTATTTTTGCAAATTTCTTCTAAACGGTTGATGGATGGTCTACTAAGCGCTTAAAATTTTCTCAACATAAAGTATAACAATTTATAATTGATGTTCCATAAAAATTTTATCATTATTAAACGAAACTGACTTTTGGCAAATATCGGGAATAAGGAATTTAAGATCGACATAAACCTCCTTTACATGTGGGTAAAATCTGCTTTTGAGTAATCGCGAATTACGAAGGAAAATTTTAAAGTTTAGCAAATAATTCTCATTATGTTAACCCTTTGCTACCAATAGACGCTTTCAATATCGCAGAAGAGACATATTTGGTCACATGGAGTTCCCGAATGACCAGTATTCTAGTCAGATTGATTATATCACTGGCTATTCCACCAACGTTTACAAAATGTCGATGAAGTATAGTTTTTCCAGCATCTTTCATGGAACTAGACCTTGCGCTATGCATCATTATGCAATTGATCTAGAGAAGAGGTTTTAAAGTGCTGCATGCCAGGCGAATTCACGAAAGTGGATGGGAGGGCGGGAGGGAAGTGGGGAAATACTGCAATAATCTTGCCAACTATAATTGAATAGCGTTTTTCAACCCATAGAAACCTTAAAAGAAATTAATATTCAATTATTTTCATAAAATTCCGCTAATAGAGTCCAATAATTTTCATTTCTGGCTGACTATATTGGTTATTAAGATGGAATCGCATAGCCACTTGGACGCGTTTCGAGCACCATATTTATTATTATAGAATTAAACGGTATAGCTAAAATATCTTACAAATCCCAACAATTTTTTCTTAAATAATTATGCTCAATGATTTCTTCTTAAAAAATTTGGCTTCATAATGTGTCGAGCCGTAATTTTTTTCATTTTATCCCATCATATAACAGTTAATAATATTTTTCCAGTGGGCGATGGCAAATTGCATGCAATATCCATGTTTACATTTGCTTAAGAAGAAGAAAAGTATGCACGAATATATATGTATGTATGTATGAATGTGAAAAAGTATGTATGTAGCATTAAATAAATATAGGAAAAATAATGCGCACTTTATGGAGAAATAACTTTCCACGATTTTAGACGATGGAGAAATGCATGTTAAACATTATATTGTGCATGTCGAAGTATCTTTCACGTCACAACTTCAAATTTTTATTCATATTTGATTCTGTTGATTGCACTTCGGGAATGAATGGCTCTTTATGGAATTCTTTCATGGCACAGAAAATTTAATGTTGCCACAAAGCGAATTTATACGGTTGAATTCGAGATACTAGAAGGCGCAGAGATGAAAATTTCTATTCTCGATGTTGAGCAGTCGCCAGTTGATCCAAGTCGACAATTTTAGCCTGTAGAAGGCGCCCATGATTGAATTTTTAATCAACCAGGAAAATATCCTTCTTTTCAAACGTCTTTTCTTCCACGTTTTTTCAAACTATTTTCTCGATTAATTTATATTTTTAATTTTTCTTTTGGCCTAAAATTTTGTTTAATTTTACTTGCAAATTTCTTAAAAAACTTTAAAACCTTTAAGAAATTCTCCAATATAAAAATTGATTTAAATTTCGAAAGACAGTTTATTATGTTAAATGAGCAGCAATTTAAACAAACACACACTTTTAAAAGGTAAATTTTTTGAAGAGAAATTAAAAATTTGTAAGGAATTCCCATACATAAACATGTAAAAAAAATTCTTGCCGCATGATGATTTTAATTAAATTTTTTTCAACAAAATTTTTTTTAATTTGCATTTTGAAAATTTCATACAAATAATTAATAATTGATGGAACCGAATTGAATGTATTGAAAATTGATAAAATAAAAGTAACCATCATGATCACCAGCAACTAACCAAACATTTTTGAACTACATCAGTACTCTGTTCTATAAAATGTAAAATGAATGACTAATAAAATGACTAACACAAAATCTCCTCAGTATTCTCTGAAATCTCTGAACTTCACTTCTAAAAAATGCATCTTGATAAAGTGATAACATAGGATAATAATCAAGCAAATCATAATTGACTTATAACATCAAGCAGTTCATAATTGATTTATTCTTTCTTATTAAACAATAAATTGCTACTGCTTCTTAAATTATGGAATATTTTATAAAGAGCTACGTTAATCATCGGATCACTGCTGTCCTGCGTGGTATCCTTAATTAATTCTGAAAGCCATCTTTAATCAAATTGCCAATTTGAAATAGAATATCTAAAGAATATCGATATTTGATAATATTTAATATTTAATGTTTTCACTAACATCAAATTTCGAAACAATCATTTATTTATTTGGAAAAGTTGGTCATAAATAATTCGACTACCGAATTCTCCTCTTACATTTCTTTCCTTTTAACATAATTCACCATTTTCGGCTTCATAATTCAAGAACTTAATTTATCATATCAAATTCATCATAATAATATACTTAGCTGATATAAGAATAGGTTTCGTCCGCAGTAGCCATCCGGAAAAATTCTAACGATATGCACCAAGGAACCATACTGCTCATCGAAAGCCTATAAAATATTCACATTATTTAAAATGAGATGAAAAGCTTTTTTAATCTATTGAATCAAATCTTAGAAATGACTTTCATAGGAAAAATAGCAGGATTTAGCTAAATATACAGTGTAGAATTAAAGGTAATAATTTACCAAAGAAATATGTCAGATGATTGATTCAAATTATTCGCGCTAATAGAATTCTGTTGTTACATTCTACTGCAACCCAACGTCTATTTTAAATGTATGTAAATGTCATGATTCAAGGTCAATTTCGTTCCCGCAAATTACCTGTTTACACCTATGAACATGCTTTTAACTCACCTTTTGATCCAGTGTAGCCAAGCAATCAGTTACCCACATTCATTATCTATTCCCTTACATTAGTGCTTATCTTCTTAATTATTCATCTTATATCGATTAATCATGTCAATTAACTGTGATTATCGGTATAAAAGCCTCATAAGTAGAAATATGATAAAATATGATATTGAATTATCAAACATAATGGACGATAAATTGATCAGTTAATGATATTATTATTCGCATGAACGAATTAGAAACTGGTAACTAGTTACTTCGAAGTATTCCAAGTAAATTGCCTCTTATGACTTATAAATAGAATTTTTTTTATAACTTGAAACATCGCAAATTATTTCATGAATGAAATTTCATGAAAAAAAAATTAAGAAAATGATGTAATTTGGCTATTAAAGATATTTTTTAAGGAGAGAAATAGCGCATTTCGAGGTTCTGGAAGTGATTTACAACGGTAAGTAAATTTGAAAATTTTTTTTATTTTCTGATTTATGGAGTCTGTTTTTACCAGATGAAACACTAAACACATAAGCACAGTTAAGTACTAAAGAATATATCTGACCGAATAGAAAGTGCGATTATCATGACGAAAGAGATGAAAGACAAGGATTCATTCGGACCTTGTCGCTAAGGAATAAGCCTATTATCCGAGTGCTGGCGACTCAGTTCTTAAAACCAATAACTCCAAGGCAAAAGTTTCTAATTGCTTCGAAGCTTTAATCTCCTACTTATATGTAATCATATAATCCATTTATGGAATTTTAGGACAACTTAATCTTTTAATAAGAGAAGATTTTAAAAACTGCAATAATTTTGTAAAAAATAAAGTAGTTTTCTTAAATTTTGATTGGGAACTTATCGACTTGTTCCCATGCAAAGAAAGATGTAACTATGCATCACATTTTCATAGTCGAGATATTTTAAAATAGGCTTTTCCTTTTCCACTTCCTTTTTCTTCTTTCTTTCTTCTGATAGCACTCATTAGCTCTGGTTTCCCTCATTCCTTTGACCACTCGGGTGATTTTGGATCATTTTAGATCGATTTCCAGTAGAGTTGTAGATCCTCGTCACCACTATAACTGTATCTCTAGTGATGGCTTTAATCCTGTCATGAAATAGAAATAGATTCTATCCATGATGCTCGATCTCGGCTTAAACATATACCATTCGATTTTCGAATAGATTTAAACTTTCTAAAGAATCAAATCGCTGCATGAGATAACAACGAGTTTAATGAAGGCAACTAAGATTCTTCAGTTCAGCTTCAGATTTAATCAAAGCACTAGTTTTAAGTTTTGAAAATTTTATAAAAAATATTATTGCAGAAATTCGCATATCGAACAGTTTGCTTGCTTTAATGGGCCATCAGCCTGGAGTATTATACCAGATGAAACTAAACAAGACTTATTAATGCCATCTTTATCTGATCGTTCTGCAGCAATTTCGGCAATGACTGATGCTGCAGCTACTGCTGCTGCTGTTGCATCTTGTGGTTCGTCTATTCTTAACTAATTCTCATTTTCATTTGATTCAGACAAATGTACATATATGTGTTGGGTCAGGGTTTCTTAAGGAAATAATTTCCCTTAATAATAATCATTTTTTCGAATCATAAAATATTAATTGAAATTTGAAGATGCTCGAATGATAGGCGCACCGGCTTATTATAATACAGGATATTCAGCTGCAAATTATGGTATGTATGCAGCTGGAACTTCAAATTACTACCCAGTTCCGTCAACTTTACGAGCGACTGCAACTCATTTCCCTTTTGCAGCTCCTCCACATCCTTATTATGGTAAGTGGAGATATTCTTAAACAATTCGAAATGCGCGCTGTTTGTGGTAGCGTCTGATGTCTCTATAATGAATTCTGGAAGCGAAATAATTTTAAAGATATTTAAAGATTTAAGGGCCAAATTCAAGTGTGAATGAAATTTGTCTTTCAGCTGCAAATACTTCTGGGCTATTGCTATCGAAAATTGGTTTCAGGAAATGGTTATTCAACTGCTGGATTCGAGTATGCGCCATACCCGACAAGTATACAGTGTTACGGTAGTCGAAATACGTATTACGCTCATCCGATCAATTCCGTCACTTCATCATCATCTTTATATGTAAATACAAATCACTTCTATTTAATAATTTATAAATAGATAACATCAATATAACATTAATTTAATTATGATATTCTTACATTTACACTTTATTAATTTAATTATTTTTTAATTTAATTTAATAATTTAATTTAATTATAATAATTTAATTTAATTATTTTTAATATATTATATATTATGTATAATATATATTTCTAATTTAATTTTATGAAAAAATTTGTGATTTAATTCGGCAGAAACAAAAGCTTTATAGCATTAATTTTTCATTCATTATTATTCTTTATTATTATTATTATTCATTAATTTATTATCATTCATTAATTTTTACTTTTATTGAAATACAACGATTCGAACGATCTTCATGCATCCATAGTTTTTTGTCCCATGAACTAAAATTATCAGTTAAAAGTTTTTATATGTTTTATATATTCAGACTATGAGCTCCTTATCAGCTGAAGCCATGACTTCCAGTCAACTGCCATCGTTTACTTCAAAAGCCGATGTCAAAAAACCATGTAAAATTTTCAGAACACCTTGTCAAAATTTTTATTTTTTGACAGACGTTAGCTGAGTGGATGTTGGTTCAAATTATCATAATGAGGGACGGCTCGGCCCCTATGCCAAATAGGTTTAAATTGTCATTAAAAAATCCAGCTGTTGCCAATCCACCTCTATTCCTATAGTCAAGTGATGCACTCGTCAAAATTTCGCTTTGTAGCAACAGCCCGCAGAGCCAGGCTGAGCGGGAATAATGAGTGCTAATGAACCGGTTGGTATCATATAATTATTAAAAAAATTTGAAGTATCGAGTTTTTTTAACTTTCTTTTTGCTTTTTTACTTAATATTATTGCTTATGAAAGTTGAAAAGATAATTTTATAAAAAAAATGTTTTCAGTAAAAGGTATGAGAAAGAAAAAAACAGTCGGAGCAAGTTTTAGCCCTGATGATCATTACACTCGTGTTTTTATTTGGGAAATGGAAGATGTTTGTGTACTTTCGAACTTTTTTCTTCGTTCCGGTGATCCTTTGAGGAGCCATAGACTGGCGAATTCTGTTAATGCTAGTGTAAATTCATTTATTGCACTAGCATTTGGTATTGAAAACACTGATGTAATTTTTTAACGAAAATTTTTGAAAAAAAATTCTATTAAATTCGTAAATACAATTTATCATTGGAGTACATTTTTTGAAAGAAAATATTACATTAATATTTTGCAAAATTCAGAAAATTTTTAGAATTCTACTACATTCAGTGGTGCTGAAGATTTAAGCCAATAAATGCCTTTGATACCTAATGCCTTTGATATGAATGAAAAAATAGAATTATCAAGCGACATCTTATCAGTTTAAGAATTTTACTTTTGAGGTTGCAAATAATATATGCGATGCCAGCTTATATTATTTTAATACTAACATAATAATACTATTTGATAATGCAAAATAATGGTTCAAAAAAGTAAAATATTGCATTTTCTAAATGAATTTAGGACTGTGACCAAATGAATATCGAAGATACAACCATAGATGAACCCATAAATGATATGCCGTTCATTCAAAACTCATCAGAGACATCAGTAATAAACCAAGCAAGTACATCGACTCATTTAGCTCAAAGTGTTGCTCGTGGTGGCGTTGACTGGATGAGAAGATTAGCTGTCAAATATCAGCATATTAAAGATATATATACTTTATATAGAAATAATTATACAGGTGAATTAACTTAAGTTTATTCGATCTTCAAAACTTTCTAAATTTTAGCTTGCTGCAAAATTTTTTGGAGGCAGCATTTCTGATTTCATTATTATCAGAAATCACTATTAACACTTATTGATCTGTTTTGAATATTTCTTCTCCTTAAAAAGTTGCATTACAACGTTAATTTTGAAAAAATAGATAAAGAATTTTTTAATTTGCAGGATTAATAGAAAGAAATGGTATAACAAGTGAACGAGCTGAATTACTTGCTTTTAAAAATACGATTGATCCGTTAACTCAAGGATGGACAGATAGTATTGGACGTTGCTTAAAACTTATTGTTGAAAGGTTTTCTTTATATCTATAAATCAGAAAAAATTTCACAAGAAAGCACCAATAAGCGGCAGTGGAGATTTCTTTCCATGGTATCACGACGAATCGAGCGTTACCAGCCAATAATATTTGATTCACCAAATTGTGATTAATCAACTACCATATTTGCAATATAGTCCCACTCGTGTCTATGGCCTGCGGCAATGTAATGATGAAGTTCCAACTCAATAATCAATATCCTGTTTTTAATGAAACCATGTTGAAACCATTATGGTATTTCGCTGCAAAAATTTAACTCTTATCTTATAATTTCAAACAGGTCATCTCGAAATCAATATGCTAATATATTGATAACAAGTGAAAGTATTGTGCCAACACTAGCAAAACTTTTAATAAGCGAACAGAGCTCGATGATTCCAGCGGAAAATGTTTACAGTACTTTACGAATGTCAAAGGAATCAGTAATTGATCGAATCTTGAGTAGATTTGGAAAGAAATGCTCATTTGTGATTATTTCAACACATTTAGATACTCATGAAATTGCTAAAAAAGTTCGTTTTTTATTTTCGTTTTTCTTTTACCTCTCGAAAAAAGCCTTCATTTTCTGGCGAATTCAAGTAATTTTTATCAACACTCGTCGTTAAATTTTTGCTTTTTTATCGATCAGACAATTGTTGAAAACATAATTCGCTTCTCTTCATTCACAATTTTCTCATTCGTATAAAATTTTTACAATTTAATAATTTTTAAATTTTTAAATCGTTTTTGAACAATTCTGAATTTTTGAAATTCTTCGTTTTGTGGGTTCTCTTCGAAAATTTCGTCGGAAATTCTTAGTTTCTTATTTTGACTTTTAGAATTATCACTAATATCACAAGCTGTTAATAACTTTTCATTGTGTAAATATTATAAATGCAGCATGATTTTGTCCCTATCGCCAAACTTGTCATTAGAAAATTCGAGTGCTGCTGCCGACTTATTTATACTTTTGTAACCATGCGGTTCCTTGCTCACCATAAACCTTGTTTATTTTAATTAATATTCATATTTATGACATTTATCCATACTAATACCAGTCTAGCAACTAATAATCAGCAAAGCGAGAAATGGTAAATACTTGCTCAATTAATACTATCAAATAGGAAATAGAATTTATGGAAATTTATGAAAATATCTTCAAAAAATACTTTCATATTTTTCTTATTAATCTGTTTAATTAATCGCATTAATTTTTTTCTATATTATTATTAGCGGTTAGAATGGCTCAGTGTTGTTGCTCATTTCAGAGCGCCGATGCTGAGACTTCATTCCCTGCAGGAATAAACCTATCCAAAAATTCGGGTGATGCTGGCGACTCACCTTTACTTCTATCGCCAAGGGGTTCCCTAGCATATTTGTCCAATGTGACAAGCCAGCGGAGCGAGTTTAACCAGTAATGGTGAGGAATCTTAAAAAAAAAATTACATTATTATTATTGCATTTTATCATAAAATATATCGTTATTATTATTATATTATTATTAAATAAATATTGTTATCAAATAAATTATTTGTCATTTATTTATTTAGAAAACAAGCTGGGCTAATTAAATTAAATTAAGTTGCGCTTTCTTTCTGCTCTGTTAAATAATTGTGAAAGATTAATGAATGAGACAATCACCTCGTGTCGAGGAGGGTAAGCCAGTGAATTCATTTATTTTCACATTGAAAGTGAATAAATTATTTAACCAAAGAGTTGACCCCCATATATGTGACCTATTTTATTGTTATTATTGTTATTACCCAATACGAACGAATGGTTTTATCGTACGAAACACCATATGCTATTGACCTTGTCTTAGAAAATCTACTCAGTCCAATTTTTTCAGCAATTCATTTTAAACTTATTTACAGGAAAATATTCCTCTATGGAAGATCAAAAGCGTACGAGATCTTGAATTGTTTCATATTGCTCTCACTCATCATCTACTCAGTTAAATCAATCAACTGAATTTTCTCATCTCTATGTTTACTTTTAATAGCCAAAATTCCGTGTTTAAGGCAAATTTTTTGTTCTAAAAAATTTCCTTTTTCTTATTTTTTTGTCTTATTTATACCAAAAAAGAAGAATTTGCTATGAGCGATAGTACGAATAAAAAAATTTAAATTGATCTCTCATCAGGTAAAAAATATAACAAATAAATTTCCTTTTCAATAGAACTTATATATTTGTTAATCATTGTCCTATATAAAATTTGCTAGAATGTAATTACTTCCTTGACAATTGCTATAAAGTTTTATAAATCGTGTTTAATAAACATATTCTGCAAAAAACCCATCGTCTTATTCGCAGTTATTTATTTATCTCGTTGAAATTTATTTTATTTATTCAAATGAATATTTCCCCAATTTATTTAAATAAAAAATTCTCACTACGCTTGAAGCAGGGAATCTACTTGTAGAACTTTTTTTTCGAATAATATTGCTCTCTGGCGAATTAATAATTTCTAGCTAGTAAACCAGAAATGAAGCGAGCTGTTAGAAGATTTAGAAGATCTATTCAAAATTATTTTATAAAAAATTTTGCTAGAAATAGTTTACATTTAAAGATATTTAATAAATACATGAAAGTGTAAAGAATTCGGTAGCCAAAGCGGAACAAAACGATAAGATTTAGATTTCTTCAAAAATGAAATTCTTATAAATTCGCCAAAATATCATGAAAGTCATTAATGCTGATATCGGTCATTTACTTGCATGAGAGGGTTGTGCTGTTGTGGTAATATTTCAGGCTTCGTTGCCTTTCAATTTAAGCGAGCTATATCGTTTCAAGCAAATGAGTAACAAATACAAGAAGACAAATGGAAATTTCTATCAGTCCTACAAAAATCTACATCCTCAAAATTAGAAGCAATCTCAATCTTGATTCCTCTAATTAGTTTTAAGTTATGATATTTTATAAATATTGAATAATTAAAATGACAGATGTTTCAGGTTATTCACCAATATTTATGTTTTGATCACCACCTTTTAATTTAAACTATTTAAAAGATTATTTTTATTTATTGAGAAGAACATTATTTAGAAAAACTGATGAGATTTAAGATGATTAAATGACTAAGTTAATGAACTAAGCTTCATTGGCTTGTCTCTTGCCATTTGACATTGTCAGCTATTAAACTAAATCCGCTGAGGACGTGTAGGACTTGCAACTCATACTCCTATCCATATATAACGATGAGATCTCATTATAATAGACAGCAAAGCCAGCCAAACCAAAAATGGAGAATGCTAGAAGAAGAAAAAATTATTGAATTCAAACAATAATTTTTCAAAAATATTTTTCTGTTCAAATTAATTCCAAGCTCAATCGTAAATTTCCTAAGCAATTCGAATTTTTATCGATATAAGCTAAGAAATTAAATTTTATAAATTCTAAATTTATTGCATTTTTTTCCTCGTTTTTCTTTTTTTCCTTCTGGGAACTTTCCTTTGTAAAAAATTTTTCGGGCAGAATTATATATTAATTAGACAAACTGGAGAAGTCTGTGCTAAAATTCTAGCAAAATGTCCATAAATATTCCATGGACAAGTTCATGAAAATGATTAAAATCATCGTGAAATAAGAACTGCTTCGAATAAATGGAAAGACTGCGTGGTAGAAAGAAAATATACTCGATAATTACTGTATATGAACAATTCAGTACATTTTTCGGTTACTTTTTATTTTAGTTTACAATAAGGCAAATAGAAAGTAAATTAGTTCGGTACAAATCGATTATCAAATTCTCAAATTGTTGTTGCTTAGAGTAGCAATCTCAGCTATTAAAGTTCGAATTCGCCTTCCGGCAGAAATAACCCTTTCCTTCGAAAAATCCGGTTAATGGCCCATTTGCGTTTGTGTCGTCAAGAGGCTTCCTCTTAAAAATTTCTTCTTTTATTAACAACCAGTGGACTGAACGCTAACCACTTACTTACCAATTTATCATAGTTTTAAGCTAAAATCACATGTTACTAATCATATGTTATAATCATATAACCGTAAAAAAGGTTTTTTTAAACGAATTTCAAGGAAATTCGAAAGAAAAGTTAGTCATCCGTTTGAAAAAAAATTTCCAATCATTAACGATATGCTGTCATAAGTTCTTGGTTTGGTTTGAAGAATCATTGTTTCCGCTTTCTTTTAATTTTTGTTTATGAATAACATTTTTTTTAAAAGAATCACCACAGTTTAATTAGCACCATTTCTGATTTGGCAGGTTCCAACGACCCCTGTAGCGGGGCATTTAGCTAATCTCTGCGAGAATAAAGGTGTAGATGGATGTTTAGCAATCGCATTATGAGAATATATTTGTCCCCTAAAATGAAAATTTTATACTACCACTTTAACCCACTAAAACCTCGTCTCCAAAATGTAACATTGTTTTTTGGTTTTTTGCTGTACGCGTCAATATCTATCTGTATTTCAACATTTCGAGTCGTTTTTCTTAAAATTTCAAATTTCTCTTTAGACTAATTCTTAAAGAATGCGTAATTAACATATCTATAATTTTATTTTTCCAACTATTCATTTGTGTTTAGGGATGCAAACCGTGAAAATCGCTCATTGCATATATATCAGCTGTTTCCTTAATCTTAGCAGTTTTATTTTCGCAATAAATTCCCATAAGATTAGTTTTTGCTTTTCAAATTTCTCATTTTCCTCTAAAGATTATCATTTTCTTATATTTTGTCATTAAAATTCATTTTTTGAAATATGAAATTTCAACGGAGGAAAAATTCTAATTTGAATTTTCTCATATACTACGGTTTATTCGAAAAGAATGTCAGATTAATTTAAATATTGGATTTTAGCGACCGAATTCTATAACACTGAAGTAATTTTCATTATGAACCATATAGATTATAGCATAAATGATCTCAAAAATTTTTACAGTCAAATTCCATGCATAAGTGACAAAATCAGTGATAAAGTCTAAACTCTAACCGTAGTAAAAAAGACTGGAAGGAAAAGAGAAGACGATTGAATTTTCACAATTTTCCATTTTAGAATAATGAATATTTGGATATACACATTCGACTACTATCATCGCATGTGATTTGCGATTCCGATCGTCCATCTTCTTGTTCCATTCCTTATACCTTATCAATTCTTCATTCGCCTGATCAGCTCGACTTCTATGTTCGTTTTTAGATGTATTTATTATATGCGATAATTTTCTTTGAGCAGCAAAACATTATTTCCCATTTGACTGGCTCTACTGACTACCAAGGTGAAACCATTTCTCCAAAGAACTATTTGAGAGATAGAGGTAAGCACAAGTGACTCCGGACAGTCACCACTTCCACCTTTAATGACAAGTTCGTTTCTTTTAAAAGGGATATTTATCTTGATTCGAAACAATATACAAGTCCACCTACCATAAGTACTATAATTTAGTATGATTTGATGGAGTATTGAAAAAGTCATTCAGTCAATTTTTTGTTTAATTTTACTATTCCACTATTACTGATAAGAATAAACAAAACTTTACTTACTGACATTTACTTAGCTACTCAATTAGTCTTACTTATTCTGCTAGTTATGAACTTTTTTCACGAAAATTCTGCTTTTCTTAACATAATAAAAAACTAATAAAGTAGATTTTTTAAATAGAAGTAGTTACAACAATTAGTTAATTCAGCGGGTAATATTAACCTATTTAGTGAAATCAGTTCAGGAAATATCTTATAGTCTTTCTTTTCTATAAGCAATTTCAGAGTAAGATGATGCAGGACGGCCGATTAAGCGATTATCATGGACGTTACACTGATTCTACCGTAATGCGTATGCCGGAACTTATCAAACATCAAGAAGGAACGATTTATCTCGGCTTGAGATTGTTTAATATGCCAGCTGGTTCTCAAGGTCATCCAATTCGCATTTTTAATCGCATAGTCAAAATCAAAAAGTGAAAACAGAACCTAAATAAACTGCTCTCTAGATTGCAGAATTCAAAAAATTCTCCACTTGAATGCTAAATTTGTTCTCACAAGATCCAATCCAATATCCAATAGAGAAGGCGTTCTATTTTCACTTTTTTATTTATTTTAATAATAATTTTTATTATAGATTATATGGTGATAAATGTAATGAAAGTAATCGAAGCTGGAAGAAAGACAAAAATGGAGATGATAACTGACAAATTTCGATTAATTGTTAAAATCAGAAGGGAACACGAAATCAAAAACGGCTCGTAGTCAACGATTATCCATCTTAAAACGAACAAAGAGATTCTAAAGAAATAGAAATATGAAAATCTAATTTAACCCCGTCCACCCCCTTTTCATTTGTTTCATGATCTAATTTAGATTATTTGATTATCGACAATATGAAAAACGTAATGACGAATCAAAATAGGATTTGCGAATGTTTCACCCGAAATTGCGCTTGTTGCCTTGAAATGAACATACCTAAAATTCACTTAAACGATACGGGTGATTATTAAATTTCTTGTTTGAATTAGCAAATTATTTTAAATTAAATTGCTTGCGAGAAATAGGATTCTTGCCCAACGTCAGTAATCTGCTTCTAATATAGCAGAAGAACATGCTTTTGCTAACCCCACTGACAATTAGAATAAGAGTAGTTCGTAAGAGAGTTACTTAGCAGTGACAAGGAATCATAGCTCAAATGCCAAGCATCACCTCAATGCCATTTTTGCTGATAGGTTTATCTCTAAAAAAAGTCCCTCAAAAGCCAAAGCCAAAGACCGAAGCACTGCTTATTAAAGAATAGAAGATAATTTATTCAAAAAATGAATTAAACAAGAAGAATTTGATTTCAGGTTGTCTGAATCTTACTTATATTTCGAAAGACATCGGATTACGGTTAACGTTTTCTATTGATGGACATATTTATTATTCGAATGAAATATCCGGTTCGCCATTTTATGGAAATTATTTTTAAATATAATTAAACTGCTTGAGGGAAATAGGACACCACTTCTCATTAGGCTCGTTCCATTGGTCGCTTGAAACGAATTTTGTTGGAAACATTTGGCGATAAAAGCGCGGGTGGGTCACCAGCGTCATCTGAATTCTTGAAACACATGTTTATTCCAGCCAAGTAGAATCCTGGCATTCGAAATGAGAGAAAAGAACCTGAAACAGAGGGGACCCTGAAACAAACAAACAAACAATCCTATTTGTAGGACTTACGTCAGTAATATGGCAGTTTATTTTTGAATTCACAAAAGTACGATGAATTCCTTATACAAGCAAATTAGGAAAAGGTAGGTAGTTAGCACTCATCGTTCCTGGTTGGGCTCGCCTGCTGGCTATTCATATAATTTTCATCAGAGAACCATTCGATAATAGAAACACAGCTGGGACGCAGCTGGCGCACCAGGCTTTCCTCCCCGCTCCCGCAGCTCACACATTGCGAAATTTGCGTATTCACAAACTGTGTCAAGAAATAGGTTTGACAAAAATTTTTTTTTGTCAAATATAACTAAACTAAACATTGTATGTCAAATAATTCTTTACTGTCGCAAATAGTTCTTTACTGTTATTAATTCTTTGCCTTTTATGAAATTGATAAGATAAGATAAGATGAAACAATTTTAGTTCGAAATTTTAGTTCGCCAATCTGTTTTGCAATACCAACGATTAAGGAATATGCAAGCATATGTTTACGGTTTTATAAGGTATTTTATAATATAAATTTATGAGTATTTAATCAAAATCGATTCTAAAATATGTTAAAAAGCGACTGCGAAAAATTTCTGCCAGTAGCTGATATTGCGTAATTTTGATAAAAATACCGCACAATTTACTTGATTTATCACAGTTATCACAGTTACACAGTTATTTATCACAGTTTTAACAGTTTTGTTTCTTCATTAAAATTTAAGTCTTAAAAAAATATTTGATAGAAAATATGTCATTCTTTTGAAAAAGTCGGAGGTCAAAAGGTCACAGAAATAGTGATGAAGAGTCGCTATTTATCCGATATATTACTTTATTACGTGACGATTAAGAAAAACATAAGAAATATTTCAGCTCGATGTTAGCAAATCCGATTTACACGGTTGCATTGAACTCGAAGCTAAATTATACCATATCCATGTAGGTCGTATCGAGTTTGGTTGTTTTGATATTCCCATATGAAATATTTTACGATAATATTTGTCAATACTACTCCATTTTATCACTTTATCACTACCGATTGTTATCAGCCAAATTATTTAATTTTTTATCCATTCATCGACGATAAAACTTTATAACGATATTTACAAGCTTTTATATGTAACGATGAATAAATAAAAATTTTTAAAACAATTTTGATAATAAATTATAGAAATGATCGGAAATTTCAAGGAAGTGTTGGCACTTTCCAAGTTTGTTTTCCATTTTTGTAATGATCTGCGAATAAGGGAATTCCTTATCCAAAATATTACGTCGAAAATTCCTATTAATTTTTAGCTGCATTTTATTAATATACTTATAAAACGAATATATGATTACGGCTAAAAATTTCTTAGACTTCTGTAGTATTTTCACAGCACTGAAGATTAGTTTTTAAATTATTTTTCATGGGTTGGGCTTTCAAAAAATTTTTCTGCGATTTTTTGATTAAAAAATTGTAGAATTATAAAAAAGTGCAAATGAATTTTATGCCTTTTTCAGGAATATAAGTTAAAATTTCTATAAATTAATTTTTGAAATTCTGTAAAAATTTAAAAAATTAAAATTCTTTGAATTTCTGTAAATTTATGAAGTAAGAAGCTGAATTTTCTCGATTTTTTAACTTATGGGAGGGAATTTTAAAAAATTTAATCAAAATTTAAAGTTCAAATTCAAATTCATTTGTCGTTTGGAAACTTCGATATTGTACTTTGCATTTGTACTTTTCATTTGTCCTATTTTCCATTCCCTTTCATATTTCCCAAAATTTTTATTTATCGTTTGCCTGGGTTTTGTAAAAATTTTAAGTATAAAATATGCAAATACGATGAATAAGTAAATAATTTCGGAAACATTTCCTTAATTTGTTTATTTCTAATATTTGCAGTTTGTGGTTGTGAAAAATTTCCAGTTTATTACTGAGCCTTGCGAAATCGAAAAAACTTTACCAGTTGGGGAAAAATTGGAAATAAGAATTGAGAAGTAAAATAATTGGGCCGCAAATCAGATAAATCAAAAACGTCACAAATAGTTTAGATATTGTCGAAATCGCTCGTTTAAATCGTTTAATAAAACCTTATAACGTTTACAGTTTATTTGAATAGTCGTCGAAGTCGATAGGTTTTGTAGATGATTTATATAAATAAATTTTTGGTATCAGTTTTCCTCCTTTATTTGTATGGTTGAATTGATTCATCGTTTACTGTTTGCTCATATATTTAATAATATTTTAGAAATTCTTATTGAACGAGTCATCGAAAATTACTTGTTAATTTAAATTATTGAAAACATTGAAAATGATCTCTGGAGAAGATTCGTTGAACGATGTTAAAAATGGGACAAGTAAAGTTTGTTTTTTGAAATACAATTGTTTTCTTGAAAAAAAGCTCCGATAATGTATGATAATTTAATCTTATTAAGGCGTTTCGATAAAGCCTACTGCTTTTTCTTGAAGCTGCTTTTTCTCCTTAGACCCTCTCTTCGAACGCCTTGCATAAAAATAATTAATATTTTCTTACGATATTTTAATATTTTTAATAATAATTAATATTTTTAAATAATATTTTTAATGCATAGATTTAATAGTGCCAATAAGATTTTCATCTACGTTTTTCATCATACGTTTTCTTGACTGAAAGAAATGCTGAATTTTCTTGGTCAGTGATTATTAAAAATGGTGAAGTGACAATTAATCATGATACGGGAAGTTTTCCATACATTTCATGAACTGTTTGAAATCCACGGAATTCGAAGCGTTCCATCTAGCAAATTTAAAAAATTGGTGTAATTTTATTTGCAGAAATTTTATTTTTTGTGCTTGAGAAAATAGATAATTTAAGCTAATTTTTTTTTGGCATTAAATTAGCTAATTAAATTAACGCAGTTTTCGCTGAAATATTTCATTCTATTTTATTTTTTACTTCCGTTTATTTCCGATTTTATTATTTTTTAGTTTATTTTTTTAATATTTGTTTTTTTAATCAGTATTTGTGCAAAGGGTTTCTTTCGTCTGGCGAAAACCGCTTTGGAATAACCGCGAAGTTATCACCTTATCACCTTTCGCCTTTAAATAAAAGTTCGCATAAGGTTTGTCTATCTTGCTTTGGTATGCAGAAACCTTTTATACGGCTACTTGGCCACATAGACTGGCATGGATGCATTCACCTTTGCTCCATCAACATCAACATTAAAAATATCGTCGCAGATAATAGTATCGGCTGGTTGTGCTATGTTCTTCGTCTCATTACAGGAATAATGCTTGTCCCGTGAGGAATGCCGTCAGAAGCGAGGAAAGGAGCCAAGACTGATACGATATAAAGAAATTTCAAACGTTCAAGTTCCCGGCAATATACGGACTTAGACGGTGGAAAAATTAGATTACTGTAGTCTCCACTGGAATTAGCCAAACCAGCAATGCTATGAGCTGCTAAAAGAAGAAAATTTTGATTGCTTTAATATTTGTGACGTTTTTTATTTTATTTTATCTTCTTATAAAATGCCATTCGCCGAAAAGTGGCTCGTGAATTGAAATATAACACTTACTTGCTTTTCAGCATTAAGCAAATTTTAATTTTAATAGTAATTTTTCTTCATTTTATTCCTATAATTTCTTGGTTGACTTTTATTAGTTGACCATTTTCTTTACCTTTATAAATATTCGATGATGAAGATAGAGAAAATAAGTAATTAATGATTAATAATTTTAGATTTCCGATGATATGATAGCGGTTGATTTACACCCTGATGATGATGAAGTGCCTGAAGTGTGTAATTCTAAATTGGCGTTTAATGTTTCTCCAGATGATATAGTTCCAACAATACCAATCCCTAATATGCCAAACATTACTATTACTATTGATAAATTTGAAAAAAAGGGTGAAGGAATCAATGCATATATTGTTTATAAAATAGTAACAAAGGTAGGCATATTGTATTTCATCTAGCTATTATATTATGCCTGTTTTGTTGATTTGATTTTAATTTGACATTTTTTAATTTATAGACTGATAATGTTCTGGGTTATTCGAATAAAGAATATGTTGTTTGGCGACGATTCAGCGATTTTCTCGGTTTGCATGAAAAATTAAACGAAAAGTATTTTCATAAAGGTATATTAGTCCCAGCGGCACCAGAAAAAAGTTTCTCTACTTTAACGAAAACAAAATTAAATCAGAATGTTGAGGAAACAAATGCAAAGTATGCAATTGTTATTGCTCCTTCTAAATTTCTTTTTCTGTAGACATGGACAAATACGAATAAATTTAGTCAGAAAAGCAAAATTTTGTAATAGTTGTGTAAAAGTTGGCCACTAATTTATTGGAACTAGAATTTTGCAATAAATTAAGTGTAAAACTTGAAGAAATCTAGTTTATTATTAATAGCTTATGACAAAAAACAAATTTGATATTCTAGTGAAAAACACCTAAAAAAATTTTAAAAAAATTTCAAATGCATAGAAGAATTGGAAATTATAAAATTCCTTCAAAGGAATTTGTTTACGTTTATCTCATGTCAAAAAATGAACAATATCAAAAAATTATTTTAGTGCATTTGCTGAACGAAGGGCTCGTTTACTTCAACGGTTTTGTATGCGTATTGCTCGACATCCGAAGCTTATATCAGATTGTGATTTCCGCGATTTTCTTACAATGGCTACATCATTACCTAAGGCTAATTCAACAGCTGCTCTTAGTAGTGCTGGAGTTATGCGTATGTTCAAAAGTGTTGGCGATGTTTTTACAAAAATGGCATACCATATGGATGAAAATGATCGTTGGTTTGAATCTGCACAACAACAGGTGAATGTCGTATTTTTGAGTTAAGAACAGGACAATACGTAATGTATAATGACTTAAATTATGACCCTAAAAAACTCCTGCGCCGAGCATAAATTCGCGTGGTGCTGATCGCTTACTCTTACTTCTAGCCAAACTGGCAAAAATTTCTAACGCCTTTAACAGCCAGCAGAGCTAGCATAATCAGGAATAGTGAATCCAACTGCTTACTTGAGTTGACTGATGATTTAAAATATTTTTTTATAATTAAGATGGATGATATGGAACAAATGCTGTCGAGATTTCTTCGTGCATTTGAATCGGTTGCTTCGTATCGGCGTGAACTTGCGTCTGGAACAGAATCGTTTTCAAAGGCGCTTTCTATGTTAGCATCATGTGAAGAAAATACTGGATTGGCACGTGCACTTTCGCATTTCACTGAAACGCACGAAAACATTTCTCAGTTGCATAATGCCCAAGCAGAAAAAGACTGTTCAGTGATGAGCGAAGCAATTCATGAACAACTTCAGATCATTTACACTCTTAAAGTGTCTTTAAGTTCTTAATCTTACAAGTTCAGATAAATCAACGTTTAAAGACTAATTTTGAAGGAAAAAAAATTGTAAACACGTAAAAATCATTGTGCAGAGGCAAGTGGGTTTCTATCAGCTACACCAACTTCACTTTAAATAACAAATAACACATATATATATATATATATATATATATATATATGCTTTTTCTCATAAAGTTCTCATAAAAAAAAATTTTTACTGAAGAATTTCAGGAGCTTTTCTTTGAACGTGTGAAAATTTGGCAAAATTGGCAAACAGCGCAACAAAATTTAACGAAAAAGAGAGAATTAAAAGCACGTCACGAATTATCTGGTCGTAATGATAAAGCCAATTTATTAAAAGATGAATTAACGATGGTAAATCCTTATGTTCTTTCCTTGATTATATTATTTTTTTAGACTCTATCAAAAATATTTACATTCACAAATAATGAAGCCAATTTAGATTGAACAAAATGTTGACGAAGCAGAAAGAGAATTTGCCGAAGTCAGTAAAACAATTCGAGGTGAATATGAAAGATATTTGAGTGAAAGAAAAACTGATTTGGCTGCAATCCTTTCACAATATATTAATGGCCTACTTGACACCCAATATGCACTTCTTGAACAATGGGAAAAATTCGCTCCAGAAGTTCATGCAATAGCAATCTCATAGTTTACATTATATTGTATGGTACAAACACTACTTGTGCTAATACAATCATTGGATGAATATGTATAATACAAAGATAAATACGAAAAAAAGGCACGGAAAAGAAAATCCAAAACAAACCGAACATACAGTTTCCAGGCAATCACGCAGATTTCACCTTAAATAATGAGAAAAAATTGTTGCAGCCTCAAGTAATAAGATTTTGGTAAACCAAACAGGAAAATGAGGGAGAATTATTTCAATTTTGGGTAATAAGCCCGTATTCGTTTTTAGTTCTGACAATAAATATTTACTACTTTAGAAAAATATTTTTTTATTTCTGTTTCTATTTCTGCAAATTTGATAGCCTTTGAGGTAAATTTCACACAATTCCACAAAAATTTTAAAACAATAAGAAAATAAAAATGAAAACATTAAAAATTTATATATTAATATTTAAATATTAATATTTTTGTAAAAAAAATTAAAAATTATACAAGCAATTATACATCAATTTGTTTTAATTCCTATTCCATTCCATCACTTTTAGTTGTAAATCTAGATTACTCAGTTTTTTGGCCTTCAGAAGCCTCTCATTGTACAATACATTACTAGTTACTCTTCGTTGTAGCAAAATTTTCGTGAATTGATAGAGGAAAAGAAGGTATCCATTTCTTAAGTGGCTCATCTGGAATATATCAAGAAAGGAGGAAACTTTTCTAAGCATAAAGATGGAACTGTTGAAAAATTTCTTAATGTTTGTAATTCTGTAATTTTTTCGAATGTGATTATGTGCAATTTGTCTGCGATGCAATCTCACAGTTATGTAATTTTGTATAACTTTTTCTTTTTTTACTAATTTCTTTTCAGCATGATTTCCTCGATAAAATGTTTTCGCGTATAATTTCGTAGTAATACCATTTAAAACAAGTACTAAAAAAGTGGTGAAAATAAATTATAAATAAGATACAATAAAAAAATCAAACTTTTGTCTTTTAATTTTCAAATAATCTAGAAGTCAAATCAACAAATAAATATGAAAGACTAAAATTTTAATAAGATCTTTCCAATGCTATAATTTAAAATCTGTAGTGAATACAGGCAATGGATGGGCTTCGGTATTGAAAACCCATTTATTTAAAGAAATTGTTTCATCGCTAGAAAATACTAAGAACAAATATTTAAAAGTTTCAGCGAAAAGAAAACTTTGTTGTACGTCATCTAAATCGACCTTTGTTGTGTATACATCTTTTATACCAGAATACCTGAAACCATTTAGTAATAGTTATTTGATGTTGTTCACCATTAATATTCATGAAAATAAACTGCTCAATTCAATAGTGTTAATTCTATTCGCCCCAATTGAATATTCTTCCAATTTTTAAATAGCAGCGACTATTTACTTTTCAGAGTAAGAAAATAATTAAAGTTTTCAGAATTTCAAAAAAAAATAGATAAACACTAACCCACTCAAAGTGCGGCAGTATTTTTCAATAGAGAGAGCTGCATCCCAACACCAATCGCGATATTTCTGATTATGTGTCAATCTCCACAGATAAAACCAACCTTCAATGGCCTAAAACTGGAGTGCTATAATTACGAAAGCAAAAGAAAAATGTTGAAAATTGAAAGTTGAAAAAGATAAAATAAAATAAAAAAAAAAAACATACTTCAGGTCTTAAAATATAGTACTTTTCATTTTGAAAAATTGCCATGGCTTCGACATCGGAAGAAAAACGAAATGATTCTGGCCCAATATTCGTTCCTAAACAAATCGCATCGTATTTATTTAAATTATACAGCAAAATATCAAATCCGCCTGTTTTATGAATAAAATTATGAGTGAAATCTAATTACAACGGCGAAATCGTTATGAAACAGTAATTTTTAGTCTGGAAAATATACCCGTACGAATATAAGATTCATGGCAAGTGTTGCCGATTTCTTCCGCCAAAGTAGTAATATTGAAACGCTTTTGTTCATCGCTTTCGTTCAAAGCCTCAAGAGCAAGCAAACCAGCAACGAAGCAAGCTAAATGATCCATTTTGTGCTCGACACGGTTGCCTTTTAATTCTAAATAAAAATATAATTTAAATTTCGAAAACCAAAAAATTAAAATATACGATTACAAAAAAATCTATCGTGATAAAATTACAATTAAAAAAATATAGTTAAACACCAAACCAATAAAATAAGCGAGATGGCTTTGTTCAGAATATTTTAAAAGTTTCGTTTTTATAGCATCCATAGCATCATCATAAATCACCTTATATTTTGAATCCAATTTATTTGATATTAGCCATGATTTTAAAAGATATTCATAAAAACTATCGCCCAATGCTCCAATCGAGACATGTTCTTGAAAAAAAATTAACAATGTTTTGGCGTCCGATTTTTAAAATTATTTGTATTATATTAAAAAACTATTGAAGAAATCGTAAAAAAAGTGGAATATTTTACAAACTAAAGAACTAACTTTGGCCCCATTTTCCAGTTTTAGGATTTAAATAATTCGGATAAAGGCCATCAGGTTTTTCTAGAGAAGAAAGAACTTCGCTAATGCGAGTAACCTGAAATATATCATAGCTATTCTAAAAGCCAATTAAATATCTTGAGTGATAGCTTACAATAAAACAAATTTTAATTTAATTAATTTTAATTTATACATAAAAAAAATTCAAACGAATAAAAAATTGGAAAAAAAATGAAACAAAAGAGGAAATATGAAGAATCAGAATACTGTATGATACAAGGCGAAAACAAAATCTAGTTTTTAAAATTAACCACAAATTAACGATTTATAAAAACCTTATCAGAATATGTAGAATTATTCGTTATTCGAGTAAGATAATTAAATTCGAGCTGCAATGAACCAAATTCAGATAAAATTGAACAACCGCCACTCGCCCATCCCCAGTTATGAGCTTCACTAGTTTTTACATTAATTACTGAAAATGGTATGCCCGTAGGTGTAGTAAAGGCCGGTAATATTAAATCAGCGACTTCACGAGCCTTTTGTTTAAACATCTAAAATTTAACGCAATACTGTTTGGGAAATTATTAGAAATGAATACAACTTCTTCAAAATGAAATTTTTTTCTCTAAACATTCTGACAACTTAAATATTTATTTTCAACAAAAATTTAAAGTAACAAACTTCATCATTAGTAAGTGCATAAGCAGCAAGAAGTCCTCCAATAAAACGTATATTAGTTTCGAAAACTGATATGTCACCATTCTATAACATTCAGTATTCGAATAATAAAATATTAGACCATTAATTTCGCCATGTAAAAATGATTACAGAAATTTCAATACTGAAAAAATAACCGTTTTTCTGAGGTCAAATTCATCTCTAATCCAATTGTATGCTTCATTATATTCATCCATTAGATTCATAATATAGAATGTATCTATGGCATCGACAATTGTTGCACCCGTCTTTCCGCTACCAAATATCAAAGGGCTATGACTAGTTTGCGAAACTGGCCGCAGTTCATTAAATCCCCATGCATATTCTTTGTAACCTTTCCATGCAAATTTTGTCATCTACAAAATGATCTCTGAATATGCATTTTAAAAATATTCATCAAATTAAGAATTATAAATTAATTAATAAATTTCGTTCTAAATGCAAACGGCTGGAACCTATATTATCATTTATATAACAATTCGCTAAACTGGAAAGTCAGATTAACATATTGTCTAATAAATTTGATAAATGTAAATTTTCAAATGACAAAAATCGATGCAATAAAACAACAAATGCACTTAAATAGTTCAGTTTGATCAAATGATTCCAAATTTCTCTCAAATAGATTTGAAAAAAATAATTTATAAATATAATGAAAATATAATGAAATATAATATAATGAAATATAATGAAAAGTAATTGACATCAATTATAAAGTTACGCTGGAAAATAAGCTGCGAATCATTATAATTAGCATCAGTTATATGTACAATTTGTTGATGAGCAATGGGAACCACAAAAGGCGGAATACTTGCTCGTTCAATCTTTTTACGCAAACGCTCTTGGTCACGTAAACGATTTTCAAGATTTGATAGATCCCCAACAAATCTTGATGGTCTAAATAAAAAACATATAAAACGATTAAAATCTTCTGAGAACATTGCATTTAAAAATAAGAATAGTTAAATGTAAATATAATATTTCATAAAAATGTGGAAAAAGAGATGTTTGATTAGATGAAATTCTGTTTTTAAAATTTGCAAATTTAAAATTAAATTAATGCGACACATTTGATTCCCATTATATTCGTTTTTCTTTCAAATTCTATTATTCTACCTTAACATCTCTCGAACTGCCTCATATTGCCCCAGTAGTAACCTCAAATCCCATTCTCCTAATAAAAAGTGCGGACCATAAACTGAATGACTTGTTTCTCCTTTAAACTCAAAATGTGGACAGTGACATCATTCATGCCAACGACTCATTGTCAGATTGGTACATTTGCGCTTTAAATTCAAACAATGCCTCTTTTTCTTTCTTCCTCGCATTTTTGGCTTTATTTTCCATGTTATTTTCTATCTTTAAACCCTCACTGGTTTTTTTATATAAATAAGTTGAAATATTTCCTAAACACTTAACTATCCTCATACTTTTTCAATACCACCTCAAATTCTCCAAGGCCTTCTTAACAGCTTCCTTGCATCAAATCCAGTCACTGGCACCTCGCCTCGCTAAACTTCCTTAGCACTCTCTCAAGTACCACACCGAACTATGCCGCAATCCACTAAGCCGAGGAAAATTTTTTAAAGAAGAGAAAAAAGGAACCTTAGAACGATTTCATCACCGGTCGGCAGAAATATAATGAAGAGGAAACAAGTGAAAGCAATAAGACAAATGAATACTAAAACATATCTCTCTTTAAAGCGAAACGCGCTCATTCTTTTCTTCTTTTTCTTCTTTTCGTCGTCGCCCTCAAATATAAAAAAAGAACCAATCAAAATTTATTTAACAAAAAAACTAATTCAAAAAAAACAACCAACCTTTCACTTCGTTCCAGAAAACTAATCAGTAACAAGCCGAACACGACGAAACCCTCCACAACATTGATAATATTTCGGTGATAACAAATCATAAATAAGTTCCGCTTCATCGAAATCTCCAAAATTTCCAAGAATCGTTTCAAGACCGAAAGATTTAAAAACATTCCTTTTCAAAAGTTATTAAAATAGTATAAAATAGTCAGCTAAAGTGACGAGTATAAAATTTCACGTTCGAGATTTCATACAGTTTTATCAGTTTTCCTCTAAAAAAATAAGTCTAAGATACACGCTTGTCGAAATTCATTTATTTTACACGTTTCGCAGTCTGTGATAATTTAATATTGTGCTTTATCGTACAAAAATTATCGTCAGGTCTTAAATGGAATGTTGGATTTCAGTTCGACAGCGGGTCAATTCCGTTGTTTGAAAGTTTTTGGAATTTGGCGAACACGACGAAACCCTCCACAACATTGATAATATTGAAGTTATAACTCAGCGTTTTGCAGCCTTAAGTGGGTTGAGGGTTTGGCGGTCGTTAGGGCCGTTAGTGTCCTTGGGGTCGTGGCCCATCATTTATACTGCTGAGCTGGAGTCTGTGGTTCCATTTCGCTAATCGGTCCCATTCCACGTTCTCGTTTCTATAAGGAATCTTTTACATCTTTTAATTCCTTTTTTATTTTTGCATTTTTCCATTAGTGAATATCTAGAAAATTTTATCATTTAAAAAAAATCACTGCAAAATTCCAATTTTTTTATTAATTTCCCTGTTTTCCTTTATCTTCTATTGCTCACGCTCAAGCTTTATTTTTATTTGACCAGTTCCACTGAATTACCAACGTGGTGAGTATAGGATTCTTGTTGGAGTACTTACTCAGTGAATCCTCATTTATTATATTTCTGGTTTTTTGGTTTTTATTATATTTTTATATTTTTGGTTTTTATTTCCAGTCCTTCAAAGTTATGTTGAATGTTTCTCGTAATTAAAATGTAAGAAATTTATATGCGATTTAAACTTTTATTAAATATTTTATTTAGGCTATTATTTAGACTATAAGAATAAAATAAATTTATTTTTTTTTTGAATTTCACACTTAAAAACTTATTTAGCATATATATTTATATATATTCACAAAAAAGTATCATATATCACAGGGTGTAATTGATGGAATAAGGTCACGTATCCGATACCTTGCGCGTAATATTGTTCGTACATCACTCTTCTGAAATAACTATTATAATAAAGCCATTTAAATGAAATAATGGGACACCTAAAAAGTCCGCGGTTTTTATTTGAAAGACCATAATTACTCAACATAATTATTGCTTGTAGTTTTTGCATCGAATTCTGACCTAATTACCCATTAATTAATTAATGAGAAGTCGAAAAATTGAGCTTATCTAAAGAAAAAAAATTATCTAACAATAAAGAGACTTTAACAATAAAGAGACTAGGTAAACTTACTTGACTGATAATGTTTTCGAGGAAGGGGATAAGTTTAAGTAATTCTTTATCATTCTTCTCGAAAAACCAACTTTCAATTGGTATGCCATTATCAATTTGATAAGCAAAGGATTGTAATGAATTATCAATAATAATTGTTTTTGATAAATCTCTTCCAAGTATGGATAAATCTTTTATATAATTTCCATAAACAAAAAGACAGTGTTCACGAAATAAACGATGTCTTATTAGGCGTTTATTTGGATCCAGTAAATTCTAAAAAAAGCTAGGTATAGGTATTTTTTGAACAAGCAAAGAATAGTAAATGTGGTGCTTGTATCGGTTTTGTCAAATGTATTCATCTCAAATTCACCAGTTGTTTTAGAAATAATATTAAGAAATCCTATCGAATTATCATTTATCATTATCATTAGAAAGAATTATGGAGAGAAAAGAATGAAATTACTGAAGAGTATTAATCATAGAGATTATCACTTTAAGCATGGATTATCTTGTTTCTTGTCCATATTCTATTTATAAATCTGTTATTGAAAAGATATATACCAGTGTGAGTTTATTCTAAGATAGTGGTGTAATTATAATTATTTAACTAAATATCAACATTTTTTTCTAAAAACGCTATCACTGATTAAATTCGCTCCACTGACTTGTCAGACCAGACAGATTTTGCCATGAAGTCATTTGACTGCAGAATTGCACATGAACAACAAGAATCACCCAGATTTTCGAAAGATAAATTTATTCCTGCCGGGCGTAGAACCTTAGCATTGGTATTCCAGACTAAGCAACAACCCATTGAGCCATTCTAACTCCTTTTGCTTTTGCCATTTAGAAGTAAGTAAATGCTACAATTATTTTGAAAAGAAAAAAATTTAACCAATAGTTTATCGGCGTAAACTCGTTTACTCGCTGTAAATAATATTATTTCAAATGACTGTGATAATCTTTCAAGAAATTCATGTAGATAAGGTCGTAAACGCACATATACCTTAAAAAATTCTAATCATTTATCATTTTCAATTAAAAACTTATTGATAATAGTAACGATAACAATAATATCAATTATGCTAATCTATGTTGTCTAGCCGTCTCTTTCAATTATCGTTTTTTTCCAAATATCAACTGATACGATTTCTTTCCGAAATAACCTCATTGACCTTTCGGCCGGCTGCAGATGTGGCATCATAAGATGTCATATGGTTGGCAAATATGGATTAAACAATATGATATTTATAATAACAATAGATAAATAGTGGTGAATAACCTGGTAAGTATTGTCTTGAAAACTAACAGGAAATGTTAGCGATGCATCGGGTAATTCATTTAAACTGCAGTGTACAAGTGTTTCATCCTAAATATATTTATATAGATTTGTTGGTTTGGATGATTAGAAAGTCCCATTTTCCATCGCTAGTATAGAATGAGGATCTACTAGTACCTAAGCCTAAAATCTCCATTTTATTACTTTTTACTTCCATCGATGGCAAGATAGATTTGCTTGTGGTAGGTTCAGAAAATCGCAAGAGTGCTATGGATTTTACTTTCATTAACTACTGAATACGAGTATTAAATATCTTATTTTACCGGCACCTATAGACCATTCAAATATCCCTTGTGGAATAGCCTGGTACATCACATATTCACTTTTTCGATAATATATGCTTATAAAATGGAGAACAGAAAAATAACGAACAAGGTCAAGAACTAAAGAAAATTCGGGTGTTGAACGAGTTCGTAATGGAAGTGCACGACAACGTAAACGCATTTCGTCGGTTAATGGTGGCAAATGTTTTAATAAATATATCCTTTAAAATATTATTTATTACTCAAATTTTTAAAAGATTTCCAATTCTTAAGTAAAAAAATTTCCGCTTTTAGCATCATTTCCTTCCTTGATCAGCTCCACAAATAACTTGAAATAAGTTTAGTCATTCTGTGATAATCATTCGGAGATAGAGATAATAGTGATAAAATCATCAGTCACTAGAATTTTACTAGTCAGTTTTAGTGATAGGTTTATCAACGGATCGAAATCGAATTTATGCTATTTGTTCTCAGCTGAAATAGCCGAAATATGAAGATAGTTGGTGAGAGAGAATTTTTTTTTTAAAAGAAAACTTACGAATCTGAATCAATAAATGGTAATTGAGTTGAATTATGTTGTACACGTCTCGTATTATTACTATTAATATTATTATTGTAAATAATAGAAGATTGTGGTTGTTGATCAGATGGTTGTGATAGTGAAGCTTGTAGTGATAAAGGTAGCGATGGTGATGGAGATTTATCACTTGGCATAGAAATTTTCATTGATGAGGTGGGAACGTCTTCACCTAACATATCTTCATTCCCAATTTTCTTCCAACGACGTTCTTCATATTTTCGTCGTCGCAAACGTCGTCGCTTGAGTTGCCCGCGTCGCTTGAATTGCCCGAGCCGCGGAGTTTTAATGAAATTTAATAAGAAATTACTAATTTTGAATTAAAAATAGGACCCGTAAGTTATAAAGTTTTTACCGAATTAAACAACAACAACAACAAAGTATTCCGACGCTCAATCGATACGTTATTCTTTTCATCTTTTCGCATTTCATCTCTTCTCTAACTCCCTCTTCCAACTTAACTTTCTTTTTGCTCAGCTTTGCGTTCTTGCCAAATGTCTAATCACGTTTCCTGGATGCCTTTTCTCTGCAAACGATCTTTTCTTATCATTTTTATCCGTGTAATTCGCTACGCCAACACGATCCCTCAATCACACACGTATACCTGGTGGCGTTCCCATAATCATGTTGTCTCTAAATTTTTAAATATTTGCACACGTATTCGTAGCTGTTTTACGGCAGCCGACGATTAGTCTTTTCGCGGCACATAGGTTGCATTTGAATATTATTATTAATAATTTAATAATTTTGATATTAATAATTAATATTATATTAATAATTATTTTTAATTTTGCTAGAAAATTTATTGTAATTTATTTATTTATTTTAGTCGAATTTCAATCTTCTCTTTTTGTTATACATATTATTAATGGAGTGTAATGGCTGATTAGGTTTTTGCTTTCATTTCGAGGTGCCGATTGTACCTCCGTCTGGAATAAATTGTCTTTCAAAAATCCAGGCGATTTAGTTGACGATTTAGTTGCATACTTTCATCGCCAGAAGTGATTCCTTAGCTAAATTCGTCTAATCCGACAAATTAGCGGAACGAATCTCATCGCAAATGATAAATAATACTTTCAGAAAAAGAAGAGAAAATCTATTATTAGCGTTTTTTAGAATATTTTGAAACATAATTGGTTCATTCCATTGTCTTCTACAGATTTTAATTGAAAATTTTTTTTCGTAAAATTACATTTTTAGTGATTTGGAATGAAACTGGAACAACATAGAAGAAAACATGGAGGGAATGCGCGAATTATCAAAAAAAATGTTGGAATTTGTAAAAATACTCGGGAAAGAAATTCAGTGAAAGACAAATATAAAGTTTTAGCAGCCAACCCTTGCAACGTTCCAGTTAAAAAAACAAATATAGTTGATAATCAACCACAGTTTGCACCATCATCATCACCACTAACTATGATTAAATCAGGTACTTTTTCTAAAAAACTTTATCAAACGGATAAATATGGCGTCAAAAAATGAATTTGGATTAACATGTTTGAATTAAATTTTATTTGTTGTTGTAGAGGAATAGATCCAGTAGGTTTGATGCGTTCATTCAACATAATTGGTAATACTTTAATAATAATAATAATATTTAGTAAATAAATGAGAAAAGTTGGGATAAAATTAAAAATTAAGTGAATGTAAATTCGTAATCGTTTTGGTTCTTCTTGGCGCGGCATCTTACATCGCACATTTACTCAAAAAAAGTGAAATTGATAAACAAATGATAATTGTCCTATTTTATGCGAGACACGAAACGTCAGTGTAAAGATGTAATATCATTTTATTATCTTTAATTTCCTCCTTAAAGATCATTTATTCCTTCACTAATTTCATGATGTAAGATGATGTATCTGTAATTTTGGTGCAGTTGTGACTGAATGAGGATATTCCTTGAGTTGTACCCAGTTTTCCTATTAATGATTGTTATGTTGATTAATTTAATTGCTTCCATTCGGATTTATTTTTCGAGATTTATGTTGTTCGAATCTCGAGCTACATTTCATAACTTCATGATTTTTAGATTAATATAAAAATTGGATAATAAAATCTAAAAACAGGGTATAATAAAGGATATTAATAAGTTTAGTTTTTGATCTTTGATTGTTTAGATCTTAGCTTTCGAAATTTCTGTTATTTCTTTCTTGGGGAGTTTGATTGACAGATTGATTGATTCTTGCTTATTCGTCAGACGACAGATGAAACTGCTGCTTTAATTTCTCCAATCAAAGAAATCCATGTTAATTATAGTAAGCATACCGATTCTTTGACAGCATTTCTACTTATTTTTTTTCATTTTTTCCATTTTAATTTTCGAAAGCTCATTTAAAATATTGACAATCTCAGAAAGTCGAATATATTTTCGTGAAAAGGAGATAAATATCATAAAAAACTATTTTGAAAATCATAATAATCGTTCAATGTATATTTCGGGACCAACAGGAACTGGCAAAACATTCACTGTGCAACACTTTTTTTCAAGTATTTCTCATTTACATCGGTTTGTTTGTTTTTTTTCGATTCAGTATTTTTTTCTGAAAAATATTTAATTTTGATAATATTTGATAATATTTAAATCTTTAATTCCTAAAGTATTTAGTTCTAAAGTATTTAAATGAATTTTTTGAGAATATTTATTTTTTTCTTGATATTTTTTCCTTTTTTCTTTTTATTTTTTTTTAAACTTTTTTATTTTCAGATTTGAATTATTAAATCTAAATTGTGTTTTATTTAAAATGGAAAAAGACATATTACGATTTATTTTTGATAAGTTAACAAAAGCGAATAAACAGCCAAATGTTTCGAATTTACTTGAATGCATCGAAAATGTCTTTTCGAATGCCGAAATTCCAATGTTAGTTTCTCCTCTCCCTTAATTTTCGTATCATTTTTTTCCTAAAAAAAGCAATCGAAAGAGTTTTTATAATTAAATTTTAAAAGAAAAAGGTATTAAGTACATATTTTTGTCAGAATAGATGTTGTTGCTTGCTCTATTCTCAAGTTTTAATTATTAAATTTTTTTAAAATTTTTAACGTTTTAGAATAATTGTTCTTGATGAAATCGATTATATGAAGTCAAAAAATAATTCATTTCTATATAAATTCTTCGAATGGCCAACAAAATATTCGCAAGTCGCTTGTATAGGTGGTTCATTCTTACTTTTTCCTTTATTTAGCAAATTTCTTTTCAAAAAATTTGTTTCAATATAACTATATTTGTTGGTAATTGCACCCGTAGATCTTATGAAAGATGGGAATGAGTAGTGCTTTGATTCGGAAAATTTAAATTTATAAAGAAGGTGTTTCAGGAATTTCGAATTCACTGGATTTAACAGAAAGAATTTTACCGAAGCTGAAATTAAGCCATTCTCCAGTTCGCGTTATATTTTCGCCATATACAAGAATTGAAATTCAACAAATTTTAGTCAACAAATTGTCCCACGTTTGCATTATTTTTCTTGTTAAATTTGAAATTTTCTTTACACGGACTTGTTAAAAATTTAAATATTTTATTAATATTTCATTTAAAATTTAAATATATTAAACAATACTTTTAATACTTTTGTTATTATTATATTATTTTGTTATCTTAATATTTTAATACTTTTTACAGCATACACATTGCACTTTTTATTTTTGTTTTTGTCCCGTTTTCATCTTGTTCATTGGTCGAAATTATTCCCATTTATCCAAAATTGCCTAGTGATTATTTTTCAGATTTTTATCTTGAATTAGCAATTTTTCGTTTAAAAGGTGGTAGAGAGCGAAATTAAATTTCTTTAATGAAGTATAATATAGATTAAAGGAATTAATTTTTGATGTTAATTATCCTTGGAAGATCGGTTAATCTGGAAGAAAATCACAAGGTTTAATTTTGTTACTTATTATTTTACTTTTCAGATCGGTGAAGTAGATATGCAAGCTATTGAATTATGTTCTCGTAAAATTGCTTCAATGACTGGTGATATTCGTTTTGCTCTACAGATTGGACGGCAAATGCTTTTGTCAGTCGAATCATTTTTTTTTTTACTTTTTTTTCTTTTTGGAGAGGGTTTTTTTATTATTTAATTTTTTTGAAGAATAATTGGTCCAATTTTAACTAATTTAGTTCTTCAAATGAAAAAGAAAATAAATACTGTGAAAGAGTGCTTGGAACACTATCGAATATTTACGATTCTCCAATTTTGCGTATTAGATTACCCATTCAACAAAAAATTATTTTAGCAGTTATGTTGAATTTATCTCAGAAATATTCTACTACGGCTATCAACAAAGGTTTTTTTTAAAATTTATAATTATCAATTATATTATATAAATAATTATATTAATTAAATAATTGTATAATAAATAAATTTATTATAACTGGTCCTTTGAAATCGATAGTAAATCTGATCTAAATCTAAAAAGCGAGAGTAATTTTCACTAATAGTGAATATTTTTAAGCTCCATTTATCCAGGGCCATTTATTTGTCCCAAAATTAGAGTTATTTTGATGAAAAAATTTCAAAAAATTATTGTGCACTATGGATACGCGATTCACTTAATCTGGAACCGAATTCAAATTTTCAAAAAATTGAAAGAATTGCATTCTAAAAAAAAAATAAAAAATTTCAGATTTATTTGAAAAATCCTATCATAATGGGTGCAAAAAGTTATCAGTGGTAAGTATGAATGCGAATGATTTGAGCAGCTCGTTATTATTGCTTGAATCACAATCAGTAATTCAAATCAAATCATCTCATTATCAGTTACTTATTGATGCGGGTACTGCTGCCAAAATCATCTCGGACTCAACATTAATTAGCCAATTTTTCCTTAATTAATTTCGCGAAAGAAAATTTTTTTTCACATATGTTATTTTTTTTGTTTATACATTTCCTGTTATTTTATATATTTTTTCTCCCAAACATTTAAATTTTTCACTATAATTCATTAGATTTTATTTCATATATATAATTTTATCGTGCCATTTTTCTTTATCTAACAGTGCATTATTAATGCTTCATGTCTTGAACCACTTGGACGATACATTTCTATATTTTCGATGTGGTGCCAGATTTTTAGATTTGAATATTAGTATTTTGTTTTGTGTAAAAAAGTTATAAACAATAAAATTTTGGTAGATTCCTTTTGTTTTATAAAATTGTTTTGCTCAGTTTTTAACCATTTTATTTGTATTTTATTTATTTGTATTTATTTCTATTTTGTATTTTAATAATGAACTAAGTAAGGCAAGAAAGTAAGGTAACTAAATAAGAAGCTAAAAAGTGAAAAGGAAATTGTAGCATGTTTTGAAAGCATAATTCAAGAGAACATCGCTTTTCTTTTTATTCATTATATTCTTTCAGTTAAATAAATTTGTCGTTAATTTGCAACTCGATTCATTAGCCAATACTTAGGATATTTTAAATGCAATATGATTAAAGTGATTAAGCTTTATTAAAAGAATTTCCGTAAGTATTGTTCAATTTCACTTGCTAATAGATTTTTTATATGCAGAATTTTTTCAGAATTTGCTTTGTGAAAATTTAAAAGAATGCGACCATTAACTGATGAAGAAACTGAAATTGTCTTTAAGAAACTTGCAAAGTATATTGGTGAGAACGTTAGATTATTAATCGAAAGAGGTGATTCAAATTATTGTTTTAGGTTGCATAAGGTTAGCTTTTCTTGCATGTGGTTTCAACTAGAAAAGGAATAAGTTCGATTGTTTCCGTCGTTAAATGATTTATGGAAATTCATATATCTCTATATCGAACGAAGGCAGTATGAAATATACAATGTATTTTATAGCCTTTTTTATCTTTGTCGAAATAAATTCTGAACTTTGGACATCTTTTTTTCAGGATCGCGTATATTATTGTAGCGAATCATTAATGAAGAAGGCGGCTTGTGTAGCTCGTGAACAGCTTTTGAGTTTTGGTACTTGTTTGGGGAAATTTACGAAAACAAAGAAATTCCATATACATATAACTGCACTGGACTATATTGCGCCTTATGCCAAGGCATTATTTTTAACCATTCTGTTAATTAATTTGATTTGTTATTAAATGGATTCCTTTTACTTTTAGTGTAAAGTTTGGTTGAAACCAAATGCAGAACAACAGTTTCTTTATGGCAACAATGTGGTCAAATCGGGTATTGGACGAATGACTGATGGGGCATTATCACATCAAGGTGTTGTTGTATATAATATGAACGATTTACCTCTCGGATTTGGGGTCACCGCAAAGGTAACCATCATAAATGTTATTAATCTCTTGAATTTTTAAAGACTGGTTTATCTCAGACCGTTCAATGAAATTTATTCTCTATAAATTTTTTATGGGGTAATTAATTCGACTCAGATCGTTCAATGAAATTTATTCTCTATAATTTTTTTATGAGGTAATTAATTCGACTATAATAAATATCTTTCGCGAGCTCATTTCGCATTGTCGAAGTCGACTGATTAACTGGTGAGATTCCAGCGAAACCGATCACGACACCCAAATATCCAAGGTCGAGAGATATATTTTATCTAGATATTTATAAATATTGAAACCACTGATTCTGAGCTTAATCGATGTTTTTTGCTAATCTTATCTCCATATGTTGACCCAAACAATGTTAATATCTTGGGGAAAAACAGTTGAGCCCTTAAACTATCGGTCCATAATGAAACTTTAGGGAACAGCAGAATGTAGAAAAGCTGATCCAACAGCGATTGTTGTATTACACCAGTGCGACTTGGGCGAATATCTGCGTAAGGAAGCATTTTTAACCTAATATTTCACTATTGCTTTATTATTGTTATGTATAATAAATTATAAATAAAAATAATTGAAAAAATAAAAAATTCTGATTTTCATTACCAATCAAATTTCCATAAAAAATTTGGAAATGCTAGCGCTTAACGATTTCGGAATTCCGTGAATGGTATCAGATAAAAGAGAAGTTCGCTGATGAGGAGAAACTGATGCGTAGAATTTCGTTAATAACGATAAAGTTGGGAAATGCTTCGTTATTAACCTTGCCTTTGCAATACTTACTCGCGGACAAACAGTAAGCTGGCGCGAAAAAAGATCCCTTACAGTTGTTCTTTGAGTTTTCTTGTATAACCTTTGAAATAGATCAAATCGAATTCCTTGTATCTGAAAGAATTTATGAACAATATATTTTGCATATTAATCATAGAATCATAGAAAACTTTACTCTAAAGTTTTCAGCCATCGATAAAGGATTATTACTTAGTGGCTTTAGTTAACTTTAGTTTAGTTAATGAGATTATTTCGACCACCAAGACAGCGATAAAATTATTCTATTTAATAATTATTTTAAAATTATTTTATTTAATAATTAACAAATCGTAAAAAAAAAATAAGGAAGCCAACCAAGACGCGGAAAAAATTTGTGTGTCTAATTTATTTTGTTTAGTTTTTTTCTGATCTTATTTATGTAAGATTAAAATCATTTACTTAAGAGGTTACCTGGTTATGTCCAGCCTTTTTGATTAGCCGATTAGTTATTATTTGTAAGAATGCAGCAGTTTCCACTTTATTTTTTGTTCGATGGACCAGGAACCTGAAACATTTCGGCATTTTGAATTTCCCATTGGCCATCGGAATGTCAAATGCAAAAGAAAGAATTCCCCAGTCTTTTCTAATATTTTAGATATTAAGATAGATATTAAGAATTAATAAAAAATAAAACAAAAATAAATATTTACCCATTTTGCACATGGGTAGTGATTAAGGACTGGCTTAATTGTAAATCAGTTTGAAAGTCGCCTTCAAGTAGATATATAATATTTCGAATATTCGTTGCCATCAAGCGTTGTTTCTGTTCTTCATATCTGAAATAAAAGAGTAGATAAAAATCTAATTCTTCAAAAATCATAAATACTATTTTTCATTTACAATACTTAATACTTTTATTTTTATATAAATACTTTTAAGAGCCACGAAAAAATTGTTTTAAAAAAATTTTACTAAAAATACGGATTTTGGCCAATGAAAAAAAAAAATGAAATTTTGAAAAACTAAACAGTTCCAATCAAAGATCGTCAACAATCGTTTTTTCATAGAATTTATTAGAAATATTGACCTTCCTTCAACAATACTTCTCGACAGATCATTATATGTTTTGCGTTCAATAATATAATCCAACACCAATTCTGATCCATCTTGTTTCCGAAGTATCCACAAAAAATCACCAACAGATAATGACCGAGATTCATATTTGACACCCTGAAAACCTATAATTGAGTATTTGCGGCACCTTAAACAATCAGCAATATCTGTATGGGATTTTAATTAATTAAACATGAACTAAGCTTACTGAATAAAGAATAAGTTTTCCTTAGGAGTTTTGCTGCAATTAAATTCAATCTCTCATTTCCCCTCCTACTACTCTCTCTAATCAAACTAAAATGAAATAAACGAAACTATTTTTTTCTAGAAAAGAATAATATGTGGGCGCCAATGTTCGTATTCATCTATAAATAAATTTTATATACTTTTGTAATAAATTACATATACTTTGTACTCATGAACTGAAAGTAAAAGTAAAAATATATGCATAAATGATAAAATGTGTAATGTGTAATATAATAAAGAAATATAAGTGAATATACCCAAAAAAAGAAAGTGCAATTTTTAGCGAACTAACCTGTTTTTCTAAATAATGACAAATTGATCCTTCATGATTGTTTCGACCATGACTTTCAATATTATCAATGATAAGGATGACCTGTATTAGGAATAATTATCTTTGATGCTCATCTAAATGATTATCTAGAGCTATTAATTATTACAACTAAATAAATTGTAAAATAATTATGTGAAAAATAATAATTTGGTTAAAAATAAATGTCACAAAAGACAATATCAAAGAAAAGCGACAAAGAGGATATAAATTATAACATGGAAAAACAAACTTTAGAATGCTGAAATTCATCTGGAAAATAAAAAATATGATCGCAATTCAAAGCTTCCACACATTCTGGATGAACACCATCATAGTCACTACGAGTGCGAGTGAGGCATGGAGACATATTTTTTGAGCAATGAACAATAGCATTTCTTGTTTGAAATTTAATTTCTTTATTTGTAGGTTTTGAAATGACACCACTAATATCATTCATATTACCGTTAGCCACTCGCTTTTTTCTCATTCTTTTCGGCAGGTTACGACTGATAGTGTCCGAACCACTGATAAAATTACAAGAGGGGACGATTATTTTCCTATTTCGCATCTTCACGTTTCTTCCATCTTTAAGTGAAGAAGGTTCCGTATTTGAACAATCATCATCGAAATTTCCTGTCATTAATTTAAAATTTGATGGAATTGCATCACCACCATTTATTAATTTAGAAGACTGTGCGACATTTGAACAGATTGTATTGGTTGGTCGTTCATGAATCGCGCTTTTCATAAATGATAAAATTTCCTCGGATTTTAAATGTTTCAAATGGTTGAGAGTTGGTGCACACTGCAGCAAACAGCATGCATTGTTCCAGGCTGAATCAAGTTTCTGCGCAATGGTTTCGCCAATGCCTAAAAACGTTAGTGTAGAAAATTTGAATTACCAGAAATTTATAAAATTAAATTTATAAATTTATAAATGTTAACACGTAGAATTATATTTTTTTAGCATAATATTAAAATATTTTTAAACATTCAAAATTTCTAAATGGCAAATTTAAAATGTTTAGGCAGATGATAGGAATTATAAAATTGATACAAATCTTAAGCCTTAAGAGAAAAATAAAAATGTAACTGGGCCCAGTTAGATGCAAAGCAAATAATTCCTATAATTCCTATAAATAATTCCTTTAAATAACTGACTAAAAAAATTGCTTAAACCTCTGATTAACTTTAATTCAGCAATATTTGCAATCTCAAGTGGATAACTTCGCAAATTAATATGCGCCCGAGACAAAGTCGATATCATATTTCGATCTTCAATGCTTTTCTTCCATTCCAATAATAATCGCTCATAGAAATAGTTTCTTGCATGAAATCGTCGTACTTTAATTCGTTTCATAATCAGCTGACCATAACTTACTTCTAAATTTATTAAAAATATGTCGACATTGTATGAAAAAGAAGAATCGTAGACGATTTAGCAATAACGTGAATAATTATTAAGGCAATGACAAATTAACACGGAGAATTTCCACCAATTTGAAGCCGATGTCATCTGAAAATACGACAAAACCTTCGGAAAAATAGATAAAACAAATCAAATAAAAACATTAAGCACATATAAGGGGCACAATTCCTATCATTTTTGAATATAGGAAGTGCAAATTATTTGCTATAAACAAATCCTCCACTATTTCTATTAGCACGATAAGAAATTTTTCATAAAAAATCATTCGGAGATAAAGTTAGATGCATTCCTCAGCATTAGGGGATAGAATGACTCAATGGACTGTTGTTCAATTGGGAGCGCCGACGCTGAGGTTCGATTCTCCGCAACAGTAAACTTGGCCAAAAATCCGGGTGATGCTGCGACTCATCTGTATTTCTATCGACAAGGGACTCCCTGGCATAGTGCGCAACACGATGAGCTAATTAAGCGAGTTTAACCAATAATGGTGAAGACTTTTAAAAAAAACCTTAAAAATCCCTCGACATAATCAGGATTTGGCGTAATGCTAAAAATAGGTGAAGTTACTTAAAAGGCGAGTAACCATCAAACGAATTTATATGTACAAGAAAATTAATATTGCAGAAATAAAGAAACACAATTGGAGATATAACCTGAAATGCTTCAGTGTATATTTTCTGTAAAATATGACGTTAAATTGAATTAATGGAAAAGGTGCAACCCAGATGACTACTTAGGAAATGAAAAAACGAATGAGATTTCAGGCAAGTATGGCGTTGCAAATGAGACTTGCCAAGTCTTGTATAACCAGTGCAACCAATTGCAAATGAGACTTGCCAAGTCTGTATAACCAGTGCAGCCAATTGCAAATGAGATTTGCCAAGCCTGTGCAACCAACTGCAAATGAGACTTGCCAAGTCTGTATAACCAGTGCAGCCAATTGCAAATGAGATTTGCCAAGCTTCTGCAACCAGTGCAGTGAATTTAAGCCAGAAATAAAGCGCATTCTTAGAATACAAGAGAAAATTTATGCAAAATTTCGACCATTTTTTAAAATTTTGCTCAAAGCCGACAAAAATAAATAATAAAAATTTTTATTTGAAATCCGTTAAAAAGAAACGACAAATAATTAAAAATTTAAGTTAACGTATTTAAATATATAAATTGAAAGTTTAATAAACGGAATCTGATTTCGGAGAGCCAACTGGGTGTTCCTTTCAAAGAATCCGAGTGATTTCGTCCACTCATCTTCTTTAGGCAATGGAACCACAGCAGAGGAATGGAGGTAACGATCCACTAAGCCATTCTTTCACACTCAGCTTTCGACGACACTATCATCGGAGAGATTCGAATTGGCGCCGCCTCTCGACACAACCACTCCTCCACCAAGTCACCAATACACCAAGTTAATCTATATTAAGCAATAATATAAACACTGTCAGATCGGAAAAGTTTTTTTAAAACAATCCACATCCATCCCTCACGTGCAAGTCTGCATTTTAGCTAGTCGCTGGCAAATTGCCAGCATCCCAACCTGATCTGAGAACTGATCTTAAACCCCATGACCGCTCAACCGATTATGTAGAGCGGACAATCTGGTAACAATATGAGAATGTGAAAATATATTCGAAAGTAGCACTCATCAATCTGCGACAAGTCCGTGGAGGACCCACCACCACGGATCAGCCTGTCGTCATTGGTGCGTAGTGCTCACAAATCAGACATATGCCTCATAAGCACCCTAACATTTGCCGATCGCTTCCACTTCTAATTTGTGAGTACACATATACAATTTAATGCGCATCAAAAACCACAAATCTACCATACTGATGCAAATACACGATATATAATAAATACTTATGTCATAACGAAGTAGGTGCCAAAAAACCATGAGGTCATTTAGTAATAGTAACAATATGGCGAACCATAATAAAAACATCCAATTAAGGCATAGTCCAACATGTTTTTACTTATCTCAAATTACGCTCAAAATTCACAATCATTTCAAAACAATATATACAGGTACAGCGATATCATATCACTCCATCATTTATATCATTAAAATTGCACTAATCCTATAAAATAACCTAATTCGAGGAAGTAAAAAATTTATAATTTTTTTCATTATGACAAGGATTTTTTAAATTTAAATGATTTCTATTTAACAATAAATCACCCATAATATTTAAAAATATATTAATTTATCAAAAAAGCACAAATTCACTTAAATACAGATAAATTAATTGGCAGTTTCTTTTCTTCAAAAAAAGAAAGCACCGAGGTACTCGTCAAAAACATCTGCGCTTGTAAATATTTATATATTAATATGCATTATGCTGCTTATTTTTCCTACAATATTGACCATCACCAAGGCGTGTTATGTAATCTGATACATAGCGTCGAGCTTTTTCTTTTACCGAATCTGTTACTTTGAGTTCTCCTTCACCTATCCTCTTCAACTCTTTTTCTAATATAGTATGTGTTAACTGAAAAAAAAATAAAGAATTATAAATAAAGAAATGAAGAAATATAATTCACGGGATTTCATAGTGAACTGGAAAAATATGAAATTAAATATTACAAAAATGAATTCAACTAAGAAATTTAATATTTAACATTTTTTATTCATAAATCAACCTTTATTGATAAATCAACCTAAACCTCGGAGAGCTCTGGAAAACATTTTAAAAATAAATGTAAAATGACCTTTCTCAAGACATATTTATAGTCATCTGACGAGCTGAATTTAGCCTTACGAATAGGATCCAAAATATTAGCAACATGTCGAGCGATTGTTGCCTTAAAGATAGCACGCGAATCATTTCTATCAGAAGTAGTATCTGCCGCATCATCACCTTCATCTGGAAGGGTCCAACTTGACTCCCTACAAAAATTTTAAACAATTTCGCATAAACAAAATTTCAAGAAATGAATGACTGAAAGATGGATCAATCTTACCAGAATTATACGATTTTAAATTAACAATTCAAAATGGGAAATATAGATGTAGCACCGATATAGCGTCTTGTAACCACTGAATCATAAGAGAGCACAACAGGGAACGGGATTCAAAGTAAAAATTGTGTAAAAAAATCTAACAACTGTCCACGTGACATGCTGGCAGGAACAGCATAAACTGGAAGGCAATACCAAATAACTGACATAATCTATTCAATATAAGGCCTAAACTCTTCCAAGACTAACTAAAAGGAACATTAGCAAGAAGGAATATAAGAAGCTAAGGAAATAGCAGGAGTTAAAAGCGGGACTAGATATGTGGAAAGTGAAGGCCAAAGCAGTCATAAAATTATAGCAGCAATAGAAGTCTAAACTTGAAAAGTGGCTTCATCAGAGATTTTTATCCAGAAGATCACAATGCCAGGAATAGCTAAGATACAGCCCAGAGCTCCCAAGCTCCAAGGCCATGGCAAAGTACTCAAGGTTAAGAGTGACCCTTACCACCTACAGGGAGTGAGAAAAGGATTTTTTTTCATATAATAAAGGGACCTGGTCTCTTTGTTGTAGTAATAAACGGTTCCTTCTTCCGTAGTTGCTTGAATCCACTTTGATTTTTTTGGTGGAGTGCTTGGAGGAGGTGGTGGTGGAGCAGTAAATGTTGCATTCTCAAGCTCTTTTTTTTTTCGTTCTGCTCTTTTTTCTTTTATTAGTGCCAAATGCTATAAGTTAAATGTTAAATGTTTTTTTACCATAAAGAAACCAAATTGATCAAATTGATATGAATTTCATAATCCAGGATCACTTATTCCATAAATATTAAATAATTTCCATTTATATTAAGATTAAAACCTTTTCCATCATCTCGATCTGCTCATCTGTAACTTTATCCAAATCAATTGGTTCAATTACCAAAAGGTTTTTTTTTGAATCGCATGATTCAGTGCTCACTTTTGGAATATTAGCAGGAGGAGAAGGAGCCTCCAATATACTTTTCAAGTTCATTTCCTGGAAATTATAATACAGAAATACATTTGATTGTTGTAAAAGCAAGGCATTTCTTTACAACAGTATATCACATATATTAAAATTAAATGAATGGAAAGGAATAGCTGATTTAATGTGATGGATATATAATACAAAAGAAACTAAGAAAAAAAACCTGATGCACATTATATTGTTGCTGTTGATAGTCGAAATGTTGATAAGCAGAATCATAAACTCCATATACTGCGTTCCAATCATAAGGAGCGAAAGGAGGATAATAAGGTAACGTAGGTAATCCCGCAGCAAACAATGACTCAGGAAGAAGCATTGGTGGTGGCGGTATCACATACATTTCTTCGTTTTCATCAGTATAACCTTCAAAAGTTGAAGACAGCATATCCGCATCTTTTGAGACAACGTCGAAACGTGAACGCCTTGAAGGGACAGCTTCTGCTCCACTAGATGTGGGCGAAAATCCTTCAATATTAAAGAGATACCAAACTATACAGGAAAACAATACATATAAATATGAAATTTCTTAAAGCATAACTGTACAATATTTATATGGAAATTAAAAAAAAAATAAAATGGCAACACAGTTTTATTCCAACCCAACATCAAGATCTGCTATGAATTAAATAAATGGAGTAAAAAATAGCTATGAAAACCGGCTTCCTCGTTACCCAGTTCTTCGAATAAAACAAACCTCGTTTTCGAATAAAACGATTGTCGTTATTCCTTTCACGTTGAGGTAGAACGATACGCCTAGTTTTCCAAGAATTTTCCACTTTTTTTCCACTTTCTTGTAAAACGGATCGCCTCCTCAGTTTCTCTTCTTTATCTATTCGCTAGAATTTTCAAATTTTTATTTATTTAATTTATTGTTTTCACTAAGATTGCTTTATATTTGTTTTCTAGACATCCTTGTGATAAATAATGAAGATAAATTATTGTAGAAGCTGTAAATTGTAATATTTATATGGCTAATATCAACCTCATTCGCATCATCTGGCGTTCCGCTCTTTTCTCGCCGTGGAATTCGAAACTCTTCACGCAACCTGTTCCACTAAATGTAAACAATTTACACAAACTGTCTTATGAGAATTTTTTAATGAAACAATTAGACAAAATATAAGTATAAAATAAAAATACGAAAATTATACTCTTAGCATAAGATTTCTGGCCTTGCAAACCAAACTGAAATGAAGATTTTCCAAAGTTTCATCAATGCAACATGAAGTTCCAGGTAAAGAGGACTCAGATGTAGAAGGCGAATCTCCACTAATAACATTTATCATATGACGAACTCTTTCTTCAACTATTTCATCTATTGGCCCAATCTTAAAATAATAGTTTACCATGCTGCTTTAATTTTATCATTTCCATTTTTATTATAATATTTTAAAGCATTATTTGACCTTGTTTGCTAATTTTTGAACCGTAGCTGCTAAATGACTGTCATTAACTTGGTTACGATTTATGATTGGCATAACTTGCAGCAAATCTAACGATGCAACCATCAGTTCATATACATATTGTCGATCATCAACCGGATAATCGGTGGCAAGAAATACATAAAGCAATCGCAATCCTATAAATATAAAACAGTTGATAAAAGAAAAAAAGTGTTGCAAAATATATACATGAAAAAAATAATAAAAAATGTTTTACTGGAAAGGAAAGAAATGAATTTATTTACCACAATTTTGCATAAATATTCGTAGAACATCTGGATGAGCAAATTGCATACATTTGATTAATTTGCACCTTTGGGGGGCTTGTTCGACTTGAATCATCAACTGAACAAGAGCTTGAACTTCAACACGATTTGTTGGTGCACCTCTTTTCAAAGCAGCCATTATTGCCTTAAATGTGATAAATGAAAAATAGGTTCACAAATTTTTAAATTTAAAAATATTTAATAAATGTACCAAAATTATGGAGAAAAATCAATGAGACAATCGAAAACAATCCTTTAACACAAGTTAAAATACTGTAACAAGAAATAGGAACCGTACCAAATCCATATTTCGCATCCTTTTCTTTTTTTTCCTTGTTTTTCTTCCTGCTTCTTCTGGTGTAATTCTAACATTAATTAGGCCATTTTGCTCAGGAATTTTGCCATCATTGTCGCTTTCTTGATAATCGTTATCTTCTTTCTCATCATCATCGCTATCAGTGTCTTCTCCAATTAATCCACGACAATTTGAAGCTCCACAGAAACAGCGCTGTGCTTTACGACTGCAATGTTATAAGCCATATTTGATTTCCTTTAGCTACAAAGTTTTTAAAGAAATAAAAACACGAACCCATAACGTTCAAGCTGATAATCAAAAACGATTTCTTCACCAACTTTGATAGATCTGATGGAAAAAAAGCCAACCCGCAGCTGACGATCGACTGCCCACTGCAAAATATGAAGATGAACTAGAATAAAAAAATCGGGAGCAATTGAAACACACTGTTTAAAAAAAAAACCTTTTGGCTTTCACAATTGGGATCGCAAGAATGATTAATGAAACGAGAAATATTCCCTCGCTGCGTCGCATCGATGACAGCACCATTCTTTAACGCCATCAAATAATGATGGATATGTTTTGGATCCTTGCCATACCTAAAGGTAAGAATATTTGAACGAAATTTCACAATATTTCTGTTATTTAAAAAAACTGTTCGCTCAAAAAACCAAAAATGATGACCTTCGCCCACGCCTTTGCATTTCCTCCGAATCAATAACTTCACCAACATATTCAATGATAAACCGACCACTGAAAATAAAAAATTTTTTGCACACATATAAAAATCAAAAAAAAAAAGGAAATTAGAAATGTACTATTATTGAAATACATGTCAAACAAAAAAATCAAAAATTAAAAAGTGATAACGAACGGTTCGATAGGTTCTGCAGCTCGAAGCCCCCATCCTTTGATTCCAGCATGGAAAACTTCAACATTAGCATATTCTTTCTGTAAATAATAACTTAAAATAATCCAAAAATTAAATTGTGCACATAATCTCTTAAAATATCAACACACACCTTTTAAACAACGAACTTTTGAAAAATAACTTAATAATTTAGTAATTAAAAATAATTTAGATGCATGGAAGATATAAGAATAAACCGCAAACTCCATTTCAGAATATGAGTTTCCCAAAAATTATTAAATGATATCGTCAAATTAAACATATGCTGAATACAGATATTAAAAGGTGAAATATGGGAAAATCTCTAAAATTTAAATTATATAAAACAAAAAATAAATATTTGGTGAATAATAAAAATACAACGAACATTTCGAAATCGGCGATTTGAACACATCGGTCCACTCGGACAACGTGATCCACATTCGGTATATAGATCTCTATTTATGCAACCTGGCCCACAACCGCGACCTTCAGTTATTTCGTTTTCAGTTGGCTCACAGAAACATCTAACCACCTAAAATAATTCTTTTCGAATTTCCAATTAACTGAAGAATTATATAAAAACTTTATAATTCTTATAATTTATAATTCCAATTAACTTTATAATTCCAATTAACTGCGAACTGGAAGTAAAAAATTCAGAAAATATAAAAATACCTTAGCTTCTTTAATAAGATTCTCATCACACAATATAACATTTTCCTCAATTTTTTCGAACCAAGCTGGTTGAATATTTTCGTTATCACTTTTTTCTGATGTTTTATTTTCATTGATATTTGCTTGCTTTACAACAGTTTCCATAATTTTGACTTTTTCTTCCTGCTGTCTTTCATCTTCAACCTTTTTATCGCCTTCAACATTGCTTTCACCTTCGTCATCAATTTCCATATCGATCTTAAAACCAGAAAATAAATGAAAAGAAATAAAATGGTATATGATGAAAAAAAAGATGAATAGCTTGGGAAAAATAAAATTAGAAATGAATGAAAAAATTCTAATATAACAATAATAATAACGGTCCATTAAAAAACTGGCGCTGTATTTAATTTTCGGTAGTTAATTTGTAAAACAACCAAAACCAAAGAATGTCTTTCTTGTTTGTGAGTGACTGTTCTCCTATTGATTTTTTTCTGTTTTCACTTAATTCTAAATAAATTATTTCCTATCGTTTTATTATTTCTTTATCCTCGTAGGACTTAGGATTTTGATACTGTATTTTCTCTGGAGTAAATCAGCAATTAAAAATTAAAATCAGAGAGTGGCTGTTGGATATTCTTCTTCGTATTTCCAAATGATTCTGTAGTTATGGAACCATATCCGCAAATTAAAATATCAGTATACGAAATCTAACGATGATGTTGATGCAAACAGGGACCACTCTAATGCTCACCGATGATCCTCAGTGTCTTTATGTGCACAATAAGACCATAGCTATATGTAACGTAAGAATGCTTGCAGAAAAGGGGAACCATAACTCTCCCTGGAATAGCAGGTCAGCATTGAAAAAATCAAATTATACACATGAAGAAACATTTCAAAAATGCGCTGCGACATAACGAAAACAATTAATGCTGAAGTTCCACGCTCTAAGAATGCAGTTGAAAATCGCCTTCACAAAGTAAACCCACTCAAGGGATAAATGTAGAAACGATCCAAGATAAGGAGAAAGTCCAGTATGAGCTTTCGCGTTTACCACCTCTCACGACAAAAATCGTTATGTGCTATCATCATAAAAAATCCGTTACTCAGAAGCTTAAAGGCAACAAAACTCTAAAAGACAGTTCCACGCTAAATCGTTCAAATGCCTAGAATTGCCCAAAACCCTTCGAAATTCACCTTTAAAATATTCACAAGTGAGTAGATAATATTATGGGTCGGGAAATTTGTCAGAAAGATGACGAAGATGGAGGAGCATACTGGATAATCACTGGAACGATTTTTCCTCTATTCAACCGAATAAAACTATCATAGTTTAAAAGTAACAGAATGCTTTCAAAAGTGTGAGGACGGAATTTCACGGACATGCATATAGAAACAATATCGGCAATTCATCGCCATTAATTTTTATTGATTTTGGCGTTGTCGTTTGCTAAATAGAGAAATGTCTGAACTTTTGAAACGGAGAATCTGCTATATTCATTTCGTAGAATATTCCACTATGTTAAAAAATGTATTATCGCATGCCGATACTCAAAAGGTAAGTAAATCAACCTGAGGCACAGGATTTTTAATATTGATAATCTATAATTTTTGCTGATGGCTGCGAAAACCCTGTAATGCAGTGGAAGCAATGGAATAAGCCTAAATATATTAGGCCTAATCTTAAAGCACGTGGCCAAAATAAAATCCTAGTCTCCCTAGCCACAACTAGAAACCAATTTCTGCGTCTAGTGAAACCTTTGCATATCCGCGTTAAAAGCAACATCAAAGTCCACGAAACCCCCATTCAGTGCTCAATTTTATTATACAAACAAGAAAGACCAATGGGAGCAGAACAGATCAAGAAGTTGTGTAATTTTGACCATTCTTACCTAAGGCATATATTCTTAACTACATGATGTGGCAATAAAATCTCCTATAACTGCGTCAACCCTCGACCGAATAACAAAATTATATCGACAATGTCGAGCGTCACCTATGCTGAACGCCCACCAAAGGAAAGGATGCATATCGCGTTTGATTTCGAATCAAGAAGCCCAATGGATATGGCGCTGGGTCAAGGGACCTGGGAAGCTCCAATCGATGTAGCCACCCTAACAAGCCTTAAATTGCGCGTTATAAAAAAAAAATGAAAAATATAAACTAACAACATCATTGAGGTCATTCCGTGCATCGCCAACTTCGGATAACCACCGCTGTTTCATTAATTTAATACTCATTGCAGTTTTCCTCTAGTGCTTTGGCATAAAAAAAACAATTAAAACATTTTCTGAAATAAAAATTTTTCGAAGAACACAGCTTTTTTTTTTTTTAAATGAGCAATGATAATATCGTTTCCGCAAACAACAATTTCTTAGAAAAATAATGATCGATATCGCCAACGCGAAAAAAATACCTAAAACAAAAAATTGAAAACTTCAAGAATAAATTAAACACTTTGCTTATCAAATAGTTGTGCATACTATCCCAGTAGTTCGCACGGTGAGAAATTTTAGCAGGACAGCCTGGCTGAAGGCGACAGAGATACAAGTGGGGCACCAGCACCACTCTAGATTTTTTAATAAAAGGTTTATTTCTGCAGAAAACAGGCCATCTCGACAAAAGAGAAATGAGAAAAACGAATCTTTAACCGGTAATAACATAATACTCATCGTAATGCCTTTTAGATGAGTTTTATGGAAGTACGTGTAATGTTAACACTTTTTCTTAGAGCAATCGCCATTTCTAGTTCCTCAAACTTGTCGGAACAGGCAAATCGTTGGGTTATTTGAAAAATCAAGCAGGTCGCCGGCAATTTTTGAAAGTCAATTCACTCTCGCCGTTAGTAGAACCTCAAATGCTCCAAAGCGCAAGCAACAACACACTAAGCCAATTTTTCTTCGCAATTTTTACAGAAATTTTCAAAAAAATAGTAGATTTTCTTGAAAAAAAATAGTGGACCTCGAATACTTATTAGTTTAATAATTTTAAAATTATTTCATTTCTCACTTTAAATAATTCAATAACAAAAATCAATAATATTTTATAATCTTCCGAATTAAACAATTTTTCCATGGAAAATTATGCCTTAGATTTTTTCATCAAAATGAAATGAGACTAATCCGTTATGCCAACAATAAATTTCCTCCAGTGGCTGCAGTGTCTTTTTACCCATTATTTGCGGGATCTTAGTAGCACCTTCGTACCTCCGTATTCGCTCTCGCTCCTTGCTTACTCAAACCAGAATTTAGCCGTTTAACCTTTCCTCATAAAGAAAATAAATCATTATTCTTCAAAAAACAAACTGTGATGAATTTAAAGCTTCTGTAGCTGTTTCTATTTAAAAATGCCAAGGAAGTGCAACACGAAAGCGAATCAACGATGCTCATTATTTGAATAAAATCTACAAAATATTCATTTATTAAATTATAATAACAGTAATTAAACTAAGGAATAAAAAAAAATAAATTATAAAAACAAAGATAAAAAAATCCAAAATAAAAATTTCCAATAAATTACAGCCAATAAAAATGCGATAAGTTATTCAGAAATAGTATCGTAATAAAGAAAAGACGAGGGATAAGAAATAAATTTAGAGCCAACTTTAAGAAAAACCTGAGCTCGAGCCTGAAGTTTATTTGTTAATGTTTAGCGTATCGGACAATTAAAAATATCGATTTTCCGAAAAAAATAGCAGTTGCATATACGCACGCAAATGAAAAGAGAACTGGCTGAGAAGAGTGCCATTTGCTTGCTAATGCCGCAATGACAAAATCGATATTGGGGTGGGAATTCGTTCTAGGGAAACCCTATCTATTTCCCCATAAAAGTTTTTTTTCGGAAAAGCTCTTTTCTCCTTATTTTCCTCTTTACGAATAGGGAGTCTCTTCCACTTTTAATTCCCCAGCAAAAGCGTTGCGGAACCCTTTTCGCAACTTTCACACGAAAAAAATTACTCGCTTAGCCACTTTCCCTTAAACAAATAAATTGAGCAGCCTCCCTTTCTATTCCTAACGGCTCCCCGCAGGCAAATATCATTTTTTTGCAATAAAACCGATTAGTTTATAAAAGTCCATAAATTACCTGCGTCGATCTTTTCCCAGCGACTCAAAGATCATCCAATCACCTCAACGATTATTCTAATAAATCAAAATAGATACCAATCAGTCGTCGTAAAGTTGAAATCGACCGTTTACTGAAAAGCAACAATAATATTTTGAAAATGAAGCATATTTAATTTTTTCAAACTTAAAGTGATTATCAGCGATAAGAAGCAGAAATTAACTGCATTCAGTTCGATTATTTTTTTTTCTGAAAGAACTTTCGAAAAATTTATTTCCATACAGGAAAACAACTTATTTTTACAAAAAAATAACGGAAATTATAAGAAAGAAAACTATTAAATAGTGGAAAACGTGTCATCCCTAATAGTGAGTGGAGACAACGAAACAAGAAATGGTACATAACTGTATTTAAAAGAAGGCGAAAAATAAATTATAAACAAAAAATAACGAGAAAAACAAAAAATTTTTATAAAAATTTTTTTTCCAAATGTTTTTTGAACAAATTTATAAGGTGAATTAAAATTGATTTAACTTGATTGATGGCTAACAACAGCTTTTTCAGCTTTTAAACGACAATCTGATAAGCCATAAAATTTTAACTGTCCCTCTCCTGTATTTGTAAATATCATATCAGTATTGATATCAGGCACCCATTGTGATGCGTATAAACAATTCGAAATTTGCACAATTGGTGTGGAAGATGATGCATTACGAATACAACAATCACCTTTCTTAATCGATTCACCAGTTCTATTCAAATCTATTACACCATTTAATTCCAAAACCATTGTTACCTCTTCCCATTCATCGTCATCATTTCCGCTATTTACCATTTATCTACAAATAAAAAAAAGCTGTGAAGTAAGCCAACCTCATTCATTAATATTAAATATATCAAAGATATATATATATATATATATTGAGTATATGTCTTTTAATCTGTAAATGAGCCATTAAAATTGATCTGGATAACAATACTAACATGACGCTTCTAATAATACTAACACTTGTGGTACTGACCTGGGCTGTATGGTTAAAATGAGTCCAAAATATCAGAAATGATCAAATTTGGCTGAAGATTGCAATCGTTTACGATTACAGTAAATTTATTCAGTTGAACTGTCAAAAACTGAAAATATTTTTTAAAAATTTCGTCAGATACAATTGTCGCGCTAGCGTCGTCTCTTGTTTTTCTGTAAATTCGTTTAAAAAACATCGATGTATATATCTACGATGGAAATTCCATTTGTTGAAAAGGTCATTTCGCATTTTAAATATAACGAAAAAAAGGACGACAAAATGCAAATATCGAATCGAATCGAACACAAAATGATGCTTATTTTCCAATAAATAAACAAAATGGAAAAAAACGAAAAAGAGAAGAAAAAGCGACGTCTCCACTTCACCGTTCGCACCATTTAAGAAAGGAAAAACAGATTTTCTCTTACAGAATTCGCCACTTCGCATCTGATCACCGCTACAATTCCCAGGATGAACTATTTTCGCCAGGTAAGCAATGGGAAGTGGAAAATACAGTTGTATATCGAAGGATTGAAACCATGGCTGCTTTACAAAAACAACGCACCACTCCGCTATCCTGTATATCCTTTAAAAAATTTTATTTAATGAGCATTCGACTATTGAATGAACCTTTAACATTCTTCAATAACCATCATGATTTCCGGTTTGATTGGCCCCACTACCTATTGAATTTGAACCATTTCGACAGAGAATTGCAGGACAATCCTCAATCGGGTCATCTTTAACAGCAAATTTGCCATCGTCAGAAATGGTATTCCCGATGTTACATCTTAGAACGCTCACTCGATCATATTGGTTCTAAAAAATTGTGAGAAATGACAAAAACTGCTCAGTATACCACAGCAAAACCATATCAGTGAAAATTTAAAATTTCTAATCTCCCAAATAGGTCGATTCGAACAAAACAATTCTTACATTGCCATTCTCTTCATACACATGAAATATGAAAATTTTTCAAACCTCTATTTTCTAGATTCAGAAAAAATCAGAAGAAATAATTTTTTTCCTTTATCTAATAATATATATTGACTTTGTGAGTGAGAGATAAGAAAGAATTATTCATATTTGTTCCCCTAGGGGTCTTTTCGACAGACAAACCTTGGAAAGAATTACAAAAAAGCATTCCGAATTCATCTTCGATGAAACGTTTACTGCTGCTGGAAGGTAAGAATCGAAATTAAGCATTAGCCGAATCACATAGAATTTTTATTACAATGATTACCAAAAAATTCTAGTAGTATAGTAAAAAATATAGTAAAGAAATCTACTATCGTAAGTACTTTAATATTACGTTAATACTAAGTTAATATAATTATCCTTTTACGAGTGAGAGATGAGAAAAAATTTTTCATAGTCATTCACCTTTTACTTTCTACTGAGACAAAAGAGAGGAAAAAGATGAACTGTTGGATTACCGTTAGGACCTGAATTCACGCACTAACAGAAAGCATCTTTGAACAGAAAGTTCATGGAACAACAAATTAAGATTACAAGCACAATCGATTCAATGAAAAAAATTCTGAATTTTAATTAAAAATGAATAAAACACATTAATGTCATCGAAAGAAGCAAGAAACGATAAAAACATAAAATGAATAAAGCCAAGTTAAGAAACAAAAATGATTCAAAAATGATTACATTCATATATCCCAATCCCATATCGAACTTGTTTGTTGCTTCATTTGGAAAATACAACAGAAGATTTTCTCGCAAAAATTTTATTTTATTTTATTTTTTCTTAGAAATCTTTTTATATTAAATTATTAATACAAAATTGTCCAAAAGGAAAAATGAAAAAAATCGTAAAATTTTTAATGAAAAAAATTTAAAAAAAAATATTTCATTCATTCGATAAATATCTCTAAAAAATTTCTTAAAAATTTGAACTAACAAATGATTCAGCATTTTTGCCAGTTCAAATCGTATTATTACCAATATCTCCTCAAAGAGTGCACTGATTTTGATTTGACATCAACATGTGATTAGAAATGAGATAAGTTATTAAGTTTGTGACTCCATATCACACCTAAAATTAGACAGCCATTAAAAAATTAAAGCGAACAATTTTTAAATAATAATATAATAAAAATTTTTTAAAAATTTAATATCAGACTAGCCAAAATTGTGTGAAACAAATTCATAGATTTAATATTGATTAATTATAAAGTATTGCTTCCCCAGTTCAAGTAATTTAAAACAAATTTTTCTGTTAAAAATTTAAAAAATACAAAAAATACAAAAACTGAAATTAAAGCAAAAAAACAATTTAAAAAGAACTTATTCTGTGCCTTTCTCCTTTCTTTAATCGTTTTTTATTATTCGCATACGATGCAAATAATTCTCCTGCATTTTTCCTCTTCAGTTCACATTTAATTTTCACATCTCAACATACGATCGAAAATTTAACCTAAATCTGATAATAAATAGAATCAAAAAACTCAATAAAGTAAGACAAAAACGTGTCCACCGTGTAAAAGCATAAATATTATTTGATCAGACAAAAAATTCAGAACTATTCGCATTTTAATGGATTTTATTTTAGAAAAAATAAATAAAAGAAAAGAAAAACTAAGCCAAAAACGACAAAACAACATAGATAATAATATACATATAGACAACGCATAAAAATCTAATGAATATGAAAGAAAAAAATAACAAGATCGAGCCATCACGAAATAATTATTGCTAATAAAAAAATGTTAAGATTTTAAGGTTAGTGAATCTGTTCCCAATCTTTAAATATTCTCAACTGCCTCATCAAGTATTTTGAGACCCAGCTTTGTTGTCGTATCCAAAGCAGGTAATATCTCACGAATGATTCCATGTGCTATTGTTTGATGAGTTGAATGATCTCTAAGAGTAAATGGACGAGAACTTTCCACAGGTATTTTTTTATTTAATGCCAAATAAGCACTGCAGTGTCCACCAGGCATTAATAAATCACTATCGAGATGTATCCTTGCCACCTAAAGGTTGCTGAATTTACCATAAAAAATTAAGAGAAAAGAAAAAATAAACTAGTGACAAGAAATAATACCTCATCCCAAGTAGTACAATAAATTTTAATCGTATAGCCTGAACGTATTGCAGTTCTTCGACCACCATCTTTCTCAGAAAGTAAGTATAATTCTGTCTAAAAAGATATGAGACAATCCACTGCAACTGTTTTCAAAATATCAAATTTCATTAAAAAATCATTTGTTTTATGAATATATATTATATATTATTTTACGAATATATAATATATAAAATATCACTAAAAACTACTAAAATAAAAGATAAAAATTCATAAAAGATGTACTTTCAGAAAATTTGATGTATGAATGGAGCCAACTGCTCCCAACCACATACCACGATTTATATTATCCGCTTTTATACCTTTGCATAATATACCACAGTGATCACCAGCTTCAACCTTGAAACGTCGCTAATTATGCAACGTTGTACCAATATAAGTCTTGTAACTATGAATTGCATTCTATAAGACAAACCGCTAATAATGGAAATTTTAACAAACCGATCCTAACAAACCGATTTTTATTAAATCTTTATATGAAAAGAAAATTATTGAATTACAAATGCGAAAGCGATTTCTTTTTCTCATATAAATCGTTAATAGAGAAGTATCAAAACAATATTTATCCATACTTTGGAGACCGATTTTCCAAAAACTTGGATATCTAGAGCTCTTGCTTGAAAACAACCTTCAGCTCCTTTAATTTCCACTGAATCACCTTTCTTAAGCATTCCTCTTTCAATTGTCCCCACAGCCACTGTTCCTCTTCCTTTAACTATAATTCTAGACGTTATTGGCATTAACAGCGGAACATCCTGCAAGTTTAAGATTCAAGAATATTCAAGAAAAATTGAAAAAAAAAACAAAAATCTTCCAATTTAAAATTTGTGCAGAGATTAAGCAAAAAAATTACTTGAAGCCTTTTAGGAAGAGGAATATTATCTAGTGCAGAAAGTAATTCATCAATACACTCAGTTTCATCTGTCTGAAGAGCACGCAATGCAGAACCTTTGACCACAGTTATACAATCATCTAGAAAAAAATATTTTATGACCAAATATTTCCAAAATCCAGCATTTCTAGTCTTAAAAAAATCCCCTCAACTTTTTAGCCAGACATTCATCCTCTTCCTTAGCACCCACAGCTCCCTACTTCCTCCAATGCATTCTACCACAGTCTATTAACTACTTCTGTGCCTCTTTCTATCGTTTTAATTTTCTAATTTTAATTTAGTAGTTTTAATTTAATTTAATTTTAATTTAGTTTTAATTGAAGAGCCTAACTTCACCTTGTTTAATGGCCAGCAAATTTAGCTTCTTCACTTAAGCTACAGCTGCAGTTATAACAAGTTATAAAATTGGTGATTTAGGTATCGGAGAAATTTGGTGGTGTTGAAGGGAAATTATAACGACTGGAGTGTGGACAACGACTAAGCAAAAAAATATTTGGAGGATTTTCACCTGCAAACCCATGTTCCTGTAATAATTCGCGAATTTCAATTTCAACCAGTATCACTGTATCTTCGTCGACAACATCAACTTTATTAATAAATACAACAATACGAGAAATACCAATTTGTTGAGCTAATAATAAATGCTCTTTTGTCTGTGTCATAACTCCATCTGTGGCAGCCACAACTAAATTTTTATAAAACAAATAATTTTCATAAAAAATTAAATAAAAAAAAGAAAAAATGTTCTATTACATTATAATACAATGTAAAATAATACACAACAATTAACAATAAATAAAAAAATATATAATAACAAATAAAGAAAGGAAATACGATAAAAATAAACAAACCTAATATGGCTACATCCATCTGCGCTGTACCCGTTATCATATTTTTGATAAAATCACTATGCCCCGGGCAATCTGTATGCGCATACCGCCGTTTTTCCGTTTCGTAACCAATGTATGCTAAATTAATCGTTATGCCTCGCCGTCTTTCCTCAGCACCTTTATCAATTTGATCGAATGGAACAAACTTCGTTTTACCTACAAAGCTTTCGTAATAAAAGGCAGTAAAAAACACTTACGGCACTTTTTTATGCGTACTTTGTCTCGAATTAGTTATTTGGATATTAAGTTATTATATTAAGGTAAGAAAATTTCTGAAAAAGGACTTTGCCTTTTCTTGAAAGAACTCGAGTTATGGCCGCCGTGAGCGTTGTTTTGCCATGGTCAATGTGTCCTATGGTACCAACATTTAAATTCTCTTTCGTTAACGAATTGGAAATATTTGACGATTTCGTTTTGCTTGGATTTATTGAAAAATTTCGTGAAAACGATGAGAAAACTAACAAACTCTGTGAGCAATACGATATAGGTTTGAGTTGAACGAATTGCTTCAACAACATCTGAAACAAGAATGAAAAATAAAAATAGTAATTATGGTGTGGTGAAAAATCTCAGAAAAGTTAGAGAAATTGAAGAAAACTTCGGGTCAGCCGAATTCCCTATGTGCTCGCTGCATCATCCGCACGTGTCGAAAATTACCACCCAGGCTAGTCTCCCCTCCCCTCAACCCCGCCCCCTCGCATTGCCCTATCCCTCTTAACTCGTAACCGCCACCCTTTTGAACATTATATAAACTAACCAATACTCAAATAGTTTGACAGGTTCCCAGCAGCTGAATTATAGCAATTTGTAACATGCAGCTCGCACGGTTCATTTTGAATCAATGCCTTGAATTTTTTGTGGTAAACTTGTGGGTTTGTTACTTTCATAAAGTGGGAGATTACAACTTTTTATTTTTTCAGAAACATTCAAAGAATATTTTTGGAATTGTTTTATATTTTCTATATGTTTTTTTAAAAGCCACTGGTCATTTGTGATCAAATTCAGCGGAGTGGTCGGGCAACTTTGCGGGGCCACAATTGGCGATTGTCGAATACAGGTGTACCCCTGGGCATCCCCTGGGTTTTGGAATTTGCCGGGGCATTCATTGCCTCCAAACCTGGCGTGGATTGCTGGATAAATAGAAGGGGATTGCGGGTCTCTAGCAGCCGTTCGAAATAAGAGAAAATTTATTATTAAAGATAGATTCTTTGTCTTCGAAGAAAATGCGATTCGCACAGTTCATTTTGAATTAATCTCTTATAGTGAATTTGTGGGTTTCTTATCTTTTTACTTTAAACGTATATAAATTTCTAAAATTAAAGGGAATGGAAAAAGAAGGGAAAAATGATAAAATTGATAACGAAAATGAGAAAAACATATGTGAAACGACTGCTGAAAATATTTCGAAAGGTTTTTTTTTCGGATTTTATTGCTTCAGAATTTAATTATTAAATTTATTTAATATTTATTTAATATCTAATTTGTTTCTCAACTATTCTCTTATTTCAATTTTTTTATTTTTTCTTTTTTTTTTTAATTTTATTAAATGGAGCAGTTAAATTGATAAATAAATTGTCGATAGGCGAACAATTAATCTGCGATAATTGCTTTACGAGTCGAATTCTATTTGCAGATTTTATTAATAAAATTTTTCATATTTTCGCTTTTATTTTTTATCAAATATTTACTTGTTTATTGCTACTATTATTTTCTTAAAAGAGTTACTATTACCTACTATTTTACCTACTATAATTACCTACTATTTTCTTTAAAAGAGTTATTTATTTATTAAATTATTATTTATAAATTATTCGGCTGCCATTGATTTAGTTACTGAAAAAAATCGGGTTTATTGATTATTTATATATCTATTATAATTTTTATATTGAAGTTTTTTGTTTATTTTGATGTGATATTATGTAATGTGTTATTTACTTATTATAACATTATTAATACATTATTAAGTATTTTTTCTATCATTTTTCTGAAATATCTGTTGTTAATGGTATTTTTTATTTTTTCATCTGCAGAAGAATTAGAACGGCGATTCATCGATGGAAAATGGATTTGTGAAGATGGCTGCGGTGGATATTTAGTTTTTGTCGATGGAACTTGGATACGTGGTGATGATGAAGATTTAAGAAAGAAATGGAATGATTCGAACGCTATATCAAGTAAGCAAACGGCTACAAATCGTTGTATTGTCGATGGTATAACCATGGAATGGAATAGTTATGTACAAAAATGGTTACCAGTTGTTGAAGTATTTCATTTGCTTTTTCAATTTTTTTAATGATCCATTATATTTTATTATATTTGAATAGTCATAAAATTTGTTTTATGTGTCGGTTTGTCTGTCGGTTTGTTTTTCCTTCCAATGTGCTGATCTGACTTTGCAGGATTTTGCGATATTATAAGAGTATAATGATGTTAAAAAAATTTATGGGAATATAGAGTATTGAAAAAATATAATGTGGATTTTATGGTATTATGAGAGAGTAATAAAGACTTGGCGAGTCTAAGGGTGTTCAAACGACTATTAAGAGACTGCCTTTTGTAAAAGATGTTCCAGAATTTGAACTCAATTAAGTGGTTAGCACTTGCCATTTCTGGTTGATTCTGGTTGATCACTGGTTATTAATACGGCTGAAAATTTTTGAAACAGAGAGTCACTTGGCGATAGAAACATATTGGGCCAACATTATTCTCATTTTTTGTTCTTGAGGATAATTTCAACTAATATATACTAGACTATTCTTTCAAACTTTGAGGGTGATATTAAGTGAGTAGAATAGAATCATATTCATGATAAGTAAATTTTTAATCACCATGACAAATTACTGAGAAATTTATAATGAATTCTGAATTAATTCTGTTTTAAAAATCTAAAATGTATTTGGAATATAGTAACCTTAAAATTGAAAACTATACTCAAAAATTTGAAATAAAAATTTTGTTCATCGTTACAATAACAGTTTTTGATATTTTTTCATTTTGGAAAATATAAGGATTTCAGGTTGATGAAGATTTTCTTGCAAAATATCACACCAAGTATGGTTTAAATTATGATTACGGGTCCTTAACTTCAGCTGGACCAAGTACAGAATCATCAAAAGAAATTAAAACGGGAGGCAAAACAGCGAAAAATAAAATTTCTGATAAAAAGATTGAACAAGGTTAGCTATTATGGAAATTTAAAAATATTCTTGTTTTTATCATTTTATTTTTTCTTTTCTTTGGTATATTTTTTTATCAAATTTTTATTTTTTCTTTTTTTGAAAAATTATTTTTTTAAAATTGTTTTTGATCAAATTTTTGAAGGTTGGGTCGAGTTGGATGAGTCAAAAAATACATCAGTTTATATCACCAATCTTCCACGAACGATTGACTTAGACTCCTTGCATGTAAATGCCATTAATATTTTCAGTCAAATTTATTCATGAATTTGTGAACTTACAAACTTTGTGAATATTTGAAAATTTACCACATTTATAGGAATTGATGAGCAAGTGTGGTGTCATTCAACGTGATGCGAGAATAAATAAGCCAAAGTTAAAAATTTATAAGTTTGAAGATGGGACACCAAAAGGTGATGCAACTTGTGTTTATATAAAGGTTTCTTTTCCTTTAAAAAAAAAGCATGGAATGTTAATTTTTCTATTTTTTGTCAAAAATTTTGTCAAGTTATATATTATTTGGAAAAAATTCTATTTTTTAGAAGGAATCTGTTGATCTTGCGTTACAAATTTTGGATGGATGGAAGATGGGTGATAATATTATCAGGGTTGAACGAGCAAAATATGAAATGAAAGGAGAATTTGATCCTAAGAAGAAGAAAAAAAAATTGACTTCTGCTCAGAAGAAACGATTCCTAGAGAATCAACAAAAGTCTAATTTTGCTATTTCCACTTCTTGAAAATATATTACATTGCATGATTTCGTTTCCTCAGATATCGCTCTCGATTTATCATTTTTTTAAAAATGAACATTATTTCCCTGGACTATTATGAGCAATGGGCAAATATTTTCTGCTAAGATTTTTTCTTTAATTCTGGGCTTCTTTCTTGATTTTTTTCATATTTCATTCTTATTTCCTTCGTTCTAGAATTTTAATTGACCTTTATATACATTTTATGAAAATCTGGTAAACTTAATACAATGTTTTGTGGTAAAATTTTGATTTTTTAAATTATCTTTCTAATATTTAATCAGTTTACATCTTCTGACGATTAATACAGTTTCAGTTATTCTTAAGTTTAAATTTCAAATTTTTGTGCGATTTTATAGAATATTTGAATGGCGTCCTGAAAAACCACGAAATTATCGACCATTTAGCGATTGCACTGTTGTAATGAAAAATATGTTCACGATCGAACAAATGATGGTTTGCTTTTTTAATTTTTTCTGAAAATGAAGAGCATTTCGAAACAATAAATATAACAAATTTTTATATTTAAATTTAATTTTTGTAAATTTTGTACGCGAACAATATTTTGCTTATATCAATCGTGCCATTGAATTATATTTTTAGAAAAACGCTACTTTGTTATTCGATTTGGAAGATGAAACACGTAAAGTTTGTGAACGATTTGGACCAGTTAAAAAGGTCGTCGTACACGATGTTAGTTACTATAAATCATTCTTTGATGGATAAATCATAGATGATTTACAAATCTTTCAGATTTCGCTTCATTAATTATCTTATCTTAGATTTCTAAAAAGGCTTTTTTGATGACCTTAGAATATTGAAAAAACCAACAAAGCAGAGCGACAAGCGCCATGTGCTTATATTAATAACAGTTAAAATAACAAATAATGAAAATTAATGGTAAAAAGAAAATATGAGAACAAATTAAAGAGGAAATAAAGAGGAATTATAAAATAGTACAATTCCATTATTTACACATAATCGAACGGTAAAAATCGAGATTTAAAATTTCCTGCATGATGTGAACTTTTTAGATACTATCATGGTATTATCTAATTTTTTTTAAATAGTTAAGGGTAACGCACAAACTATATCGTTCGGTAGTTATTCCAGTAATTAATAGTAAGAACAAAGAAGTCATGAGTCCTTAGTTTAGTTTTGCATATAGATATTAGTAATTTTAGCCCATAAGATTTTGTTGGGTTCAAATTTTACCTAAAATTATATTTTGAACAATCTGATTTAACATAGCCATATTAATTCGAGGAATTGAGATGGAATCTAGGTGGTATTGTTGAAGCTGTGTTTTATAATTAAAACTGTTGTTTTTATTAGAATAGAAGTGATATATAAAATATTTCTGGAATATTTCTATTCCCTTCAATTATTTTTCTTGGTTTGCGGACTTGTGGAGTAAAATGTAGTATTATAATCAAGAAGAGGTTAAACGAAAGCTTTGTCCATTTTAATAAGAAAATCTTCAATTCTATTTTAAACGAACGAAAAATAAAATTTAATATTTTCGAGAATTTCTTTACTATGGTTCTGCAGTGAAGGTGAATAAGAGCTTTCATCCATGATTATGCCAGTCGGAAATATGTGAAAATCGTCTGATTACGTTGTCGTTAATAAAAAAGATTAGGAAAATCGAATCCTTTCGAATTTATATGTAAAACGCTACACTTTTGAAAATAAAAGGATAATTTGACCATCACATAGCCAGTTGGCAACTCTATAGAAGTAGTGGGGACAGGTTATCCGATCTACCATGCGAATAATAAATTTTACAACCATCAGCATAAAAATAAATGGTAGAGTTTAGTACCACTTCGGTGACACCATTAATATATAATAAAAAAAGCAATGGCACAATACAACTAATACAACTAATACTACCTTAAGGAACGCCTGATTTTAACAGGTGTCATGTCAGAAAGACACTTCGGCACATAGCCTGGCAACGATTTTTTATGTAATCTGGCACCCATTTATATAAAATGGGGTCTCTGTAATGCCATAACTATTAAGCGTGACCAATAAATTTCTATGGGGAACAATAAATATCAAAAGCCTTGTCTAAATTTAAATACACTACTGATATTGTTTTTCCATTATCAATTGATGCCGCCCAATCTAAAAGATTTGCCAATGTTTGTGAAGAAATAAATTTTTTCGTACAAAAAGACATGCTGGTAGATGGATATTAAATTACTGGCATCAAGATAAATAAGTAAGCCTTTCCAGTACTTTGCTGCCCATAAGCTTCAATTTTTATGCTTCTATTGTAGTCGTTGTTTTCTGCATTTCAGAGCAATCCAGAGGGTGTGATATGTGTGACATTCACAAATGTCGAGCATTCGGATGCAGCTGTTAGTTCTTTAAATGGTAGAGTTATCGATGGACGCAAAATCGAAGTGAATTTGTGGGATGGCAAAACAAAATATGCTGTGTAATTATTACCATTAAATTATATAAAATTATATAATTGTTAATAATTATATAAAATTTTTCAGTTTTTCTTTACAAAGAAAGTCGCTAAACAAATATGGCCTTATAATTTAATTTCAGAGCAGAAACTGAAGAGCAAAAAGCAGAACGAATTGCTCATTGGCGCCAATTTATTTCTGATGAAAATTGTTAGCAAAAGATCGAAGTTGATTAAAAGCTTTCATTAACTGTCTTCTTGTTTCACTATATTCCCATAATGAGCATATGACCACATCACTGTGCTGAACCAGATCACTATTTGACATTTGAGAATCCAGCCGCTTTTGAGCCTAAATTGTGAAATTTTTCTATTTTTAAATTGTTTGAAATTTTTTTATTTCGATAGAATATCATGGATTCTTGCTAGGAATAAGTCTACTTTGGGTTACACAACAGTACCTATCCACGGTCATCATTTGAATGTTTCCAAAATTACCAATTAATATTTGGCATTAATGGTTATCATTATTTTGAAATTCCAATGGTAAAAAATGCGATGGAAAACACTGAAACGAACTTGTTCATTGGATATGCCGTCTCTTTCATTTAATCGTTTTATTGCCTCTTCCGGTGGGACGATACAACTCCAGACTTGATGAACTAAATTTGAATTTGAATTCCATCCAGCTTTTAAAAGAATTGCAGCATCTACGACAATAAATTCTGCTTTGCTATTAATTATTATCTCTTTTACTTTTTCTTTTAGTGAGGGCCATACAATATTATTTAATGAATCCAATTTTTCCTGAAATTCATTTTTAAATTTTTTTAATAGAAAAGAAAAGAATATTGAGTGAACCTTATTTCCGAAAACAATTCGACCAAGAGCTTTTCTGTCGACTACTCCATCAACTACAATATTTTCACCAAAGGTCTCACGAATAATATTTGCCATCGTACTACCTTTGCAATACAATTCATGTGCAAGTTTATCACAGTTGATTACCTGAAAAATAATAACAAAACGAATTATTTTGCTTTTTTAAAAATCTCTATATTAAAAAACGTTTAATGAACAATTAAAACTTGGAAAAAAGTTATTTTTAAAATAATAAAGAATAATGGAAAAAAATAAATTAGAACAAACTTAGAGAACTTATTTATATTTCCGTACCTCACATCCATTTTGTTCAAGAAAAACTGCAGCTTTTGATTTTCCGGAGGCACTACCGCCAGTCAAGCCTATTACAAAAGGTCGAGGAAATTTTCCAGCAATATTTAAGGGTTTTAGAAAAGTGCCAAGCAAATGACGACGATTTGTAGAAGAACTTATTTTATTTTCATCCAAGACCTTATCTTCATCATGCAATAACTCAACTTTTTCTAACGAAATTTCCGAAAGTCCTCTTTTCTGCAAATATATTTATCAGATGTTGAATAGCAACCAAAAATCAAGTATATAAAGAAGAAATCTGAACAACAAACCCTTCTCTCCTGATTGACAGCATAACCACCACTTATTGTTTCACTACTAACTACGATTGCACCCAGATCAGGATCAACTATTGAGGGACCAAACGGATCAGTAATAGGATGTAATTCACATCGAACTCCTTGGCTAATATCGTTTACAAACTCATTAACTGCTCGTTTTCTAACTTCGAGTGGCTCCATTAACTCCCAAAGACACTTCTCTAGAAGTGATAATTCTAAAAGAATGTAAGAGATATTGAATGATAATTCAAAATTCGTGACCTGAACAGGAAAGAGTGGTGCTGGAAAAAAAAAACTGCGCATTACTTAAGTTCAGCTGAGTATTTCCAGGAATTATATTTAAAGCTAGGAAGCACTTGAACTTTACTAGCTTTTATTCCAGATAATTGGTCATTGACCATCTAATCGCAAAAAAAAATCTCAATCCTTGGAAAGAAATCTTTCCAACTTTAAAATTAATAAAAAAATTCATGCAATGGAAAGCACTAACTTTTAACCATATCGCCACAGGTAATACCGCAAACGATCTTTTCAGATGCGAGAAGTGCTGCTTTCGATAAAAGTAATTTATGACCATTATGAAGACGATCGAAAGTTCCTCCAAGTACAACTGACCGATAAGGTTTAACATATCCATCGACGAACAGTAATTCCTCCTCTTCATTTTCATCTCCTTTAAAAATTTCATCAAAACGCTTATCATTACAATTGTATAAAAGTACTCGAACATCTAATGAACGACAAATATTGTGCGCTTCCCAATATATTTTTCCAAGAACCTGCAAATTTTTTTATCCATTTATTTCTTCATTAATTTAAGTACTAAATCATAATTCTTATAGAAAAATTACATTATTTTCGAGAAAGCTAAAACATGGGCCGAATATTATTTCATCGAACTTAATGCGACAATTTATACCTTTTTAAGCAAGCAAGAAGGATTGAAAGAGGGGGGGGGGGGGAGGGGAAGGAGGAAATGGTCATAGCACGAATCACCACATCGTTGAAGAGAGCGCGGTGACCGGGAGAGATGACCAGGTTTACCTAATTTTAAAATTTAAACTTTACAAAAGGCTTCTCTTAAAAGAAGACTGCAAACCTGGTGAATATTCACAGATGACGTTAAACGTATATAAAGTCGTTTTTCAACTTTCTTCGAAATACTTTTAAGTAATAAATTAATATTTGCAATTGATTTATTACCAATAATTAATAAAGCTGTTTCGATTATCATCTAAAATATTTTATATTTTATCTAATTTTCGTTCAAAAAATTATGCATAATTTAATTGAAAAATTGCAGAAAAAAAATTTCACCACTTCTGGTTTGGCTTCTTCCACTTAATTAACGAATGCTTCTTAGCAAAGAAAACCAAAAGAAAAGAAAAGAAAACCAAAAAGAACCAAAGGAGAACCAAAAATGTCAATGTCATGAGCGGCTATGAAATAAAATGTGGAATTAAAGTGACTGCTGTATGGACTCAGCTTGATTTCTAACTCGCACAAATCCTTGACGAAAGGTTCCCCGAAATGTTGCGTGCTGTTAGAACTTATAAAAATTACAATTACATGTTTACAAGAGACAATGCTATTTGTCAACGACGAACCAAGTAACCTTATTGAAGGTTAATGCCGAATCTTTCACCAGTTCTATTCTATTCCATCAGATATTTATATTCAAATTATTTTTATAAATAAAATATTTTTTAATTTATAAAGAAAGGAATTTTACTGCATAAGATAATTAATTAATAATTATAAAACTGAAAAATAAAACCACGATAAATACTTTTCGATTATTTGGGCAGCAATGATCCTCAATTACTGCTGAGGAATGAGTTCGGTAAATAGGAAAAGAGTAAAGATGAGGAAAGGAAGAAAAAGATTGAATAGAACTACGTTACTATAACTACGACCACTCTTGCGAGTTAAGTACCACAGTGGTCCTCCAGAGAAGACTTCTCAAAATATTTTATCAGCGCAGGTGAATGTAGACGAATTGACCTTTTGAACTACGTGCTGCTGTGGGTCAAGGCTGCGTCCTCTTTGCTACGCAATGCAGTGGGCTATGGACGCCACTTCCCGGCATTCACGAGGCGCAGTCCTCATAATCCTCATATAACGATCCTTGAACGCAGTGACGAATATGTTGTCTTCTTCGTTGACAGTTGTGAGGGACTGCAAAAACACCAGGCGAATGCCGACAGCAGCTGCGAAAATTGCAATCAAATATATATTTTGTCAATGTTTCCGTCTTGTATGACTGACCGTCTTATATGACTTATATGATATAAGGCAGCGGTTCAAATTTATCAATAATCGAAGCAGTGCCAAATTTTGAACATCTCATGTCCATTCTCAAATCTAATGACCAGAAGAGATTCTAGGTCAAATAGCTGAAGCCAGAGTTCTCTTGCCGGGACGAGTCAAGACCTGGAACGATACGATCAGAGGAGATTTTGAAATTACATCGACGCCCCAGTGATATGCCCCAGGTTTGGGCGATGAGAAAAGGAAAGGCTTCAGTTATTTTGAGGATTGCCATCGGATCGGGAGGCCTGGGAACTTCATTGCAGCCAGCGAAGCCAGTAACGGGCTATGAAATTTAAAATTTATTAAGAATGAAATGGTGCGATTGCCAATCGCAATAGCAATAGTTACCGCAAGAAGCTGTAAAACCTTCCTTCTATCGGCTGTTCGAAATCCATAATCGGACTTTTCCTTATAAACGGAATTCAATGCAGCCCTTCCATTTTTCAGTGCTTTGTTTGAGAACGATTAATGGTCTCGTGAATGCATTCTTATGCATTCTGTGCATGTTTTCTATTCTTCAAACAACTGGTTAGGCTGGCTCCGCTGACCGGCGGAGGCATGAGGCTCCTAACCTACTCGACGAAGTACCACACCTGAAAATAACCTTTTCCCAGCGCCTAAGCTCATACATGTATGTGTGTATGTCTGTGTATGTCAAGTTTCAGACACCCCTGTTTCCTATTCAATTAAGCAATTATTCTTATCAATCTATTAAGATATGACAATAAATATCGCCCTCCCAAAACCTTTTTTATCAAAATTTCATTCACGGTACTTCATCTTCCGTTTTATCATGTGTGTCTGCGTTTTAGTACTGAACTGGCAATTTGCCAACAATTTTAAATTTGAAATATTTTTGCAAAATTTTTCTCGTCGCATAGATATTAACGTCCAGCATTTCTGGCTAGTCTTGCTGGCCAAGTTATTTGTCTTGGCGATAGAAGCACGGGTGAGTCGTTGGCATCCAATTTTTTCTGAAAACAGGTTCACTGGGCTTAAGGCTTAGGCTTAAATGCTTGCATTATTCTACCCCTATAAAGTATTGTTTGACAAATTTGACATGGTGGATAGGTGAAGATTTTTCTCACAAAAATATTTTTGCATTTTTATTTATTTGTTAAATTTCGTTTTTTTAGATATTTTTAGTAATGCACTGAATTAATATGCTTTATTGTTGCAGACTGTGATTTTCGTCGTTGGAGGATGATAGTATTGTTCGACGAAGAAGTGCATTTGCTAGTTTTTGAAGAGCCCTCGAGCTCTTCAAAAAAGTCAGCAAGGTAACTATGCTGCTCAATCCTTTTTGAATTTTTGGCGATCTTTTCTCATTTAGTTTCCAATGCCATTGTAAGGTTTGTTTAGGAATTAAAAGGTGTGCACGCTGGCGATTTGCATATTCATAACTATTAAAATAAACTTGGAAATGTCAAAAATAGCATTGGCATCGTTACAACTCTATTTTACAGTTTCTAATTTCCTTATTTTTCAATTTCAAATGCTTTCTTGAGGCCTTTACGAATTTACCAATTTACAAATTGTTTCTTGTAAATTTCTTTTCAAAAATTCTATTCAATCACCTGTTTTGTCATCTTTCAGCAAACTTCAAGTTTTGCTCAGAATTGAAGAAGAAAATGGTAAAGATGGAAAGGTCGGTTGGCTTCGGCTGTTTTAAAAATTTTCATTTTAAAAATTAAATGAATGATAAATAGTAGAATGATAATGATATTTTATATATTCGCCAGATTTCAGCGTTTTTTATGAATTTATGAATAAACTTAGTTTTAAAAATTTCAAAAATTTTGTGAAAACCTTTTTGTTAAAATTTTTTGTTGTTTTTAAAATTTAATTAATATATATTATTATCTTATATTATCTTATATATTATCTTTATATTCGCTGAAAAGTGGAAAATTTATGAATACTTTCTAGGAACTTAATTTTCTCATAATGCAAGAAGGTGATCCGCGTTTCGTTTATAAGTTAATTTTGCGGAAAACTGATTTCAATCGTATTAAGAAAGATCAAGAATTAGACACAGATTTTGATGCATTTCCTGGTGAAATAATTGATTTCATGCAATCATCTGATTCAAATATTTGCGTCAAGGGATTTTTTAATTCCGATAAGTCTAAGTTCCGGTTCGCTTTTCATTCGCCATTTAGCAGTTTTTATTATTTCACAAAGGTATTAAGGTATTAAGATTTTCAATCAAATAAATTTCTTGATAATATTTTAATCGGAGTTTAGTCAACAGCTTACACTGTGGTTGGAGACTACAAGTCTTGTCTTAATGACATTACACCTCACTTTTTGTGAAATTGTGTTGATCTGATAATATTTCTTTGTGTACTTGATCGAATGATTGCTCATAAAACTATTTTATTCAAATATATATATGTATATATGTATATTATATGTATATGTATAAATATATATATTTTTATTCGCTTGTCGGGGCTAACTTAGTTTTAGTTTTTTTTAATTGCTTCACGTAATCGTTCTAGTAAATGTGGATAGAATGGCTCAATGGCTTGCTCAACTGGGAGCGCAACTGCTAAGGTTTGATTTCCCGCAGGAATAAACCTGCATAAAAACCCGGGTGATGCCGGCGATTCACCTGTATTTCTAGGAACTCTCTGGCCAATGCGACAAGCCAGCGGAGCGAGTTTAATTAGTTTGGTGAGGACTCTTAAAAAAATTTATATATATATATATATATCGAATCTATTAGGTTATTTATTACTAATTTCAGTATTGATTTAATTAAGAAAATAGGATTCAAATGGGCGACGATTCTTTCACTACCTTTTCATTTGTTAATGGATGCTGATTTAGCAGATCATCTCATTAATCGAATTGCTGAACTTCAAGTATTGTTTTTTTATTTTTTCAACATTTCATAAAAAAAATGTCATTCAGGGAAACTAAATGATATATGTTTCCATTTGTAAAATTATAGACCGAAATTTTAATATTTTTTGATTAAATTATTTTGTTTGAAATATCTTTTTGATTTCAGAAGAATTTGAATGAAGTGGAAAAACTCAATGATTCGCTGATTCGCGAAAATCAAGTATATATTTTCAGTCAGTCTCATCCATTTTTCTTTTTTTAAAATATTTATGAAAAATAGAAAACGAATGAAAAGAAAAGGAAGATGATACTACCTGCTCATTTTTAAATTTTTATTCTCGACTATTTTTTTGCACGATTTTTTATCTATTTTTAGAAAAAGAAAGATATCATGGGATTAAAGGAGATTCATTCGTGCGAAATGAGAGAATTAGCTGCGGAAAAAGATGCGGTAAAATTTTAAGTTTCATTGATATTTTTCTTCATCCATTTATCCATTTATGGAAAATGTTTTAGAAGATTGCTGAACAAACCAGTGAGATTGAAGAACTTACTTCAGAGAAGCAGGTAATTTTTCGAAAAAACAAATCTTTCGACACTTCTTTGTTTTTTTACAATTTTCCATGTTCTGGGCTTACTTTATGTAATTATATTCATGTGAAAATATATGTTGTTAAAAATGGATAGGTCATATATAAGTAATTTAAGCTTAAAAAATATCTTTATATCACTATGGTGATTTTTGACGGCATTCGAAGATTATGGTTCTTTTTTTCGGTATTTACCTTCGATTTTGTCCATTTTATGCTTTTGGAAATTTCTCCGCCAAATTTATTATATAGCTTTCTTTAAATTTCTTGATATTCGATTTTATTCATTATTTTTGTTCATTAAACATCGTGGATTTTTTCTTTCAAGTTGTTGTCTGAAGAGATTTCCATGCTTAAAGACGAAATAATGTACTTTCGTGAGAAAATAGATGATTTGCTTGAAACTAATAGCCGTCTTGAAGAAAAGGTTGATTCTTTGAATCAGTCAGTTTTGAATGCAGTATGTTTTCTTTTTCTTTATTTTGCAATGCTACATTATATTTTTATGAATTACATTTTTAACTGTTATTTTGCCTTTTCTAAGTTTATTTTCAACTAATTTCACGAATTTCACAAAAAAAAGAGAAATGCTATTTATTTATCGTAGAATGATCAAATATCTTGTTATGAAAAGAATTTGGACGCTATGGAAGTGGAGTTAACGGAGAAAGAAAAAGAGAACAAGGAATTGATTGGGGAACTTGATGAAATATCCAGTTGTTGTAACTATTGGGAAAATGAGCACAAAAAGAGCATCGAAATAATCACAAAGCTCTTCGAAGATGTAAGCAGTTAATCATTGGTGATATCAAGGAGAGTTAACTTTTTTTTTTCAGGATTTTTGATGGAAATTGATATTTTTTATAGTGGATATTAAATTTACAGGCGAAAATGCATAAATGTGAAAATGCTTCTGAACAGTTGTCTGCTTTAAAATTGGAATTGTCAGAATGTGAAAAGAAAATTGAAACACTTAATCAATCTAATAACAGTTTGATGAACGAGGTTCATTTTATTAATTTCGAGAAATATATAATTTTCATTTTAACGATTTAATTCAGGTGCAAAAAATTACATCAGAATTGGAAAATGTTAAAAAAGAAGCAGAGGAATGGAAAAAAAAATATAAAAAAAAGAATAAAGGTAAATGAATTCTTTGTTTCGTTTTCTTTTCATTTTTTTATTGAAACGAAGGTTGTCATCATGAAAACAGAAATAAAACATAATGGACGTCTAATAGCATTATAGTATTGAAGTAACTCGGTCACATTGGTTAGATCTTATGTCGCCTGCACTGAAGGTAAGGTTTGACGCCGATCCTTCGGCGAACCCTTAAATTTATCTTTAAAATTTATTATCTTTATTATCATAAAAATTTGTCTTTAAATTGAAATCTGAGTGTCTGGTTGGAACCACTTATACCTTATATACCTTTATCATCAAGTTGACCGGCGAGAACTCACTCCAGCAGTACTACAGTAATACAAATAATATGCATACAAATAAGACAAAAAAGTAGTCTGTTGCAGTGATACTTTGTAAGATTAATTTGAAATGTGCCAAATGTTATTTTAATGCAATTTAATAATTTAATGGTTGAAATTTAATGGTTCCTGCTTTTTTTCTTTCAGCACTAAATACTAGTACTTTCAAGTTGATCCATTTTGATTTAGAATTGCATGAACTTCTTCAAATGGATCATGCTGCTCCGATAGGTAATTTATTTGTCGATCGTTCAAGCTCCAATGCTGACGCAATTCGGCGTCAAACGCTTCAGTGGGTTTGTAAAATTTTGTAAAATTCTTTTTTTGATCTCTTGTTTTATTTATCCCATCTTTTACTATTTTCCATTAATTTCAATTAAGGACTTCTATTTATTTGTAATCTTGATTCAAATAACACACTGATTTGCATTAAACATCAATCTTACAGCCAACATTACTTGGAGATCTGCCTACTCCAATGCGCAACACTCCATTCAATAAAACTCTTGCTTCGCAGAAGGAAAAGTGATTCGCATGTCTTCACTTTTTGCTAAATTTTCCAAAATCGATATTAATTGGCACAGATTATATTAATACATAGTTGGAATCAAAAATGGTTTAAAAATTACTTTTAATACGAGTTTGCATATACCAAAATTACAATAACAATAACTGTAAAGAAAAATGGCTCTTTATGTTTTTATATATAAAGAAGATCAATTTGTTCTAATGGTCTTACTAAATTAATTAATGGATCTTATGTAAGTATGCAAGAATTTCTAAGCAAAAATTTTATTTCGATATATTACAAAATTTTACGATTTTTACAAAATTTTTATAATTAATTGCAGCGTGAAACCTCCAATGATTATTCATCCTCCAACTGCTCCACAAAATAAAATCATCAAAAAGTGATAAGTGTGAAATTTGCTTCGTGTATTTTATATTTGTATATATGTATTTGTATAATCTTTATTTATCTTTATCTACAAACTTGTCGCTCAGTTATTTTTTTTATTAATGATTTATTTCCATTTTTAAATGTAATGTTGTTGCTGGTTAATCCCTTCTAATTTTCCTTTGTTTTTTCCTTTAAATTTTTTTCGATGCTTTCAAAATATCTTTTAATTGCTGCTTAGTTTTTCAATCAAAATTAATTCCAGTCGACAATATTATTATAAAAACTTTATAAGATCGATAATGTGAAGCGGAAACAAAAGTATAAGCACATTTCCTCTCTTAAATTCTTTCGGGATTAATAGCTACATTTAGTCAAATGCGTCAGCCGCATCCAATATGAAATAATACTTGAACCTGCATTTTTGTAGTCAAAGACAAAATTTGGATCAATCGGAGAGTGGACTTTTCTGCCAGTGGCAAATATTTGAGAAATTATGATATAATCAGAATGAAGCAAAATGGCACAAGTTTGGTCGATTTTGCAAACATTCCGGAATATCATAGATTCTGTCTTCGGAAGTGGACGGAATTAAAAAGACCTCATAAATTCACTGTATCGAAAAAAGCCGGAAGTATTAAAACCAATGCGAAGGAGATTCTTTAGAACCTCACCATTAATTCACCATCTCACGGCTCAGATCATTGCAGACTGAAGTCTTCTAAGACTTCGAAACCTCCAGGTCCAATACCATGCCTGAGAGTAACTGAAGCCACGCTTCCAACCTAATTTCATATACCGTCATCTAGAGTGTATTTCAAAGTCTTCCCTAGCCATGCCCAGGTTTCGGTTAATTAAGATAAGCGTGACATACGTGATGGATGACGAAGAACACAGCCAAACAAGCGGAAGAAATGAAGACGCTGTTTATGCAAAAGTAGACACGGTCATGTCATACTTTATCCGCTTGGTTATATTTATAAGGATTATTATTATATTTATAAGGATAGAATTGCTCAGTGGGTTGTTGCTCAATTCAGAGCACCGATACTGAGGTTCGGTTCTCCACAGGAGCAGACCTGTCCAAAAATCCAGGTGATGCTGGTGACTCGCTTGTAGTTCTATCGCCTAAGGACTCTCTGGCATATTTGTCCAGCACCACAAGCCGTGAGAGTGAGTTTAACCAGTAATGATGAGGACCCTTTAAAAAAATATCTATATTAATAGTGGGCGAGAATGGTCAAAGGACGGGTAATCTTCATAAAAAAATTAAAAGTTCCAATAAGCAGAAAAATTGAAATAACGATTAATAAATATAATAATAAACAAAAAATAATTACTACGAAGGCAACTAGCAACGACCCTTTCAACTCTGGATGTATCCGTCTGTAGCCCGCATCCGATCGTTTCGCGGCTCGACGCTAATACATCAGTGGCGCAAGAAAGGGCATGGCGGCGAGGTTCACAATTGATACATGGCAGAATTACTGCAATAACAAAACAATTCCAGTAAAAATACGGTGAAACATATTCAGCGTCATGAAATAAAATTGCGTTGGAGATGGAGTTAGAGAGCCAAATAATTCAGATTTTGAGAGAAAGGGCCAAGCACCTAGTCGAAACTTATGCTGGCACTAGCAGCCTTATCTTCGATCGCCAAAATGCCTCCCTGGAAAAAGTTCAACCACTAATACTAATAGCCAACGGATCAGCTCCCACCAGAATGGTGACCACACTTATGCTGGCAACAAACAATGGAACAATGGAATTTAAAGGTATTTCTACACGAAATGAAGAATTTATGCTAAATTTCTTTTATTCAACACACTAAATAACTGAAAAGTACCAAAAAAATAAAAATAAAATATTCAATTAAACGACTTAAGACGATAGGACAAATCATTAATTGTCTAATTAAATCAAAAGAATAGGAACCAAAGATCCAGTGGAACGACTCAAACGAGAGAAATGGTGAGTGCTGTTGGATGAAAACATGGATAATGAAAATCGATTGGAGATATTTAGAAAATATAGCGCTGCAATAGTCGGTAAAATTTAAATACTTTGCTTGGAGACGAATATCGAAGGACGACGCACGCCGCATCATCAGCCATATCTTTTCTATTTATACGCTTCTCGACGTCAGAGTTGTAAAGTTCTGGAGAGGGTTGAAGGCGACTTTTTCCTCGGAATTCCAGGAAAGGTCAAAAACCGTCAAAGGGAGGAACCGCTTTTAGTTTCTTTTTTTCGAAATTGATTTTTTAAAATAATTAAGTTAAAATAATTTAAAATAAAAATAATTTTATATAATTCTTCTTAATTTAAATAAAAATAAAAAATAAATTATTTGTAAATTTTTTATTTTGTGCAGTTTTTCTTCAGTTATTTCTCTTGAAAATTTTTATAAAAAACTGAAATTTGCAGTTAAAAAATTTCTTTCCAGTTAATTAATTTCATAAAATTTCTGCTACAGAAAATGGTAATTTTGTTATTATTTATTTATTTTATTATTTATTATTATTATTAGTTTTATTGTTTACCACTATTTTTATTATTGCTATTATTAATTCATTATTATTAATTATTTTTATGGTTTTGTTGTTTCTGTTGTAAAGTTTTTACTGTTTTTTTATTGTTATATAATATAGAAAATAAATAAACTGTAGAATAAATTCACTAAAATTACAATCATTATTATTTCTTCTAACGCCTCTCATCATTACGGCTTTGGCTGTCTCTGCTGGCGACTACAGTAAAACGTTCTAAGCATTCCTATCCGGCGCGAAATTAACTAAAACAAGGCAACAAACCGCCTTATAAGCGCTCGAAAGCCTTCCTCACTGCAGGTTTTGATTGCGGCTCAACGTTTCTGATGCCCTCCGTGTGTTTAGTGCGCAGGTGGGTTTGGATATAGAAATTCTTGTGGTAATCGGTGAAAAACATGGCCTAATTATGATTGTTATATCTTCATTATCATTGATTAGTATTAAGCTTTTATAATCTGAATGCCGATCGTATCATCGAGTGTCATCGAATTTTGTTATCTAATAGTTCGCATTATTTTATTCATAATTTAATTAGCGACACTTTTTACGAGTCATTTGACCTGTCTGCAGGCTTTTCGAATGCAATTACCAACTCTTTTCTGTTTTTATTTTTTTATTCGTTCAATTAATGAAAAATATAAAGAAAATATTTTTTTGCAGTTATGAATAATTTGTTTACGCTAAATATTTTACGTTTTATTGTTTATTTATTTATTTTTTCTTTGTTTTGTATTAAATATATATTAGAAAAGAAAAATTAATAAAGTGCGATTTTTAATTTATTATTATTCTTTTATAATTTATTATTATTTTATTATTATTCTGTTGAAATAAATTTACATAACTTTATAAAAAACCTCTAAGACGATTTTTTTCCAGCCAAATACGATTATCGTATATTCGATAAACGATTATCTTCGCTGATGATCAATTAATGCAAATTGCAAATTAGGAGAAAAAAGCTTTTTTTTGAAAGCTTTAATTTGGAATAAAAAAAAAGACGAAAGGTTTATTATTTAAATATTCTTTTTTTTAAATGAATTAATTGATGGATAATTTTAGAAAAATGCGATTGAAAATCTGTTAAATTATTATCAACATTTCTGCTAGCTGCACTGACTTGTGAAATTCTTTCGTTGAGGAGTCACTTGGAGAGAAATCGCCAAGCATTCCACCACTGACCACATGTTTCGTCCAGTGAGTGCACAGAAGTCGAACCTGCATAACCTATTGCTTAAATTTTAATGAAACAACCATTGAACAACAACATTGTTGATCGTTGTTAAATATCAGTCTCTTTCTTTTAATTCTCTTTTATTTTTATTAATTATTAATTAATCAAATAACGTCAAAATTTTATTTCATTAATATTTCATTAATTTTTTATTGATATTTATTAATAATTTATTAGTTTTTATTTATTTTCATTTTCATTTTGAATAATTCATTCAATTTTTCCACTTAAAATTTTTTGTAAATTTATTTGATTAATCTATAATTATTATTTTTCTTTTTGAAATTTTTAACAATAATTATCGCTATTTTTATCATTAAATTACTATTAAAATTGCTATTTAAATTTTATTTATTTATTTCTATTCTATTTATAAAAGTGTTTTTGGTTTCACCTAAGAAATTTTTTTACAGAAATGCAAAAATTTCTTGTTTTAAGATGGGAATTGATCGCTTTTTTTGGATTAATATTTGGCGGCGATGTTCCGAAGTTTACGCTATTATAGTTATTCAGACTACAGTTGAACGTCGCCATACCAACTGATTTCCCATTCATTATTTGGTTCATCAAACAATAGTTGGGCATTTTTCCGCATTTATAAGTTTTTATAAATCTTATTTTTTTAGTAGATGAAATTGTCTTGCTATAATTTATTGATCGGTTTACATTTTCATTAATTAACAATGACAAATTATTGCTTTCATCGTTAATTTATGGTGACGCAAATGATATTAGGTCGGTAAAATAATTATTAATAATTAATTAATAATTATTTCTATAATCATTATATGTGATAGGCATAAAAATGACGAACGAAATGGCATTAGCAGCATGAAAATGAAAATGAATTATAATTATAATTTTATAATTATAAAGTTCACTTAGCCATCAAGTTCTAATAGCTTCATTAGACCCAGATATCAGATATCAAGTGGTGTTAAGTATTAAAAGTATTGTAAGGACAGTTATTAAATAATTGAATTATATTATATGATTATTGTATTATACTAAATTATACAGTATAATTATGTAATTATGTAAATTCTATAATATCAATATTTTTCCTTTTGCTTTAAGAGGAATGTTTTTTATTGCGAAAAAATTTGCTTCTGATATTGCTTTTTTTCAGTCGAATTGGTCGACTTAATTATTTTTAAACTTTAAAAAATCTTATCGAGCTAATTTATACTGAAAATTATTAATATAATAGATATAAAAATAAATTTTAATGTGATGCTTTTTCATTTAAATGGCGAAATTTTTTTTTTTCATCATAAACATCAATTTTAATTTTACTAATGTTGCAAATTTTTACAATTTTAAATAAATTAGTCCGAAACGCTCTTATTGGTTGAAATGGACGAAAAAAATATTTAACATAAGGGAAATATATTATTTTCTTGGAAATTTTTTTAGTACTTTATCCTAAATTTAGCGTAATTTGTCAATTAAATGTCAATTGATTCACCGAAAAAAAAGGGAATTTTTTTTTTGGTTTTGTAAACATTTTTTGCAAAATATTTTCATTTGGTTTACTGTTTTTTTATTTGAGCAGCTGAAACGTGAAATTAGTTATTCATTTAGCTTATTTATTTACTTACCAACTTACTTTTTTGAAGGTAATTTTATTATTGCAGTATGCGAGCTATTGCTGCATCGTTTTTGATTCGCACATATGGTTTCTTTTATAGAAACGCAAAAATAAATCAATCGTTGTTAATATAATTGTGGAATAAATCAGGCTCGATGGACCATAAAATTTAGAAAATTTTTCTGACGAATGAGTTTTTAATGAAAAGTTTCAGTTTTTCGTTGAGCAATTGCATAATTCCAGTTTGATTTTATCATTAATGTTACGAAAAATAATTATGCTTAATGATTGATTATTTCGCTTTTTTTTCAGATTTGATCCATTAAGTCGCGAGTTATAGGGAGTTTTTTAAAATAAGTTTCTTATTTTGCTAAAATGAGACAAAACTGTGAACTGTGAAGATAGACAGATTATAGGGATTAGAGGGAAAACAGATTGTTCCTTTTTGTTTAAATATGACCAAGGCATTAGATTTTTTCACTTTTCTTTATCTTCTATGTAAACATTAATCAGTTGTTTTTTTCGATTATTTGCGTTTCCACAGGGGAATTATTTCGTAAAAGTGTCGTATTTATTTAAAAAATGAAAACTCGGATGCTTGGTACTGTGGTTCCGTTAAAGGTAATTGGTTTCGTGTCCCTCGACGGAATTGCATAATTCTAGTTTATTGATTTTATCATTGAATCATTGTGTTGATGTTAAATTTAAACTTATTAATTTAAATTTATCAAAAATTGAGGTCTGGGTGGTGGCCAATGACTGAAGAAACCCACCTGTAATGCACGTTCAAACGACTCTCTGGTAAATTTCCGAATCGAAATCGGTGATGTGAAACCACATGTAAATTGTTATGCGCGTAATAATATATTTTCTGGCTTAATTCAAAGAATATATTGACTATATTGATTATTGAATATTTTGTTTAATTTTTAGAATTTTATATTGGATATGAATATTTGCGGTGAATGCGGCGGCAGTTATATCTTTCGGTCATAGTTCTACTTATGCTAATTTTAATTTTTCAGGAAAAGTGGAATGAGTGACACGTACGATGAAGATGAAGATAGGTTAATGATTGACGATAAATCAGATGTAAATGATTCGCCAGCTAATTTGCATACGATTAGACCGGCTAATTCAAATTCTTTTAGTGGTTTAGCGAATTCGAATCAAGAAAGTGGTTAGTAACTATGTATTAAATCATATACTTAGTTAAGCTAAGTGATTTTATCAAAAAGTTTTTAAAAAATATAGCTTTTGGATTTCTTTCTTTTCTGAAAACCTTTGCAAAATTTTTATTTACTAATTTTTTTTAAAATTATAAAATTGAAAGATGAAATTTAAAAATGAGCTTTTTGAATGTAATTTCAACGTGATTTGTTATAATAATTTTTTAGTGGCGTCGCCATCAGTAGAGTGTAAGTCGAAACATCGTACGAGCGATCTTAAAATGCATATTAAAAAGTCGCAGAATTCGTTTGGGGTAAACAAAGCAAACACTGATGAATATCGTCTTGATGATTCGTCTGTTAAATTAAATGGTTTTTAAAATTTCTTTATATATCTAAAAATTCATTTTGACATAAATATGCCATTGAATAATATGGTTAATAATAAATAAGCATAATTGGTAATAAATAAGGTGATTTTGCAAGTTTTTTTTTTAGTATTAAACTTAAGATATAGTAAAATAAATATTTAAATTAATGAAGAATCAAGATGTTAGGAAGATCGAATTTTGATGAATATTCCACTTTTCAATATATTTTTTTTTTTGATGAACTGCTCGAGACGATTTTCTAATCGGTTTATAAATAATTCGTTGGTGGTAGATTATAATTTTCAGTTGGTAAAGATAGCGTAGATGGAGTAAAGGAAGATGGTGAGATTGAGGATGAAGATGAAAGGATTAATGGTGCTTTCAATATTCGTTCCTTATCATCACAGAAAACACTGTGGTTTGGCGATACTTTTCAATATTAATACTCGTTGACTCTTCTTTTTAGAATTTTTTAACTGTTTTTTATTTTTTCCTTCATAGCAATAAACTAGATCATTATTTTTTCCACTATTGTTGTTAAAAACATATGGTGGTATAGTTTTTTCTCCGGTTTAACTGTTTCAGTGGATAAGATGATGAAACAGTTATTTATATTTCTACAATGATTTTTTATTTTTAACATTCAGTATTTTTTGTCATTTTATCATTCAAACTATTCAGATTTTATTACAAGTTCATCAACATAATATCTTAGCATTTCTTTGTTTTTCTTTGTTTGATTTTACTAAATTGATCCATAAACAGTGACTGATATTAATTTTAGGTCATCAAATTTTGAATCAGTTGGAGATGATTCAGAGTTCCGAATTATGGATAATGAACAGAACCCAGTTGTTTCTAATTATCAGAATGGTTCTGAAACGCATTCACACCATCAAAACCTTGCAGCTTCCAGAAGTTGTCAAAGTATAAATTTAGAAAAAAATTTTCATTTTCGTTATTCTTGTCGTCAATAGAAGAATTTTAAAATTTTTCTGGTGTATTAGACTTCAGATAATTTTTTTAAGCTTCAAAGAACTCAGTTGATTCGATGCGATTAAAGGATCTCAAAATATTTTCCAATTTATCATCACCTTTTCTCAGCAATTCACACTCGGGCAATGATGAACAAGAAAATTGTAATGCGCGTTTTCAGGTTTGAGTTCTTTTATCCTTATTTTATACAGATTTAAAAATTATTTTTTAATTTTTTCAATATTTTTTAAATTTATAATGCAAATTTTTAAGTCTAAGCGGATTAAAGTGGAAAAAAATGATGAAATGGCACAATATTCTTTGCCATCGGAATTACTTGCTGCTTCATCCACGTATGTTTTTATTTTTCTGCTATTCTTCGAATACTTTTTTTTCTATAATTTTTAGACATTTAGTGTAAAGTCAGTCGAACGTTCCAACAAGTCGCGCAGAAAAAAAAATAAACGTCATTATGATGGAGAATGTATATTGCCAATCGCATCAAGCTCAAATATGTGTGCAACGTCTTCGGTTAATATAAAAAATGAAAATGAAACAAACCGAAAGAGAAAACATGTGAGTCACTTTTTCACTACTGAGTTTTATTTAGTACTTTTTTCCTTTTATTTCTCTATTGTTTGAATTATTTGAACTATGTTTGGATTTCGGAAAGTACCATCAATATTTTCCATGAATTTCTAGCACATGCGAGATAAATCGACTTGCGTAAGTGTTCGTTCAGTTCAGACTTGTGAAGATGACATTGATGTTCAAATTGGTATGAGGTATTGTATGGAATTTTCTGTCGTCGCGAAATTTTCGAGTATGTTTGCTTTCTCTTCTAATTATCATAAGTTTTTTAAGCTTTCTAAATTTTTGAATGTTCTTTGCTTTTAGATGCACTTTATTTTGTAACGAATTGGAATGGTCACGAATTATGTGGAGTTTTGGGTGATGGAGGTCCGGTGCTTCGTCCTAATCTTTTTAACAAAAGGTTTTCACTAAAACTCAGTTATTTTTATATTATATTGTGAAGATTTTTGGTAAAGATTTTTGATTTTCACAAATTAATATATTTTAATTTAATTTTAATTTTCTCAAGAAATTATTTTTAGAAAAAAGACACAAGGAAATAGTATAGCTGATGAAGTCGGTAATAGTAATTCTTTTGAAGTGAATAATTCCACTTCAGTGAAAAATCGAAGTCTTAAAAGGTATTTTGTTTATTTCGATGTTTTATGCAATAGCAGTGATATAGTTCCCTTTTCATCGCAAAGATTAGATGTGATCAGATTCTATTTCCTATAAATCCATTTTGAAGGCATAACAGAAGTTCGTCTGCTTGTCCAATGAATGGTGTGAATGATATCAAACAAACTGGTAAAAAGAATTCTTTTAACTGGCCTACTAGTGGTTCGGCTGGTGAGTTGCTATGTGAGTAAATTATCATTTTTTATGCGATTTTCATTTTAGTTCATTTTAGTCCATTTTGTTTTTGAATTTTTTTTTGGTTATTATTAATACATAGAAATATTTTTTACTTTATAGTCTGTAAACTTCTTGTTTGATTTTAGCAATGATAGGAGAAAATGACGATGAAAAGTCACAATCACCTATATTTTGGCTAAATAGTGGTGGCAGTGACCCTTATGATATAAACGCACCATGTAAAGAAAACGGTAGTCATATGCATATAGCAGAAGTTGATGCTTCAACTTTGCCGTTCTCATGTCCGGTTGTTGGCTGTGAATATCGCTATGACAATCAGGCACAGCTCACCTTCCACTATCAGGACCATTTCGACAAGATCAATAAAAGAGCAGTAATTATCTAAATTATTATTTTTTGATATTTTAATAATTTTTTTGTTGTTCATTGAAACTATTAATAATAATGTGGTATTTTTACTATATTTATCTTACTTTACAATTATTTCATTTTTTTGTATGTAATTCAGCTATGTGATATAATATAAAATATGATATGACACTCATGTCCATTTAATGCTAATGTCAATTGACAATATATAAGGTGAATGCTGGTGACAGCGATTCTTAAAAAAGGATTGGCATTTTTTTAGACTGTAGATATGAGACTTTTTATTTTAATCTGTATTTCCCCTTTTTATTTGTCCTTTTATTTTTTTTTCCTGTTAACATATTCCTTCTTTATAAAAAATTTTAGATCTTCGTCGAACCGGTTGGAACACAAACAGAATTGGTAGGAATTATGAAAGATGTGGGAACTGATCCGATGGTAGAAGATTTTACAGAACCAGTAGCAGAGACGAGCCCAGAGCTTTTTGTAAATAAAGATCATCAGCCACATATTGATAGTAGTGCGAATTGTGCATCACAAGTTAGGCTGACACCAATGCTTAGTAATATGGAACAACAAAGTATAAATGAGCTGTTCAAGGTAGGCGTACACCATTTAATTTTATCTATATATCTTATGCAAAACGTTAGGGATTAGCATTATTAATTGGTAATTTTGAAAGTCAAAGTCCTTGACAAAAAAAGATCCAGGTAGTCATAGATAACCACTTCCATTTCCACATCTATTTCTAAATGGCTCATTGGCAAACAATTCCATTTCAAGACATTTAAAGCCAATGGAACTAACCAGATCAGAAATGGTGAGACGATGAATGAATTCCAAAATGCTTAATTAGTTCATAGATTTGACATTCGTCTTCATTAAATAATTCATTTCTTTAAATGCAATTAATAAGAGTTTTTTTCATTTGTAATCTGACAGGTATGAATTTGAAAATTTCATTTAGGTTGTTGAGCGAAAAGACGAAAAAAAAAAAGTAGAATCGAATTCAACAACCAGCTTTTCTACTCCGAAAAAGTGTATTGCGAAAAGTATTCATTTATTAACTTTATTAAAACTTTAGTGCTTTCCAATATCTTTGGATGAATTTTTTAAAGTTTAAAGTTTTAAAAATATAATCAATGAACCTATTTAAATTTCTTTTTACTACAATTCAGTGCTGAGAAAAAAGTAAAAAATTTGATTTCATTATTCCAATGTGAATGTTTTTTTTGAAATATGTCTAGGTTTTTAATTTATATTGTTTAGGCACGAGCAAAATCTCAGATATCTCTAAATCCCGTGATGGACTGCCGAAACTAATAAATGATGCACCATCTTCATCAACAGCCTTGGAAGCTATGCAAAAAATGGTTTTTGATGATCATCCTAAAAAGGAATCGTCAGCTGATAAATGTCTTTCAGCGGGTGCATCATTAGCTGTCAGTTTATTAGGGCCAGAAAGGTATATTAGATTCTGCTAATAAAGTTATTGGTATAATGCTATTGATTGGTATTTGATCGCTGTATCGAAATTTATTAAATATGGGATTTAGAAATTTAAATCGTTAATCTTTTCATATATTATTATATTCTAATTATATTATACGTTGAATAATACAGTTTTTCGGCGCAGAAGTCAATGAATGCATAAATGCTCTTGCTTGAAAGTACATCAAATTATTCATTAAGAATGGCAGATTGGTGTTGAATCTTTTTTCATAAAAATAAACGGACGGACCTACAAAGAAGCGAATTTTTTTGTTAACTGCAATATATTTTTGAAAGGTATATACCCTTAAATTCTTCATATTTAGTCCATCAAAATCAACGTCAAGAATGATGGCGGCATCACCAGCGTTCTCTGATATTTCGGACGATGCACCTACATTGGAAAAAGAAGTTTATTTTTTTATTAATTTTTTTGATTCAGATTCTATTTTTTTGTTACTAAAAAATGTGTGTTTTAGTAAATTCATTGTTTTATGTTAGAGATGTGCCCATGATTAAATCAGAGTCTACAGTGAGTAAGGTTTTGATGATAGAAAATGGTACTTCCATTTTGTCGCGTAGAACGCTCCAAATATTTCGTTTTTTCCCACTGTTTCCCATTTTTCTTTTTCATCTATTTTAATTTCTTACTTCTTACATCGATATTTATTATTATATTTTTTACATCTCTATATAATATCCTCTTCGCTTTCTCACCATTAGTTTGATCATCTATTTTGGCAAAGTGGATCTTGTAGACATTGGAACCCAAACTAGAGGAATTGGGCGAAGGGAAAAAAAAAGATGGTAAGGTATAGCTTACGCTAAAATGTTTTAAACATCAGTAGGCCTTCTTACAGTTATCTTATACATATTTTATATATAATCTTATTATTAGTCGAAAAAAATGGTTTCAAAATTCTTTAAACATTTTCTTTTGCATTTAGAGAAAAATATACTAATTTATTTATACTAATTTAAATTGAATGTTTGAATCAATTTCAAATTTCTTTGGTAAAAGTATTTTCTTTATTTTCTTATACAAATAAATAAGGATGTAAGAAATGGTTGGCTTTTCATTATTTCCGTTTAAGCTAACTCCGCAGCAGCATGGTCAGAAATTCTTACCAGGTAGTCGCGTGACGATAGAAATAAGGGTGTGTTGCATTCGGGCTTTTTTTTGATGACAGGTTTGCTCCTGTCGTGACCACGTGATGCTCGACAAAAGCGAAATAGCTCTATCAGATGACCATTGCTGTTTGGAGATGGTGTGTAGAATGTTTATTATATTGAAAGATTATTCTATAGGTTTAACATTATTCTTATTATTTTATCTTTTATATGATTTGCTGGCGAAAAGTTTATTAAAGTTTAAAAAGTTAAAAGTTTAAAAAAAATTAATTAAGAGTATTTAAAAAAGTTTTCAAATCTTACATGAATTTAAACTGCATTCTCATGGGATTCTTCTGGTTTATTAAAGAAGAGAAAATTTATTTTTAAATTAATTATTATGGTTTATTATAGGTTTCTGATAAAACAGATGATTGTCTGTTGGATAGAGTGAAAATATTGATGAACACTAAAGTCAAAAGTCCTTTGGGACCATTAAGGTTTGCAATAAATGTTTTTTTAATACTTGAAAATTTATTTTAGCCTTAATTTCGTGTAATCTCAATTATATTTAATATCAATTATAATTATATATGTAATTAATCTCAATTTTTTTGCTAATAAACATGTGGTTTGAAATTGCTTAATCGACTGCTTAAGTAAGGCTTTATTTTTTTGTCTTTATATATTATATATTTTCTTAGTTTTTTTCCCTTTTTCACTTTTTTATTTCAGTTTATCAGTAGATGATGAAAAATTGGGAAGACAATCAACGAGTGTAACTAGCGAAAGTAATCAAAAACCATTATATTTATGTTCTACTGCTTCATCTGCTGACGCAAATTCAGATTCGTCAGATCGTCAAATCAAAGGGTCATCTATCAATGCTACGAAAACTGTTGATAGCAGTAAGCTTATATTTCATTAAAGCATTTATCATTTAAGCATTTCAAGTTGATTAAAGCATGTAATTTAATGTAATTATTTTACATTTCTTCGATCAAATAGGAGAGCTGAAATTCGTTAATCATATTATTCACTTTTGTTTAAACATACTGTACGTCTGAAAAATTGTGGGTTTTTTTTTTCAGGTAGCAAGAAGATTGATACAAAAGATTCCTTTCCTTCAAGTACCACGTCTGGCTTGTTTCCTCCTTTTATTGGCTTGGATCCGACTGTGTCTTTCCCGCCAGGTAGGCTTAGGTTTCCAACTAGTTTTCCCTTTTTTATTTTTTAACATTAAAGCTTTTATAACTTTATTTTTAAAACAGGTTTACCTCCCCCAATTGGGTTGCCAGTTAGCGTCACAAGCACTACTACGGGTTCGACGTTACCATCTTCTTGTCACATTCCGTTTATGTATAATCCTTCATACCTGATGAATTTTGGTTTAAATTCTGCAGTACCACAGGTGCCAACTTCAGTTGCTTCATCGAAACATAAAATTCATGATTTGAAGACATCCGCAAATGTTTCATCTGGCTCGAAAGATAAGTCAGTTTTTTAATCTATTTTTAATCTTGTTAATATTTTATTTATTTTGAAAAATCATAAAAAGAATCTTATTTCCATTTCTTCATCTATTTTTTTCTATTCTTAAAAAGTTGTGTTTTAGTAAAGATTTCAATTTGAACATAGTAAATTATTTTAAGTTCTTGTGCTACGCGTTTGTCGCCATCAATGATTGCGTCACCAGGTGGAAGGTCTCATTCAGTTGGACCTGCGAGTAAGTGTAAACTTATTAATTAACTAAACGGGCAGTATTATGAAGTAATATTTTCTTTTGAAAAAAATTTTGAATAAAGTTCTTGAACTTCCCAATAAATTCGATTTCAGTCTCTTTCAGTATTTTTCAGTTTCAGTATTTTTTATTTTAGGCAGTGCAACTGCCGGATCGGCCTCTGGAATATCTAAGTCATCTCTCCATCATCAACAGCACGCTTCTGGCTCACTTTCCAATTCAAAAGCAATATCGAAGGCTGGAATTCCATTTGCGTTTCCGCCGCCAAATTCATCAACCCTGCAAGTTCCAAATGATCGTATTTCCGCATCATCCCAAGCCATGAATCTTGTGCAGCAGCAACAGGTTTCCTCTATTCTTTTGACAAATTAAATAAGTCGATTTTTTAAGATGTGATTATAATAAATTTTTAATCTTTAATTCCATATTAAAATAGCTCCATATTGTTATTTCATTTTGTTTCATTTCCTGGATATTGCTAATATTATCATTAGAATAACTATATTCCATCCTGTAGGATATTTCAGGCTCATTATTTTGCTGCTCATTTGCAGCAACAACAACAACAATTACAGTTTATGCAATCGCAAATGCGATATGGTTTTCCGATAGTAAGTGGTCCTGCATCAATGGCCCCTATGGGTCCTCTCGCTGCGCAGCAGGCCTACGAGCAATTTGCTGCGATGCATGCTGCATCATTTGGTTGATTTTTTAGCAGAAATTTTGTTGAAAATTTCAATTTTTTATTACTTAATGAGAAAACAAAATGATAATGTACGATCAAAATAAATTCTAATAACTTTTAAACAAAGAGATGATAGAAATTTAGATTTTATTTGAAGAAAAGTATTCCGACTATTCAAACGTTAAAAACGCTAAACAAATATGCGGCACATAAATTTATGAATTAAATTTCAGGAGCGTTTGCGCCACCTGGTTTTCCTCCGAAATAATGGGTGTACTAATTCAGTGAACCTTCGGGTCTGTGATCATTTTAAATTCAGTTCTGTAAGATTTTATATATTTATTCAATAGTTATTTTAGAATAATGATTTTATTATATTCGTTTAAAAGAAATAAAAGTCCGTCTAAAGATTGTCAATATTATCTTACTTATTGCATTTCGTTTGTAATAGTAATACTTTGACCGGAAAATGTTTTTTTACTTATTGTCATGTGAAATCCTGCCGTAGCATTTTTTAATAACGATCAAAAATGATTAATGTGCCTGTGTCCGTAGTTTATTTATTTTTGTTATTTTTATATGTTATACTCCGTTTTATTTTTGAATTATTTTTGAATTTACCAAAAGTTCTCAATTTTTTTTTTAATTTCAATGTATTTAAGTCGTTGGTGAATAAATTTTATTAAGAAAAAGAACAATTGTTTTCGTATAGTTTATTTAAATTCTTCGTAATCCAATGAATTATTTGGTGTTTTCGTGTGCTATTGATGCTGTTTTAATGCAATTAAGGTTGTTCCTCCATTTCGGTTGTTCCTTCCTTTAACTTCGCTGATTTATTGCATCTTTAACAATTATGAATTTAAAAAAGTTATTGGGAACGATAGGGAATGACTGGTTTTATGAATCATCGTGGCCTGTAATTGATTGAGGATTAAATGCTGTTGAAGGCTGAATGGGTTCAGAGTTTGCTCGAGTAACCTACAACTATAAAAGTTTGTTTCGAATTGATTGGCTGGGTAAGTTATTTTGAGAACCTTTATTACTGTTCATTGCAAGTGTGGCCTTCGTTTCGGTTGGTGGGATGTGTCAATATTTCAAATAGCGGTGTTTTTAATTATTTTGGAAGAAATGGGAGGTTTCTTGTTATCATCATTATCATCATCAATACTTCGAAATATTATACCTTCGAAAGTTTTTTTTTTGTTCTTTAGCTTTGATCGTTTAAAGAATTTAGAGGGGAATAGAGTGCTGATAAGGCGATGTTTTCAGCACAAAAGTGGTTTGATTCTCATTCGATTAATTAATTGTTTACGTTCAGTTAAAAAAATAAATTAAAGATTATCAGTTTTAAACTAATTCGTAAAGTTCGCGTATTTTTTGCTATTTCATGGATATTAATCCTTCAGTATTTTCTTAGGCCTTACACTTTTTTTTATTCCGGTATTTGAATTTTTCGCTTTACTATAAGATTTCATATAAATTGCAGACGGTTTGCAACAAATATGTACATTTTAAAATTTATAAATAAACCTTAGATAAATTTATATAAATAAACATTTTTTTCAACTTATCCCAAAAGAAAGTGCTGTTAATTAAATGTGCACTTATCAAGTTTAGGTTGATCTTCACTAACAAAAGTAAATCTTATCAAGTCCCTTTATCCAATGTCGCCCCATTTCCGTTGATTTATTTGTTTGATTGGTTTTGATTTTTTTGTTTGATTGGTTTTGATTTATTTGTGCACCTGATTATTAAGAGGAGCCTGTTTGCCAGAGAATCATTTGAAGGTGGAGGCGCTAGCCAATGCCAGGTTTTAATAACAGGTATACTCTCTCCCTTGCTCATCCAAGAACAAAAACTGTAAAGCAATTTATCAAATCATATTTGAAGTAAAAGTGAAAACTGGTTGAAACTATTTCGGAGGATCTATGATAAAATATTTACTATAATTATTTACTATAATTAATTAATTTATTAATTAATTAATAAATTAATTTTCATTCAAAAATAAATTAAAATCGTAATTTTTAAATAAGGAAAAAAAATCGTTTAAATATCAATAAATAAAAATTGAATTGGTTAATTTTTCCAATAAATTTAAGAAGAATTTCACTGGAAGACAAATTTGTCAACCAAAAAGCATTAAAGTAACCATGGTTTCTGAAATTGTTTAAGTATTTATTTATTTAATTTTTTATTGTATTTATTTAATTTTTATTTTGAATTCCAAAATATCACCATTTGTTAAGAAAGGCTTTGAAATATTTAATTCAGTGGCCATCAAGCTGATTCTTATGGATCCTCCACGGGATCCACGGCTACTCTTAGTGAATAAGTGTCAGCCTAAGTCGAATTGCATATAATTATTTTATTTGAATGGTAACAAATGAGCATTTAAATAAGTCTTTTATTTTATATTTGGTGCTTAGTGATTATTTTAAATAAGAAAAAAAAATTGCTTAAATTTTGAACCGTGGAAATGTTGTTCGTTGGTTCTTGTGGCATCACTTAGGAGAGGAGGTGGAGAGTGCGCGGAAAAAATGTTCGACGAATCAAATAAATATATTGATGTTTCATTCTTTTCTGAAAATATTCCTTATTTTTCTATTTCATTTCGTAAAATAACGTTCATTTAAATATAACTTGAGTTCCAGTAATGGATGAGCTAACTAAGAGTAGTAATGGTACTAAAGAAAACGAGGCGCTTGGACGACTTGTTTGGGTATCAAATTTGCAGTATGGCTTTGTTCTTGGACGAATACGTGATATTCAACGTGAAACGATGCTAGTAGAAATATTTGACGAAAATGGCGATAGTCAACAAGTATTTTTATTTCCTCTTATAATAAATATTTCTGTGAATTTCTTTAGCTAATTTGTTCCTCCCATTTCGGAGCGCCGGTGCCGCGACTCTATTCCCTGCAGAAGCAAACGTGTCTTCAAAAATTCGGGTGATGCTGGTGATTTATATATATATCTGCATCTTGCATCTCCAAGAGACCGAGAGACTTTCTGGTAAAATTCTTCTGATCCGGAAAAGCCAGCAGAGCGAACCTTAGTCAGATGAATGCTCTTAGAAGTTCGCCTATCTCAATTAGATAAAAGTTTATAATTTAAAATGGTCAAATTAATGTCGTTTACTAAGAATACTAACAATAATTTTCAAATTTTGAATGAAGTTTTGAATAGTTTAAGGTATCCAATATTAAATTTAAGACGATGCGAAACTCTGAAAACTCTGTTTGTTTATTGCAGATAACAGCATCATATGATGATATTTTCGCAGCTGAAGAAGATAAAGCAAGAGATTATGACGATAGTTGTTAGTCGTTTTTTATTTTCCAAATTTCAGACTGATTGCTAAGGTGCGACTTCCAAGTTTCTCGAATGATGGTTATGGATGCACGGTTTCATGCTTTTTGTAATCGTTCATAACAGGCCCTTAGCATATTCATGATAAGTGATATTGCTGTACATTCTCTCTGAGTGCCGGAAAGCAGCGCGTAATCCAATCATCTATCGTGTAATTAAATACTCAAAGAAAAGCCAATTTTTTTGCTGTCAAACCTTCGGATTGTAAATGGGAAACTGTCATATTGTTCCAGCGCTTTTATTGCAGAGTTTTGCTGGATCTTTTGAACCGAAGACAGAAAAGAACAAAAGAATAAGTTAGAAGTTAAAAAAAAGTGATGATTATGGCGTATTAATTATCTCTCTATCACGTGCTTCCATAATTTCATTCAACTCAAGGACGGCGAAATCTCATTTTGAACCATGGAATCTTGTCATTTGTCCTATCATTTCTCCTAGGATTTCGCATTGTTTATAACAGCAATACTGTCACATACTATAAATTTTTTTCCATGCCAATGAATGAATATATCTTGAAGATGAATTGCAAGGAACAGTATTTCATTGCCCCTAAGCTGGCAGTCGCAGGGCTCATGATGTATTCTCAAAGTGCTGCTTGGCGTTTAACGGTTCATCGTGACTCTTCCTCTCTTCAAGTTTCTATGGATTCTAACATGGACGAGTGTTCGATCGCTATCCCTTATTGTTTCACTGGTCATTTCTCGACTGTCGCCTATTCGAGTTTTCTGAGTCATATTATCGATAGCGAAAGGATCTCTAATCTTTTTAGACTGATAAGATTATTGATAAATTATGCTTGATAATAATTTGGAAAAAATTGGATAATAGTGTTTTTCAGGCTCGTTAATGTATCTCAATGAGGCAACCCTTTTAAATAATTGTCGACTTCGATATGCCAGAAAACAAATTTATGTTTGTTCTTTTTGAATATTTTATTTATTTAAATTTTATTTTAAGTTGATTTCATGGTTTTAAACATAGTTTTTAATAACGGAGGAAAAAATTATATGCAAATTATAATCTATAAAATTTTGTAAAACGTCTTTGAAAATCAAATCGAATTGGATTTATCAGGAAATGCTCATTTCAAAGGCAATTTAGAAGTCGATATTTTGGCATTTTAAGATTTAAGGCACATGCTTATCCAACCAATGCCCGTTTTGTCCCAGAAGCATTTATCGTTTTTCTGCATGCTTCTAAGAATTGCACTCTGCTGGACTTTTTTAGGTTTTCTGAATAGGTTTTATTATTACCCAGTGAGTCTAAGCTATATTGCTGAATAAACAGATTTCTACAACAATATATATATATATATATATAATGCTTATTAAGTAGAGCATTTAGCTCATCTCAACAAATTTATGGATTTTCAAGGAGAGATATATTGTCTTGGGGAGGGGGAGGGAGTGGGAGAGGGGGGCTAACTGTATTTCATTTCTTTTCAATGTAGAGATATAAAACATGTTCTGGAGGACACATTTCTCACAGACGCCACCTTTGAAAACGATTTCATTGCGTTTATAGAACATCTGTTGAGAACATCTATTAACATCTATTAACTATTTTTTTCCACGAATGAGACTATTTTCCACGAATTTTGGAGAAGCCTTGCATCATAGCGATTTAGTAGCGCAAATTAATAAATTAAGCGATCATGCTGCGTTAAATGCTGTGAACGCTTTATTTAACGCTTGTTTAGAAAGGGTTTGTAGAATACTAGAATACTTTGTTTTTTAATGCAACTTCTTCTTTCCAGTTTTTTGCCGCAATTATTATAAATTCATAAAATTGGCAACAAACTGCATTTTTATTTTGTCGCAGGATTCGGTAGATTAATTCATTCATTCGTTAATTCATTCGTTGAATATTAGTTGGTTCAAAAAGAAGGCAACAACATAGCGGTCAAAACAACAAAATTAAAGGTGTTCTCGCGCAAATCCGCTGTAACCAACTTCTAAATGTTTTATATTTCTACTAATTTTTGCATCCTTTATCGCGATTCACTCTTATTCAGAGTATTTGCGGTAAAATTTAGCGGCGAAGGCTCAAATGAATACTTCTACGAAATGAATTTCAGCTTGTGGACAACATGTTGCATTGATACATTTACTTCCTCCACTGATATGTTTTCTTCCAAAATCGAATTAAACCGGTGAAACAATGAAATGATTTTTTAGAAATATGTTGTTCAAAAATTCAGCGCTTAGAGTTACATATGTTTCGTATATAGGAGCTGAAAACGTTTCGATGCCATCAATGCCATGAAATCTTTTTTCGGAGAGTCCGATAGTTTTTTTATAATTTTAGATAATTTTAGCAATCAATTTCGAATATAAATAATTTTAATAGATATTTTTTAAATAATTTTAGACATATGTTGCCAATATTTTAATCTCTATTAATCCCTACGAACAAATATTTGATTTATACAACAGCGATGCAATACGTAAATATCAGGGGAAATCGCTTGGTACCATGTCACCTCATATTTATGCTATTGGTGAGTTTTACTTAAATTAGTAAATTTCTACTTCAGAAGTATGAAAATTAAGCAATTTTGACTGAGTTCTGTATAATAATTATGAGTGAAAGAGAACAGAAGATGTAAATTGATAATTGCTTGTTTTAAACTTCTTTCTCCTGTAGCATGCTTCTTCCATTTCTGATCGTACTGCTCATTACTTATTAACGTTTCTAACGCGTCTTGTGCCAAACTTGAAATTAACCAAAGACAATCCCTTTTTCGTCTTATAAGTCCACAAACTTCGGATCGCCTATGCGTTTGAAAGTGAAAAAAAAAATGAATCAAATTTTTTTTAGTTAATTTCAATTTTCAATTTTTGGAAAAAACAATTCCATTTTTCGAGAATGAATTTAGTTATGAATTTAGAATGAATTTAGAATTTAGTTACCAAAAAAATTCGAAATGTTTGCTTAATAAATTGTAGCTGATTATGCGTATCGCGATATGAAACGTTCACATAAAAGTCAGTCGATTATTATTTCTGGTGAATCGGGTGCTGGAAAAACGGAATCGCAAAAATATATCCTCCGATATTTATGCGAATCGTGGGGATCCACAGCTGGGCCTATTGAACAGCGAATACTTGAATGTTGGTCTCTTTATTTCGATTACTTAGAAGGAATTCAAAAGGCTAAAAAATTACTTTTGATGTTTTAGATTTAAAGTTTTAGACTCTTTTTTGAAGATTTCTCATTTGAATATTGTTTAAACACCATATGTTTTTCAGCAAATCCAATCTTGGAAGCATTTGGAAATGCAAAAACTTTAAGAAATAATAATAGCAGTCGATTTGGAAAATTCATAGAGATTCATTTCGGATCTAAGGCAATTTTCCTGCTTAAACAAGAAAATTTTTTTCGAAAATATCTTTTTGAAAATTTTTCCGAGTGATATATAAAATTTCTGATCTAAACTTTTATTTATTTGTTTCCTTCATTTAGCAGTAAATATAATGGAATACTGCGTAAATGGCTTGGCGGTTCCACTATACGTTTAGGTCCTTTCTCGTTGCAGAATCCAAAAATCACTTTCAATGCCTTCCGAATATTTGATATGATGTAAGGCCTCTTGGGTATTGAACTATCTGTATTTGCTTTCAGCTTCAGGGAATTACCACCAAACCATTCTCTACTAATTATCTATATTTTAATGTAATGGAAAAAGCTTATTATCTTTCAACTTTAATTTTAGTATTCAGTGGCTGGTGGCTATGTGTCGCATTACTTGTTAGAAAAATCAAGAATTTGTTATCAACAAGAGGAGGAAAGGAATTATCATATATTTTATCAGCTTATTGCTGGTGCTACTAACGAAGAAGCCAGCCAACTTTATTTAAATTCGCCAAATAATTTCAATGTTAACCTTCATATTAATTTACAATTTGGTATTTTAGTTCTCGTCTAGTCTAGTTCACGAAGACCTTTTTTTCAGTATTTAAAACGAGGATGTACGCAATTTTTCACAACACCTTCAACAACGAGTAAAATTCCACCCAATCGTCGCGATAACCGAGTTGGTCAATTTTTCATTAATTTAATAGTTCTTTCATTTATATCTGTTAATCACAAAGTTATTCAGGAATTTTGGAAATTTTCGCTTTCCATAATATAAACGGATTCGACAAATTTAGCACAAATCATCATTTTTTTTTATTAATTTAAAATTGTTACATTATTGAAGAATAGCGATCTTCACGATGAACTTATTGATGATTATGCTGATTTTCAACGACTTCGAATTGCTTTTAAAAATGTCGGATGGTCAGATAAAGATTCATTGACTATTTTTAGTATAATATCTGCGCTTCTTCATTTGGGTAATATTAATTTCGTCGATAATATCGATGATAATCGAGGTTCGAAGTTTTAGTTCATAAGAAGTTTTGTTTATTTATTATTTTTGACTTTTAGTTTATTACTGAAAATCTTAATTAATAACTGATTTTTCGTATTTGTTTGGTAGATAAAAACTTTACAAGCCATAATAAAATTTGTGTTTTAATTCGCCCTATGGGATTTTGCTAATAATTTGTTTTAAAATATTTTAAATTATTGAATCTGAAAAGAAAAAATGAATTTTTTTAAAATATTTGAAATGATTACGGTCAACTGATGAAGATTTTTAAATATTTGAGGCGGATGTACATTAGATTCTGCTTGTAATAAATCTCTTCAAATAGCATCGTTACTGCTTGGCCTCGATGCTGCTGACCTTCGCGACGGTCTTATTTCACGTATAATGCAGCCAACCAAAGGAGGTGTTAAGGGTACAATGATCAAGTAAATCTTAAATTTGTTGTGATACCTATAATCGATGAAAAGAGGCATTCAAAAGATGTTGTTTGATTAATAATGATTAACACTAGTAAATGAGAAGCAGGATGGCTGATTGATTGAAAGTCTTTGATTTCTTGGGTTTGATTTCTGACCCATAACGAATAAAGCAGGCTTTTCATTAAAAGTAAAATCCGTATGGTCCTGGTGGTCTGGTGGTTAGCGATGATTCTCTAACGAAGAGATTTTATGTGGAGCCAGCCGGCTGAGTGAGAAATAATTGCTTTTAGAAGGAAGTCATTGATAATCATCTGATAGCCCTCTTAAGAAATCTTTTAAATAAAAAAATAAAATTTGCCTTAGATTTATTGAAATTATTTGTCATTAGGTATTGTCCAGATTAAATTCTTTACTTTCTGGATTTATTTCGCTTTGAAGTTTTTTAAATTAGTTAAATAGCTTAAATTGCCATTATTATATGTACAGTAAATTGAAAATCCAGTCTTTTAATACTTTCTACGGTTTAAAAAAAAAACTCAAAAAATCATAAATAAGTTAAAATTTAGAGTGCCACTAAAAACTTATGAAGCCGTAGCAGCAAGAGATGCTTTAGCAAAATCAATCTATAGCAGATTATTCGATTCGATTGTTTTGGCAATTAACAAGTCCATACCGTTTAGCGATAGTTGTTCGTATATTGGTGTTCTCGATATTGCTGGATTCGGTCGGTTTTAAATAAGAATTTTTCATTTTTTTTCGAAAGACAGCTTTTTATTTCTTTTAACTTGACATTAGATTTGGTGATTATTTCGATGACCAGCAACTTTTTGGAAACCAATTAACGATGCTTGAAAAAATTGTACGAGATGTTTCTAATTTTTTTAGATTTTTCTCTTCGTTGAGTAGAATTCTAAGTGAAAAAATTGCTGAAAACAACATTTTTTAGAGCCATTTGGAAAAATATTTTTTGGTAGAGTATTTATTTTTTTATTGCAGAATTTTTCGTCGTCAATTCTTTTGAACAATTTTGTATAAATTATTGCAATGAAAAGCTTCAAAATTTTTTTAACGAAAGGATATTAAAACAGGAGCAGGAATTATACAAAAAAGAAGGCCTTAATGTTCCTCATATTGAGTATAATGATAACGAGGATTGTGTTGGTAGGTTTGTTGATTGCTATGAAGGATTTCTTCAACAACACTTTTGAAATTCTTGAAAAATTCGAATTGCTTAATTCTGGAAAAGTTTTGAAATAAAATTAAATTATTGAAAAACTTGATGAAAAAGCAGTTTAGGCAAATTTTATTTTATTTAACTGACTATTTGATATATTTTTTTTAAAAAATTCGAGTTTTTTAAAAAATAAAAAAAGTGGATTAATTGATTGTGGATTAATGAATGATTAATTAATTGCACATGTTGAATAGATGATGTGAAATGGTACCAGTGCTATATTATTGATTATGATATGAAATCATTTATGTTAAGGTCAGCTTACTTTTAACTGCATAGTTGGTTTTTTCTTAGATCTTTTCGAACATCGGATCCAAGGTTTACTTGATACTCTCGATGAAGAAGCGCGTTTGCCTCAGGCCTCAGCTCAACATTTCACAGCGGCTGTACATCAAAAGATGAAAAACCATTTTAGATTATCGGTTCGTTTACTTCTCAGAAATATGAGTGATGACTAAATATAAGCATAAGAAATGAAACAAGAAAATCTTAAGTTTAAGAATTTTCGATTATTTTCGATTGTAGATAATCAATCAGCAGATAATTATCACCAATATTATAGAGTACGAAACTTCTAAAATAAAAAAGTTAAAGGTTCCAAGGAAGTCAAAATTGCGTGAACATCGTGACATGAGAGATGATGAAGGCTTTATCATTAGGCATTTTGCTGGATCAGTTTGCTATCATACAACATTATTTTTGGAGAAAAACAATGATGCACTTCATACTTCATTAGAGATTTTAATGGAAGAAAGCAGGTAACTACTAACTAAATTTTCTAAGATTTTGTATGTAGCACTCTACGATTATCATTATCGACATAATTCCTAACCATTTTCAATTATCTGTCGTTAATGTTTCCCAAATTTCTAATATTCTAAAATTATTTTAAAATTATTTGTTTTTCCTGTGTTTCATCTTTTTGAAAGCTTTGCAGCAATCCGTGGATTAAAGGACTTTTTATGAAGAAAAAAGGAAATCAATCGAGTGGGCAGAAAAATATTTTCAACAAATTGATTATCGCATCAGTAAGCAATAAATTCCGCGCGCAACTTGCAACGCTTATTGATAAACTGAAGTTGACAGTGAGTATTGAAAGTTTTCTTTTTGTCTGCTAATCCCCTCAGAAAAATATTTCGAGCATATCTAATAAATAAATATGCAAAAAAAGATGAACGTTCCATATTGGTTAGAAAGGTACTTTTCCGTTTGAATGTTGGAAACTCTTATCAGTTTTTTTCTGAAGTTTCAAAATTTCAGATTTCTATAGTAATCTATTAAATGAAAGTTATAGAATTTTATTTTTTCCTTTTTCGTTGATCATATTGATGGTAAATGTTATAGCCATTCTTTTATTATAAGTTATGGATTCTTATTCCGGTTTATTCAGGAATCTTTTTATTTCCTGATGTTCCTTTGTTTAGAAAAAAATTTGCAACTTTTATTTACATTAACCTCTAAAATTTTGATTTTGCATTATTTTCATTTGTGAATGGATATAACAATACACATTGGAATTCGCGGTACTTGTAAATTTATTGCCAGTAAAATTCATAAATTTCTTTCATATCGTGTTACTTTCCCATTATATTCCTATATTTTCTTCGTTAATATTTAAATAGTTAATAGTTAATATTTAATTAAATTTATATCATTTGGAGAAGGAATCTTTAAGGTTCAAAAAGCATTGGTCGACTTCTTAGTTTTTAATTTGCCAAAAAATTCCATTGATGAAAATAGTTGCTTTGAAATTTTACATTTACATCCTTTTACTGATCTGATATCTATTATTCCTCCATTTTTAATTTGTTTTCTTTGGTTGTTACTCAAATTTTTAGAATACTCATTTTATTCGTTGCATTAAACCGAATTCTGAAATGAAACCCGGTAAATTTGAAGGAGTGCAAATATTAAGTCAGTTGAAATGCGCAGGAATGGGAAGTGTCTTGAAGTTGATGCAAAAAGGCTACCCTTCCAGGTAATTATTTCGTACAGAATCTAATTTCTTTACTAGTTATTAATTTGATAATTTACCTGTTATGAACAGTTTGAAGTAATTTCATGTATATTTTTTAATTAAAGGGTGAAGTTTGCTGATTTATATAAAACATACGAAAAAGTGTTGCCGAATCGACTTTCTCATTTGGATAGTCGACTTTTTTGCAAAGTTTGTTATTTATTTCATTCTAAGTGACGTGATTAAATATTCATTTAAAAGATATTTTCACTAAACTTCCTTCTTTTTTTTTCAAAAGTAAACAAAAATTAAGTGATTAGCGCTCATAATTTCTGAAATTGCTCGTTCGGCCAGTTCTTAATTCTAAGGAGCCAGAAAACCACTTGGCGATAGAAGTATAGGAAGGTATTTTGTCGATATGTAAGCTTTTTTCTACAAAACTATTTTATTTTACGTTTCTGTAGTATTATTCATTTTTTATGGAGTATTTCTATAGTTTACTTTACTTTGTAGAAAAAAAAACAAAAACTATGAGTTGTATATGCAAGATTATATAGCGAGTGTAACGAAATAGCATAAAAAATATTCGAGAATATATATTAATTCAAGATTCTTTCATCTGATTTCTTGATTACAACGAAATTAGAATTTGTTAAATTCCCAGTGATAAAATTTTATTGATATGGTTTATTATTTAACTAAAATGGTTAAGGGATTAAGAAAATATTTAATCAATTTATTAAATTTATTAATATAAATTGATATGAAGGAAATATTAATATAACAGTTTATTAAAAAGTTAATTTTATGGGCAATTTTTTTATTTTTAAAGATTCCTTAAAACAGAGAATACCATTCATCCATCCCTAATTCTTATTTATCTCTTCGCTTAAAGTTATTCCAGTGAATAATCAGTCCAGATCTAACTGTTCATGCCTTATATTAGCCTTATATTCAAGCATTGCCGGTTTGGCTTGCTGTATGGGCTCATTGGAGAGATTTTTTATCAGAATCGGAACTGGGAATAGAATTATTAACTAAAATCCGGACTTATCATTTGCTTAATGGGCATCTTTACTATTATGATTGTTGAGAAAATTTTCGTATTTTATTTGTGATGTTTATTTCTTTTACTTATTTCTTTTCAACGCAATATGTTTGCAGTGTCTCTTTCATGTGCTTGGTCTTAACGATAAAGATTTCAAGTTCGGGCAAACGAAAGTATTCTTCAGATCCGGAAAATTTGCGGAATTCGATCAGGCACAGTTTTTTATTGAACAAATGTGCCTTAGTGCCTTAATGAAAAAATTTTTATCATTTTTTTCTTTTTATTTTCAAATATTAATTGCTTACTTTTATATTGTCCATATTTTTTTAAACTTTTTTTTGAGATGCTCCGCCAAGATAAGCAACACATGGAACAGTTATTAACGAAAATTCAGTCGTGGCTATGTCGTGTTAGATGGAAGAAAATGCAATACGGTGTATGGTCGTGCATTAAATGTTATTTTTTTGCGAGATATTTTAAATTTTAGTATTTTTTGATAGAAATTTTGATAATCCCATTAAAAATTTTCATTTTATGCATGCTTATATGTTTCCGAATAGAGCTCGCTGCGCTGTCTTGTAAGACTAGACATGCCAGGGAGGCACTTGACGATTAGGAGTCACAAGTACCACCTATATAGATTATGCCAACCAGGTTATATATATATGTACTATTTTTGCAGGTAAAGACCTCAGCAAGTTGTTGAGCACGTTACCCATTTTGCCTCCCATGCCTGGATTCAATGAATTCGTTGTTTCATTAAATTAATTTCCTTAATATTAATTCATTTGTATTTTTAAAATCATTTCCAGTGAAAAACAAGATATTGCATCGTTTAAAAGCGTATGTAAGGATTCAGAGCGCAATGCGTGGGCATCTTGCAAGGAAAGTTCACCGCCCTCGGTAATGAGCATTTTATATTCACATTTTCAAAGGAAGAGAGGTTATTTTCTAATATAATCCTCTCTTGAGCTTGCAGCCTTTTGAATTACCATCGAACATTAGCGATGTTAACTCGGATAGATGAAGTGGAAACGATCATCAAAAAATCACCCTCTTCAGCCCAACAAAAGTGGTCATTAGCAATCTTTGAATTCAGAAAAAAAGTTTTGAAGCTTATTAGCGACATTAAAGTTAGTTTTTGGCGATTTCTGTCGTGGCATTCTCATACAATTTTTCAAATTTCCACTTTTAAGCAAAAAAAAAAATGATTAAAAAATTCTTATGATTAAAAAAAAACTTTTCTCTATAGGTGGTCATGATCGTCCTCAACTTTTGGTCCTCTGCCAGACGTCTGGGAGATTTAGATTTAGTTCTTAATAGTGCGCTCTCCTGGATAGAGATCTTTGTTTTCCCTTTAATTTGCTGAAGCCACTTTTCTAATTTAGCGGTCACAGTTGCAAATGCTGCAACTATCACTGGAACTACTTTGGTCTTTACTTTCCACGTCTCTTTTAGTTCTTTCCTCATTTAGCATCTAGCATTTCTCTAACTTCTCGTATTCCTTCTTTCTGATATTCCTGTCATTTGGTATCGCTATAACAATCACCAGAGTTGATTTCTAATTCTTATCTGTTATCACGATATCTGGTTTATTAACCAGCACTTGTTTGTCTGTTTGGATGAGAAAGACCCACAGGATCTTCGTCTTATTATTCTGTGTGATCTTCTGAGGTATCTTCTATTTAGTCTTGGGAAGATCTTAAGCCAGATACCAAGCAGATATTCTGTAAATGATACCAGCTACTTGGTTATGTCCTTCAATGTATGTTGTTTCTGCTTGCATTTTAAATCCCTCCATGATACGTTAGATTGTTTCTGGGGCATTTTTGCATAGTCTGCATCTAGAGTTCTGTCTGGTAGATGGTAGATCTTTGTTTCGATGGATCTTGTGCTTACTCCTTTCTCCTATGCTGCTATAATCAATGCCTTAATATCCAACCCACTGTATTTCACAATGCCACCTACCTCAGCTATTTATCGATGGTGCAATCCATGGAGGGACTCCTTTCTTTGCCATGGTATTTCCTCTATTTGATCATTTTCCAGTGTCTATGCAAATATTCTTCAAATATTCTCTCGCAGCTCATCCTTTGGTGCCATCTTGCTGATATATTTCTGAATCCTTCGAGTTTGTTTAAGACTTTCACATTTACGAAGCCCCATCTGTCTTCTTTCCGGCTGGTCTATAGCCTTTGGGTATTAGATTTGGGGTAGAAATTTCCGTTCATTGTGAGGAGTTTCCTGGTCTTTATCAACAGCCTCCATATCTTCCTTTGTCCATCTTATAATGCCAGCTGCGTGACCTTATTACTGGTTTATATACATATATATTTTATCTGGTTGGCATATTGCTTAACTATGCGAGCATTCACTATTATTTTTATAAATAATGACTATATTCTTACTTTTTTTAAAGTGATAGATATTTAATGTAAATTTGAAATAAAATAGGCGAAAGTAAATATTTTTCTTTTCTTTCAGAAAAATACTGACCACGACATGTTGGAAAATCGCCATAAATCACTAGCAAATGAAATGGATTCCATGCTTTCATTTATCAAGTTAGTCTTTAAAATTCTGCTTCTTTTAATGAAGATGAAGTTCCAATTTATTGAAAATATTTAAAATTTATAAAAATTCTACGATAATAATATAAAGAAATATTTCTTGTACTAATGGCTTTTTGTCAGTATTGTCAGTATTAACCATTCTTTCTTTCGAAATTTTGTAAATAGTTTGCTAAAGAAGATATCATATTTATTCTAAAAACATTTAAGCTTAAGGTTCCTTAAATTTAAAATCTCAATTTTAGTTTGTTGTTGGTTAATTAATGCATATTTTTAAATATAAATTTGTATATAATGTTATTTAAAAATATCATTTATCATTTAGAGAACAGTTAGCTCAAGAGGAACGTGAAAGAATTCAGAAAACAACAGAAAAACTAAAACAGGAAAAGGAAATGGAAAAGGTCGCAAAATTTCAAGTAAAGGAACAAGAACAGCAAAAACTTAAGTTAATCATATCACAAGATTTTTGCATTTATTCCCGCTAATAATTATTTTTATTTTATTACAATTATTTTCATAATTGTAGGCGTCAGTTGCTTGAGGAAACGCGTCAGAAAGAAGAAGAAGAATTTCTTAAAAACAAAGCCCTTATAGAAGAACAATTAAGGATCGAACGAATCATTGAGCAGCAGAGGTATTTTCATAATAGCCATTTGACATTGGTCGATAACATCGTTGACTGAAAACCACTGAAATTTTGACCTTTGACATTTGACATTTTGGATGTTTTTCTTATTTTTTTAATAATCTTTTTAGCTACAGTTTAGTGCATTTTTCATTTTGCAATTTTATCATTTTACTTCCTTTTGGTGTTTATTTTTGCAAAAATCTTTAGTGTCATTCAGACATCGACATTATAGCTGTTAAGAATTGTTAAACTTTCAACTCATTTTATGCGAAATTATCATAATTTCGGATATATTTTTCAATAATTCAAAAAAAAGAGCCATAGATCAGAGAAATTTCGTAAAAATATGATTCAGGCAAAAACAAATGGAGCAAGAGCGATTGGATGCCGAACTCATACGACGTTTGGTTCAAGAAAATAGTTATTTGCATATTGTAGAGACTACGTAAGTGTTTCTTGGAAGATCATTGGTATTTCAAATATTTGCAGATGTGATTTATATTTTAATTCGTTCTTAAGGTAATGAATATTTTGATGAATTTGTTTATTTTAGGAATCAGAAAGCTTCAGTGGGTAGTGGTTATTATAACTTATCTAACTGGAAATATAGTGATTTGAGAGATGCAATTAATACGTCAACGGGTAATTTTTAAATCTGGTTTCATTTTTAATAATCTCTTATTTTAATTTTCGCTAATTGTAAAGATGGTATTAGACATAACAGCTTGGAAACGCCTTATCCTTATAGCCAGAGAAGCTACCTAACCAGTGATGGGAAAGGAGGAAGAAAGAAGTTATAAAGAAATCATTTCAGATATAGTTTATTTTTCAACTTTTATATTTTTTTATTTATTTATTTTTTATTATTTATTTATCAGCTTTTATTTGTATTCTTTATATTTAGATATTAATTTGCTGAAAGCATGCAAAGAAGAGTTTCATCGAAGAATGCGTGTATATCAACAATGGAAGGAAAAAAATCAAAGTGATAATGAACAAAAAAAGCGATCTGTTCCAATGGCTTTAATGTCCAAAACATTTGGTACTATCTTCAGTTGGCACATTTGAAGCTTGTTTATTATCATTAAATATATTTTATATTATATTTTCAACTTACTCCATTTTTGTTTTTATTTACCCATATTTACCCATATTAATTTTCTTTTCTATTTTGGCTTTAAATTGAATAAGTCGTATAATTTGTTTCCATTTTAATTATATGGCCTTTTTTGAAATATCCTAAAGTTCGGAATTGATATGGGAAATCAGTTAATATATTAATCTGATGCTTTGCTTTATTCCTATCCACCATATTTCATTCCATTTTAGTATCTAAAGAAAAATCTAACAGTACGGATTTCCCAAATATTCAACGATATTTCAAAGTTCCCTTCTGCAGCTCAGCAGGTAAATGCAAATGCAAAATCTTTGTGCAATAAATTTATAAATTTGCTTTTTAAATTATAATTGACAGCTTTAGCTATATGTTCTTGAGTTTTAATGAAATGATTTAAGGTACAACAGCTGGTAGCCAAGGAATATGGTATGGTCACTTCGACGGTCGTTGGATCGCTAGACAGATGGAAATCCATCCTAACAAGCCACCAATTCTTCTTGTGGCGGGTGTGATTCGTTTGCAATTATTTTATTTATTTAAAAGCTAAGTACAAATGGTGTTTCTTTTGATATACAGAAATACAGAACCTATTTGATGATTTTTTGTTTAACTGCTTGATGTAGGTCGCGACGATTTCAATATGTGTGAACTGCCTCTAGATAGTACTCAATTGACAAGGAAGAAAGGTGCAGAAATATTATCAGAAGAGTTTGAAACTCTTTGGTCGCACTACGGAGGACAGCCTTATTTTAACATATCGCGATTTCAAATGCCTTTGGAAAAGTGAAAAAAATTGAATATATCTGATTATATATTATATTAAAAATGAATTAAATATTATATTTACTTTTTCACCTTTTTTTTTATTGTAAAGCTTAAATTATTTGAGCCATTTAATGAAAGATTGGAATTAGCGTTTTTTTATAATTCATTCTGTTACATAATTCCGAATAATTATGTTCCACGAGAAAAAATTTTATTGAAAATGTGCCAAAAATAATTTTTAATGCAATCTTAAATGTTATTTAGAAATATGAAGGAATCTTCCTAAAAAATTTTTGAGAATTAAAGAAAAATTGTGAGATCACTAGATGCTGTAACATATTAGGTTTACCTGATCTATATATCAGAAAAATTTTCAAAAGTTGGCTAAAAATCGTTTGCATTGTTTCAAGCTTAACCTGCTTTCTCAAAAAGAAACAACAAAATATATCACATTCGAAATATGTGCATAAAGCTGATTTTACCGATTCTTTTCTAGATTACTTAATCTTGCGATCAGCAAGCGTGTACGTTTTTTTTCGACGTCTGCTTCAGCAGCCAAATTTGTTTCATATTCTTCTAAGACCTATAAAAATTTTAAATTAATTTCAATGCACAGTATTAAATACTGAAGCATGCAAAACAAATTAAATGTAAATATAAATATAAAATATACGGGAATTAAATGACGACTAAGTTTTCCGTTGCCTGTTCGCATCTGAAATAACTTAATTGCTCTATTTCGGCAGGAACTAGAACCATTCACAGAAACGTCAGCAAGTACAAGAACGATTCGTTGTAATGTATATAAACCAGCATCAAGTCGATCCAAATATAAATTATTCGAATCTTCTTCAGAATTTGATTGAGCTTTACGAGCATCAAAACGATCGACACGTTCACTAAACATTAAAACATATTGATAGAATTTACCACAATATATATCCTAAATATCCTAATATTCAAAGTTATTTTTTAAATCGTCGTAAAGCAAAAATAAAATAGACTGGATTTTGGATTTACTTCAATGTAACAAAAATAAATTATAAATAAAAATTACCGATATTTAAGAACGAGTTCAACTGCACGATCCACTTTCTCATATTCGTGCTCAGCGAATTTCATTAACACTCGACTGCGACCATCTTCTCCACATGAACGAAGCAGCGATGCCAATATCTTCAGCGAAAAAAAATTACGAAAAACTTGATTATAAATGGCCAAAGCAGTCAAACAAGTGAGATCCAACGAAAAAATTAAATTTCGCTCAGATTCTGAAGATTAATGATATTTTACTGAATATTAAAAAGAAATTAAAAATGAATCTCCTGAAATAATGATTGATACTAAAAAAATTTACAAAAAAACAGACAACAAACCGAACAAACATGTTCTTCATGTTCAAGAGGAGTTGTATCTTTACGACGCTCTTTAGTCGGTGTGCGCATGAAAAGCGGGAATAACGTTCGTAATCCTTAAAAAATGAATCAAAAACGGCGAAACTGGTGAAATTTAAGAAATATTTAAAAAAAGAAAAGAATAAGCTACCTAAAATTTCAATAAATTTTGCACAATTTTCTTTTCCCTCGGCACCATTCATTGCATAATCCAATACTTTTAGCGCACTTTCTCTAGATTGCTTTCGTTCCCTACAAATTATAAAATTTTACAATGTCTGAAAAAATTACACTGGACATTGAAAACGTTAATAAATAAAAATCAAAATGAAATCTAATGAAAAAGTTTAAAAAACTTAAAAGCATAAAGCATCAAGGAACTTTTTGGCTAATAATATTAACTTATTTAGTTACTAAGTCCAGAAATTGTAGATAATCTTTCGACCTTAACATAAGATTCATTAATTGCAGCCCTTCACCATCAAGGAACTTTTGGCGATTTGGTGAGTACATTAAAGCAGCACAGACTGCATCAAAAAGATTTTCCATATGTTCTCTTTCATCGGCGCTTGCTGGATCATGCCTTTTATAAGTAGCAAGTGCCTTTAAATCAAAAAAGAAATATTAGCGAGAAAAAAAAAATTTAAAAAAAAAACGATTAGATGAATAATCACTAACTCTAAGTAACAGGTCGAAACCGTCAATTTTTTCGGTCAACCTTTTCTGTGCCAATTCTGAAGTTTGAAGTAAAACAGCCAATAATTCACTAGCGTACATCTTGTTTGCATCCAAAGTACTCCTTTGCGTACCGCGACGTAAAAGCCACGTAAACAAACCTTGTTCTACACACTTATCAGCATAATCGGGATTGTAGTCTAATACCTGAAGTTTTCTTTCTCATTATAACGTCTCATGAAATTTACCTTCTTTATATCTATGAAAAAATAAAAATTCTCTTATATTTGCGATGTTTTTGTAATTATTTTTACTCAACAACCATTTTACTCATAAAAATGGATGAAAATTTAATGAATTTAAAATACCGCTTCAACGACTGAAAGGGCGTTATGTATTGCATCTGCTTCATCACGAACACTTTCATCAAGACGCTCAATACTTTGCTGAACGAGAGTTTCAATAAGTTGACCGCTGGTTAATGCATCGATCAAACTAGCAACATTGTTATTATCTTCGCTTTCTGAATCATTTATATCTACCAGTTCCTGAAAGTTACCCAGAGAAAGTTCATTAAATTCCAGTTTTCGCCAAAAATATTTATGTATAATTTACTCAAAAACTTAAAATTTCTTCACTGCATGATGCACAGGCGAAAATTAATTTCATATTATTATGTTTCATATATTATGTTCAATAACCAAAATTTGATTCTTAAAAAAGGAAATGCTAAGCATTTATTTCTTGTTATAGTATTACATTTCTTTCTCTGTGCAGTACCTTTGTTAACTAATAAATATTTATTAAAAATAATTAATTGTCCTAAAACGAAGTGCTATATAAACAGATGTATAAAAAAATATATTATTAAGATAATGTTATCCTATTAATCACTAAATCACTAGATTCAAAAAATAATGACAATACATTCTTTTTGACATGACATCTCTTAAAATCAGGCGTTCCTCAAAGTAGTTGTATTGTGCCATTGTTTTTTTTATTATACATTAATGGTGTCATCGAAGTGGTACTAAAATCTACCATTTATTTTTATGCTGATGATTGTTAAATTTATTATTCTCATGGTATAACCTGTCCCCACTACTTCAATAGAGTTGCCAACTGGCTATGTGATGGTCAAATTATCCTTTTCTTTTCAAAAGTGTAGCGTTTTACATATAAATTCGAAAGGATTCGATCTTCCTAATTTTTTTTATTAACGACAACGTAATCAGACGATTTTCACATATTTCCGACTGGCATAATCATGGATGAAAACTCTACTTCACCTTCACTGCAGAACCATAGTAAAGAAATTCTCGAAAATATTAAATTTTATTTTTCGTTCGTTATAGAATTGAATTGAATTAAAAATAGAATTGAAGATTTTCTTATTAAAATGGACAAAGCTTTCGTTTAACCTCTTCTTGATTACAATACTACATTTTACTCCACAAGTCCGCAAATCAAGAAAAATAATTGAAGGGAATAGAAATATTCCAGAAATATTTTATACATCACTTCTATTCTAATAAAAACACAACAGTTTTAATTATAAAACACAGCTTCAACAATAAGACCTAGATTCCATCTCAATTCGTCGAATTAAATAAGATTTAATTTTTAATTATAAAATTCTATATGGCTATATTAAATTAGATTGTTCAAAATAAAATTTTAGGTAAAATTTGAACCCAACAAAATCTTATGGGCTAAAATTACTAATATCTATATGCAAAACTAAATTAAGGACTCATGACTTTTTTATTACTAATAATTACTGGAATAACTACCAAACAATATTTGTTGTCATATTTTCTTTTTTTTTTTTATCATTAATTTATTTGTCATTATTTTAACTGTTGTTAATATTACAACTGTTGTCTTATTATTACAAGCACATAGGGTTTGCAGCCCTACTTGGTTGGTTTTCAATAAACAATGAAAAGAATACAAAATAAAAAAACTTCTTTAAACAAGAAACCAACTTGAAGTAAATTTATAGTTGCAGAAATAATATCAGAATTCTCGTGCGCCAATAACTGCAGCAGAGTAACGGCTAAACCAGATTCCACAGCAAATTTGCATAAATCAGGCTGAGTCGCAAGAATATGCATTTCCTGAAAGTTATTTTTATCAATAGAATTTCTTGTTGAAATAATTTATGCAGAAAAAAAGCTAAAATTCATGTATGATGGTCAATTTTTGAGTAAATCCTGTAATGAAAATAAACCGTAATGTTAAAGGAATATAACAACCATCAAACGAAAGTATAAATCTTTATCACCTGTACTGCTTCATTTAAATCAACTTCACTATCCATAAATTTCGCTGGTTCTTCAACATATTTTATTCGCATTTCGCGATTCTTTAAGCATCGTTTTTCTAACTAAAAAAATTGGTAAATTTAAAAATTTAAATTTAAATTTAAAAGTCCAGGGAAAAAAAATATTACAAAAAATAAAAATCTAGAAAAATGAACGGTTAGACTTAAACGGTATCAATGATAAATGGTAATAAACGGTAACAAGATTTAACAACAATATAAAAAATTTGAATAAAATAAGAATCGATGCCTCACCTGAAGAACTAATCGCTTTACGGTAGCTTCATCAACAACTACAGCATGAGAAGAATCGTTTTCTAATGCTGCTAAGATATCGTTGGCATTGTTGGCAACGGTAGAATCATTCGAAATACCTTCACGCTTTTTTTTGACTGGTGGCTAAAAACAACGAAAAATAAAACGTGGCATCCTTTTCTAACTGTCCACATTATTTATTATATTTAACGAAGTTAATTTTAATTTGAGCATCAACCAAAGAATCACAATAAAAGCAAAAGTAACCTTTGAAAGAGTATAAAAAATACATGGAACCGAAATTAAAATACAATTGATTACCAAAACAAAATATTTAAATAAACATTCAGATAACCTATTGTAACGAAAAAATAACATATTCGCAAAATATTTTTGGAAAATTTAAATATTTCAAGAACACTTTTTGAAAATAAAAAAGAATGAAGATTACCTCAATTGATCCACGTAAAATTTCTTTTACATCGATTGTTGCCATCGAAAACTTACACTGTGTCCAATCTTACTCGAATTTCCTTGTGAAAAACTTAATGGATAATCATTATTTTAAAATAGTTGACAAATACTCGACTTTAACCAGTACATTATCGAAATAAATATTGATGGATTCTACTCCACTCAAAATAACGTTTAATAAAAAAATTTTCCAACTAAAAAATTTACTGTATAATAAAGTAAACCCCATACATTTTACATAAATAAATTAAACTGAAATAAATTATGTTTCGTCTAAAATAAATTAAAATTATAAATTAATGACTCATATAGGGCATTCTTCCTCTTAAAATAATATATAATATTGATCGAAACGAAGAATAAAGGAAATCCTAATATGGACAATAATATAAATATAAATAAAAATAGCTGCATAACATTAAGATTAATTTCAAATTCGATCTTTCAGGAAAAAAATTAAAATATAGATAACAATGAAACAAAAGATCGAAAGTTCAAATGAAACTAAATAAACTGAAGCATCCATTGAAAAATATCTCAACAAAGAATAACATTCACCACATTCATCATTGATGCAATTTTTTGACTAGCATCAACGAAGAAATGTTCAGAATCTTTGGCATGCCACTTTGTGTCAGCAAGCATATTCATTAATCTTGAATGATTTTCCTCACTGCTCGTTTCAATTTTTGAAGCCAAGTATTCATAAAGCAATTCAGCAGCAGTACCACGAAGGGTTGGAAGAGGAGAATGTAAAGTGCGAATAATCTGCAGTGAATAACCAATTGAATGTTTGAATCATACTCGTTAAAATTATGGACAAAGAGCAAAAATTAAATATTAATTGGAATTTCAGGTGAAAATAGAATTGATGACGATAGAACTTCCGATCAAGAATAATAGTTAATATTCAGAAGATTTTGGCATTTTCCATTTGCCCAAATTATTTATCGTTTTGAAATTTCAGAAATATTCAAAAAATTACCACAGAAGCTGCCTTTTTCCAAACTAAGCTATTTGAATTGAAATGAAGCAAATGAGAAAGAACTGTTAAACAAATTTTCATTTTTTGTGGAGATCCTTTCATCGACATCTCCTAAGACCGAACGTCCGTTATTTAAAAAATATGAAACAAAAAATAAATTTTTAAAGAAAATAATAAAATAATTTTTTTCTAAGCGAAAGAAAACAATTCGACGAATGATGGGTAAAAATAATACAGAAAAATGGTAAGATTTTTACAAAAATTCTTGGTAACTGAACAGGAAATTTTCAAAATAATAGAGTTAATTCATAAAAATTGCCAAAAAAAGAATTCAAAGAATTTAGTGAAAATTAAAATCAAGAAAAAATACCGTAATAACTAATTCAATTATTTTACGTAAAGCCGGAGATGAATCCGGATCAAATTCAAAAACAGAAAGCAGCTGATCAGCAAATATTTGTTCCAATGTACAAAGTAGGCTCATAGTAATTCGAGAAACTCCAAGGTTCTCAGCGAAAATTTTTTTTAAACAGTCAAGGAAACTTTCCAGTTCCTGCGAAAAAAAGGACATAATAACCATAAAAGATAGGTCATATTTAAATATATGAAATAAAAGTGATTAATTAGAAACATCCATAAAACAATAAGAAATACGAACCTCTATCGAACTGCAGAAACCACTAATTGTCGAAAGAAGAGCATCTATCGCACCACGCTTAGTTGATTCAGTAAGCCCACCTTAAAATATGCATTGTTAATGCCGGTAAAGCGATATTCTAATATATGAAGAAAAATAAATAAATCAACTAACAAATAAATTTAAAAAATTGAATTTTAAAGTTAATAGTTATCGTTTGATAAAGATCTCAGGATCACTAACGGAAAGAATGGAAAATATAAATACAATTATAAAATATACAGAAAATACAAATTTAAAAGAACCTGCAGAAATTACGAAACCACGAAGAGCATAATATCTATAATGTGGACTGTTTATAAGAAATGCGAGTCGTTTGAAGCACACTGATCTTCGCCAATCGCTATCTTCCCAATCATTTTTAAAGCCGACAACGGATTCCGTATTCGAATATACCATCATTAACGTTTCTTTTTCCATAATATATTGTAAATTAATTGTTAGCAATTCGTTTATAACATGGGCAGCACACTGAATAATAAAGTTCATTATCAAAGACTCAAAGACTTACATCCAATATTTATATAAAAAATATGAATAAATTTTAATATAATATATAGAAAATTTGGTATTTACCTGACGAATGGCATCGATTTTTTCACAAGATTGCTGAACAATTTTACAAATGGCAAGATCTATAAGAGAAGATAGCTCTGGAAATTGCTGCATGATGGGCAAAATGGTTATAAAAGCAAGCATAGAACTTTCACGGAGTACTCGTCCCACATCACCTCGGTGATCCACGGTATAATCATCAAGTGCTCTAATAATACTGGAAAGTTTGTTTAAAGAGAATGCATATCATTAAAAAAAGAAATTTAATTTAAACATTTATAATAAATAATATTACCAATCGAGTATACGACTACGATCCTTTATTAAATTTATGTCGACAATTTTCATGATATTTGTGATTGCGATAACACAAGCACGCCTTCCGTAAGCCCATGCCATATCAATATTTGTTCGACTAAATAGTTGAAATTAAATAGTAAATAATTCTGTAAAGTAAAATCACATATTATTAAATTGGATTAGTTCAACTGTTGTATTTCATTATACTTAATATTTATTAGTTTAAGTTTTTTTCTTACTCTCGATCCAACATAATCTGCAGAAAATATGATCAAAAAGTTTGATACGAGATTTAAAAAAAATATTCCTTACGAATTAATAACGCTTATTAAGGAATCGATAATTTCAGAAGCGAGAATGGCACCGTGTATATTAGACATGATTATTTCCAACGGCAATACACCAAGGAGTGTCGCAAATCCTTCTCTTTGATATTCCATTCTTGCACACATAATCTAGATTATTCTATATTTACAACATCTACATTTCTACATTTCTGCAATAAAAAGTTTTGTAAAGCAATATTAATACCGTTTCAGGAAATCATAAGTTTTAAAAAATAAGTTAGCAAACCTCAGTCAAATAAAAATGACGAATACGGTTAATAAGAAAGCTTGAATATGTCGTTGAAGTAAGGTAAGTAAAAAAGATTGATGCAGCACTGGCAGTTTCATTCCGTATGACGGCATTTTCATCAGCAAAATTATGTTCCAATATGGTAAACCATTCATTTGCCTATGTTTTAAAATGATAACATATAATATAATAATATAGAAGGATAAATATATACAAAAATATATAAATATAACTTGTTCAGGAAGTTTTCTGGAAAAAATTTCTAACTTTTTAATTTTTTTTAATTTTCCCCTCAATATTTTCATAGATTCTTATTCTCTTCTCTTATATTCTCTAGAAATTATTTGAAGGTAGCACCAGCAAATGGTGATAGGCATGCAATTTTGTTCACTGTTTTAATAAGTTAATAAGTAAAAATAAATAATGAATATCTTATATCTATATCTTAAGAATAACGAAAGCCTTCTCTTCACTTTAAATTTGATTCTGCATATCGAAAAAATTATTGATACTTACAGGAATGCGATCAACAGGTAGAACGCCTGAAAGATGATGGATGAAATTATTCATTCCACGTTTAATTAGGCATGTACCATTCATTCTTCGCTGTTTGTCAAAGAAACCCATAACATTGCTCGACATTTGCAAGGCAAGATTAAGCCATTCATCTTTTATTGGAAAACCAATGGAAAACAATCCAGATATTGCAGCTGCTGCAGCTAAAATCCCTCCTTGCCTTTTAATAAGTGCCTGGTCGTTCATTAAAAAACTTATCTGATGATCAATCTGCAAAACTTAAGCATAAGAGATGAAATAATTTTGTTGAATCTGGAAACTGGTCGAAGAATTTCTTTTCGTTAGGCTTTTTACAATTATAGCAACTTATTTATAGAAAATGGTTAGGCTACAACTGATTTCCATAATATTTTGAACAAAAACAAGTATATTTGAAAATAAGAACAGTAGTATAAAATGGCTTCTGGGAAGTTAATTTGTTAATTTATGCTAAATTTACTGATTTACCGCATTTGCAACAACAGTTGGATCTGCAACACATAATCGGCGTAAGGCCTCAGCTGCAAGAAAACGAATTTCTTCGTCCCAATGGCCAATCTGCAAATTTCGAGAAAATGTTGGAGAAATTAAATACTATTTTTAAAAAGAATAAAACAATTTTCAATCAATTTATATATTATTCATATTACGGTAAAAATTATGGAACAATGGACAACCTTGTAATTTATTAGATGTTCGATCAATGCTTTTGCATATAACGGATTTTTTGACACTTCAAATGATATATTAAGATATGCATGTTGACGTGATCCAACACCATGATAATCCATTTTTGTAAGAATATCTATTCCACTAGGAAAGCAACCTTGGCGACCAACAATCTCTTGAAAGGCTGCACTTGCTGCCCTTTAATTCATCAATTAAAATTTATTCGCTCTATTCATAATGTGTAATAAACATAATAAATAGTTCATTAAAATGTTTGAGGCAATGAAAATCAACCTGCGAACATTAATTTCACGGTCGAATATAGCAACGCAAGTAAGACAAACAGCTATCTGGTCTACGTATGGAGCTAAATCCGAAGGCCGAAAAGTCCGCGCTAGCGCCCAGCAAATGTAACATGCTGCATCTCTTACATTAGCACCAAGAGCATGTCCTCCCTGTGGTTCTTCAAACACCAAAGCCTAAAAATTTATCTTTATTTTTTCAAAAAATCGTTTAAAATTGATTTATGGAAAAAAAATATATCTAGAACTAAATATATCAGAATTATAAATCATACAAAAAAGAAATGATCTTACTTGCAAAATAATCTGAAGAACATTACCCAGTCGTTCAACCATCAAAAAACCACGTTTCGACAATTCAGCGATTGCGAGACATCCACCATGCCATGCCGCCATCCCGGCATTTGAATTGAAATTATTACTGAAAATAGAAAAAAGAACATCTTCGGCAAGACCTCTCGGCAACCTAGATACCACTCTGCCAATACCCTTGGCACCTGTCCATCTAACTTCAGTATCGCGATCACTTAAAGCTTGTAAGATCCAATTCAGCACAATTTCCAGCTAGAAAACAGTAATTTTTAAATTAATGAAAAATAAAAATATCAGAAAAGCATTATAAAATAGAATCTACTGACAAAAAACTTAATAAATATAAAGTTAAAGCGTACTTCTTCCTGTGGGATGTAATAATCAACAATATGAGATGTAGCACTCTTTTCCAATATTTCTTTTGAAGATAAAAATGAAGCGTGGTTGGAATGAAGCTCATTAATTGTGGCAGATTTTTCATTAAGTGTCAATAAACGATTGCCACGTTCATATCTCCATGAAGCCACCTGGACTAATTATTTTCAAGTTTATGTTAAATCGACAATGCAAAAACATATTCATGAGCCCCAAAACCATAAAATTTGTTGCAAAGAATTGTATATATTATCGTTTTTTCTAAGAGATCTTACTAAGGGTAGAATTGATTAGTGGGTTGTTGCTCAATTCGAAGTGCTGATGAGGTTATACTCCCAGCATAAACCAAATTCTGCTGATGCTGGCGATTCATCTATATTTCTACCGCGGAGGAACTCCTGTGCAACAAGCCAGCCGAGTGAGTCTAATAACTAATGGTGGTGAGGGTTCTTCCAAAAAAAACGAGATCTTATTGATGGTAGGTAATTTACGTAATTAAGCAATATGAATCAAGGCAAAAGAAAATAGATGTAAAAGAACCTTTGGTTTCAAGAAAACCATGCCTAAGCGCTGGATAAGTTTTATCGACAATTTCTTTACGATTATGTCTGTATCAGCCAATGATGAAATACGATTCATCAAATCGAGCACAGGTTTCGCCAAGGCTATTAGATCTTCGCGTCTTCCCTTAAAATCATCGTTTCACATTGACAACTGACCAAAAGATATAACACAAGAATATGAGAATTAAATAAAACATGCAAAATAAAAATAAATCTTAAAATTAAATTTACTGAATGAATTTATGATCTCTCGCTTATAAATTTAAGAATTCAACAAAATAGTTAAAGAAAGAAAATAATAGTTAAAGAAATAGTTAAATAGTTTAAAACAATATGAGACGAGAAAAAGAAGAGAAATAATGTAGAAAATATAAGAAATAAATGAAAAAATATAAGAAATAAATAAAAAAATATTCTATACCATCATAGAAGAAGCAACATAAAAAAGGGAAAAAAATAAAATAACCTTCTTAAATAAAGCAGCTAAAAAAAAGAGACTGCCGGTGAAAACTGTATCGGTCGATTTTCTTTCAGAACAACCAGCAAGTACTTCAACGCAAGAAATGACTGCAGAGGGTAATAACGACTGGCGCGCTTCTTCACGTGTGAGAATAGAAGCTAATAGCAATGCAGCTGCTCTCTGAAAGTAGCTAATTTTGCCGAAGAAATAGTTGCTTTTTCATGAAAATAATTCCCAAATAATTCCCAAATGGTGAATATATATTTAATATATTATATTAATAAATATATTTATAAATGACCGAAATATCTTAATAAATATCGGTACCTGGCATTTATTTATGTTTTGATAAAGATAAGGAGTAGCAACATCAATAATACGGTGAATAGTATTCCGATTTCCTTTTGCAGTAACATCAAATCGACTTAAATCAAATGGATTCTTACATAATATGATCATCCACAATAGTAATATGTAACAAACATCACGAGCAGTGGAATGGGCATAACGTTCTAAGGAATTTAATACTTTTTCCAGATAAAATACCTGCAAAAATTCAATTCTTATTCTTCCGTTTACTTAATGAAATGAAAAAAAATCCGAATAATTCTTCAAAAAATCACCTCATGAGGCAAAAAAGATAAAAAAGCCTTGTAGCCACGAACTTTCGCAATATGAGACATAAAACTAAACGCGATACATGATGCTTGATCAAATCTAGAACAAAGGTAATAAGTGGTAAAAACCAAATTAATACAAAAAAAGCTAACTGATCACATTGAAAGGAAAAACCAGAAATCACTAATTATGACAATAATTTTCACCGAATTTAACAATAATAGCTTATTAAAGAACAAAACCTCGTTTGTCCGTCTTCGAGAAGTTTCACGTAGTAAAGAAGCTTTTGAATCATTGTGCCCAAACAAGAATCAAGTAATGTGGGTTGTTCCTGATATAAATCCAATAAAAACTGAAATCTAAAAAAGCATAAATAAGCAAAAATTTCTAAAAATTTTAAATGAAACTGACAAATTTATAAACAATACCTTTGAGAAATTTTAATTTCTAAAAAGCAGATGCATTTTATAGAATAACGAAACATAAAAATAAACGAATAAAAAATGAAAACAAATACAAAATAATAACAAACATAAAAAAAAACAGGGAAAATAATCAAAAAAATAATTTCATTATTCTTAAATAAGAAAATACTCGATAAAAATTCATAAATAATTATTTCAATAATGTTTCAAAAAAAATATTGCAATAATTGTATTTTAATTGTATTTTTATTAGAAGTATTTAATATTAGCTTTAAAAACTTCAATAAAAAATTGAAATCATTTATAAGCATTCAATTTGAAAGATAAGTGGTATATATATTTGGATAATGGAAAAAGGCATAGTCTGATTGAAGGAATTTCCGGGTGATGCTGGCGACTCACCTGTATTTCTGTCGCCAAGGAACTCCCTGGCATTTTACCCAAGCCAGTGGAGCGAGTTTAACCAGTAATGGTGAGGACTCTTAAAAAAAAAATGAAGGAATTTAGCCAACTAGCTAACAAAAATAGCAAATGTAGAAATTGTTTGTTAAAAAAAAGGAAGAAGATGAGAAAAATTTTGTTACCTTTCAGTATTCTTTTCCATTTCCGCAGCCAAATTGACAAAATTAGGTATTTTATTGATAAGAGAAAATATTTCCTCGCGATGCGCAATAATAAATGTATTAGGCACATTTGAACAACCTTCCAAATCTTCTAGTTTTTGATGTCTTCCTGGCACAATTTCAAGTATTTCCCGTTCCAGCATCATTTATCGACTATGAAACTATCTATTTTACATAAATAAATGTAAAATATAATGCAAATACAATAAGAAATGGAATCGCAAATAGTACATTTTGAAGAAAAGCGGATTAAAATGGAATAAAAGAGGATGTGAGACAACAGTCAGAAAAAATTTAGAAGAAAAAAGGTGAGAAAATGAAAAAGAAAAAGGAAAAAACAAGCAGGCAAATGGCTCCCGTAAGATTTTTCTTTTTTTAACATTATTTAGGCCGAGTGCATTGCTATCACTAAAACGGAAAGGTATCTTCAAACAGCTCGATCTGATACCATGCCAGAAAAGCCACTCTTTTATTCGGTTACGCTCACATATTGCTCGATCGCCTAAATTCAAAATCTTTTCTGATCGCATTTATCCAGGTCATAGTTAGTCCTCCTCGCTTTTGATGCCATCTATCAGATGATTTAGCAATTAACGAGATATGCGTCAATTGACTGGTGATAGACGGCGCGCTGCCAATTTCACGGAGATTTTAGCTTGAACCATAAAATGGCCTGATTTGAAGATTACCAATTACCAAAGCACCATGGCCAAGGCATTTATCCGATTATGTTTGGCTTTTGACACAGCTGAAGACATAGATGAAGTTCCAACAGAACCTATCTTTACATATAAGGTAAAAATATACATAATGATGGAAATAAATTAACGTAAACCATATGGTCATCAACTGGCTCCCACGCAGTTGGAACGGATCGAGCTCTTTTACTCTTTCAGACCGTTTAGAAACTATAAGCAAGCAATGACCACACGATATTTGATAGAAAGTATGGACGGTTACTGCTTGGCTTCCGACGAGTGTTCTGATGTCCTACGACTAAGGTCTCGCCGCAACAGAGACAACAGTTCGTTCTTCTCAACGGCCTTAAGCAGCTTGGTTCTTGGCTCGAGTGCTTAAACCAACAATCGCTTTACTAGGTATGTTTGCATACTTCTTGCATATGTCGGGCAAACAATATAACCTCGTCTTTTCACCACCGAATAATAAATAAGTAAATATTTCGAAGGACTAATTTTCGGCTAATCTCGGATTAGTCCGCCGGAATAAACATAAATTTCCGAGAGGAAAGCCCCACCGGGAGCAATCGCACTCGTTTCCTACTTCTTTCTTCGCTAATTTATTTACTAATTTTTGCCAGTTTAAATTAACAAATATTTTATATCAAAAAAAAAAAACGATTCATTACTTGAAAATAATTAAATTGTAGTACAATTATAATTATAAATATAATATTGTTAAATTATTTCTTAAAAAAGATTTGCCTTCTACGTGCGAACATAATTTAATATAAACTTAGGCAATTTACTTATTAATTAATGAACATCAATAAACATAAATCTTTTTTCCAAAAATAAAAAAAGCAGCAAAATTAAACGAAAAACACCGTACTATTAATATCATTTTAAGACCAAATTTTTAAAACTTTAACTATTAACAGCTATATGTTTCCTGGAAAATTAGCTGTTGATGATCGTAATTTATTACATTCGCTATTTCTATTGTCATTCACCGTTTGACTAGTTCGTCTGAGAAGAAGAATTGGAGCCAGTTCATGAAGAAATTACTGGCGGATTCGGAGCAGTCACTCGGGTTTTGATTTTCACAGTAATTTTAGAACAATGGGCAAGGAATGAGTTTCTGACCTTCGGCTGGCTGCATTAGTCAATGCAGTACCGCAATACTCTTCGACCTATTGAATGAATTTAAATCACAAATATGTGAAAGTATTCGACTTTTCGAGAGCAGACTAATCATATTTCTGGATGGAAAATGAAATGCTGAAATAACGAAATTTGATCAAATTGATAGGCCTAATGAGCTTCGTAAATTAAATAAATTAAATTAAATTAAATTAATTAAATTCGGTGACTACGCTTTAAGAGCGAAAATCGGAGCAAACGTTGAGGAGGCACTCATTCTTCCACCCTCAAGTCGTCCATTTGCCCGAATTTCTCTTTCCGATTGCCAAGCGAGACAGCCAGTCGAACCGAACCGAATATTAATTATTTCACAAAAAACCATTAAAATTCTCCAAGCCCATCTACTTTCTCCAAATTAACCATTTTGAATTTTTGTTTATACTAACTCGTATCGACTTTTAAATTCGATCTCCATTGCTTTTTTATTTCTTGTTTTAATTTTAAGTTTCCTCTTTGTTTCATTAGTAACGCAAAATATTCATAGCGGGCCGCGGCCGTAATTACCTTTGGTCAACTTTGAAAGGATAATTTTTGCAGCACAAATTTGAATTTTTTTGCTAAATTTTGAAAGTAAAATGAAAAAATAGAAAGTAGTTTTCTGATAAAGTTATCAGCTCTATTTGATAATTTTGTCGTTTGTCGTTTTTTGAAATTCCCTCTTATATTTCAAAATTTTCACCTTGTTTTTCGGACTGTTTTTATTAACAAAAATATTTGAATAAAAATAAAGTAATGATTAATGATATTTACTAATATTTTTTTGATATTAACATTAGTAAAACTTGCAAAACTTTTATTTAAATATAATATTTAATTAATGCTAATGCTACTGAAAATTAATTCTAATATCAGTAATTATTACTAAAAATTTATATAAATTATTTATATAAATTAAATTATTTAGAAAATAATGGTGAATATCGAATCATCGCCAACGGCATTAGCGAATGAATTTTTATCAAAGTTAAGAAAGAAAGGAAACGATGAATTTCGAATTAAAATTGCACATCAACTTTATAAGTAATTTTTTTTCTTATTTTTGATTTTCATTTTTTTCACTAAAACATTTCAAGGTTTTTTGCTTTTTTCTTTGTTCTTGTCTGATATCAGTTGTGGTGCCAGATTTCTCTCATTTGCCTATTCTTGTTTTTTCGCGCAAAGAGAGTGGTACGGTCTATTTTAAGAAATATAAATAGTGTTGAGTTCACTTCACATTTGGTTCGTGAAAATACCGTATAAAATTAAATGGCTCTTAATGCCATCCATCAGCTTTATTCAACTTTGTATATTCAGCTAGCCAAGAAAAAATTTCAAGTTCAGCCATACTTTGGTAATCGGAAAAAAATCCTTTTTTGGTAAAATTAAAAGTTTAATGAATATTTATAATGTTAGTCTTATCTTTTTAATCAATTTATTCGTATAAAATCGTTTAAATTTTCAAATTATGCAAATTAAATTGAACTATTTATTATTTTTTGATATTTCGGAGCAAATCCATTTCTTCTTTTATTGAATAATTTTTTAGTTATATTAATGGCGATCTACGTGATAATAATGCTCGTTATATCGACCAGTTTATATCAACATTTGATGCAAACATGGATCAGGTTAATGCTCCTTATCCCATTTGTGGTCAATGGTTTTGATTTTCTGGAAGCCCATTTTAAATGCAAATTATTTTGAATATTAAGAAGAATGTTGAATATTAACATTTTTAAAATTTTCCAGTTCTTTAGAGTGCTGTATATGAACTAATAATATCCACTGATAACGATGATAAAAAAGCTGCAATACTTCTTATTGGTAATTTTGTTGTTTTGAATTTCTGTTATCATTAATAAATAGGGATAGAATGGCTCAGTAGGTTGTTGTTCAATTCGAAGCGCTTATTCTGAGGCTCTATTCCCCGCAGGACTAAACCCGTCCAAAAATCTGAATGCTGGGAGCACTCACCTGTACTTTTATTGCCAGAAGACTCTTAGGCATATTTGTCTAGTGCTGCAAGCCAGCGGAGCGAGTTTAGCCAGTAATGGTGAGGATCCTTTTTAAAAAGTCATTAAAAGTAATGTCAAAAATGGAATATGATTTTTTTTTCAAATGCGAGAAAAGAATGAATAAAACGCATGGCTATTTGAATAAAGAAAAATTTTTCTATTTTAAAGGACCGTATTTTTTTTTTATTTTAAGTATGTTTGGTCGAAACTGAAGGTCAAGAGGAGTCAAAAAGAGTACCACGTTTTGCGAAATATTTACTAAAAGTTCTAACAAGCAGCGATGAAACAGTGATTAAATTAGCAGCGAGAGCTATTGTCTATCTTATTCAAACATCGAAGACATTTGCCGTTGAACTTGTTGAGAAATCACTTAATCAAGTAAATTCACTACTTGATCTTTATAGATAATTTATATATATATATATATATATATATGCAGGTCTGTGAATGGTTGGAAGAAGCTGAACGCAATGAATTGCGCCGATTAGCTGCTGTGTTTCTTGCTCGGCAATTAGCACTTTATACCTCAACTTCATTCCTTCTTCGAGCATCGACTTTTTTTAATAATATTTTTCGAATAATACGTGACCCTAAGGTAAAATCCATTATTATTGTTGTTTTAAATATTTAAAAAATATTTTAGCTGAGATCGATTCTTTCACTATATATTCTTAGATACTGAAATAATCGAAAACACCTCGGAAATTTATTTTAAAATCAGGTTCATGTACGTATAGCAGCAACGAAAGCTTTGCGAGCCGTTTTAGCCGTAACATCTCAAAGAGAAGCAAGGCAGAAATCAGAATGGTATAAGGTAAGACGTTATAAAATTCCTATACAAAATGTAAATGCAGTTTCCTTTGAATTTTTCTCTTCTATCAATCTTCATTTTTAGTTTCGCTGATTTTATGGATTACAAGTTTAGGACCCTTTTGCGAGAGAGTTGCTTGAATGACGGAAATGGAGGTGGATATTTCAAAAAAGAGATAAATAATTTTGTATCACTTGGGAATTGGGAAAAATTATTTATTAGCGCACCAAGTAATAATCGAATAATAATCACTTTAAATCAGGAATATGGGAAAATGAAAAATCGCTTTTCATTGATCATTTTAACTCTGGTTAGGGCCTTGAATCGAACCTGTCATGTTTGATCTCAGTGAGCGATATATCGCTCGACCATTCTTTTATTTACTTTTAGATAATTTAATTGGAATTTTGAAAGATATTAGCAATTTTAATATTCAGTACAATAAATTAAATAAATTAAAATTAAGCGCGAAAACTTTATGGAAGTGTGGGATCCGCCAAAGCAGTTTTTCAAAAGAAATAAAAAGTTCATATTCCGATGTTTGAGGTAACATTGCCTTATAATCATGGAATTTAGCATTGTTATGAGGAAGCAATATCTTGTTTATCATACGATGGTTTGAATCGTGATGAAAGATATCATCCTACTCTACTGATACTGAATGAAATTTTACGTATAAGTGATGCCGAAATTGAATGTATTCGTATCAAATCACTCGGCCGTGAACCTGAGCAAAACATTCGGACTATTATAGATTCCCAACCAGTTGATTGGCTCACCGAACAAACTTTCTTTCGTACTGCTGATAGTGAAACAGCGAGAAATCTTGTGTTTGAAAATTTTAAAAAGGTTCGTTATCCATTCTGCTGAACTTTTTTATATGTCTTTTTTTTTATTTTATCTTGCAATATCTTTTTTTCTATGAATTAAAATTAAACAAGGGAACAAGAAATTTCTCGAAATCTTAAGGTCCAAATTTAGTAGAATTTATCTATTTCATTATTTTTTTATCACATTATTGACCGACAATTTTTTCATTTTGTTTTTTTAATTATAATTTTTATTAATTTCTTACGTAAAACTATAAAACATAATTTTTTCCAGATTTTTGAAGTATGTAATCGCGCGGTTTCTAATCGTTTGCTTTACTGTCAGTCGACTTTGCTTGAGATATTCCCTCGTTTGTTTTCCTTTCATCAAACATATTATAAGGAAGATTTAGTAGGATTAACGCTTGATCCATTTCCTATATATGCGTATTTTATTTCCTTAATTCCTAAACATCCATCGGCCTTGTTGTCTATTGGGTTGTTAGTATTTAAAAGATCAGAAGAACTGGAATCTTCAATCAGCAAACTGCTTAATGTGATTCAACAACTAATTCATTCTGCGAATAGCAAGTATTTATATTTTTTTACTGTATTTTTTTTACTATTGGAATTAAAAGATTTATTTGGTGTTGGCACTTTCATTTCATTATATATTTCTGAATTCAGACGGAGGTCCTTGGATAACAATGTTTTCATTTGTTTGGTTTTGGTGGTACGTGCATTAAAAATGAAAATTGAGCAGCAAATGCGAGATTTGTTACCACTGTTATTTTCCACTTCATTATCTAAGGGTTACGATTGATTCTATAAATATAAGTTCTAATTTTGAAATCTTTTTAATTTCTATTTTGGTCGAAAATAAAACTAATAAATAAATTAAAATGATAAATAAATAAATTAATTAATTTTTGTTGGAAATTATATTTATTAAATTTTGTTAAAATTTATTAAAATTGAATAGATTGAGAGGATTTGAGAGCATTTTACGGAGTGGTTAGATCGTTTTTTTTTTTGTAATTAACTTGGTAAATTGAAGGATTAACTGATGTAGCAGACGAAATAATGCAAAATATTCCTGGTCTTAAAACTGAGGTGCAGGACTATTTATTGAAAGAACTTTATCAAATGCTCTTAAATCAGAAGTTTCCAAGTAAATTGGATCCACCAACACCACCTCCTTTGCCGTCCGGTCCTGTTGTTATAAATAATCCCACGTTAATTATACTGGCTTTATCGACTCTTGGTCGTTTTGATTTTCAACGTCATTCTCTGCAGGCATTTTTGAAGTATATAGCTCATGTAAGCCGGTTTTTCAATTTTTTAATATTTGCTGATTGATTCAATTTTTATTGACTATTGAAATAATGCATAATTGGTATTTTATAATTATTTTATTTGAATTATTTGAGATTTAAATGTCATATTTTAAATATTGTTGATAGATGACTTATTGTTGTTAGTAAGTTTCCATTTATTTCAGGGGCATTTGGTTTGTGAATGTGTTCAGGTCCGTTTAGCAGCTGTCAAATGTTGCTCAAAAGTTTTGCTTCCTTTTGTGAAAATATTTCAATTAGGCGGGAGAAAACAAAGGCAAGAAGTGCTCAATTTGATCCATTCAGTTATCAAGCAATTAGTTTCCGTTTCCGTCGTTGATACATGTAAACTGTTTTCGGTGTTAGTTCTCAGTGAGATTATAAATAATGATTTATCCTTTCCCAAAGGCATGAAGAAGGAGTTGAGAATGAGACAAGGCACTGGTACCGTATTGGATGCCGGTATTTTTTTATAATGCAATACTTTTCTCCTTATATTCATTTTAAATGAAGAAATTTAGCAAGAAGAAATAGCAATTTTCTTAAATTTAATCAGTTTTCGTAATTTTTATAAAAAATTACAATTTCAGCGGCGGAGGTTCGAATTAGTGTTATACGAGCATTTAAAGAAGCAGACGAATCTTTTTTGTCTCATTTAGCACAGGCAGAAATAGCTGAACTTATCTTTATGAGCTTATATGATGAAAAATTGGAGATTCGTGAGGAAGTTGTTGTTTTATTAATGAAGCTTGGAGAATTTAATCCAGGTTTTGTTATGCCTCGTCTGCGAGAAGTGCTTTTAGAAACTCTGTCTTTATTAATGAACAGTCGTGTTGGAAGGTTAATTTTTTAATAGTTAATTTTTTGAGTAATGCCGTTTACATTTAGTCTGAATCATTCCCTCCGAATCATTTTAAAAAATTCTTTTAAATGAAAATTCGAATTAAAATAACAATTTAGTCTTTAACAATGTTTATCATTAGTAATCGCATGAAAGTAAAATAAGTTTGGAGGTCTGATCATTTAAAAAATTTCAGATTGGAAGAACATAGTGCTTGCCTTATCACTCATATTGCGAAACAAAGGCCTATGTTTGCTCGCCCATATATGCGTTTGATTTTAAATGCAGTTATTCCTAAATTGCGTGCGGATTTACGATCCGTTGATGTCACCGTGCAGGTTTGTGTTTTAAAGTAAAATTATATTTTCATGCTTGGGTGAACTTTTTACACATTCAAAGAAATTACCTGGAAAAAAAATTGTCAATTGTCAAATTCGATATCGATTACTTAAATTACAACATTGTTTGCAAATTGTGCTTCTAGGTTTTAAATGCTCTCAGTGAATTAGCTAAGGCTGGTGGCGCTGATTTGGTAATAGCGATCCCGACTCTTTTCGGAGCGTTAGTTCAGTTTTTACAGGATTCTAGCAGCATTGTTAGACGAGAGGTCGTATTTTATTTCCGCAACTTATTTTTCTTTATCGCTTCGAGTTTTTCTTCTGTTTTATTTTTAAAAATATCTTTAAAAATATCTTTATCGATTACTTAAATTACAACATTGTTTGCAAAGTTACTAATTTTGACTAAAGGTTTTTCTTCTTTTTAAAAAAATCAATTTTCAATGAAAATATTCAACTTCCTTATTTATTTATTTATTGATAACCAGCCAAGCAGGGCGACAACGCCATGTGCTTGTATTAATAATAACAGTTAAAATAACAGAAAAAGAAAACACAAAAAAAAATAACATAAAATTAACTATAAAACAATATGACAAAAATTAACAATTTAAAGAGGAAATTACAGATGATCAATATAATATAGTACAATTCGAAGTAACATATATAACCTGAAGATAAAATCGAGATTTCTCACTTCCTGCATTTCTTGCCTGGTGTAAACTCTTCTCTCTTTTTTTTTTTTTTTTTAAATAATATCGTAAATGATATTATCTTTTTTTAAAGACAGGTAAGGATGACGCACAAGCTACATCGTTCGGTAATTTGTTCCAGTAGTTAATAGTACGAATAAAGAAGTCATGAGTCCTTAGTTTAGTTTTGCATATAGGTTTTAGTAATTTTAAGCCATTAGTTCTTGTTGAATTCAAATTTAGTCTAAAGTTATAATATTTCGAGCAATCATTAACATAACCATACAGAATCTTATATGTGTAAATTAAATCTTGTTTAATTCTACGAACTGAGAGAGAATCCATGTTATGTTGTAGAAGTATTCGTATTCTTTTATAATTAAAATTATAATTTTTATTAGGAGAGAGGCGTCGTAGAAAATATTTTTGGAGTCCTTCGATTATTTTACCTGTTTTACGATGTCTCAGGGAGTAACATGTAGTATTGTAATCAAAAAGAGGCCGAACGAATGCTTTGTATAATTTGATAAAAAAACTTTCAGTTTTATTCTTAAACGAACGAAAAATAAAAAAATTTAGTATCCTTGAGGATTTCTTTACTATGGTTCTGCAGTGAAGATCGAAATCGAGATTTTCATCCATGATTATTCCAAGATCGGAGATGTGTGAGACTCTATTGATTAAATTACCATTTATAAAAAGGTTAGGAAGATCGAATCCTTTAGAGTTGATGTGAAGAACGCTACATTTTTGAAAGGAATGGGTAATTTGCCTGTCAAATAGCTAGTCAGCTATTATGTTGAGGTCCTCCTGCAGTGGAGCAGTGGAGATAGGCTATCCATGAGAATAATAAATTTTACAATCATCAGCATAAAGATAAATAGTAGAATTTGTTACTACTGTGGTGATATCATTTATATATAATAGAAATAGCAATGGCGCAATAGAACTGCCTTGGGGTACGCCTACTTTAACAGGTGTCATGTCAGAAAGAGTTCTTAACATTTACAGCCTGGTAATGATCTTTTATGTAATCTGACACCCAGTTATAGAGGTCCCCTGTTATGCCATAACTATTAAGAGTGACCAATAATTTGTTATGGGAGACAGTATCAAAAGCCTTAGCCAAATCTAGGTACACAACTGATACTATTTTTCCATTGTCAATTGATGCTGACCAATCAGAGGGATTTGCCAATATTTGTGAAGAAGTAGATTTTTGTGTACAAAAGCCATGCTGATAAGAAGATATAAAATTATTGGCATCAAGATAAGTAAGCAATTTGTTCCAAATCAAT